AGCATTTGCACATATCTTCCAAGGACACCCTTCTACTTTACACCTCACATTCATCTTCTCCTTACTATTCCTGATATATCTTGCTGCAAACTTCTCTGCAATACTGAACCTGTACACAGCTTCCCTAAAAGCAACAGCATGTGGAACATATTGGCCCACTCCTACAAACACTCCTGCCCATTTCGTACAATTCATCTCGCCCGTCAGTCTTCCCTGACTCTCTGAACCACTACACTTGCTTCTCTGACTTGATCCGCCTCCTTCAAAAGTTAGGCATTCAACTCCATTCTCAACATTCACTGGCTCATGTTCATCACCAATGGTCGTTTCAAATGTATTCATATATTGTGAAAGTCCAAATAAATTCTCACTCCTGCCACCATAATACCAAGTTAGGACAGCTATATTCAAACGACAGGTTTGAATAAAATAACATGTCTACATATCTAAATAACAAGTCCGCATATGGTTATTACAACTTTACTAACTAAAATAACAAGTCTACATCTACAAACAATTCCTTGCTCAATTAACAAGTCCGTAAGAGGTAATTACAACTTGAGTTACTCATATAACAAGTTTCCATATAGAAACTACTGGTTAGTAAAATAACATCTACAGATCTAAATAACAAGTCCGTATATGATAATTATAACTTCAATACGTTGAATTACAAGTCTACATATGGAAATCTCTGCTTATGTCTAATAACAAGTCTGCATTTCTAAAACACAAGTTTACAAATGGAAATGACATGTCCACTATGTTCAATAACATGCTTGCATTTACTAATTACAATTTAGGACTGCAGCACCATTAGCTTCATTACAATATTTCTATACGAATTACCAACAATATATTAGTAAATAACAAGATTCAATTGGAAAACATAACCACTTACACGTCTGGATCATTCCTTGCTCTACGTTCCCTATCATTCCCTTTCCCTCCTACATACACATGACCACTGCTGTCATTATATCTAAACAAGTTGCTGATATCACCATCATCACAAAGATCAATCAATGTACTCTCATCAAATTTAACTTTATACTTAATCTCATATCCACCACCATCATTGCCTATCCACTGTGAAATTATTCCACACAACTCGTCTACTGTTATCCATTCTTTTATACTGGTTACCCTTACACTCCCTCCAATATATTTAACTATCCCTTCACCATTTGCTTCAAAATGTCCACCAATGTGCACGTAACAGAACAACTCCTTCCCACAGCTTCTTCGGTTATTGAAATCCATTTTTCATACTAATCTGCAGCAAAAATTTACGTTTAGTCAGTACGTTAGCTTCACTAATAAATATTTACTCATTTATTCCATCGACTCAACCATTTACATACCAAATTAAAAACCCGTGACCTCCTGTCTTCCCAACATCACTTTAGGCCTTCACAACTTCACTTTAGGGCTTCACAACTTCACTTTAGGGCTTGACGACTTCAACACCGAAAATCATGGTATCGTCATTCCCTCATTCCGCGGCAACACCTCAACGTTCACGGTCAAACTAACGGCCATTATCCAACCTACACTCTGCCAAACCACTACACTCTGACCCCTTCCCCATCGCAACCAGCACCGTGCACTACAAATGACAGATGACCGTTCAGACTACGAAAACAAAAATATCCCACCTCCAACTAACCACAACCTCCTACATTGTCATATCTTTCATCTTCAACTACACCTCCCATTCCCTCCCTTCCTCCAGCCTACTCACCCACACAGCAGAGATGAAGATGGAGAATGTGACGATGTGTAACTCTTACAGGGAACAATACAAGAATGGTTTACTCAGTAAGTTAGTCGCATTATTGCCAATGTTCGAAGATCCCAATATCGCACATATTCGTTCGGCTCATCCTACTCCGCCAGCTCTCCCGCCACCCATTAAAATCCTGGTCTCTGCCTTCATTAACAGTCATGATGAGTGAGGGGCATTTCAGCCATTTTCCTTACATTTCATAATTGCAAATTGGGACCGGGTCCTCTGCAGCAATTTCTCAAATTGGGGGTCCCTGATTGCCATTTTATATATTGGGGGGTCTTTATTTACAATTTCCCCTTATTATAACCCTTTTTAATTATTATTGTAGTTTTTGAAATTATGCTTTCCCAGTATCGTAACTCATAAACATAATGATGCAAGTGAAGTGGAACGGCCCAATGGATGGCCTGTTGGGTCGTAGGGTCAACCAAGTTAGGCATCCTCATCCGCCATTCACTTTCCTTGCTTTTCCAGCCACACGCCCTCCTTTCATTTTATGTATCATAAAATGATCACCTCTTTTTTCTCTATTTTAGAAAAAAACATATTAAACAAATGAAATGCAGTGGTATATGCGACTATGAACAGGGTAAAAGGTCGTGCGGGAGACGCGTCCTAGAATCAAACTGGCCCCCAATTAATCTCTTCTCCTGTGTACCGCCACTCTTTTTAATATAAGAGTTTATTTAATTTTTATTTTTATTTTAAATTTTAAATTTTAATTTATTTTATCTGTTGTATTTATTTGTCTTTTTTAAATAGTTATTATAATAATAGTAATTCTAATCAATACACTTGATTAGTGAGAACATTTTAAGAAAGATAATATTTGTTTATTATAAATAATTAACTTAAATAATTTCTTTAATCTACTTAAATTAGTTAACTAGTTTTTATATTAAAAACCAGAGATAATATATAAACTTCAAATTTAAAGAGAGATATAATTCGTTTTATAAATTTTAATTTAGGTTTGTTTTACCATTTGTCACATTTTTTATATATTCTCTTTCATCTTTTTTCTATATCTGAAAATAAAATAAAATATTTTTTTATTTTTTTATTTTTAACTAATTTTACTTAATTATTTGTTATTTATGAATTGGCTACTTAAAGCTTATCATAAATAATACCACCAACAAACTATCATTTTCATAAATCTCCACCCCTTGCGTGCGACGCCCGGTTTCTTGCGTATGCGCGCGTCCACGTGCTTCCCCAGCGCGTGCTGCTAACATCTATTTCCCATCTCTTTAATAAATAACACCATGCATATATCACTTTATAATTAAATACTCTTCTGGTCCTTCATATAAGACCTATTTAACTAATTTGATTAGATTAAGGAAGTTAGGTAAGTTAGTTAATTATAAGAAAAGTGACACATTTTTCCTAAAACACTATAATAATCTTTTTTAATGCCTCCTCTCCCTCTTTTACTTGATTATGGTTGAGGGAGTGTCTATAAGGGTAATTTAGAGAAAATTGATAAATATGAGAAATGAGTCTTATATTTAGGACCAAAACTAATTTAAAAGTTGGGTCTTATATTAAGGAGTGGAGGAGTATTAAATATGAGCTTTTTTTTTTTTTTAACAGGTATTCAGACTTTTTAGTTCTTTCTGCTACACCTAAATCTGTTAGGAAGCTAAACCTATTCTAACACAAACATACCCACACAAACTTATGACCTCCTTCGTGGAAAAAAACAGACTTATTATTCTAGATTCAAAAGTCTCTGAGGTCATGAGAATGTTTCGAGCTTATATTATACGCATCGGGTCATTAATATAATATTTATTTAACTAATTTGATTATATTAATGAAGTTAGGTAAGTTAGTTAATTATAAGAAATGTAACACGTTTTTTTAAAACACCATAATCATCTTTCTTAATACCTTTCTCCCTCTTCTACTTGATTATGGTTGAGGGAGTATCCATAAGGGTAATTTAGAAAAAATTAATAAATATGAGAAATGAGTTTTATATTTATGATCAAAACTAACTCAATAATTGAGTCCTATATTAAGGATCGGAGGAGTATTTGATGGAATGATAAAAATTCTGGACCCCAAATTAAATTGGACCCTGTTTAGTGGAATCATAGAAGCCCACTGTGTATTTATTAACAAAACTAAATATGGAGTCGGAGACATTAGTCAATAATGATGAATCAAGCTGGCAATAATGCGGTTTTGTTTGGATCTATTTACAGAAAAACAAGAAGAGGATAAAATCACGAGAGGTTGTGGCGTCTGGATATTGTCTTCTTCTCCAGCGTTATCAGCTCATTTCATTTGAAAAAGCGGACCTGGATAACGCATAGCCGTTTGAATGCGTAAGTCATTTTATATCGGGAAAGAAAAAAAGGAAAAATATTAGGTAAAAAAGAAGCTGAAAACATAAAACAAATTTAAAATACATATGATAATATTTTTGTCTGCCTTTTCAATTAAAAGATTTAAATAAGCCCTGTGTAAATAAATCTCATCTATCAAAATTTGTATTTTGTAATTCTGGGAATAGATTATTGATGTATACAATACCATAAAAATTAAATATTAAATGTTTTAAAGAACAGATGTTATGCACGCTTTTAGTCTACACTGAGTACATTTTATTTTGCATAGCATGAAATTAAAACAAATACATACTACCTCTGGTCTTAATTATAAGAGCTAGTTGACTAGTTTGAGGAGACTAAAAAAATAAGTCAAGTTATTTATTTGTAATAAATATGTGTTGTCTTTCCTTAAATACTATTGTTAATCAAGTGTATTGGCTATAACTACTATTGTTAAAAGGATTATATTGAAAAAAATATTTAAATATGAGAAACAAAATGGATTAGGGTTTTACATTTAAGACCAAAATAAAAATCAAATAAGATCCTATATTAAGAACCGGAGATAGTATAAATTTATATTTCACAGTCTTCAATCTTTTTGCCAACGATGTATCGCAATCCTCATAGACCATATTCTTCACCCGCAATCTCCTTCAATCATAGATATTTGTAATTTATAAACACATAAATGATGTAACTTAATATTATACATGTGTACATATATATATGAACACAAACATTCTTCTTTACTCATATAATACTAGTTTTGATCTTAAATATAATATTTAAAAAATAAAAAATAGCTAAATGGATTATTTATCATCATCATGAGAGAGGTAAACAGACTAAAAACTTGGAGAGCCGAAAAGCGGATCCTCTCTATAATTCAGGCAGCGTGCAAAGTGCGTGCTGTTTCGTTTACTGTTCACCCTATCAGGTTGGGTTAGTCAGAAAGTAAGGAATTGTGATCACAATCTCAGTTTCTCTGGCGTCTCTCCTCTGCGTCCGTCCCCTCCTTTTCCTCCGCCGGCGACGTTACTCTCTCTCTCTCTCTCTCTCTCTCTCTGTGACACCCATTTTGCTGTATAGTTCATATCCTCTCTCCTCAAAAATCAATCCTTCTTCAACCCAGAGCCTTCACCTGCGCCTTTATCCTTATCTGCTAAAACAATCCACCTCTGTTCTCAAAACCCCTTTCCTTCCACGCAAAACTCCCATACTCCCCTATTCGCTCGCTTAATTACCATCCTTATGCTCTCCCCCCTCCCAGGATAAAGCAAATTCAAATGGACGTTTTACCGGGCCCCACTTTGACCATCGACGATGATTCCCCGCCGCCGTTCGTCTGTGAAAACCAAACGGACGGGTCGGTTCTCCGGGTTATGGAGCCGCCCCAGTTTTTTGCGGCCGATGGTTCATCCGGGAGTTCGTCCTCCATCGGAACTCCAGATGAAAGTGGAGAAGATGATGAAGAAGGCAGTGAGGAGACGCAGAGCAAGTTGAATCGAGGAATAGGATTAGATTCTTGGGATTCTTTAGAGGAGTCGCTTCCCACCAAGTTAGTTCCTTCATTTTCGTTTTATTTTTCCTGCTTATGTTAAATCTGACCAAAATCCGAAATCTTATTTGGATTAATGAGTATAGGAATTAACGGGAGCGATGCATGCAGGAAGGGATTGTCGGGTCACTTCGATGGAAAATCAAGGTCTTTCACAGATTTGAGCCAAGTGAGGTCGGTGAAGGAGTTGCAGAAACAAGAGAACCCATTCAACAAGAGAAGAAGACTTCTCATGGCGTCAAGGTTGTCTAGAAGATCCGCTTTCTACAGCTGGTCTAACCCCAAATCCATGCCTCTTTTACCCCTCCATGAAGAAGAAGAAGAAGAAGAAAAATGTAGAAAGCTAGCCGCGTCACCGTCGTCGCTATCCTCCTCTTCCTCCTCCTCGTTAACAGAGGAAAAGAAACAAGAAGATCAAATACCGCTGCGACGGCGACAGAAGACGGCACCACCAGAATTGACGAGGCTTCGACCAGCTGGGAGCTTCAGGCTAAGGAGCTTTTCACTTGCAGATCTTAAAGAACATGACGACGAAGAAGAAGAAGAAGATGCTTAACATGTGACGTATTTTGTTCTTAGCAGCAAGCGGGCACTTTTCAGTGTTTTGGTTTTAGAGTTGGATCCAAAAAATGAAGCTTCATGTAATGACACGAGTAGTATGATGCGTATTTCTTGATCTTGATTCCTGAGTTGCGTATTGGCATTAGTGTTCAAAAGAGAGAGAAGAGAAGAAACACAAGTTGATGGACTTTGATTAATATGTTTTTTGATATTAAAATTAGTTTAATTTTTAATATGATTTTGAATATAGACTCCAATTAATTTTATTTTTTATATTTATTTATTTTTTAAAAAATAATTTTTTAGTAATTATATATGTTAAATGTTTAATTAATTAATAGTTTTAGTTAATGTATATAATTCGTAGGTATATTTTTTAAAAAATTTGATTTATATTTATTATAAATAAAGAACTTAATAAATTTTTTAATTTTATCAAATTAATTCATTAATTTTTATACTAAGAGTCAGAAGCATTACGGATTGAAAAAGCCTGCGGATTTGAGTATTCCATTTCACTGAAAGTATCTCGGACAAATCTTATCCTGTCTTGTTAATTATTAATTATTGAAACCCGCATGAAGAATGACTTCTTTTTCTGAATTTTTTATTTTTGGGTATAAGGCGTGAAGAATGACTTTATCTGGGACTTCTGTTTAATAATGCGTTCGTGAGTTACGAAAGCAACTTGGGTCCGTTCCTTCTGTCAACGTGTTGAACAAAAACAAGGAATCTGGAATCAAATTAGGCTAAACTTTTGGACCAGGTAAACTTTAACTTAATATTTTCTGTTTGTGAGTAATATACACCTACCCTCTTCGCGTGCATATAGTCTTCTATCGCGGCTTAATGCATTATGTACGATTTAAATACTACTCCAAGTTTTAATTATAAAATATTATTTGTAGACTATAAATAAGATTTTATGATTAAGACTGGAGTTAGTATATGAATATCAATGTTTATTGTTTATGAAAAATATACTTATTCGTGCTGCTTATTTTATTTCATAATTAATATTAGTTTTAATTGTGTATTTCAGTCAAGTCTCCTAAAAATGTTAGGAAAATTGGCCAAAAAAAAAATGTTAGGAAAAATTATAAATGAAGACCCCTCAATATGTAAAATTGTGATTTAAGACCCTGACTTTAAAAAATAACAAATAAGGATCGAGTTCTACTTTTGCAAATATGAAATGTGGGTGAAATATCTAAAATGTCCCATCGTCTATTGAAGTTTTCTTTCATTAAAGTGAACTTGTTATTTCTAATAGTCAACTCGTTATTTGGCATATCCTCAGCCAAGTTATGATTTGGTCTACTAAAGTTGTCATTCGCTAAAGTGAACTTGTCATTTGGCTGAAAGATATTTTAGACATTTCACTACAATTTCATATTTGCAAAAGTAAAACTGAGTCTTTATTTGTTATTTTCTAAATTTGAGATAATTTTACTAGGAAGTCTTTATTTGTAATTTTTTTAAAATGTTATTGCAACTTGTTTAATAATCTTTTTTTTTTTAATTGCCAATTTAGAAGAAGAGGAGAAGGGAGGCAGAGAGGTCAGGAGCAGGGTCGGTAGTCGGTACATACTGAACATTTTATGGTACATAATAAGATATGCAAGTACAACTCTAAAGTAAAGTCACAGGACAAGCAGCGAAGAACAGGGGATTGGCTTCAAGATCGCCCTACATCTTGATGTGACATAATATTAACCTATCACATATAGTTTAATGCTGGATTGCTTTCTACTTAACCAGATTGCTTCCTGCTTAATTTTCTTTACGCTTTGAAATATGTTTAACATAAAAACTAGTTAAATAATTTAATTATATTAAAAAAATAAATTTAGTTAATATTTATAATAAATAAGTATTATTATTTTTCTAAACTATCCTTATATTAATAATTACTATTATTATAATATTTATTTTTAAAAAAATATAAAAAATAAAATAAATTAAAATTTTATATTCAGAACAAAAATAAAAATAAAAAAAATTAAAATTTTATATTTAGAACAAAAATAAAAATAAAGGTACTTATTCATCAAATGTATATGCGCGCGCGTCAGGTCCGATAAAAAAAAAGGGAACCGACAGGGTTGATATGGATTACTCATGTTTAATTAGAAGCAGCTCTCATCTCAAGCACATTCTTGGCTCTTGCTCAACATCATCGGCGACCCCGAAGGATTCGAGGATGTCATCGCGTATCATTTAATATTGTTCATGTTTAGTATAAATATACAGAAAAATATGATTAATTAATACAGTAATACCGCGCTTTCAGAACATCCAAAGCAGATCCAAAGGTTAATGTCCCTTGCTGACCTGTTATGGACTGAGGCCCAAACACCACAAAGTACGGATATCACGAGGAAAAATTGAGCTAGGCGTGGTACTCTTTAATATAAAAATTAGTTAATTAATTTAGATAGATTAAAAAAATTTATAAATAATTTATTTGTAATAAATAGATGTTATCTTTCTTATAATACTCTTCTTAATCATATGTATTAATTATAACTATTATTTAAAAGAACATTTAACATGCAAATTTGTTACAATGACTATTTTTAAAAAAAAAAATAAATATAAGTAATAAAATATATTGAAATCTTAGACTACCTTATGCCCTGTTTACAAATAGGATCATATAATTATGATCAAAGATAATATTAGTATTTATGATCAAATTAAATGTAAAATTAGCATGGAGACAGCGTTAAAGATTTAAAATCAAATCAAAGCGTGAAATCCGATTTCGGAACAGGAAGCAGCACAGCGCCGATGAGGATTCATCTTTAAGCGTCTTGATGACGTGGTACATTGTACGCTCTTGGATCATGTGGACGAACAGGATTTTAGGACATTGAGAAGATCTGGATCCGGAATTGGTGACCTCCCGTTTTTTGGGTCATCACTAGCTAGGTGAATATATTGGGCTAACTTTCATTTTCACGCCCCCATTTCTTGGGCTGTTTCCACGAAATGAACTTCACTCTCAATTCAAGGTTTGCTGGGTGCTGGTCCGGAAAGTTATTCATCATATATACGTGGCAACGCCATATCGCTCGATAAACACAAACTTTATCCCTAGGGGTGTGTTTGGTTGGAGGGGAGGGGAGGGGAGGGAAAATGAGCCCCTCCCCTCATTTGGTTAAAAATTTTGGAGGGGAGGGGAGCTAAAATGTCCCCTCCCCTCCCCCATTTTGGCTCCCCTTCAAATTGAGGGTTTTTGGAGGGGAGCCAAAATTTTGGACTATTATGCCCTTATGGTTTTTTTAATATTCCACTTCTATCCATAAAATATATTATTATAATATTTATTTCAAATAAAAAATATATTATCCTAAGTAAAAGAATAAAAAATATATACATTATTATAATTAAAAATATATTATAAAAATTATTTAAAAATAAAAATTTATTTAAATAAAAAATTATAATATATAAAATTAATTGTTTTTTATAAATATATTATTTATTAAATATATTTTAAAGTTGGAAAAAAGATAGCCTAAAGAAAATAAAATTTTATTTTTCTTAGAGCATATAAAATTTGTTAATTTGATTATTTTAAATATATTATTATATTAATTAGAATAAAAAATTACTATACCAATTTTTTAATACACATATTAACATGATAAGACTGAATTTTTATTAAATTATATAATTTAAATTAAGATGTAAATTAATTTATATAATATATCAATAAAAAATATAAACTAATATGTAAGGGTAAAATGGTAAATTGATTATTACTATCCCTCCCCTCCCCTCCCCTCCTTGAACTAAACAAGGGATCATTAAATACCCTCTCCTCCCCTCCTTTTTAATCAAACCAAACAAGGTGAGGATAAAACCTCCCCTCCCCTTCCCTACCCCTCCCCTCCCCTCAAACCAAACAGACCCTAGGGGTAAAAAACAATCAAGGTTCTTGGCCCATATGACCCCCCTTTTTTTTAACAAATGAGCTAGGGTGAAAAAAATAATGTTTTCTTCCAACATAAAATTTGAATTAACTTTTTAAAAATAATTTTACCACATACAAGATAGATATAAAAATATTTTTTTTCTATGGAAGCATTTTTAATTGTTTTTTTTGGGGCTATTATTGTCTTAATTGATTTTAGAATATTGAAACTTCCCACCTAATCATGTATTTTTCCGATCTTTAATATAAGACCCATTTAACTAATTTGATTAGATTAAGAAAGTTAAGTAAGTTAGTTAATAATAAGAAATGTGACACTTTTTTTCTAAAACACCATAATCATCTTTCTTAATACCCCTTTCCCTCTTCTACTTGATCATAGTTGAGAGAGAATCTATATGAGTAATTTAAAGAAAATTGATAAATACGAGAAATGGATCTTATATTTAGGATCAAAACTAATTAATAATTGGGTCCTATATTAAAGACCAGGAGACTAGCTGGATGCTCAATAGTCAATACCGAGCTAACTGAACTGTTATAATTTCAACTAAAGTTACCTGGGGGTCAATTTCCATTGGCGTTCTTATTACTGAAATCCGAGTACATCATTTGACTTTGGGATTCAGAAGTTCGTTCCACTGTTTCAAGGTCAACGAGAGAGTCACTTTTCATGGTAACCCAAGAAAACGTAGGAAAAAAACTAAAAAGGGCGCCGAAAAATAACTGCCAGTAATTCAGGGGGGAAAAAAAAAAGAAAGGTATTTCGTCACCCCTCACGGCGGACTTTCATGGCGTGGGCCGTCTCATCGGGTCGTTTCTTCCTTTGTCCCTCTTCTGGTCTTAGCCTCGTTTTCTCAAGCGCGAGAGTTAGGGCCACACAGACATTTCTTTGGAAGCGAGTGAGTAGACTCAGCGCTCGCTCGATGAGTCAACCCGGTTCTGCGTCCTCCACCGTTCCCGTTAGTACTTCCTCTCAAAATGACGAGTCGCAGGCCGAAATCGCCGACGTTATCGTGCAATACGTGGTGCTCCGGCGAGACCTGATTGACACTTGGCCCCTTGGAAGCGTGGTTACACAAGGTTGCCATGCTTCTGTGTCAGCCATCTGGTCCAATAAAGATGATCCTCACACCGTCGATTACTGCAGCCCGGAGAAAATAGATTCTATGCACAAGGTAAGGTTTCTTGTTCCCTCTTACAAGCGACATTCGGTATTACGCTAATAGAAATTATATTTTTTTAATTCCCAAATCGTCATCTCTGTCTTTTGGGCAATGAGTTGCAATTCTGTGTAAAATTAGGATATCTTCTTATTCCTTAATCTAATCGTAGAGAAAGAAAGAATGTGGAATTTTTTCTTTTGTAGTGGCGATCGACGGAGCTGGAAGTTCATTGGGGCATTAGCATTATCTCGATGACATTGGAATTTTAGTAATTATGAGTAACTTCAGTTTTGTTTATGTTAACTTGGATCCAGTTCAGACATATCTTAGAAATAGGCGGCTAGGGATATAAATGTTTCTTGAACTTAAGATAATGGATACGATGAATTCAGAATTCGGGAGGCAGGTCTCAATCCGTTGAAGAATGATCATTTTGCATTTGGTGGTCTTTAAGTTTCTGTCAAAGTTGGTCTTTTGGCCTGGCACGAATTTTCTGGATTGTTATATATTTGGTATCAAATCTTAAGTTTCTTATTCGATTGATAATTTAACTCAGCAGATATGCTGCGTTACATTTTTCATTTGTTCTCTGCCATTCTTCTCCTTTATTTAGAAGAGGAATGTTGAGATGATAATATGAGTTGTGCAAAATCAGGCTTTTTTAAGAGAAGGAAAATATTGTATATTACTTTTTTCCTTTTCACTGCGATGCATCATATGGAATCTGCATAATGTGCTACACTTTTCATGAATTGCGAAAGCGTGTAGTGGTACTGGTTTTATTATATTTTGATGTTTATACACTCTAACTTCTGCTCATTAAACTTGGAACTAAGAGATTAAATACTAATTGATTGATGTATATGGAAGATAAAAGTCCAACATGAAGTTAACAAAGCTAAAGTGTAAAAGCTGATAGCTATGAAAGAAAATTAGATCTTTTGGCTTCTAAGGCCTTACTCTGTAATTTTATCGCGCCAACAGAGCTAAAGTGTAGAAGCTGATGTTTTGGCTTACACGTCATTGCTTTAAAATTTTACGTCACTGAGTTTACTCATTAAATTTCTTCTTACTCTTTAAATGTAGGTCACACTTGAAGTGAAAGGAGAACCTCAGATTATAAACTTGTCTGAGAAGCTCACATCTGGTGGCATTGTTCACAAATTGTGGATTGAACAACCTGAAAACATACCAACATGCCTTGCAACAAAACCTTATCCAAAATCAATGGTATCTTCGTATTTTAAGAAGTTGAAACTCTGCAAGTGATCCCATGTTTGATATCATCCCTTTTTTTTCCTGCTACCTGGGAGGAAATGCACTGAAATGCGATGCAAAGTGCTTGTTTTTTCTGGCATATTCTCTTACACTGTTAAACAGATTTCAAATGGAGCGGCTGATTAGTAAGTCCATTAACAATGCATCCGTGATAATTTTTTTTTACATCTAGCTTAAATGCTGGCCTTCATGGTTGTAAACTTTCAAATCCTTTTATTTACTCAATGAAAGAGATCGTGTTCCAATGAGGCAATTGTTCGGTGGTTTGAGGCGGTAGATTTCGTGATCGAAATTTCTATGGTATCCTACTATATGCATTAATTTGACAAAAGAATCTGTACAATAATATGTATGTACATATATAAGAGAAAGATAATGTTACAACATTTTCTTATTCGTTGAATCAACGATGAAATCAACTACCCTAGAATATTTAACAAAGTTTGATTGTGAGGTCCTTCCAAGTTTTTATGAGCAAGTTGCTTATCGTCTAAAAATATTGTCCACGTATGCCATCTTTTGTATTAATTTTTCTGCACTCAGGTTGTATGGATAATCTGTACCAATGAGGCACCCTCGTCAAATACGAGGCTTGCTTCATTTGGATGAGGTTTGATGGTCAATGACACTCTGAAACGCCCCAGCCAGTGCTTTCACCTTATTCTTCCTCATCTCCATCAATTTGTTTGCTGTCTCTTCGATAACGTTTGCTTCTTCTTTTGGTGGTTTGGACTCTGTCTTGACCTCTGCAACTTCACTCTTGGGTGCAAGTTCATCACCGTGAGTCTTACCTTCACTTATTCCTGTTTCCTCCCCTTTCTTCTCTTTCAATGTCTTTCCCTCATTGTTGTTCTCACTCTCTCTAGCTTCTATAACTCCACCTTCTTCTTTTTCCTTTTCTGTGACCTCAACATCTCCATCACCTGCAAGCTGCTCTTGTGGGTGTCTCCAATTTTTACTTTCCCCTTGACTTGTAGTCTCTTCATCTCCATGCTCATCCTTTGTTTTCTCTCCTTTTGGCTTCCCTTTCGCTTCCTCTACGTCAGTAACAGAAACTGGCTCACCCTCTGGCACACTTGGAACTGCCCCCTCGTCATTAGCTTGAATATGAGGTTGATCAGGCTCAACCTTGTGTTGCTGCTCATGTTCGCATTCGTGTTGTTCAGTATTATCAACATGTGGTGGAAGCTGGAATGCTTCTACAACGTCTTGGTGTCCGGCATCTTCAACCTTTAATGCTCCCTGCTCTTGTTTTGTTGCTGGGGGCACAGTTTCAAGTCTAGAGGTTTTTGCAGTCACATTAGAGCTCTCTGGAATATTTGTTGAGTTGACTGGAGCATAAACTACCTTCTTCCTGGTGGCAGGAGCAGCCTTCTTGGGAGTCGTGCCCGTTTTCAACAATGCTGGTTTGGGATTTGCAACCTTGGGTGTCTTTAAGGTTGTCTTAGAAATGGGTTTGGAAGAGAAAATGGTTTTAGGTAGGGAAGGAGTTGAAGTAGATGAGGTCTGGAGAGGTGATGGTGTTTTGTGAGGAGGGCCAAGAGAGACAAGTGCTTTATGGCTCTGAGACCTTAAAGAGGAGACCTCCTTGGCCTTAGGTTTGTATGAAATGGAATCTGATACTGGCTTTCTGTTTACACTAGGCTTCTGAGTAGCAACATCACTCTTAAATTGCTTCAATGACGGGGATTGAGACTCAGAACGCAAGCTTGTTTTAGGCTTCACATAACTTGGCATTCGTCTCTCCCATGTCTTGTCCTTGTGATCATTTGAGGTGCTTCTGTGGGATGGTTTTGTGCTCTCTTTGATGCTCCTAGGTGTAGTTTCAGAGTTGGACATCGGGATTGGGCCCTTCTTCGCCTTCTCAATTCCGCTGCTTTCTTTTGCTTTTGCTCTTGTTATTGATATTGCCATCTGTTCTTTATATATTTACGTGTCTCACTTCTCAGTTCTCCGATATGTTTTCCACAAAAAGGAATCTGCACGTTATCATCAAATAAATAACAATGTCACGCCTTGTTTTGTGGCATTATTAAGGAAATACACAATTTTCAATCTTGATATTCCTAGCTAGGTCTTAGCCTCAGTCATCTTGATATTACTGATTTACTATACAAATCACAAAGGAAAGTCTCACGACAAAAAGTGCCCAACTATTGTCATATAAGAGGTTATAGCTAGAAATTACTACGTTTTGGACACCCTAAATCCCCGCGAAGAGAATAGAGAGCTTCAACCAAAAAAAAAAAAATTATGAATCATGTGACAATGAACGATTGTGTTTCACGTCTTTGATGAAGTTGATTGGAAAGTCAAGATTAAAAAAGAAAGAAGAAGCGCGGATTACAAATAAATAAAACAGAGAAGGTTGAAATGAGATAACGTACCTTGATATAAGGAATTAAAGTTGACAAGCATGTGCAAAATGAAAAAGAAGAGGAGGAGGAAGAAGAAGATGACAGGATTAAAAATGAAATGTGGGGTAATTACTCCACACCTTTGAGAATTAGTCATTCACTAATTATATCGATTCTATCTTTGCTTTTCACGTTCTTTGTTGTAAATTAAGGCATCGCCAGCTTGACTATGCCTTTCGCCTCTGTTTGGACCAAACACGCCTCTCCATGTATAACATTACTAAGTGCTGCAACACATAATTGTTATTATTTCTTTCATCCTACAGGGCAAACCAAAAAACCATGCAACTCGTTGATGATGCCAGCTCCTAATTCTGATTATTCAAAAACAAAAAAAACTATAGAGTTTGTGTGATTGTTTATTTGACCCATGCCTTGTGGTATCAAATACTAGTATTTAAAGTAATGAATTTGACTTTCCGGTAGTCTTGAAGCATCCATGTATTTCTATTTAAACAAAATAAAAATAATTTTAAAGTTTTGTTAGATATCAACAGAAATGATATAAATGAATATATAGTGATAAATGGAATTTTTTTTTCCGGTGAATGACAATTCTATCTCCTTTCCTTTTTTTAGGCCCTCCTTTTTCATAAGCTAGCCCCACAAAGGAAGGCCTTCCCATCCAATTAAATATTTGGCTGAAATTCAACAATTTTGGATAATCCTTTCGTCAACTTTTGTGGGGCTAAAAGCCAACAAGCTGTTTCTTCTTCAAGTCTTGGGAAAAATGTTTCATTTTTTTTTAATTAAAAAGCATTTATTTTCTAACTCCTGCATGCAACCCAATAATAGTTTTACAGGGTTTTTTTTGTCATATATAGGGGGAGGGAGGGAGAATTTATGGGCCTCAGATGTGGTCCAAATGGATGGCTATTAATTTCGGTCATTAATGAAGTTTATCCAAAAAATCGATAAAAAGAAGCAAAGATGAAAAGACGGCTAATAAAGAAGAAATAAATGAGAACAAAGAGTGAAAGCTAACAAAACGTTACATCACTCAAAGTCAAATGGGAATGGTTATCGTTCACAAAACACCTTCATCCATTCCCTCCCTTTACTACGCATGGCTGCCTTCCAGCCTTTCATATTTAATTTGTTGATGGCCTTTTTTCTGTTTTAATTTAATATATCCGGTTTGTCTTCTAATATATGGGATAACTGATTGATTTGAAATCCAACATTAAATAAGAATATATTTGTTTTCACTCACCGCTGAAATTAATCAATGGATATTGCTGCAATCATTAAATCCCATCTATCAAGGATTTAATTAATTAATTGACAGATGAATTTGCTGAGCTTGGTTTTTGGGTGCAGTCTTCATTTTTTCGACCATGATTTACTAATGAAGGGGAATCGCGGTCATTTAATCGTGCCTAATTAGACTACTAAAAAAAAAAAAATTGATACAGTTGTAAGTGACATTTCTTCGTTTTTTTTTATTTTGAAATTTTTTTATAAAATTATGTTTGTTTTCGTGTAAATAATTAAACGAAGCACAAAAACCATAAAATCAAAGCCGCTCTGCAATATGACAAACAACCTAATTTGTGCAATTCTCTTACTCAAACTGACATAACATAAAAATAATATAAAAATTAGATAACTAATTTATAAAATATAAAAAATAATTAAACTATTTATTTATTAAAAAAATAATGTATTCATTTTTCAAGAAGAAAAATTGCTAAAAAATCTCCATTAGTCAGATTTATTACTCAAAAGTATTTAAGAATCCAAGTTTTTAAGTGAGTGCAACTCATTCTCAACCCCCCAACTCTTTTCAAGTTTTGTATGATGTACATTCTTTTGATTTTTAATGTAGGATCTAATTACTGAGTTAATTTTAGTTCTAAATATAAGACTTATTTATTATATTTATTAATTTTTTTAAAATTATCTCTATTGATACTCTCTCAATCATAATCAAGTAGGAGAGGGAGAGAGGATATTAAAAAAAATGATTATGGTGTTTTAGGAAAATCACGTCATATTTTTTATAATCAACTAACTTATCTAACTTTTTAAATTTAATCAATTTAATTAAATAGATATTGTATTAAGAATCACATGAGTATTTAATTGTGTGTGAATATTTATTGCTAGGCACGTAATTACCTCTTACATTTCAAATGGGAATAATAGCAAAGATATGATGATGAGGGCAATCCCATCACTTGTGATGTTGTGCAAGTCTGACATGTCTCTCACACACGCTTCATGAAATTATTTAAAATGAGAGAATACCAACCAAGTCCTTTGCTTGTTTCTATTGGTCCTCAGGCTGGCCTTTACCTTCACCTTTACGTTCTTCAAAGAAATTCAGGTCAATATTCAGTTTTAAGTCTGCCATACACAAGTAACATATCACTCTTCCTTTCAACACAAAACACGTAATTTAATTTAATGCCGCTTTATTTTTATTTCATGTGTGGTTTATGCTTTTATGACAAATAAACTGCCTCATGTTTTTAAATTGCTGTCCTTTTTTTTTTTTTGCCGGAAAATTCTGTGTTCATACCATTCATATATTTAAATTGTTATCACGTTGCGTGATTTTGGCCTCGTTTTGTTAATTCTCTGACACATGGCAGGCAACCCGTCAATTTATTTAGATTCCATATCAAATTTATTTTATTTTTATTTTTAGAAATTCAAATTCCCGGGAAAATTCGAGAGAAACAATTACTAGTTTTAAAATGAAAGTAATATATTTTCTTAGCGTCCATTTGATAGGAGGGAAAATGACAGGAATGGAAGAAAAATTTTAATTAGTTCGATCTAAAAAATTTAAAAATTGAAATTAAAACTTTGAATTTATTTTTATTATTATTTTATGTCACTACTTCTTTTCATTAAAATTTTAAAACCCTACTTTTTAATTTTTTAGATGGAGCTTATTAAAATTTTCTTTTTTTTTCCCTCTCCCTTTTAATACGCTAAAGACTCGTAGTTTTACAACAATACAGGAAAGCATAAATCCAAAAGAATAATAACTCGTAAAAGGTTGTTGGGCGTATCGTGAACTTTATTCTCGGTCACTAATTTTTATTCAGATCCTATAAAAAATTACCTGATTTTTGTAGAACCTTTCGGAGTTAACGACCACGATCCATTTGGATTATGGGATGGTTTATTATTAATCATGTAAGGCGGCGGACGGTTAATAAAAAGGATATTTTAAAATCGTTGAACTGCCTATAGTTTATGGAGTGGGGAAAAAAACAGCAAGAGAAGAATAAAAATAGGAAACTCCAATGAAGATAAAATAGGGAAACAAATTTATATTATTAACAGTAATCACAATAAATGTGATAATCAACTCAACCAAAATGAGAAATTACACCGAACAGCAAACTGAAACTGAAAATAAAATGATGGATTTTAATTTTATATATCTGCGCACACGTGTCATAGAACCAAAGGTCATATCTTTTTTTTTTTTCTCCCTTGCCTATCAATTTTCTTTATAAAATTTTTCTTATGATCCTATTCATATAAGATGCTATAGATTGATGACAAATGTGATCCCGAAGAAAAAGAGATTTTTTTTGGAAAGTCTTGTTTCACAACTTTTTTAATTTGATATTCTTATCAATTTCATCAATATTTTTTGTCACAAATCTTAACTAAAATAACCCTATTCGCATAAAAATATAAATATCATCACTAAAAATAATAAAAGAATAATAATATGAGAGAATTACAATCAAGTCGTAAAGAAAAAAAATAATTACTAAAAAGTCTCAATAACAATATTCGTAGCCTATAATGATAAATTTCAAAATAGACAATAACAATTTTTAAAACTTATTTTGTAATTATTTTTTGTTTGGAACGTGATTTCAATTCTTCTTAATAATATTTTGCCAAGAGTCTTTGTAGCCCACTTACATGGAAGTTCTCTTATAAATTGTGAGTTTTAAGAGGGAGAGCACTTTGTCTTTTTATTTATTTATTTATTTATTATTATATGACAAGAGCCTTTATGAATAAAATTAGAAATGAAAATAATATTGTATTATTGAATCGCTGAGGTTATGATAAGAGAAGGGAACAAATGGGGCCTGCACATTCGTTGCTTTTGGCGAAGAACAACATGAATCCCACTTTACTGACTTTGCCTATGAGGTTCTTGGAGTAGGACGTCCGAGTCGAATCGAAGCCGTCCGCCTTTGACTCTTCTCATCCAACCCTTCCACATAGGACGCCACCCAGTACGTGCTTTTCATATTTTTCCCTCAAAAGAATTTCTTTATTCATATTCCTTAATTCAATTGGACTTTTCCCCCGGTATCGGATCTCTCCCGTATTTGCATTCGCCTCTCACTCCTTCTATATCCTTCTTCATCCCCCTCCTCAACTCTCCCACCTCCTCTTTTTTCCTTTCCTCTCTGTTTCGAAGGCACAAGGAACGAGAAGAAGAAGGAGGTAGCCACCAAGTTCTAATTTTTACGCTGCTCCTTTTGGACTCAGCTTGTTTTCTGTGTGCGCGCTCTTCCCTCTGCTCATTTTTTCTGTGTCTCAAATAATCCGTATGGATGACTGAATATCCTCCTAGACGTGTACTGTATTGGTTTTCTTATGTGTTCTGTTCCGGTGTTCCTATCTCATACTGGCAGCGCCAATAAGATTTTTATTTTTGTTCCTTATTGAAACTTACTGCTGTGAAAATTTACTGTTCTTTTCCCTTTTTGTTTTCTGTTCCAATACTTTTCATCGCTTGGCTGAGGATTTTTTGAATAGGACCTAAAATTCTGGTTAGTTTCCTTTTCGTTGTGATCTTTCGGTGGCTTTCAGCTTCTTTTCAGCTATGAAATCGCAGAGACAAAGTCTCTTCTGTATCTTAATTGTGAGCTGAAAAATGAAGCGAAGCCATGAACTTCAAAAGCGAAGCTAACCCCACGTTTTTGGGACGAATAGGAGCATGTGGCGATCGGGCTTCTCGTCCTCCCCTTTTCCCCTGTTATTGTGACTGTACATTTGACGACGTCAAAACATTAATTTCCTCCTGCAAGTGCATGTATTATCCAAGCGCTTTCGGGTTCATGGGTCATTCCTGAAGACGTTCACCTCGTACTTTCATTCACGCGTGGCCAAGGATTAATTGTTTTTTGAGGAATCGGGTGTCTTTGTTGGCATTGATCGTGATCGAATCATGCCCCCCCCCCCCCGGGGGGGCGGCCCAACCAAAAAAAAAAAACCCATAAATATATATGTTCATTGCTTCTGTCAAAGTAATAGCATTTCCAGTAAACATATATTACGACGTCTAAATTTGGCTATAATTACATGTAATCTAGCATCAACCCCTCAGACGTGGTGGCTTGGAAGTTCTGACTTCAGTCCCGGGAAGAACAGGGCAAATATGCAAACAAAGTTATGGTGGCTGATTGGAAACTGTTTACGTGGTTTGTACCGGGATGCTTACAAATTCAATAACTCAAGCTGAGTTCTTGCCAAAAGTGTTGAGTATTGGATTTATGCTGGTCCTCCTTCTGATTTTCTAAATATATCCAATCGGGCTTCCTAATTTTGGCTTCTGTGATTCATTCATCTGAGTTTTCTCCTTTTATCATGCGAATTTTGAATATAGAACACTCAAAGTTAGCTCATATTAAATTTCGGAATACTATAATGATTTAGTATTCTGCTTTGATATTGTTTGGTTTCCTTAAACATGTCTGATTGAGCGTGCTTTCTTCTAATATCAAAAAGTAATAAAAGAAAGTTCGCCCCTTCCGTGATGGAATCCAAAGTTATAATTGGTTTATGTGCCGTGACGGTATCCAAACGTGTATTTTTCTTCTGACAGTCATGCATGTATTATGTTACCTGCGCTCACTATTATTGCTATTTTTGGCCTTATGAGTTTTTTACTTGGATATCTGCACTCGTTTGATGCTCCCGTATGAGTATTTACTAATTTGAGACATCATGCCAGTGTGTTGCAGATCTGAAGGAAAAATAAACAATAGATGGATATATATGCTGGTAAAAGAGCTGTTGATAGGAATGTGGTCTCTAGAAAGGGAGCGCCTCATTTATTCAGAAATGCTGTTAATACAAAGGATCAAAGTGGTCAGTTGTGCAGCCGACCTAATTGTAGTAGCAGGATTCACTCTTCTATAGTTGCTGAGAATGTTTCCTGTAGAAAAGGTAAATCTTTGAGGCCGTCAACCCAATCCTCTTTAAGTGGCAAGGAAGCAATTGGAAGATCCTGTAGAAGTTTCTCAGGAACTAGTAATCCAAGGAAGTCCCTTAATGTGCCTCGGCAAACACTATCCTCAAGGTTAGAGACAGATTCATCTGAAACTAGCAGCATAAAGGATGAAGCTGAAAGCCCTCCATCTGCTACTTATCAAAGTCGGCTTCAAGCTGAGCAAGGACATGCAGAGTCTGATAACGTGATGCTGATGGAAGTAGCAAGCACTAGTGGAGTTTCGAAAACAAGGTCCCAAAGGAATCTTCGTCAACCTGGATTGCATGGTCAGGAAACTAAAAGCATTGGCTCAGTGACACGTGCTGGTACCAGCCGATATAATTTGAGGAACACCAAGTGCAACTCAGTAAATGATGTCAGCTCCACAAGTTGTTCCTCTTCAGATTCAATCATGAGTGGAGGGAAGGATATGGTGAAGAGAAGAAATTATGAAAGGGAAAATAGTTCCACTGCCAGGGGGAAGAAGTCGAGTGGGTCTTTATTGGAAAGACAGAATTCTGGTTCTGGAAGTGGCATATCTATTTATGATCCAAGAAGATCAAGAAATACTCCTCCTCACAGGGACAACATTGCATCAGTTAGAACTCGAAGGTCTATGGGAGGTAATGCTAGGGAAAGGCTTCCAAGCCATGGAAATGCACACTCTATGCAGCCCAATGAATCCCCTGCTTTGAGACCATCTGTGTCTCGTGAACTTGTCTTCCCACATCATACTTCTGCAGAGGCTCCTTTAATTCAATCGAGCTCCCATGGTAGACCAGGTTCAAGAAGCGGGCAGCCTGCATCTCCTGCAGAATTTGACATCACTTATCCTCTGACAAATCGAAGTAGACAACAGCACCAAAACAGTGTTGCTGAGGTAATTTTCCTTCAAAACGTGGAGATGTATTTTCTTTTTACCAGTCCTAATATGGGTAGTTTACAACCAACTCGTTTTTCAATACTTCTGTACAGGTACTATTCGCACTTGAGAGGATTGAACAAGATGAAGAGCTGACAGAGGAGGTATTTCTTGATGTTATATTCAACATAGGATCTTACAACCAACTCATTTATTTGACATTTTCTTTTGTGTTTGGCAGGAAATTCGTTTTCTAGAGACCAATTTCCTCCTTAATGGACTATACTCGTATGATCAGCATAGAGACATGCGTATGGATATTGATAATATGTCATATGAGGTTCGTTAATGCCATAATAATTCTACAACTGAGTTTATGATTCAATTTCCTTTCTTATTTTACAATGTTTTTCATATACTGCTGGCTTGAATAAAAGCAGTCTTAAAATGGCATATTATGAATCCAATGGTGCACGATATAATTTAAGTGCTGTTCATGGAAAGAATGATAGGCATTCTAGTAAGTGGTTTGAAACATTAGTTGACTCTGAGGGATGTGATATGTCTTTTAGAAGCGACGCTACTGACTGTATCATAACGTCTCAAATTCTTCTTACCAACGCCAGGAACTATTAGCCCTGGAAGAAAGGATGGGTACTGTGAGCACAGCTTTAACAGAGGAAGCACTGTCAGAATGCCTTAAAAGAAGCATCTATCAGCCTACACCTTCGGATGATGACGATGAGAGTAGCAGTATTATTAATGACGATATCAAATGCAGCATCTGCCAGGTATTTTCCTCTATTCTACTGAAGCCTTTTACGGAGAATTATGCTTATTTTGTTCAACACAGCTAAAACTGAGGATGCACATAAGCATATTATTGCCGTTGTAAGGATTTGAATTGACAAATTGTAATTTTCAGCTGATCACGGCTGTGAACTAGATTAGGTATCATTTCGTATAAGGACAGCCGCATCAGTCTAAATTGAAAAAAGGGGCCAACCAGTATTTAGTTGAGTAACCTACGTGAGAAAGTCCCCAACTTTTCCACACCCCAAATAAATTTATTTAGGCTGGTTTTTAATGTGAAGGTTATAATGTGAAAAGATGTAAAGGATGCTTGTGTTTCTGGATTTGTAGGATGAATATGTGGCTGGAGATGAAGTGGGGAGCCTGCATTGTGAGCATGGATATCATGTGGGCTGCATACAACAATGGCTTCGCCACAAGAACTGGTGTCCTATCTGCAAAGCATCAGCAGTACCTTCAGATTCATCTGTTGCCTCTGATCAGGCCTGACCAGTAGCTGGGATAGTTATTTTCTTCAACTTATAGCTCCCCCTCCTCTCTCATCCTATTTGCTTTTTGTACAAATTAGAGCTGTTACTTGTAATTTCTTATTGGTCATTTTGTACATAGCCATTATCTTCATCCTGGTCAGTGACACAAGGCGCTGGCTTGACTGTGGAACTTCTCAAGTGTCCCATCTGCATAAAGCTTCGTTTGAACTACCTGTCCCCCTCCTTTATCTAGTTTCTGCAGTGGAAAGGATTTCATATTCATTTTTAAACTTGAAATTACCCCCAGTAATAATGAACATTCCATCTTTTGGCATGCATGTTATCTAGATGCTATATGTTGTCACGTTGATAGTAGGATACTAACTAGATGGAACGATTATTAGTTTTGCAGTAGTTTTCACGCAATTTTTCTCATAGCGCAAGTGTTGTTAAGATAGCATCTCCTGAGTCAAATATTCCTGCTCCTTTTTAGGGAATAGTCTAGAATATGATAAAAGTGAAGTGTGGTGCGGATAATGAGATCCAAATTTTTGGGATATAATGAAAGATTCCTCTATGAAGTTTTGATTCCGATTGAGAGCTTATATTGAGATATTTAAATTAAAGCTTGTCATGATTGTTGAACAAAAAAGGTATGAAAAAAAGATGGGACTAAACTGGCAGAAAATTACTTGAGATAGTTTGGTTAAATGGAAAGAGAGAGAGAGAGAGAGAGAGAGAGAAGAAAAAGCTATTAGAAGTGCCAATAAAAAAGGGCAAGCAAAGAGTCTAGGAGGAGACTAAAAATGATACTAAAAAAAGCCATTAATCGAGATCTTCTGATTAATTTATTAGAAGAGTTTCTGATTAATGATTTATTAGAAGAGTTGGTTCCAGACAAAGCACAATCGCCCCATCTAATTTGTCTTGCTTTTTGTTATTGTTTTATCTCATTTTACTGTCTAGAATTAAATATTATTTGAAAAGAACAACTTTAACAACTCTTGGCATTACCGAACAATTACTTGTCAGAATGGCTTGACCCAAAAGTTGATGGCACTATGATACACTTTACTGAATTTCCTGACTTCTCCCGTTAGAACAGCTCACTCTGTTTCCTGCCTCATTTTTGCTGTGGATTCTCATGTCCGAGCGAGTCACACAAGAAATGTACATGTAAGTGTAGCCATCTTCAAAAGAATCAATCTCTGTTTGAATATCTGAATAGGTTGCTTTGCAAAATGTCAGATTTTGATCCCACTTTCTGTTTTCTTAATGCATTGTTAAGGAATGTCAATGTCTAAGATACCAAAGAGCGTAAAATACATGAATCCCTGTGGTCCTGCCCAAATTCCATGAAAACCTTAGCAACACAGGAAGCATTTAAAATCACTTATAAATAGATTTTTAATCATGATTTATAAAAATATAAAATAAGCAAGTGAGAAAATTTTTGTCTCCACTTATACTCCTCCGGTCCTAATTATAAGACCCAATTGACTTATTTGAGGAGATTAAGGAAGTCAGTTAAGTTGGTTATTTATAATAAATAAGTGTTGTCATTCCTAAAATATCCTTGCTAATTAAGTATATTAGCTAAAACTATCATTATTAGAAGGATTATCTTGGAAAAAAATACATAAATATAAGAGACAAAATGGATTGGGTCTTATAATTAGGACCAAATAAAAAATCAAATTGGGTCTTATAATAAGGACCGGAGGAGTATAAAACTTGCTTATAAATACTTACAGCCATAATTCCAAACAAGCTCACTCATTTACCATATGTGGCCACTCTGTTTATTATATTAACGCCTCAGAAAGGTTTAGTCACACATGAACCGGAGTAACGACTATTTTTCCTTCTACTGCTTTTTCCTGCGAAGAATTAGATACACACCCACAATATCCACATGAAGGTGTACGATCGAATTCGAATTTCATGCCCTCTCACTCTACTTCTATTTCACTAGAATCATAACACGAGATGTAACTAGATTTTAATCCCCTGCATTATGTTTGTGCGTGTTGCCACTGATGATACAGATGATTTTAAACTTGGACACCAAGTCAGGTCAAAAATAAAAAAGAAATAAATAAATAAACTTAGACACTAAGCAGCTTATGATTTAGCCGTTCCATTGGAGAAATGATGAAAATTTCAACGCTGGCATACACTTTATATTTATTGTCATCAAAATCAGTGTGCTCTGTGAAGTACAAATTACAAACCAGCATGACAGAATTGAAAGGCAAAACACTTTCAGGGATCTGTGAAATCAAATATTTCAAACATTTGAAAAAATGAAATCATCGAGGCAATTTTAATATATGTTAATGTGTTATTGATATCGAGTTTCAATCAATCCTCAGATTCTAAAAATACATACACAGCAACTTTGCAGCCCTTATACATGTGAGAATTTCCTTGATCCAAAAGCCACAAAAGTAAACCTGCAAAACTTTCTTACTTTTCTTTCTCATCGACTTTAAAGTAAACAAAAAGCTCGATATCTCTAGGGATGGCAAACAAAAGCCAACACCAATGCTAAACATACAACAGTGTAACCAGTTTGGGCTCTTTGGTACCCCTGGTTACAGTTAAATAAATCTCTGATCCATCCAGGCCCTACAAATAGCAAAGACATGGCAAGTTGGAGCTCAAGCCCAGCATTTTAACCAGGAAGAGACAGAACATTGGGGTCATCTGATTCATCTTGGCAATGAGAATGCAACTGAGAAGGCTAATGATCACCAATCATTGTCGAGCCATCAGAACCAGAAGAAATTGACCCAACTTTGGCATTGAAAGACAAATCTTCATAGAAGTGTTATTCCTCAAACGCGTTCATAGAAATTTTCTCCAACAGCAACGGCCAATCTTCTCCAAGTTGCTGCGGACTTAGCTCCATGGCAACTTTAAAATCTAAGAAAGATACCAAGCACGGTGGTCTGCGATCAGGCACAGGTTCTGCTGACCCACCAGCACTCTGCACATGTAAATTATTACTTGGCCAAATGCCATTGATGACCTTACCCTGAATCTGCTGTTTCTGGGAAGAGGTCTTCCTCAGTTCGTTTGCGGACCTAGCTTCCACTAAGCCAACACATGACTTAATTAGACGTTTCAAATACACATCCACCATATTGTTCAATGTATTAGCACATTCCATGGAGACACCTCCAAGGCCCTGCACTCTCGCTATCTGCTCCATGCGCCTTCTCAGTGTTTCTGTGTCAGACAACCAGCCACTGTCATAGCAGCTAAGAAAATCACCTGTGCTAACCACAGGCAAGGCTCTGCGTGCTCCACCCTCACTTGCTGGGCAGTACGGAATTCCAAGTGGTGCTTGCAAGGGACTTCTAGAAAAGTGGGTTGACTGCTCCACTTCTTCCCCATCTTCAACAGCTGATAACCCGGTTGGCCCTTTGCCATGTATTCTTGGTTTTTCAGCTGAACGCTCAACCGCATCCCGCCTTTCATTCTCAGGCAGCTCAGCAACTGCTTGAAGTTGCTGTATTGGCCTTTGATAATCACACGGAGTAAGAGTCCCATTCTCCGTATCAACCTTACTGCCACTGTCTTCTGTACCTAGGGACTGGTGTGGAAGGGAATCAACCTTTCCATTAGGTCCAAGTGGACTGGGTCTATCCCTGTTCTTCCGATCACGTATCCCAGACCTCGTCTTCCGTGGGGACACCGGTAAAACCCCATTTGACCAAATGGATACGTTTTGACTTTGATTTTGGAAGCTAGAACTACTGTGTTCGTGCCCATCTTCTCTACCAGGAGATATTGTTGTTGCCAGTGCTCCAGACTTCGAGGGACCTGATGGCTGGATTGGAGGAGACGTCTTGGCTTGGCACGCATTCTTCAAAACTGATCTCATAAAATGATTGTGTAATGGAAGATTCTCCCTCCCGAATAATCGATAACATAGTTTATCAAATTCATTCTTTCTCAGCTTCTGACTCAAAAACTTGTTCAGGTAATAAAAGTACCGTTTTGACTTATCGCCACCAATCCTCTTTACAATTTGGGCTTTTATTTCGCCCAAATCAATTCTTGAGCTCTGCTGGGGTTGCATTTTTCAATAGACAGATTCATACACTGCTTCAAATTTCACAAAATAAACACCCACCTGTAACCCCAATTTGAGCCAGATTGCAGTTATTTCCGTTTCCAAAGAACTCTAAGCTTCCCCTCCCCCATATCATTGAATAAAAGTAAATTGCCCCATGCTCTGCCTCGCAGAACAACCAGATGCAAGAGTCATGCTAATTAAGTAACCCAATAGGATATTCCAATTCAGAACCGGAAAATAGTTGCTCTTATGCAAGAAAATTCCCAAATTTAGGCACCAATAGACCATACAATGAAAAGCCAAATCTCATCTTTCCGACAGCAAAACCCTAGGGATCAAACCACTGCGGAACTCGCAAGGCCCAAGCACAAAATCCAGCAAATCAAACTTAATTAATTGAATGTCATGGTAAATCAAAACCCTAAGTTTGAATAATCAAACTCGGGTCCGAAACACCATCCTTGTCTCGAACAGCACGAGGCTAACATTACATCACTGTACCACTTCAAACTCTCATTGTTTGACCGAATTCAAAAGGCTTCGAACTTCAAAATTCGAAATTTGAAGTTGGGGGGAGGAGATCAGTGAGTTGGACAAAATTGAGTCCCGAACGAACAACAAAACACAAATTGCAATGGAACGAAGCACAATGAAGAGCAAAGTCTAAAGCTTGCAAGTGTAAGGGGAAAAATGAAAGGGTTTACACATTGATTGAGCCCTGACCTTAGAGAAGCTGAAGAATTGCATAGAAATCAAACCTCACTAGACTAGGCTCCAATCTCTGAAGCTCCTCCTGCTGTGCCTCGCTCTGTTTCTCTCTCTTGCCCTCTCTTTCTTTTTCTTTCCTTTTCTATTTTTCCCTCAAAATTTTACGAATATTTTCGATTGAGGTTTGCTTGCAGATTTATGTTGAACTTCGCTATGTGAAGCTCGATCGCTGCTATATTACCATCCCTCCTTCTTTCTTCTTTTTTTTGCACTCGTCCTTCTCGGTATCCCTCTCTCCTGGTCTTCCTCTTCCCTATTAAAAAAATTATTTATTTTACTTGCAATATAGCTCCAGTGTAATTGGCAATTTAATTTGATCAATGATTAGCAAAATTGGTTTCTCTACTTTTTAGAACATTCTTAATTAAATAAAAAATCTTATGTTTCATTCTATTCAATTTTTTTTTTCCGAATATTAATAAAGACGCGAGGTTTGGACCTTTCATTTTTCTTGCTAGGGAAAAAATGTAGTTCACCTTCAACTCGTTGGCTAGCGTGTTTGAGCTTAAACTGCTTCATCTTGTTAGTTAAAGTACAACAGGGCAGGTGAGCAAGAAGTCGGGGACAATATCACCCGCGGGGAAAATATATTCAGTGTTCTTCTCAGTAGGAATTGGCAAAATTTAAAAATTATTAATACAATTACTTCTTTAATATAAAAACTAATTAACTAATTTGAATAGATTAAAAAAATTAGTTAAGTTAGTTATTTATAATACTCCTCCTGTCCTTAATATAAGACCCAATTCTTGAGTTGGTTTTGGTCCTAAATATAAGATCCATTTCTCATATTTATCAATTTTCTCTAAATTACCCTTATAGATACTCCCTCAACCATAATCAAGTAGAAGAGGGAGATGGGGTATTAAGAAAGATGATTATGGTGTTTTAGGAAATCGTGTCACATTTCTTATAATTAACTAACTTACCTAACTTTCTTAATCTAATCAAATTAGTTAAATGGGTCTTATATTAAGGACCGGAGAAGTAATAGATAGTCTTCCTTAAAATATCCTGGCTAATTATATATATTAGTTGAAGTTAATATTTGATCAAATATTTAATATGCACAACTATTACAAGGACAATATTAAAAAATGGATAAATATAAGATATCAAATGGATTAGAATTTTATATTTATAATTAAATAAAAAATCAAACTAATTTTTATATTAAGTATTAGAAGTACTCCTCCGGTCCTAAATATTTTGTAGTATAATTTACACTATAAAATGGGTCTTATATTTAGAATCAGAGGAATAATATAAAAGAAAACATCAGTGAAAAATATTTATTTGAGAATTTTATTAATTATATGACTTGATACGTATAAAAAAAAACACCACTATTTTGAAGAATTTATATACATAAAATGTTAATACTTAAATTCATCTTCTTCTGCCTAATAAAATTTTTAAACACGAAGTTTTTATTGATATTTTTAGTGAGATGACTGCATGAGTTGGCATAAGTGAGTCAATTGATTGACTTCTGTTTTAACAATGATGATTTTTTTTAGTATAAAAGATAGATATCTTAAAGTTATAAATAAAAATAGTTGTCGCATTTTCTTATGATAACTCCGACGCAACCTTCTTTAAATTTTTCGGTGTTTCAATAGAGTTTGGTTTGGGCACATGCGCTAAAGAATTTAGGGAATGTTCGTAATGTAAGTATTGATGTGTTGCGGATTGAATGCCGTTGACCTCCACCTCCGGCCTTTAGTCAGATTAATTAGAACAACAATGTAAAAATAAAAAATTTAATTAATATATTAAATAAGAAATAAGAGAAATTATTGTCAATAAAAAGCAGAACAAAATTACGAAAACGTGGAGGCCAAAAAATCAAATCAATACTGCTATTAACTCGTTAAGTTATTGATATGTAAATCAGAGAAATTTGTAAATGTTAAACAATAGTATTCTATTTTCCTCAAGACTTTCTCAAATGGGTTAAAAAAAAAAAAGTTAAAGTATACATTTGGTCTTTTAACTTTATGTAAGATTTCAATTTAATCATTTAACTTTAAAAAATATATTTTTAGTCCTTTAATCCTAAAATTATTAGTCTTAAATGATTTTTTTGTAACAATCATGATTATTTTGAAAATTAAACTTAATATGTTAGTATTTGGTAATGTTTTATTGACATCGAATAGCTCAACATTATTATTTTTTGTTAGCAGTTGTAGAGTTAGAGGATTACAAATTTACTTTTTAAAATTAAAATAAAACCTTATGTAAAGGTGAAAAACTAAAAGTGTATTTTAGTCAATGGCCGATCTTTCCTACTTTCAGCACTGAAGGAACATCACCCCATTGCCAATCATCCTTTTCCCTGTGCCACATTTTGATTTCCTCGACTCGTCCAGTAATAGTCATCTCCCACCCAACATGTAGTAGCCATAGGTAGGGCTGCACATGGACAGGGCAGAACCCTTACCTGATACCCAGTCCAAAAAATAAATGGGCTGAAAAATGCAGCCTGTTGCCCGGTCTTACTCATGAAAAGCCCTATTGAGTTTGGGCTGGGTAGGGCGGGCTTTCATGCCCAACAAGTTAATATACTATATTAATTAACTAATTATTTATGTTCTTCTAGATAACCTAATGTAACTTCATATTAAAATAGCAACTTGGCCTTAATTTTGTTATTGCTAATTAATATATTATAAAACTAGTTTTCGTAGTAGCTAGGAGGAGTAGACTATGACAAAAAAATGTTTGTATATTTTATTAAACTTAATTATTTTTCTAGTTTCTAACTCTCAAAATCATTCAAAAATAAATAAGTATAATGAACACTGAATATTGATGCGACAGTGAGTTTGATTTGAAAAAGAAATATGAGGCAAATAAAATATATATAAATAAAATTATATATATTTTTGCGGGCAGGGCTAAATGGGTAGGACAGCATATCATGCCCAATGCCCAGCCGTACCCAACAATTTGCCCAACTCAAACATGCCTAGTAGTTTTTTCTGGCCAATTTTTTTAAGGCAGGCTGGGCATTTTTTTGCGGACTTGGACGAACATAACGAGCAACCAGGTTTCATGAATACCCCTAACCATAGGGATGGGAGAAAGGAGCTCCACCCAACAAGCTGAATAAACTCGCCAGGGACCAACAATTAAATACGAGTTTAAGTTTTGTTATTAATATGAGAATTTTATTGGTAGGTAATTTATAAGTACTTTTAAAAACGTTATTTAAGTTTGGAGACATATTTAATTCTAATCATAAAAAGCTCTAGGATCCATCCAACTCATCTAACTTTAAATGTAAAGCAAATCAAAATTCAAAATAAGTAATTGGGTTGGTGTGATTGACGAACAGAAGAATCATTTCCAATCAAAAACTGGGCACATGTAAAAATATTGGGAGAAAATTTTTTAATTAAATAAATTATAAAAAATAGGGAAAATGATAGCAAAATACCGTGTGAATTTCAAAAAGACAAATAAGTACTGAATAAGCAAAATAACAAACAGGACACTGGGTACCAATTTGAAATTTAGATTTTTAGCCTAATAACCGAATTGCCCTGATGAGTAAGGTAAAAAGGAGCTGAAAGTGAGAAGAAAGCAAACAAAGGAAGACGTTGATGAAACATGGGAAGAAAGAAAGAAGAATGTTGGAAATGCTATTATCTTACTCCTCCACATCACTATTCTGTAGACATTGTTGATTTGGTGGGTTTTGGTTGTGGGTGAGTAGAAGTTGATGGCGGGATTTGGATTATTCATTTTTATGGCTGCTTTATGGTGAAATAGGAACATGATTATTGCATTTGAGGGTTTATGTTCAATATTTAGTGAATGATGAAGCAGAAATCAAAAAATAGTGGCATGCAATTACGTAATGCAAGTATGCAACTGTTGTCATATGCCTACTGGTTTTTGGTAAATCCTATTACGTGAATGGTAGATTTTATTATACATGTAGTTAATTATGAAAGTTAATAGTTCAATGTTTATTGTGATGTACTTCAGGTGCACGTTCACTGAATGATTTATTTATGCTTACAAGTTGCCCTTTCGGTGAGAACATGTTTACAAAACCCATTGAAGAAGTAGTCACTTTCACTATAAAAGTTGTAAATCCCATTATGTGTTTTGTAAAATTCAACGTGAAATTTTATTGGTGGTGAAAAGTAAGTTACTCATCCCCAAAAATATGTTACAAAACCTATTAACAAAGCGGTCACTTTTACTACACAAGTTGTAAATTCCAGTATATGTTTTGTAAAATTCAACGTGAAATCTTATTGATTTTTAGAAACAAGTTGCTCATCCCCTGAAAAGAGGTTGCAAAACCCTTTTAAGAAATGGTCATTTTCACTACGAAAGTTGTAATCCCACTATATGTTTTGTAAAATTCAGCAAGAAATTTTATTAGTTTTTAGAAACAAATTGCCCATTCCTTGAAAATATGTTACAAAACCCATTGAAGAAGTGATCATCTTCACTATGAAAGTTGTAAATCCCACTATGTGTTTGTCAAATTTAGCTAAAATTTTATTAGTTTTTAGAAACAAGTTGCCCATCCCCTAAAAACAGGTTGCAAAACCCATTGAATAAATGGTCATTTTCACTACGGAAGTTGTAAATCTTACTATATGTTTTGTTAAATTTAGCGTGGAATTTTATTAGTTTTTACAAACAAGTTATTTATCTCCTGAAAACATGTTACAAAACCCATTAACAAAGTGGTCACTTTCACTATGAAAGTTGTAAATCACAATATGTGTTTTGTAAAATTCAGGACAAATGGTTTAATAATACTAGAAAACTAGACAGCTTCACATTCTTTGAAAACGGTTTTATGCGAAGAACAGAGACAGAACCAAAAAGAGGAATGCTAGACAATAACATTTTTAAACTGTGGGAACCCATCGAAAATGTTCTATGAAGAATAATATTTAAGCTTCCTACTTGTTTATCACAGTTGGTGTTACTTTAGCGACCTCTTCGACGACGACAATCTTAGGGAGTACGAGTTATTTCAGACAGGGCAATGTATTTCAACGATGGTAACCAAATTCAGCGACAACAATCTACTCCTGCGACAGCGGCAATGTGATTTCGAAGAACCCTTTTTGGTGACTACAGGAACTTGGATTTGGTTTCGTCAAAGGAAATCAGTTTCTCCCTTTTTCTATTGCACGAATACACTGCTTAGTGTTCAGAGACAATTAGAACATTTCAGTCTTTATACCAAAAATGCAAATTCCAGATTAGTACCTCATGCCCATTTGGTCATTTTGCTTATTCAGGTGATTTATTTGTCTTTTTAAAATTCACATGGTATTTTGTAGTTATCTTCCCAAAAAAAATATTCAGCTAAATGAATAAAATAGTATTAAAATATAAATTAAAAAATAAAAGTTCATAACAAAATAAAATAAATTATTAATCAGTAACGAACAAACGCTCCATTTGTTGTTTAAATTTCCTGATATCTCTTAATTTTTTTTTATTCTCATAAAAATCATGTTTCTCCATAATTAATTGAAATACTTAAAAATATCATACAATTATTAATATTGTTTTATACTTTTAAAATGATAAATAAATAAGATTAAAATTTTAAAAACGATGGATTTTTTGTTTGTCTTAAAAGATTTTATTTCCGATGCCACAAGACCAGCTTATGGCATTCTCTCTTCTTCGCTGAGAACGCAGAGTAATGGAGAGCGACGTCGAAGAATCTCTGAGGAAGAAACCGAGAAAATACCCTTTTCCCGGCGATTCCACGCGCAAGGTTTATCTCACTAACCATTTATTCTCATACCTGCGATTTTAAATTTATTTTCTTCCCTCAGACTTTCACGGGTTCCAGCACTTGAGCAATTGCCTTGCTTTGATGAAATACTGAATATATTAGAAAGTATTTGCAATTGTGGTCTTATAAATAGCAGAATTAATCGATTAAAGTGTGTTCCAAGCCATGCTTGTGGTCGGGGATGCTGATTAACGGCACTTACCATTAGAAAATCAAACCTAACACTCTCATGTTGATGTAGAAACCTGTGTTCTAATATTAACATAAACGACATGAAATATGATGACTTTGCTTGATAGTAGAAACTTCTGAGCAATACTGCAAACGATAATGGAAAGGAAAAAGTAACTCCCTTTTCTGCTGTAGATTTTCGTCCCCAACTATTAATTCTGGTTTCCTTCCCTACTGGTCAATTTATATTGATGAATTAAGCTGGAGGAAGGAAACACAGTAAAAGCGATGTTACTACTGATGTTTATTCAACTTCTATATTCTATAGACCGTTATGGGATCTAAATTCCCCCATTTTGTAGGCGTTCGGCTTTGATTTGCCTCCGTTTTAACTATTTTTAGTTAAAAAAGGAAAGAATTTATGGACTATAGTTACCAAATATAGTTAGGAGGCCCATGGCGATTTTCTGATATGAATTGGTTGCTTGGCTTTTCAAGATCACCAGAATATCTCTAGGCAAGGCTGGGGAAACAAGCAGCTAGATTATAAGCTATGATATTATGAAGTCTAGGGTGTTTGATTGTGCTGCAATGATTCATTCCGTTTGTATTTTCTTTCTGGTTTACATGTTGGTTTGGATGGAAGCACCATTCCTTTTGTTTTTGTTTTTTTTGGTTTATTTCTTATACTCTGATTCGATAGAAAAAAAATGAAACTAAGATATAGGATTGATTGAAATGAGAGTGAAAACTTTATTTTGCTTTTCATGGACTTACTGGATCCTACACGAGATTGGGAGCAGAATCTACGTACTTTCAATTTTTTTTTTTTCAAAAATTAAAACCATCTGATATTTGATCCTGCTGAGTTAGATTTTAGTACTTTTAGGCCCACTTGGGGATATGTCTTTCAATGTGATTTTTTCCATCCAGAACGTTTGAATTTTTTGACCTTATTGAAAGGGAATGGAGTTTTTTTTTCCCCGCTCAACCTAATTACCGTTCTACATACTTTTAAGTTTAAATTAAAAGTCTGCTTTAACTTATCAATCATGAAGTTAACCATATCATGCCATTACTATTGATTTTAGCCTTTAATGACCCTGTTTTTTTTTTAAATCAGAATTTTGTGCAAGATGATGACATTCAATTGGAGACTACACGGGCTAGATGTAAGTCTAAATTTTCAGCAGTTTCCTTTCATTTTGTGATTAACTAAGAATATTGTCTTATGATTTTATGGCAGTTGCAAGTTTGCTTAAAAGGCATGGAGAATTGACAGAACGTCTTTCTAGGTACAAAGATCCTCTAGGTGCATGAGTTTTTTTGGTTAAACTTATCCTTCAAAAGTCATCATCACACATGTTGCAAGTGCATTCATGATAATTCTGTCTCCCCACCCCACCCCACCCCACCCCACACAAAAAAAAAAAAAAAAATCGTGAAGTCTTGGAGTGATTTGTAGGCCAATTGTATACTGACTTAAATACCCCCTTGTTTGGCTAGTTGTTACGATGGATGCATTTTTCCATGATTTACTTAATTCTCCAAAGGTTATCTCTGTTCATTCACTTTTGCTTTCTATCAGCATTTTGGATGATTTTTAACATTTCAAAGTCCCTACATATCCAAGTATGAGCTACCTGATCGTGTCAGATGTGGTGATTTTCATCTTTTTTTATTATTCAAGAATACTCATGTGGTGTTGCATGCAGTAGTGATGATAGTTTTTAATTATGTTCCTGGGTTCATAGGGACTCTGATAAGATGATGTATGAGCGTCTACAGAAAGAGTTTGAAGCTGCACGAGCTTCTCAAACTGAAGGTATGTCGATTTTGGTGTTAGCTAGATTCTTTCTTTAGCTGCAGAAATTTATGAGATGTGAATATGGTTTAGTTTGTTGAAATATAATCACGTGACTGCTCACTTTTTTGTCTTTATTCATTTGTGGAATTGCTAGTCTGTATTCTCAGTCATTTATCAATTTTCTGATGTATAAAAAGCTTATTTCCTTTTTATTTTTAATAGAGGTAAGCTTAGATGGAGAACAGTGGAATGATGGTCTGTTAGCAACGATAAGAGAGCGGGTACAGCCTTGTTGACATACTCATCTTTAGATATTTGAGTTCAGTAGTCTCCTTGAGTATCAAATTTGATGCTTAATCTGTGCATGATCAAATGCTTGACGTGTTGATATATGCTTTTGTTAGGTGCATATGGAGGCAGATAGAAAGGCAATGCCTGGAGATGCTAACATATTGGAATGCCCTCAGGAAAAAATTACTTACAAAATTGGAAACAAGGCAAGTAATATTCTGCTGATGCATGCTTGAATCATCAGCGTTTGATGAGACTTTTATGACTTTCAAGCTAACATATTGGAGTGCCCTCAGGAAAACATCTAGATAGTACCTTTTGAAAAATTCTCATTTGGTATTGACAGGAGTTCGCAATGATAATAATGTTTCTGTGCCTAGATTAGTTTTATTTTTTGTCTATTCTTTGATAGTGGTTTAGTTTTTTTTGAAGCAGGTAATTTGCTGTTTGGAAGGGGCTAGGATTGGTATACAATATGAGACATCTTTTGCTGGTAATTAGGATTAAATCATTTTTTAGTCCTTGACAAAAATTTACTGAACGTGGCAACACGAGCATTTTGTTTTAGCATGCTATGACACCGTTATTTACAAAGGGGAGGTCGGATCTTTCTACTTTGCCCATCCCCGTGTCTTTGTCAAGCTTTGATGATATATTATGTATTGGCAGGAGAACCATGTGAGTTGTACCATTGTGTGCTTGAAAGCAAGTCATTTCTTGAAAAGATGACTGTTCTTGAACACACGGTTCCATTTTTTCTGCCCATACGTGAAGCTGAAAACGATCTGCTTTCATCTAATGCAATGGTTGGTAATTTGCTGTGCTGGATTCACTTGTTTAGTTTCCAATCTTCTAAGCATTGGATTTAATGATTTGCTTTCAGACATTCATAGATCATGTCGGAGATCTTCTGCAAGCATATGTAGATAGACGGGAACAGGTAGACTACCCATGTATGTCTCTACTATGTGATCATTGAGACAAGCTTTGATATTTTTGGAACAAGAATATTTTGTCTTCATAATCTGCATGAATTTGCTGTCAGATACTGAGCAGCATATCCACTTATAAAGTTCATGCATGCGGTTAAAAAAGTGAATAAACTAAATAGTAATATCAATTTATATCACACCTATTAAACTGTATGTGTACATGTATTTGATTTCTTTATGCAGGTACGACTTATAAAGGAACTTTATGGAAATCAAATTGGAGAACTGTATCATAGCCTTCCTTACAACATGATTGAATTTGTACTGGAGGATTTTGATTGGTGAGGGTCTTGCTGTGATCTTATGCTAAGAAACTGAAAAGAAAATGTGTTAAAAAAAATCTCTCTTTTTGCAGCAAGGTAACTGTCAGCCTTAGATATGCGGATCTCATTTCTGTGCTTCCAACTCGAATCAGAGTGCTAGCATGGCCAATGCACCAATCCAAGAAAAATACTCCTGCTACGGCGACTTTGAACAGGAAGGAAGATGGACTACTGGGAACTAATCCGCCCATTCGCCTAACCTATGCAGAAGATGCCCTACGAACCATGAGTTTACCAGAAGGTAAAACTTTGTTGGTTCATTTCTAAATAACAATGTTTCTTTCTCGGCTATGCAGATTTTGTGTTAATCAGAGGAGTTATATTCTGCTTCCTGGTTCCAGCATACGCAGAGATTGTGTTGAATCTACCACATGCGCTTCAGCAGATGTTTAACCAAAGAGCGAATTCCTAAAGCTATGCTTCCAGTCTGGATCTGTGCAAACCTTTGGTGGGGATAGGTGTTCAAGTAGCAGAAAAATACTCTTACAGGCTCCAGTTATTACTTGGTCAAAGTGGATTTGAACAGAGCTGATTTTTATGTAATTTTTGCATGCGCCCCATGTGATTTCTCAATACCTATTGTGGTTTGTTGGATTGCTAGTTCGGTAGGCTATTGGAGACATATTCTCCACTACAACAAAACTCATACACTAGCATGTAATTAGAATGAAGCATTTTCTCAATTATAGTTTTTCTTTCATAGTTTCCGTTCATTGCACAATAAGGCATGAGGTTATTTTGGAGTTTTCAACTAGGGAATGGAGGTGGCTTTTCATGTGATTAACGTTACACGTCAATTATTTACTGATGTTTCCATGTTACTTAACAGTTCCAGTAGATTGAAATACTTTGTATGCGGTGGGGAATCGCTTGGTGCCAGACGACAAATAAATAAATAAATATTAAGGGCTACGTACATAATGTGGAAAATGCAGCCTATGCTAATGACAGGGGCCGTTTACATTATAGCTTATCAAAAGGTTTGAATTTCCGATGCCTTAGCCATAATTGTGTTCAATAAGAAAATACCTGTGTCTATTAAAAAAACTTCAGTTTTAAGCACCCCCACCCCAAAGGGGGGAAAAAGTATTGGTGAAAAAAGTATTGTTCTGCATTAAAAGCATCGGGATTTTGTACATGATGTCCAGCTGATATCGTCTCAAGGTGAAAAAGTTCAGTAGAGGTGAGGTGTTAGAACATGAGTAGGGAAAATGACATTGACGGGCCTCGGAAGGCACCAAAACCTATCGAAGGCTGTGAAATTTGGAAAGTTACAGTGAGGAACTTGAGGTTTTAGCAAGTTCAGCTGTAAACTCTTGAATATCCCTTGTAAATTGCTTCAGATGAATTATAAATTACTAGAAGTAAATTTTAAGATGAAACAGAGTCATAAATTCCTAAAGATTAGTAGTAAATTATTGACAGTTGTAAATGGGAGGGATACCACAACAGTGATAAATTTTTAATCTTGTGAAATGTTAATGAAATCTTTCATTAGTTTTGGTAGGTGACTAGCTCATTTTATAAGCAAATTCCTTATTTACAAGCAATTTTTGACATATTACAATTGATCTTGAGCAATTTATGGTTCAAGTGTACTACGATTTAGATCATTCACTCTGCTCTACTTTTGGAATCTTGAGGGTAATTTTTTCCTTCTAAGATCAATGTCGTTTACCCCTGCGAGTATCCACAAGATAGGCAATACTTATGCAAGTCGAAATGTCTCAGCACGCGTCTCCTCCTTTTTGTAGAGAGAGTGTAAGATTTAAGGAGGGCACATGGCAAAGTGGAAAGTGTCACTCTTCCATTTGTTGAGCTATTTGATAATGGAATCTCTATCAGTAAGTGCTGCAAACACCTTCAGAATTAGTGAGTGCACCATGTAGCAGTTAAAGCATGCTTTTTTACAAAAAAAAAAAATTTTAAAAAAAATCCTAGTGCATGTAATGGCAACTTAATGACATACAGTTTTGTCCAATTCATAATATTCCGAGATTATGTACAAACCAACTATCTTCATTTTGGAGGAAACTAACAAAAAGCACAAGTAAAATAAGTCAGAATTAATCACGCTGTGTCAGCCCTCAGGGACCAGATAAACTTTCTCTCGTGACTATGATATTTTAAAACGCATTTGGCCATATTGCACCAATCCAAGAGCTTCCACTGCAACCTCTTCTTAAAAATTATTAAGCAGCATGGCAACGTGTGCTTTGTCAGATATTATTAAAACACTTGCACGTTCTCCGAAGGCAAATTCTGTAGGTATGTAGTTCTTGGTCCATCTCTTGCAAATTTTTAACCCTCTACGATTCTCTCCAGAAAATCATCTTGACTATTAGTGCAGTGACAACCAATAAACCCATGGTGGAGTAACAAGTCCAAAACCAGCAACAGAAAAATGAGTTCCTCGAGTAGCTTCATTTTGTTTCTTGTTAGCCTGCTTTCTTTGCAGCTCATAGCAGCAAGTTTTGGCCAACTTCAGGTGGACTATTACAATCATTCATGCCCAAATGTTGAGTCGATAATTCGAGCCGCAGTTGAAAGGAAATTCCAGCAGACAATTGTAACTGCGCCTGCTACACTTAGGCTTTTCTTCCATGATTGCTTCGTTAGGGTCAGCAAAGCTTGTCATTTCTTCTTCTTCTTCTTCTTCTTCATCATCATCCATCCATCCATCCATCCAAGCCTTTTGGCAATATCTTCCTGAAAGCTTATATTGTGTGTATGTGTGGATAGGGATGTGATGCTTCTGTGATTCTGGCTAAGAGAAACGGTGCAGCAGAGAAGGTCAATCCCATTGATCTGTCACTGGCTGGTGACGGGTTTGATACTGTGCTTAAAGCCAAGGCTGCGGTTGAAGAGGTCCCTGGCTGTAGAAATAAGGTTTCATGTGCTGATATATTGGCATTGGCCACAAGGGATGTCATTACACTGGTACATAAGGATACCATTTTGCTATCCATTTCTAGTCCATCAAATCAATCTTTGTACACAATGAGCAGTTCTACAGTACAAGTCATTATCAGTGACTTTGTGTTATTAGTCTTTTAGTGAGTTAACTTTGCCCAGGGAGTAGCATAACACTGTGATTATAAGTACAATTTTACTTGATTGCAGACAGGAGGACCGTCTTATACAGTAGAGCTGGGAAGGCTTGACGGGAGAATCTCCACGAAAGCCAGTGTGAGACGCCGCATTCCTCATGCTAATTTCAAATTACCTAAGCTGGAGGCAATGTTTGCTTCACATGGTCTCAGTCTCACAGATCTAGTTGCTCTATCAGGTAATCCATTTGTAATGGAAAAACAAAGACATTAATCGGATACAGAAACTATGATCTGAACTGAAATGGATTGTTGCAGGAGCACATACTATAGGTTTCTCTCACTGCAGTCAATTCTCTAGACGCATTTACAGATTCAGAAGCAGGAACAGTATTGATCCAACACTTGATTTGGGTTATGCACAACAGCTCAGGAACTGGTGCCCAACAAATGTAGACCCCAGAATTGTCGTAAGCTTGGACCCCACTACGCCTTGGATATTTGATAATCAGTATTTCAAGAATCTTCGGCAAGGCAAAGGACTCTTAACATCTGATCAAACTTTGTTTACTGATAGAAGATCAAGGAAGTTGGTTAACTTGTTTGCATCCAACAGCACAGCCTTTGAACAGGCTTTTGTAACTGCCATGACAAAACTCGGACGGATTGGGGTCAAAACAGGAAACCAGGGTGAAATTAGGCAAGATTGTACCAGGGTCAATTAGATCACCGTCCTTTACTTCTTCACCGTTTTTCTTTACAATTTATCAATGCTTGTTTCATTCTAATCTTTTAGGCCGTAACGTATGGAATGTCTCCATTTAATCATACAAGCTTTGCCTCATGAATTATAATCGCCTTTTGAGACCATTAGCCGAGAGAGCAAGAGTTATGATTGTTTAAGCGAGTGACAAGACTTGCGCGAATTATGCATGCATGTACCTTAAAGAATATAAATGACTACAAAATTATTAAGCAACAACAATATAAGGAGCTGCAATGTCACCTGAATAGCACTAGTATTACGGAAAGCAGAAAGGATGTCGGTGAAACCCTTCCATAACAATGGTATTATTTTGGTACCAAAAGTGAAAGGGAGCTCTTGCAAATATCCACTAGATCACACTAGTGGCTTCTCCACAACGGAAGGAACAAAAAAACTACTTTTTCTAATATAAAAATGGATTTAACTCAGTGCTTTCTTCGTCATTATATTGGTCATATTAGTTGTTGGACAAGCGCTCATGTTACTTCTTCAAGGCTTTTCCAAGCTCTTCATTACACTGTATAATGCTGCTGAATTGTATCAATGTCAAGTCCCTTCAGCTTCACCACTGACTCAACGTGTCCCTTAAGAGTGTGTAGCTCCCTTAGCCTGCAAGGCCAATTTAAAAAGAGCCCAAAACAAAAAAATCTCGGTAACTATGTAATAAACCCTTTGGAGAGTAAGCTTGAAGCTAAAAAAGTTATAGGGCTACCTTGCAACCTCAGCTCGTCGCTTGGCTTGCTCTGCAATCTCTGAAAGCTCCCTGTAGCTATTTTTGTCATTGAAAAGGTTTGTAGTTTCTGGTGGCTGAAGACCATGAAGAGTTCTCTGTGCGGCTGCCCACTGTGCTTCTCTCTCTTCTTTCCCATAATCTTTCTTGGTGGTGAAGGCAGTCTGCAATTACAAAAGCATGAGAAAACTTAGAATCTTGAACACTGGGGATCACAACACAACGGAGAAATGGAAAAGAAGCTACCTTGTTCTCCAAAATATTGTCCCAAGCCTTTCCACTGAGACCGTAGCGGATAGCAAATTTGAGCAAATCAAGAGGGATATATGTCACTATACTGTAGAGCCAGATTACACCAGCCCATCCCCATCCCATTCCCTTAATCCTTGCGAATTCCCAGTGTGCATACACAGCAATCAAAGTTGCTACCTGTCAATCACATAATGAATGATTTTACCGTACAATTCACTTTAATAATGTTCGACAAAACTAAGGAGGCAGCTTCAAGTTTCAAGCATGAGAGTTACCAGCTGAGCAATTAAGAAAGCACTTAGAAGGAGAAGACCGGGTCTTTCAACAAAGGACCAGCTACGAGACCTAGTGACAAAAATTAAGGCCTGGCTGATAATACTGACTTGTAGGTACAAGGCCGCCATCATTTCATTGGGTCTGTGTCTCAGAGACCTCACGCCAAACTTGTCCTGTAACAGTAAGACATCAAGATATAACTCTTAGAGCTTGAATTGCTGAATAATGTCCTGCTCTTTTTCTTATTTTGATGTTGTCGGCTGATCCGCTATTTAAATATATTAAGAGTAAAAGATGGAGTCTGAGTTATTACCGAGAAGAAGTCGGTATCATATATAGCCCAGAAAAATACAACTGTCATTAGTGCCAAGTAACCACCAAGCACAACGCCGGTAGCAAATATCTCCTTCAGTTTCCAACTGTCGGGCTGTGGGGATGGCTTCACTCGATCCTTGGATATTGTCATAATGGTTCCTGAAGGTTTCATGGTTAAAGATAATGTGAGACTAAATTTCTTTTTTGTTGGAATTTATGTCCGTCAACAAATTGCAATTCCTTCAACTATTAAAAACAATACACAAATTAGAATCAGCCATGCACAGACATTTAATTTGACGTACATGTTGAAGAATCTTACCGTCATTTAGTATGGCAATAATCAGAACCATGAAGGGTGCAAAATCAAACTTCCAGATCAACGCAATAAACAAGAAACCAAACTGCAGAATGATAATAATAATAATAATAATTAGTATAAATCACAAGATTTCTTTACAAGTATCAGTATTAATATATTGTAGTGTGAACCTATCTGCATACTTACCACGATACGAATAGTGATGGACACAGCATAAATCTGCCAAATTCAGTAACAGAAAAAAAAAAAAAAAAGGTCACATTTGGCATCCTAAACCATCAAAGGAGTGGCTAAGATAATAGAATGAGTTATGCAAGGTAACTAACAGTGTAGTTCTTCATCCTCTGGAAAATAGCCCTGCTAGTGAGCACTGCACTGACAATGACACTCAAACCAGGCTCAGTGAGGACAATATCAGAAGCACTCCTGGCAGCATCCGTCGCATCAGCAACAGCAATTCCAATATCTGCTCTCTTCAATGCAGGCGCATCATTCACACCATCTCCTGTCATTCCACATATATGCTTCCTCTCTTGCAGTCTTTTCACTATTTCATACTTATGCTCTATAATATATCATACCACAAAAAGCAAAAACGTCAAAATGTTGGGAAAATGTATCAACATTTTCGTATACATACTCATAGATATGGTCGAAGTAGGTACCAGGAAAGACTCCTGCAAATCCATCAGCCTTCTCAATCAATTCGTCAACCGGAAGAGCTGAAACAGTAGCATCCTTTTCTCCTCCCAGCAGTGAAGAAGATGGGTACATGTTTGTCCCCATTCCAAGCCTTCGCCCAGTTTCCTTGGCAATGGCAAGCTGATCACCTATAGAACAAGACAACAACAATCAATTTCTCATTCTATTCCAAGCGACAAAGTTGTCTCAGTTATAATATATACATAGTAACTGCTAAAACTACTCGGTTTTTAAGATTCCAGCCATAATACTATTCTTACCAAAAGAATAAAACATGAACAAAGCCTATAATCTTACCAGTAATCATCTTGACATTGACACCAAGGTGAAGAGCTCGTTTGATGGTCTCAGCGCTGTCATGCCTAGGAGGATCAAAGAGGGGTAGCAAACCAACAAATTGCCATGGTGCCCCTGGAGCATCTTTCGACTTTTCTGGCACTTGCTGGAGACGAAATAATCAAAGCAACAATAAGGGAAGGGTGTTGTTCGGTTAGGCGGGAAAATTCGTCAAGATTAATACTAGATTAGCAAACCTGTCTTGCAACAGCTAAAGAACGAAGTCCACGCTCAGCAAACTTATCAATACATGTATGAACCCTCTTCCTCACATCCTCTTTGCAGTTGCAAAGGTTCAAAATCTGAACATGACAAAAACATGGTTCAGTTCACTGAATAAACCTAGCTAGTCTTCGTATTCATCACAGGGTGTTGCCATTGGAGTGCTTATTTACCTGCTCGGGAGCACCTTTACTAGCCCTATGCCAACTTCCGTCTGACTCAATGTATGTAAGAGCAGTCCTCTTGTCCACGGGATTAAATGGCAGAAAGTGAACCTCCCGGATTCCAGCTCGAGCCTATCCAATTCAAAGTAGTTAGAAATTAAGAACTTGGGTAAATAAAACTCATCCCAAAGTTTAAAAGGAGTTTTTTTTTTTTTTTGGATATTCTATCACCTCCTTCGGATCAGCCAGCATCCCAACAATTGCAGCATCTATGGCATCCTGATTCTCAGTTCTGGAAGCCCTTGCTGCAAGAAGCATCACAAACTCCTTCTCCACACCCTTAGCAAACACTTCAATCAAGTTCCTGTCAACACTTAGCTTATTCAATGTGAGAGTCCCAGTCTTGTCACTGCACAGAACATCCATGCCTGCCATTTCCTCAATAGCAGTCATTCTCTTAGTGATTGCACCTTGTTGAGACAATCTATGAGAACCGATGGCCATTGTCACCGACAATACAGTAGGCATGGCAATTGGGATTCCTCCGATCAACAGAACCAAGAGATTGTCGATTCCATCCCTATACTTGCGATGCTGTATTGGGTACATCACGATGATCTCAATCAGTATCCCAACAGCGATTGAACAAATACAGAAGTTACCAATGGCTGTGAGGACTTTCTGGAAGTGACCAACTTGGTTGGTGCTATCCACCAAATGAGCAGCTTTACCAAAGAAGGTGTGAACACCAGTGGCAATCACAACTGCTTCAATCTCACCCTTTTTAACAGTTGATCCAGAAAATACTTCATCCGATGGGTTTTTGGTTGCAGGAAGAGACTCTCCAGTTAAAGCAGACTGATCAACACTTAAAGCATCACCCTCCAGAAGACGTGCATCAGCTGGGATAATATCTCCTAGTTTGATGCTGATTATATCTCCTGGGACTAAAATTGCAGCATCTTGTTCATTCCACTGACCATCTCTCAGAACCTGCAAAGACAAAGAGGTTGTTAAACCAGTCTTAAAGAAGAAGTCCAAGGAAGAGTATATACTGTATGGTGTTTGACTATGACCTTGGTCTTGGGAGCTAAACCAGCCATAAGTGCAGCAGCGGCATTTCCAGCATTATTTTCTTCGATAAAACTGATTGTAGAGTTGACGAGCAGTAGAACAATGATTCCGACGAAGTCTTGCCAATCTGGAGGTCTTCCTCCTCCATTGGCCATAGCAATGGCCATTATTGCAGCAGCTTCCATGACCCATGACAGAGGGTTCCACATGAAACCCAAGAACTTCAAAAGTTTGCTTTCCTGTTGTCATGAAACAAGACCAAGATGTTGTTGTGAAACAATGCAATGTTCCTCCTTTGCTGCCGCCAACAGATGTAATGGCTTGCTTTCACAAAAACACGAGAGGAGGATAAACTGACGCATGAGTATCTGGAAACGTACCTTTTTCTCTTCCAATTTGTTTGGTCCGAACACTTGAAGCCGATTGGCTCCTTCGTCTGAGGATAGACCTGTTCTTGAACATTTCAGCTGCTCAAACACTTCCTCTATTGGAATTTTTTCCTGGTCACAAGATTATTAATGTTTGTTATCTCCGAAGTCGGAATGCTTTAAGAGCGGAAGAATCTGTTTCTTATCCATGACCGGATTGTTAATGATGCATTTAAGCTCTGTATTAAAATTCTGGTCATCATCTCCAACCCAAAAAAAACAAAAAAATTCTGGTAACCATCAGTTATGGCGACTCAAGTCCTACGTCCTATTGTGAATTCGTGATGCCAACACCAGCAGATTAACAATACTCGCATTTTAGTCGGACCCAAATATTCCAGCCAGTAAACAAAGCACAGTGAATCATATATGATTCATGAAGCTAACATACATGGTGATTTACCTAGCTTCATAAGCAAATACTAATTAATATACCATCATGAGTATAAATATTCTTCCAATATTACGTAAAAGCAGCATCATAATCATATAATATAGAGTAGATTGTGAATGAATAAATTTAAGGATAATAATTTCGATATCTCTAAATCCGCCCGAAATATTTCAGCTTGATCATAAAAGCAGTTAAATTAATTAATTTGGAGAATTCCTCGCTGTGTATAGGGGCACAAATTTCAGATAATTTATACTACTATAAGAGCTAATTGACTCATTTAAGTAGATTAAGAAAATAAGTTAAGTTAATTATTTATAATAAATAGATGTAATCTTTCTTAAAATATCATTGCTAATCAAGTGTATTAATTAAAACTATTATTATTAGAAGGAGTATCTTGGAAAAAATGCATAAATATAAAAGATAAAATGAATTGATATCTTATATTTAGAATTAAAATAAAAATCAAATGAGTTGAGCGGAAATAATAATTTCTACGGTGTGAAACAAACGGCGTTATGGCCAAAAAAGGAAAAAGAAACAAACGGCGTTGAAAGAGCGTGAGCAGAAACGTGCGTGGAGAACCCGCTATGTTGCCAAACATATTCGAATTACCACCATTTTCGCTATTAACGGTATTAATAATGTTTTTTTTGGGTCAAACAGTGTTAATAATGCTGTCGGTAAAAATATGATAGCATTAATAACGTCAGAAAAATAAAATGAATAATAACAAAATTATTAATAAGCAGCATGAAATAAATTGAGATCAACAAGACTAAAAGAACGAGACGAGAGGGCGATTAAATTGCTGAGAAATTAAAGGAATAAGTATGTTAAGACAAAGTTAGTTATTAAATTGAACTGGCAGCTCGACTGAAGAGTGTGAGAAAGAAATGGTAAACGGGGCTTGTGATTAAGAAGAGAGTGATATATATATATATATATATATATATAGTTGAAAGCATGAAAGATTAGGGAGGCAAAGGGTGAAGAAGAAAAGAAGGCAGAGGAAGTTTCATGAAAAGAAGGTTAAGGGGGACAGAGTGTGAAGAATTTAGAAGTAAAGAAGGCAGAAAGCTGAAGGAAAGAGAGTGAGAGAAAAGAAACGAAGTGGGAATGAACATATGAAAGTGGAAGAGAGAGAGAGAGAGAGAGAGAGGGTACCAAATCGACGTTCTCATTTTTGATCTCGTCGAGACTGATGGCCTTGTCGACGGGCATGTTGAGTTGAGATGACAACGGAAGCAAAGGGAAGAAGACGAGAGATAGAGAGTCTGATGTGAGTTTGGGTGCGTCCTTATATATATGTGTGTGTGTATGCTCCTCGGCCTCCCTTCCTCCCTCCCCTTTCTGTTATGACGCTGCTCCTCTTTCCCTGGGTCCCGCCCTCTACTTTTCCCCTCCCAGATCAATAACAATAATAATAAAATACAGAAAAACGTAAAAAAAAAAAAAAAGACTTTGAAAATTAAAAAGTTACATTCAGGTACCCGTTCACAAAAATTATTGTCAAAATCTATACTATTATTGTCAAAACCCATACTAATATTGTCATGAGTCTCTGTTTACATTTTTTTTATTTAGGTGGTCTTTTTTTGTCATTTTTTTCTAAAATATACTTCATTTCCTTGAGTTGATTTTGATTTTAAATATAAGACTAATTTTTTATGCTTATCAATTTTTTTAAAATTACTCCTGTTAATACTCTCTTGACCACAATCAAATAGGAAATAAAAACATGATATTAAGAAAAATAATTATAATATTTTAAAAAAATATGTCATATTTCTTATAATCAACTAACTTTTCTAATTTTTTTTAATTTAATCAAATTTATTAAATAAATTTTATGTTGAGAATGAGAATTACTACTGCATTTATGAACTTCTGAGAGGCTTTTTGACCTCCCACGGCTACCCCCCCCCCCCCAAAAATATGGCCACTCCCCTGCCTCCTCGGGGAAGGTCTTGTTTGCAAGAGTTATGACTCTTTAATTTGGTCTCTTACATCTATTGTGTTTTATTAATGTCATTAATTAGCACTCCATTAGTAGTAAATTAATTAAAAACAAATGCGCCAACTCTCTCCTCTTCCCATGGCCACGCCCACTCATTTTTGCTACCCTACATCTTTTCGTAAGAACCACTTCCTTACCCAGTTTTGGTGTCATGAAAAAGTTCATAAAAATTTGGTGTTTTCATAATTTGGTACGTGTGAGAAGTCATCATGTGAGATATATACCCAGTTTCTAATCCCACATTCCACAGTCAATATCTGAAAAAAAAATTATTGTGCAATAAGAATTTGATCACTAAAACATCTTGCATTAAATTACAACTGGTCATGACATATTAATAACTAGATATTTTAGTGAGTAAGATCTTTATTTGGGATGCATAGCAATTTTTTCACTCTATATTATACTACTTTTAATCCTAAATATAAGAATCAAGCAAAAAAATTATTTTAATTTTAAATATAAGATTTTTATCTACCATGTTTCTCAAATCTATAATTTTTTTCCACATCCTATTAATTGCACATGTTATGAATTTTAATCGGGATAATTATAATGTACATGATTAAAAAAAAATATTTTAGAGAACCAGCATATTTGTTATGGATAGCTAACTTAACTAATATTTTAATATTTATAAATTAATTATCTACTTTTTATATAAAAATAGGAGAGAATACCTTAATAAATTATAACAGGTTTATTATAAATATATTATTCTTCCATGTTTTTTTTCCTTCAAAAATATTACTGGTATGGACTATGACATATTCGACTGCTTGATTAAAGTAATTATTTGACATGCTTGGGCTACTTATAAAATTTTATTTTTACTTATTTCATTATTTTCTTTGTAACAAATCTAAGTCCCCTGTTTTGATTTTACCAAACAAATAAGTCGTTGGATACTTCAGTTATAAAATTCTCTATATCAAAAACAAACATTTATTATTAGTATTAACCAATAAAATATTATAAAATTATCTAATAAATCACTAAGTAAATTTTGTTGGTTATACAAAAAACAATTATTAAATAGACAATACAAATGGAAAACTTATCCACATTACGTCTGAAATTATCGTCCTCCAAACACATAATTAATTCAAGATGCACAATTAACGATTTTTAATAATTATTTTTATTAGTGTGGATTTATTCTCTTCGTTCTTTCCACGTGCATGCTACCACTTCTAACCATTTACGAAACTTCTTCCTCGTTGTTCTTTTCTTCTATCATACAACTTCTCAATATAATAAAGCACACATATATAAATTAAAGGTCGCATCTAATCATTTTGCACTGTGATTCCATTAAGATCCTTCATTTATATATAATTATATATATATATATATTGCCTTCAATTGAAAGAGAGGCGAAAAATAGGCATAATTAAATAAAAAAAATAGTCGTTTACAAATAAAATGAGATTCGTCCTCATAAACATACATAAAAGGAGGACTGAAAGTGGAATTAATATGGAGACTTTTTGCACGTGCGTACGTACCTTTGTAGCCAAAATCAACAATTCAGCTTGATGCCTTTCACAATTAATCACAGTGCACCAATATTGTATTTAATATTTATTTATAGATGTTTTGCTGCTTAATTTATCAATCACGCATATTAATGTCGGATAAGCTGGTGCGCAAGATGCTTACTTATCCTTGCTCGTTATATATGCCACTGCTGCTAATTAGGAGTGCATTTAACTTTTTTTTTTTCCCGTTAAAATCTTACCCTCGTTGGTCAACCCAGATGATATGTAGAATCCATTTAGAATTATATTTATAATTATTTATAAATATATTTGATATAAATTGAGATAATTTGTTTTCATATACTTATTTTTTATTTTATAAGTCAAATAGGAAAGAGGAGAAATGGAGGACGGAAAACACAGTTCAATTTTAATCTTTCTCGTATCCTAACCCGGTCCCTTACGATTCGTCTGTTGTTCACGTCCACTATTCTTTACTACTATTTCCGGTTCTAATTATAAGAGTTAGTTAACTAATTTGAGGAAATTAAGAAAGTAAGTTGAATTAGTTTGTTCTAAATAGGTGTTGTCTTTCCTAAAATATCCTTACTAATCAAATATATTGACTAAAACTATCATTGTTAGAAGGACTACTTTGAAAAAAAATGTATAAATATGAGATACAAAGTGAATTGAGGTCTTATATTTAAGATCAAAATAAAAGTCATACATGATTTTATATTAAGGATAGAAAGTACTACTTTGTCGGTTCTTCTGCCTTAAACAAAACGGGGCACGTGTCAATTTGTGGTTGCTAGGGGCAGCAAAGTTTTGTGCGCCCACTTTGTTCCTATTCCCAATGTAATGTTCATCTCACTTTAACTTGTTCCTATTCCCAATGCCCAAACCACGGGTTAGTTATCCGCCTTTTTATTTTTGGAATAATGATTAAAAAAAAGTTGAAATTTTATAAATACCAAATAAAAAATATTAACAAAAATTTATTATCATTTGTAAATTTAAACTTGTCAATACCAAATAAAGTTGTATTACCAAACCTGATTTAGAATTTATAATTTCAGCTTTTTTTCTGTCATTTTTTCTTTATTTTTTTCCAAAAAAATAGGACATCAAGATATTTTTTCTCTCCATATATACTCAACCTCTTTATGAAAGATATATATTGCATATAAAATCAAAATGATAATTCTAATTTATTGACATACTACCCCTGTTCTTATTATAAAAGTTAATTTAATATTTAATTTAGTCTTAAATATAATACTTCAATCCTATTTTTATTTTTTAAAATAGTCTTTGTAATAGTTATACATGTCAAATGTTTCATTAAATGATGGTTCTAATCAATATTATTAGTAAGAATATTTTAAAAAAGATGATACTCATTTATTATAAATAAATAATTTAATTTATTTTTTAAATTTATTTAAAATATTTAACTTATTTTTATATTAAGAATCTTAAGCAGTGTATTTTAAATAATTTGAATTTATTTTATTTTCAGGGCCTACTTTTCATCTCAGTACCCATACAGGTCCATGCATGAACTGTCACCACTCTGCGTGATGATAGTAATTGTATAGTATTTGTTATTTATTTATTGGTGTTACCAAATTTAGGTCCAGATCATACGTGTTGGGCATAGAAAGCAAGTACAGAAACGTACACTTCAGGACTATCATTCAATGGAAGGGACGCACATTCCAAACCGCTGTGTATTTTATAGCATTAATTAAAAAAAATTAATTTAGTTAGTTGGTTATAATAAATATATATTATTTTTAAAAATATCTTTATTAATCAAATATATTAACTAGAATTATTATTATTAAAAAGATTATCTTAAAAAAAAATAGATATGTGAGATAAAATAGATTAAGATTTTATATTTAGGATCAAAATAAAAATCAAACAAACTCCTATATTAAAAACAGGAGGTAGTAGTATTTTTTTTTCTCACTCGCGTTAAATAAAAAGGTACAGATTACAAATTTATGATTCCCCACTATGCCAATGAGATTTCGGTGAGTTCAGACTGAAAGCTGACGGAACAATTTGCATTCTGGACCCCATTCAAAGTGGACTCCAACAACATAAAGGTTCTGATTAATAACCAAGTAATGGTATGTTCATGGATACAACTTTTTCCCCAGTCAATAGCAAAATATTAATATAAATGCATCCACCAGCAAATAAAACTTAATTTAATTGAATCCCCTGTTTTTAGCAAGCGAAATTGGAATAGTCGATGCAAGTGTACGTCTGCTTTTTGCTTAGCTCCAAAATCAAATTTGCAGACGCACAGGGGCTTTAGGTAGAAGGAGGTGGACATGAATATGGGCAGGTAGCTTTCTAGCGTCCACTTGGTGACTTTAATGATAAAATATTAGTACTGATTAAGAACAGAACTATAAACAGATCCCATGTTAATTTGCATGGTTAATGGGACAGTCAAGGGGACATCATAATCCGGAATAGTTAATGCCTATTCCTGATTTCTTTTGTTTGGTACAGCCTTAAAAATCGAGGACAGGACATAATCGTAACTAATAATAAGCCAGCTCCAACCACAAAACCTTAAACAGGGGACTCTGTTCTACGGTTAAAATCTGCTGGTATGGGAATTTACATCCTTGGCTCTGCTCTTGGCAACATCATCATCATCTTGACTCGACAAAGTTCCGCGCCACATGCTGAGCCAAACAGATCTTTGTCACTCCTTTATAATCAAAAATAAAATTTATTCAAAATCAAAAGTTACTGATAAATTGGTATGCTTGAAGTTTTGAGTGGAATGAATTTAAAAAAAAAAAAAGAGGAAAAAAAGGGCAGTGGACTCTGGAAAGGGAAGATAAAAAGTGGTCACTCACGCACTTCAATGTTCTAAGAACCCAATCATGGATGCCTTCGTTCCTGCTATTTTATCTCCAAACATATACCATCCACTTTCATTGGAAAATCATAATTAAGTTATATACGACAAAGTTGAATATTTCTCTTTTTTTTTTCATTATAAATAATCGTAAAGTCATGAACTTTTTCGCATGTAATTTTCTCAAAGTAAATGGGAGGCCTAGCAAATTGTACATCAATCTGTACGGAAAAAGGAGGAGTTGATGTGCTTGGGGTGGGCTCACATCACATGGTGACTGAATTTATTCTACTCCCAAACCCATTAAACATTGACTTATGTCAAAACAAAGTTGGTTAATCTCATCCACCAACGAAAGTGATGTCTCCTAAAACACAAGAGAGGCTTAATTTGAATATAGGAATACTGTTAAAGCTGTTGATCTCCAGTTCTCAACAAAAACAAAAAAGGGGAAAAAAAGAAAGGCCCTTGATTTGAATTATTATTCTCCCTTTTGCCTTATCACGACCGAATATTAATAAACATCTTGAACTGATCTGATCCCGAAAATTAGGTCTAAGTTTCAAAAGCGAAGACAGAGAGGCAAGAACAGGATCATGATTTCCCTGGGTCAGAAGAAATGGTGATTGGGAAACTAATAATAATACTTGTTGATGAGCATCATCTAGGTGATAACAACTGGTTCTGTACGATCGAGAATATGAATAGGAAGCTTTTAGAACAAGGTTTTGAGTAGTGGAAGGCGTGAGAAGATAAGTATCACTAAACTTTAGCACCACGGACAGAGAGAGAAATCAGAGAATAAAACAGAGCAAAAACAGGCAGGAAAGCAAGCAATGGTTGAGGATTGAGATGGTCCTCGGTTTTGGGGCACCCTAATCCGCACAAAGTTGCAATGCGGGGTCCTCTCTTTTAGACCCACTTCTCGGAATAAAATAAATATGCCCAAAGAAAGCCAAAAGAGATGCCCTAAGAATAAATACGGCTCCTACTGCTAAAGTCAGTTTGTTTTTTCCCTTCCCTTTGTTCCTTCTGGGTAGGTACCTAAGTATTGGTGTCAAAGATGAATGCAGAGACTATAGCTGGGCAATTTGAGAAGCATTATAATTGCTTGATTTAGTTAGCTCACTAATGATGAGCAACGAGTTGTGGTAAAGATTCTAGGTCTGAAGGAATAGACACAAGGCATGGATGGTGGAGGACGCTAGCAGAATGGGATGCAGTGGGTCAGAGAGAATATATATATATATATATATATATATATATATAAATTGTGAATGAGATGGTTTCGAAAATGATTTCAGACACATATCTTTGTTAGGCACTTGAAAATACAGTTGATGGCACTGCACAAAACCTGTCCACTTGTGGCCTCATAACCATTTTGTGATAACTCCGAATTACTTTCTGATGCTATTTATATTCCACAGTCCTATCTCTCTCAACCTCCCTTCTCCTAATGTTCTCTTTCTCTTTTTGCCCCACTATTTTGCAGGATTTTCGAGGTTAATTCGAATTACCCCCTTTAGTTTTTGAACATGGAAAATGATTTATATAAGCACATGTCACATGTTAATGTAAAAAGAAAAGATTTATCACAGTCGTGGCATGACATGAACACTTCTGGTTTATTTTCCACTGTGGGGCTCCATGACAAAAGTTGCTTCACGAAGGGGACAGGTAAGATTTCTGGAAAACTGAAATGATGAACAAGTACACGAACGTGAGAAGTGAGATGGAGTTCACATGAAAAAGAGAAATAGGCATGTCAGAGTAAAGTGAAGGGCGTGTACAGGTGTAAGGATTGTGAAAGTTACAAGCAGAATTAGGAGTTTACTTGGAAGATTTAGGTGTGGAAGGAAGAGAGATTCTGGAAAAGGAAATAAGAAGAGACTTGTGTGGTTGAGACAGGCACTATCTGAGAGAATTGAACCAAAAAAACAAAGTTCACAAGTGTAATAATGAGAGAGAGATTGGGAACAAAAAAATTGAATTGTCAAAGGACAATTTTTGGTGAGAGATGGTGATAGTGCTGAGCGGAGTTGATGAACTGTACGGCTTTTTACAAGGCCTTTCATGTTGCACCATCTTTATCATTATAATCTATGTTATCCTCCCAACCAAAACCAATAAGCCCTGCAATACTAAAATTTTTATTTTCCATTTTTTTGCCTAAAGATCTTCGTAAGTTTGTTTCTATATCATTTGGATGTTACAGGGCGCATAACTCTCTCCAGGTCAAGAACTCTCAAACAAACAAACAAGAAAAATGATATCATTCAACATATTTTTAATTCACTCCATGGGGGTTACTTGCACTTTAGAAGAGACTTTACATGCATATCCTATTTGGAACATTTCAATGACCACTTTACCCCAAAAAAAAAAAAAGGTCTTGCGGATTTTTACGTTTTAATTTTCATATTCTTCAGCTAAAATATATTAATTATATGATTTTTAACAAAAATGCAGGGAAGATATATTTTTTAAAAAATTAAATGCACAATTTTAACAAGTTACTATCACATGATTGGATTTTTCTCAAACCACATGGCGAACCAAACACAATGAATATTTGGTTTTTTTTTTTTTCCGGTTGAAAGTAAGATGCTAGATCTCTCTCTCTTGGTTATTCTGTGAGTACCTTTTTTTTTTTTGGTTATTCTGTGAGTACCTTTATTCTTTCTTCATATATCCGATTCACATGATAGCTTTATGAACCATCAGCTGAAAGATTCTTGCTTTCCGTCGATATTAGACCTAAGATTCTTGAAATGACATAAAATTACATAAAGAGAAGAAGAATAACTCACGGCCTCAGGAAGAGAAGAATAATAATAATAATGGAGAAAACAAAGTTCAAATCAAACCAGTAACCATTTGCGGAGCAAAACCCACTTCAAGATGCGAGCAATTTACACCTCTCAGCTTCATTTATTAACCGTTCATAACTCGAGAATATTTTTCACGTAAAACTTATCCATAGTGGCAAAGCCTTTTCAACAGGAGCCACTGCCATCTGAGCAAGTCGCCAATCGCTTATGGTACCCAAGGGCTTGTTCAATAACAAAGGATCAGATAAAAGTTTCTTTATATCTTCCTCAGCCCTTTTCATTTATTTTGCTTTCCGAAAGTAATGTGACGATAACATTTTTTATTCTCACCATCATGTTTTAGTTTAATCTCATTGTATATACCAAGAGGGAAGACAATCAAGCGCTAAGCCAAACAGAAAAATATATATTTTTTTTTTGGTGACACCAAACAGAAAAATATTGTTGCCACACAATTAGAATTAGTTCAAAATGACCAGGGAACGCAATTTTTCTAAATAGATGTCATTACATGCTTAAAAGAAAAAGATAATCGTCGGATTCCAATGCAACCAAAAGTTGAGCTTGAGGTGACACAATGATGAGCTTCAGTGGTAAAAAGCAGCACCATTCTCAAGAAGACCCGAGTCTGTTGTTGATTGCCTAGTTGATAATAGTACCATATTCCATAATATCCCCCTAAAATAAGAGAAGCAAATAAATGGGTGGTCTTGAGAAAGCAGTGATGGAGATAGAAAGGAAAAAGCAGGCAAGAAGACACACTAGATGATGCTAGAATCAGCAGAGGATGAATAGAAATCACCAAAAAGGAATTAAAAAAATGCAACTCTCCATGATGCCAGAATCAGCTTTCAATCATCGGTTCAGGGCCAGATGCTTCAGCAGCGGATTTGTTTGCTTGACGAACAGAGTTGAAGAGGATGTCCTTGATGACCTATTTATATATTAGAAGTCATGTAAGGACCTAAAGTTCGAGCATAAAATTTCAGAAGACTAGCAGAACTGTTTCAAATTTTCAGTCCACTTGGACTAACCTGGGACATCAAACCATGTACTTGCTCCACAGTAATTTTGGCACTGTCACGAGTAATCTTAGCAAGTGGAGACTCTTCCTGCGATTCGTATAGATATATGCATATGATATGAAAACAGGTAAAAAGGAAGCACAAGGAAAGGGAGAAGGGGAGAGTAGGAGGTGGAGGATGTAAACATTGGCACTGAGATCAGGTAAGGTGGCCATCATGTTGAAAGGACAAAATCTATTTTAAATATCGCACACTGGGGGAGCCGCGGCCATATCTAAGAGGAACCCCAAAAAAATAAAAATTCTTGTCTATAGTGGTTGCATGGTAGCATGTTTAGCCAAACACTATGGTGCACTTAAACTAATCGAACCTCCATATTTATATTTGAGGTCATTTTGAGTGTATTTGTGAGAGCACAGACCACCCGTTATTTCAATAAAACTTAGGAAAGATGCAAATACCCCCTTCCCCACCCCACATACCCCCCAAGCCCCCCAAATTAAAAAATTTAAAAAGAAAAAGAAAGAAACAAGGAGTCGGGTGGGAGGCTCTCAAGTTTCAATTTTAAGTTGCACACTCCTGAGCCCTAAACTTATCAACCTTTATGATTTCCATCCTATTGTCCCTTTACACGTCCAGTTCCGATGTCTTGTTTCAATATTTTAAATTTTTACAGCAAACATTCAGTTGCAAATCATGGACAAATGAAAAAAAATTTGATGTGATATGCAACCCATGGCCTTCATAGAGAACAGAAAAGAAGGATCTAAATTTTGAAGGGTAAATTTCAAAGAGGATTTTATGGTTCAGAAGTTTAAGTGGTTGGACTATGTATAGGTTTGCTGTAAATGCAGAACAGCTCAACAGTTAGTAAAATAAGGGGATCTTGAAAGCCATGGTAATTTTAAAAGTAGTCGTTAGTGCCCAGAGAAAATTAATCAGAAATACGCTCAAGGCAGATGCAAACCTAATTGACAAATTCATTTAAATAAAATATATAACCTTCTAAGTAGAGTATTAAGCATTAACGAATCAAGCATATATAGGACCACGTGAGGCTACTCTTTAAGACAGAAAAGAGAAGAATTCACGTTGAAAGTTGAAATAATCATCACTTCAAAATAATAGCACCACCCAACTTCAGGGAAATTAAACAAATGATTTTCCCAGGAAAACTCACAAAGAAACCATGTTTAAGAGGGAATACAGAAACTAAAATCAGATCCGTCAGTCTAGCTGTGACTTATCCATTTCACATTCATAAAAATTCTTTCCAATTTCTAAAGAACTGCGATATTGACTTCAAGTGGGTATGGGATAAGGGGGCTTCAAAGAAGTCCTCCAGTGAACAAAAAATGAATAAGCAAGTAATTAGAACATGCATGGATCTTAGAAGAAGTTAGAAAATTTCCACTAATATCGTCCTCTTCAAGACAGGAAGGGCAAGACAAGTTCTGCTATTCGATCTACACGGGAAAAAAAAGCTCTTGCATGGTCTTTTGTTAAAGGTCAAGTAAAGGTGAGTAAGCATACAGAATGGAAACAGTCAAAAACATATGATGTAAGGGGTAAGTCTAAAAACACATTATGTGTGTTTATCCCTTTAGAAGGTGCAATACTTTGATACTTATAATGACTCCCTTATTGAGTTTACATCTATCAAGCTGGTGTCCAGTTTCCAAGACTAAAAAAAATCCTCTATTCAATGCATTGTATGCGCACAAAAATTAAAAAAAAAAAACATGGGAAATTCTGCAAGTAACATATATCCAGCTCCAACACAATCCAGTAAATCAATCTCTTCTTTATATGCCAAGATGGAATGCAGGATTTGACGGGAAATTTTATCATGGGATATGATTTCTAATCCCAAATCCCATGGCATGGGTTCACTAATGGGAAGATCATGAGAGGTGTGGCTTAAATCCAAAGTCAAAACAGCTATCATAATGAGTATTATTCATCCTATAGCTAAGTTGATTTTGCAGATTTTCTAGAAATGCCAATAACCAATGCAGGGATAGAAACAAATCCCGATCATGGGTTCTCACTTCTCATAGTTGACCTTAGAATAACATTTCAATGGGAAGATGTATATCAATGTTACCCCACAACATAACGAAGAGGGTAAATAAACAGAGAGGAAGAATTGAGTATCTGCAAGTTATAGGGACGCATTCTTCATATCAGGTTGAACTAATGTCTGACTTCAAACTAACAAGAAGTAACACCACGTATACCAAGCAGGAAATTACAATTACTTACTCCTTTCTTTTTTTGAGGAGGGCCTATTAATGACCCAAAACGTGGGTGCGCCAACTGATTTTCTGCTTGTTCTAGCTTTTCAGCTGCAATAATGAAATAAAGCAACCAAGATATTTATACTTAAACGTTCGTATCCATATGACAATTCTTAAGCAAAAATATAGAAATATGATAATTCAGCGTTGGGTCAGCGGAACTGGAATCAAAGAAATTAAAGGAATAGTGCGCAACATAACAATACCTAGATCTGATATCTGTCCAGCGACATAGTCTCCGTTACCCAATAATGGAGAAGATGAAAGCGTATTCACCCAATATTTGTTCCATAGAAGGTCCAAGAGATGTGAATCAAGAGAAGACTTAAAGTAAGTGATATCCAACGCATAGTACTGCAAAAGCACACAAATGGAGTTAAAAAAATAATAGAACAGGTGTTCTTAAAAGATGTGGGCAAGAAAGAAGAATAACCTGTTTACAGTGAACACCAAAGTCCTCAATCTTATTTAACGGGATCGTTTGGTACTCAGAGACAGGCTCATCTGGGGGTTTATAACCTTCTGGGTATGTCCTGAATGCTCCAATGTCAACTTTACCAGCAGAAACCGTCCTTGTGGGATCAATGACTACAGCCAGAAAGGGCTCTTGAAATTGCTGATTTAGCATTTGCGTAGACACGTCAATGCCCGAAAGCCAGCATCCATAACCAGGGTGGGAATGATACCATCCAACAACATTTTCCAGACGGCCAGCCTATACGAGGATATACTTCGTGAGCTAACTATAAAAACGCTCAAGTTTTAACTTAGATCCCCCAAATTACACAGTGGCAATGGAATTTCATTTCTCATGAACTAGGGCATTTGATCATTGAATCCAAATTACACAAGTAAAAAACTTTGTGAATAACTTGGGAAAACAACATATAAACAAAAGTTTTCAAATTTGCGACCTTTACCATGGACTAGGGTTTTCCCATTTTCCAAGGAATCCTTAGAACTTCATTCTAAGTAAACCAGGAAGGAAGACAACAAATTGAGAGAGAGAAAAAAATAAGGGAAAGAAACATCGGCACGTAAGCACAAACCTGCTTGTTAGTCTGAGAGTAATCAACCATATATTCGTAGGCATCGGCCTGGGCATTGACACGAGTCTCGGTGCCTTCGACGGGCAAGGCGAAAGCGTCCATGACGATGATGGCATCGCCATCCGTCTTGCCCTGCATGAGACCCATGACTTCGATAGTGCCACCAGAGCGAGCATGAACAACCATCTTGAGGAGGGCAAGAGCGGAGATCTTAACCCGCTTGAAGTAGTGGGGGTCGTTAACCCAAGGCTTACTTCTCTGGAATTCGCTCTGGGCGGCCTCGTCGTAGTAGAAGATGGCGTCGGATGCTTGGTCGGCGCTGGTAGTGGGAGAGTCCATGGGGATGATGTTGTTCTCCAGCTCCCAAGTTTGCTGTGCGATCACAGCAGAGGAGGGGGAAAGCTCCATGTTTTCTGTGAGTAGACTGTATACTATGTTTGGAGGAAACGGGCCCTTTTGATGTTCTCTATCTCGTTTCTGCCGCAAACGGAAATTGAAGGGAAGTAAGCCCTTTTGTATGACAGTCTGAGTTAGCGGCAAAGAATAATCTTCTTTCTTCCCGAGTCGAAAAAGCCAGGCTCGGCCGCGGGTTAGCGGCAAAGCTAAAATAATTTTTCGTATCAACTCTCGGTCAATATGTATTATTGTTTATTTATAATTTAATTTAGCCTTGAACAAACAAGTAAGATTTAGTACTTTTTACTAAAAAATAAGGCTCAATGGTTCATAGCATAAAAATAAAATACAGATTAAAAGGTTAAGCATGAATTAGTTGGTGGAATAAAAAAGGGTTTTTTAATCAAAATAAATTATTCAATTTTTTTTTCTTCCAAATTTGTTCTCATAAGTAGTCTCACTTAAACATTTCACAAAAAAAAAAAAAAAAACAGAAGATAAAAAAAATGCATTATTGTTCACCAGCTGCTAACCTGCAGAACATATTTTCAGAAAAATCATATTGCAAACGTTTTGTACTCTCATAATAGCTTCTCTTTTTATTGTGGATAAAAATATTGATGATCAGTTCAATTGGTAGAAATTGATTCCATTACACTTAATAACTGCACTAAAATTGAAATTTCTTTGTGATAACTGATGCCGAGCCATCATAAAATAGTGCATGAATGGTAATATGATTATAAAAAGATAACTCGAGCTGAAAGGTTAATTACAGGACTAGAAGAAAGAAGGGGGGAGGGATAAATAAGAAACAGAACAGAACAGATTCCAACTCATTCGAAGAACCAAATGGTGCATAATTAAAGCCAGGCATTCTGTTTAATTTCCGAAAACGAACAAAATTCGACTTTGATGCATTTAACCAATTTTCACAGCTAATGCATATACATATCCAATTCCCCGGAACCTACCTCGTGGGACTCAATCACCAAGCAGAACAGAACGGAAGGGGCAAGAAGAAAATGCAGCCCAACTAAGGCGTCGACTCCTAAACATTGATTTCACAACAAATTAATCTGCAGATGCACAACACACAATCCCTACATTCTAACAGTAAGTTACAGATGATTTGGCTCACAAGATACAACCCCTTCATTACTTGGCAACCCTGCCTCTGCTTCTGCCTCTTCGGTTATATCTGGTAATTCTTTTACCCTTTTGCTTCTCAGCAGTACTCCTCGTGGACACTGCCACAACGTCTCGTTCTGGGACAACCTCGGAATGTTCCAGCTCAAACTCATTTTGCACACTTGAACTGTTCTGCGAGCCAGTGGTAACACCGTCATCTTCATTGGTCGCAATGTTGTTGTTTGCAGTCATATGAGGAACCTCCATACAAGTGCCACTCAACGGTTCACAAGTCTCTTGGTCGGCTACACCCTTAGATATCCTTTCATCACCTAAACCAACTGTATCGTGTTTGTTATCCAATGTTTTATCATTTTGTTCAGTACCTTGCCCTGCATTACTAAAAAGCATGGAAATACAAAAATAAGTTTAGTTTTTCACCGTAAGGACAAACTGGCCACCAAATGTTCACCGATTCTCCTGATATGGTTTTTCAAGCTAGTCAATTATTTCTTCCCCTAGTAATCAAGTGAGTGGGGCTTGTTTGTGTTACCTACACTTTGATTACAGTTACTAGCGAAACATAATTTACAATCAAAATTAAGGTACTATATATTTACCTGGGTCCTGAAGTGGGGAAGCCATTTGCTGATACATCTGCTCCTACCTTCTCTTTGAGTACTGAACAGCTTCCGTCGGGCAATACAGACTCTGATGCTGCATTCAGAAGAGGGGTAAGAATCTAAGGTTCAGAAATGCTGGATAAAATGTATTGACTAAACACTTTAAAATAAGAAATTTTCACGCATCCTTCAACCCTACATAATAGATAAATGTAAAGTCATGTAGAAACTAGCACTACATATGAAAATGGATCATCCAGAAAGTGTACAACATGTTCATAGAAGAGGAGACAAGAATACCTTCTATAGTTTCTTTCGCTGAATCTATATCATAGTTCGGCCCATTCATATCACTGATGCCATTTACTTTAACCATGCCACCATCCCTATCACATTCAATGAAATGTTAAAAACAAGACAAATAACAGCAAAAATACTCCAGAAAGGGGGAAAAAAGAATAGACACGATCCAGATTCCCCAAATTAAACATACTCGGTAATCATAGATGCTTGAATAGGATTACAAACTCAAGACATATTTAATATTCATTGAAGCAATTTCGCAATTGTGACGCCTTAAATAAGAACATTTTCTCCTTGGTAATTCAGAGAAAGTGCCATCATCATGATAAAACATAGTAAGCGCCATACTGAATTTTTAACCATGTTAGAAGCCAGAAAGTTTACGATCCCTCAGAAAAGCAAAAAAGAAAACAATGTCATTGTTGTAGGTTAATTTATAGACTACTAAGAACTTCAAAAATAATTCCTAATCACTCCATAATAAAATGAAACCCCGTTAAAGAGAGGTCAAAATGGGCTGAGGAAATAAAATAATATCATAATATAGAAAGTTAAATGTTAACCTGATGAAAACTTAACACAAAATTATTGAAAAGAGAGGAATGTAATCAAGAAAAATATATTCTAACCTGTTTGTTATCATATCATCTGACGATAGTTTATGCCCTGAAATTGTCACTTCTCTGCAGTCATCTTGCGAACCTACATGGCATGATTTTTCATATGGAAATTAAACTTTTAATGGAGGAAAATGAAGACTACGGGCATGCATAAGTGTTTTATCTGTTGTTCATATTAAGGCACAGCAACTAAAAGCACAAAATTCCCAGTTACAAACTTCTTATTTCTTGGTGCTAAGGTGGAGGTGGTTAATTACTTGTGATGCCATAATTTAAGCCAATATATGACCCAAAAATGTGGAAATCAAATGATGTAAAGGAATCAGTACAGTTGGAACAGATAAATAATTTAACCTGGTAAAATAGCAGCAGTATTTACCTTCAGTTTGCTGAAAGTTGACTTGAGAGCCCTTATAACAACGCCAAAAAAAAAAAAAAAACTATGTTAGGACATTAGATAAAAGAATTATGATAATGAATATCATAAAAAGGGAAAAAAGAGAGCCTATAAGCACGCACCTGATTTTGTTCTACATTAATGTTAGCTGAATCAGATGGCACACTTTCAAGTTGAACACCATCCTGTTTCCTCTCCAAATCTGAAGGCAAAAAATGAGGACAAATGTTTTAGACGTCAGCATAAAGTAATTCACGTTCCAGAGTACGAAAAATCTATTAAAGTCATATGTCCTGCAACAGAAGAGTGAATACCACTGAACAGATCAATGGGTTTCCCACAGCCGAAGAATCATACCTGGAGCTGAATGAGCATTATATTCATCGACCAAGTTCAAAGATGCATCTATGGAATTGGTAAAATGAGGCACTTTCTCTACCACAGTAGCTTCGATATTTTCAGTAGTCAAAGGATTCACGTTATTTTTACATTCCACAGCAACTACAGACCAATCAATTTTTGAGGAGGGAAGTGAACTAAGCATCTGCTCAGTTGCCCTGGAACGTACTCTTCGTATTTCATCCTGAATACTCCATGAACCAGTAGTCGGAGAATCCCTTTTCAACTGCATCCCATAATCAGCACATAAATCATGCTCTAATCTATAAGCAGAATGTTTTGATATTTCACTTCAATGACAGAATCAACTGTTAAAAAGTAAAAGCCCAGCTGTGATAGACATTTTATAGAAACAACACATATAACTTCCTCAACAAAGTAATTATTCATGCAGTGCTAAAACCAGAACCTCCATGAATAAGTTTGTCTGGTCCTCAATCTAATGTCCATTTGGATACAAATTAGCACATCATGAATTTCAGCATTAATGACTGTTAGGGTTTATCTATATCTCTTGTTATGGGAGAGTCAGTTTAAGAAATGGAGACTCATTGTCTAAAGTTCAGAATCATGACCAGTCAACAACATCCAGCCAAAAACACCAGTCTAGATACAAAACAAGCCCTTCCAGTCATAACAAAAGCAACACGAACATGATGTACACATAATTAGAAGAAGAAAAAATTAGCCAATTGCACCTTGGCGGACGATGTAGAATAGCCACTGACTGGATATGGAGTTTCTTCTTTGAAGAGCTGAACTCCAACTGGTGTCAAAGGCTTACTATGGTCTATGGAAGGAGATGACCAAGGTGGGAGCGAGCGCATATATGACTTAGCCAAATCAACAGGCGATCCTTCATCTTTGAGAGCCTACAGAGCAGCCAAATACATTGGTAAAACCAAACAACCCAAAGGGGAGGAGGAAGCATGTGTAAGCATTACAATATGTTTTGCCACCAAGAGAAAGAGAAAAAAAGTACTAACTTGTGGCAATGTAACCATCTTTAAATTGTGACTTCCATAACCTAGATCTGAATTTGAATCTAATCTGGACTTCTGCTCCTCTAACCATTTCTTTGCCTCCATAACAGCAGCACTACTGAGATCAGGTGAATCTGTTTTGGAAAACACAAGGTCAGGTAACAGCAATCATCCAAGATAAGAGTTGTGTGGTAGACCATACCATTTGCAAGAGTCCTGTTGAGCATATCACTTGGCCTCTGGTTCCGTTCATCATCTTCATTGGAAGTATCAAGTACTCTTGATCTAATTATTCTTATAAATCGATCACATTCTTCCCTGTTCAAATATCAAGCTCTTTTGAAACCTTATTCTTATAAAGCTCTTTTATAAACAGTATTAAAATCCATAAAAATTCTAATTTTTCAGCACCTTGAGAATGTCTCACGCATAATTAGCTGCTCAATGACACGCTTGGTTTTGCTACTCCAAACTACCGGTTGGAGATCCTTCCCAGAGGCATTGATCACTTCCAATGTCCCACTCTTCCAGAACCCAAAAAAGAAAAGGAAAAAAAAAAAAAACTTATGCACAACGCTCTCACACGAACCAGGAGATTAATGCAAATATAAACCATTGATCAAAACTGCCTCCAGCTAAACGGAAAAGGATATATGTAGTATTCTCAGTCCAATCCACTTCGGAAATGATTATGAATCATTTAGATGGACCGGTCAAAACAGTTTCCTTTCTTCTTTTTTTTTCTTTTTTTAGTGTATAGGGGGAGAAGTAAAAGACTATAGTCCACTAAGCTATCGGATGTCCATATATAAGTAGAGCAAAATGTCTAGGACAAAAACATGATGAATCATACCATGCCTGTGATATGTACAAATAATTGCAAGCGACTGCATGCATGTCTGTCCACTTCCAATTTCATGCATGTACAATAGACAAAAGCAGTTGGACTTCAAAAATAGAAAGGCATAAAAGTATAGTAGAACAGGATTGCTGAATAAGCAAACTAGCAGAACATCTCTCGCACAATAGAGGATAATAGAGAGTCAATTACCTTATTCAACATATCGGCACCTTTAAGGGAGACACCATTTTCATCGTTGGCAGTGCCAATTTCCTCCTCTGCAACACGGGACAGCGCAGACACATTACTCAAGAGGAGATAGGAGGTTCGAAACAAAAGTCACGTTCTTGCTTTTCGATAAAGCAAGGCAAACAGGCAAGGAAATACATAATTCGATATCTTGCATTTTGTAAATCTACTTAAGCAAGTTCCGATAGCTATAATTGTGGGGCACCTGCACCAAGTCAAAGGCTAAGCTAGGCACATCAAAGTTCTGCATGCTCCAGTTCAAAAAGAAAGATAGAAAATTTTTCCGAATTAATAATTTCAAAAGAATAAACGAGACTTAAAACCCTAGAATTCCAAGTAAATCAACCACCCAACTCAAACCTGTAAAATCCTAACACGGTATAGGCATTACCAGCAGTGGAATCATTAGCAGAAGACGAGGAAGAAGAGGAGGACGAGGACGAGGACGTTGGCGAAGATTCTAAATCGAAAACGGTGGATAGGAGTTTCCCAGCACCAGAAGCAATGGAACGTGTTGGGGAGAAAACGAAACGAGAGAACCAACTAGGGCTCCGAGAGGTGGAATTGGAGGGAGTAGGCCGGTCGTAAGGAGTCTTGGCGGCAGCGGTTCGGCGGGGTCGGACAATTTTGCCGCCGGATCGAGGCTCGGGAAGTCGTCGAGATCTGGAAATGGAAGCCATGGCAACGCTACGAAAGCAGAGACGAAAGAATAATCAGCAATAGATGGTAGGGAGCAGAGTTTTGAGTTGGAGTTCTGTGCTTCTTGTCCCTCAAAACTCAAAACCTCTGCTCAGAGAGAGAGAGAAACAGAACGAAGAAATGTTGTTGACAATCCTCCATTTGATCGTTGGAGCGGTTATCTTCAGTTTATTCCCCTCTTCTTTTTCTCTATCTTTCTTTTTTTCCCCTCTCATCGTCGTCCCTTTTTTTAAGATTAATACTCCCACTGCCCATTTTCATTTTCGTCTTTTTTTTCGGCCGAACACTCATTTCATTTTCGTCTTTCATTCAATAGAGTGCTCCTTTTTGGAAATTAATCTGCTGTATAAAGTTTCCCAAGCAAAAAAAGAAAAGAAAAGTTATTCCATTTTTCACTTAAAAAATATCCAGAAGAAATTTCAAATTTGGCAGCTGCTGGAAGAGGAGGCGAGTGATGCTGTGATGGCCACGCGCTAGCTTTAGTTTCTTTCTGTTTCTTTCCTTGTTTCATCAAACAAATTATTTCTTTTCTGGCCACCAAATATATACGGTTTGATGATTTCTGTATTAACTAAAATTGTACTCATATAAACGGCACCCTTCTATTTCTTAACTTCCTCTTGTTTTAGAGGCAGCTTACGATCAAATAGATTTGTTAAGAAAATTACTAATTTTCAATCAAGATGTTAATATTTTTTAAGTTAAAATTACTTAAGTTTTAGGAAAAACTGTAAAAAAAAAAACCATCAAAATAGAAAAATTATAAATAAAAACCAATTATAATATTAGTATGGGTTTTGACAACAATTTTGTGAAGGGGTCCTTGTGTACAATTTTTCAATTTTAGGGATTTTTTTTTGCAGTTTTTCCTAAGTTTTATCTAAATTTAGTAAACGTTTACTCATAAGCATCAAATAAGCCATTAAAAGATAAATTAGGAATTTAGTATGATAATGTGATAAAGAAAAACTATTCTAATATAGCTTCAATTAATAAATATATTTTTTGAATTCTTTTGAATATCTTCTAATAATGTAAATAGTTTGGAAATAATGTTTTTTAAAATAAAAATAATTCTATACAATTAAAATCAAATAGGAAAGTGGTTAGAATATTTTTACTCTATAGCTGGCAAAAAAAAAGAATATTTTTACTCTATAAATAATATAGGTTTACACGATGATATTTTGGGCCAACATATAAACAATTAAAGAAAGCTCAAAAAACATAGCAGGCCAAAATGTAGAATGGCGGGAGGTGTACGGAGCGGTGAGCAGACCTAATGGGCCGCCAGTGAGATAAGCACATGCGCAATCGAAGAGTGAGTCGCCTTCGTTTCATCACCGACTCGTCTCTCCCAGCCGTCGCCTGCTTTATATTTGATCACTGAACCGAAACAATATCAGGCTCGCCGAGGGAATTCTCCTGACCAAGATAATTAAGGCTGATTCGTAAGAAGTCTTTAATCATGCCAGGTTTGACATGTAATGCTTGCAACAAAGAATTCAGCGACGATGCAGAGCAAAAGCTTCATTACAGATCGGAGTGGCACCGATACAATCTCAAGCGCAAGGTTTCCCTTTTTAACTTCACACTTATTCATGATCGTTTTTTGCATCTCTGAATCTTTTTTCGCATATTTTTCCAAAACAACACTCTGAATATAAACAGTATATTTCCGACGAGGTTATGCTCCTGAATGTTTTGCCTTTCAATTATGAACAAGTAAATTGGATTGATGAATACGCTATTGCTCATTATTGATATTACTTTCGTTCAATTTTTGCATCTATACGTCATAAGGGTAGACCTTGCCATCTTAGATAGGTGCACATTGCATATTCTTTCTTTCTTTCCCTTTTGGTTTTAAACCCAAATGCTCTAAAACAGCTAAAAAAAAGTGGGAAAAACTTAATGTCTAGCCGCTTGTCTTTATACTTTTTTAGAATAGCTTGCTTAGAACTCAATTTTTATGTTTCTCATGAGTTAATGTCTGTGTGGGCGCGCCTTTTGTGTTCGTATCTTAAAATCAATTTTTCAGTATTTGACGCGTAGTATCATGCTGTGCCTGGTACGCTTACTCGTAAATATGCAACTCAGCTTTCAGTTGATGCCTTATGGCGCTCTGTGCTGAATACAGGATTTTATTGTGCAAGGATTGTTAATTTGTCTGTTCAATTTTTCTAGGGAGGTTTTCGTTACTTGCCTAGATGTTGTGTCTAAACTTATAAATGATTCTGTTGGTATCATCGTATGCTTTTTCCTTTCTCATAAAATGAACTCATTTGCCTTTTTTCCCCACAAAAAGGTGGCCGGCGTTCCTGGGGTGACAGAAGCACTGTTCATGGCCAGACAGTCTGCAGCTGCTCAAGAGAAAGATAAAAATGAAACTCCCATGCTCTATAGCTGTGGCCTTTGTGGAAAAAGTTATAAGAGTTCTAAGGCTCATGCTGAGCATCTCAAATCCCGTGGTCATTTGATGCGGGCATCTCAAGGAAGTAGTCATTCAGATGACAAGGCAATAGTCAAGCCGCTACCACAACGTGTAGTGAATAGACCTCTTCCCAGAAGAGATGTAGACAATGATGAAAGTGAAGGAAGTGAAGATGAATGGGAGGAGGTTGATCCTGAGGATCCTTCGATCAATGATGCTTCAACGTCCTTGACTGGTTTGAATGTGAATGAGCATGATGACAATGTTGATATGGACGAAGATGATGATGATGATGATTATGGGGATTTGGATCCGTCATGCTGTTTTATGTGTGATCAAAAGCATGATACTATAGAGAGTTGCATTGTTCACCTGCACAAGCAGCATGGGTTCTTCGTTCCAGATGTTGAGTATTTAAAGGATCCAAAAGGCCTGCTTACCTACCTAGGCCTCAAGGTATTAATTACAGGCTACTGATACGTGCCTTTTTTGTTTTATTATGCTTAGTAAAGCTTGATTTCATCATTCTTGCCCCCCTTGTTTATTTTCTAGGTCATGAGGGATTATATGTGTCTTTACTGCAATGATAGATGCCATCCTTTCAGCAGCCTGGAAGCAGTTAGGAAACACATGGCGGCCAAAAGTCACTGTAAAGTGCATTATGGTGATGATGATGATGACGAGGAAGTGGAGCTGGAAGAATTCTATGACTATAGCAGCAGGTTAATACAGTTTTTTTTTTTTTTTTGGGAATTATTCCAATTAATTTGATGTTCAAGCTTCTGTTCTTGATCCCGTACAGTAATTATGACGTGCCTTTCCTTCTCATCTCAATGCTCTTAATTTTGTTCAGTTATGTGGATGAGCAAGGGAAGCAACTAGTTGCATCAGGTGAGACGGCCAACAGCGTAGAACTTGGCAGCTGTGGATCAGAGCTTGTGATCACTAAGAAATCAAATGATGGAATATCAACTAGAGCACTTGGCGCTCGTGAATTTTTGCGTTATTATCGTCAAAAGCCCCGTCCATCACACACAAATAACATGGCTGTTGCTGCGGCATTGGCTTCAAGGTTTTATTCTTAACTTTGTGCTCTATTTTTTTTTCTTTTTTATTTTTTTCCAAAGTATCAGGGAGATATGTCGAGTTAACACTATGTAAGTGATATGGTGAAGATGGGTTCATTATCTTTTTTTTTTAAAAAAAAAAAATTCGCAGGTACAGGAACATGGGTTTGGCGACTGTGCAATCAAGGGAGCATATGGTGAGGATGAAAGTGCTGAAGGAAATTAATAGGTCTGGCGTGGAAGCCATGCGTTCTAAAATAGGGATGAAAAGTAACGTCATCCGGAACTTGCCAAAGAATGTTCCGTATTAGTCCCCCTGCTTCCTACCCTTTTTGTGTTCCCCCCGTGTTATTTAATCTCAACTGTATAACTTTTAGTCATGAGTTTGCTTTCTAAAGCAAGTCTGAGATTTTGGCTACCCTCGAGTATCCCCGCACTGGGAGTTTCCCGCGGGCATTGGCACTTGTGGGTCTATGCTTGATGAAATGACACGATGTTTTACTTACTGGAAGATGTTGCATGACTTGATTATAGCTCTTTGGTGCTGGGTTTGGGTACTATTGAGTCCGGGGATGAGTTTAGGCCGATGGCTAGTGAATTTGTTAGCGACATTACGTATTGGAAATTAATCGATCATGGATGGTATAAGGCTGGGAATGGCCTGCAAAACGTAGGGGAAGCTGTTAAAGGGTACTATTCTACAAAATACAAGGTAGGTATGGGAAAAAAAAAAAAATTGTTTTATCTTATATGAAACATACTTATAAATGATTTTTAAACGTGATGACAAACAGGGTAAAAATCAATCGCAAAAAGCCCTAATCCAACTTGTCTAATTACATCCCCTGAAAGATGCAAACTCCCCGAACATGGTCCGCAATATTCATTGTTCCGTTGGCAATAGAACTCTTCATAAAGGTCGGCATAGCATCTCGACGATGATGATGTTAGTTGTCGATCATTGCTCCTCTTTCATTCATCGTAGTAGTTAGTACAGTAAGAAGGCTTTCTATTTCCCTAAACTGGTAGGATTGACAAATATTGCAAACATGTTGCGTTTACTTCACAACCTTTTCCTCGATTACGTCCACGTTGCAACGACTGTTGGAAGATGATGACAATTGTGGGGAATTCTCATCGAGCCCGCATCTTCTTTAAATATTCCACGTACTTGTATGGATTGAGGCTTATATGAACATGGAATAAAGGCATCTTTTCGTTGAACCTTTGGGGTTCATCTTATACTAACTAAACAATTTCCTTGGAGTTTAATGGACATTTTCTTTCATTTGAAAAGGCATTTTAACAAATGAAAGTCCTTACGGAAGCATTAGAAGTGAGGGAAAGATGACGCGACGTATGCATGTGCAGGTCGAGTTGGAGCTGCAGTGTGTTAAGCGATTACTCACTTAATAATTGTTTGTCCAGGACTACATTGCCAATTTGAAACGGAAATTTAACGAAATTTCGGTATATATTTCAATTATAGGGCCAATTACGGCAAATGGACGTCTCAGACTGCATGGAGAAACGTTTCTCATACAGGTGATGGATCTGAGAAGCCACAGACAAAGCCATAGAGGAGATAAGAATCGCAGTCCCCTCATTTTACATCTGTGGCGACTCCCGTCTAATTAATAAGACCACAAGCTCAGATAAAGACGAGCACTATGGTTATGTAAAATTATAAAGTAAATACTATACACATTCAAGAAAACAAGGGCTAACAGCTATTATATGGTTATTATTCTAAAATATCACAATCAATTAGCTATATGTACAGGGAAAAGATGTAAACTAGTTCTATCATAATCAAGCATCAGAATGCTTGCAGAAACACTAGAAGGTTGCACATGAGTAATTAACAGGTTTTCAATGCCCCGCATTCATTAGGATCGAGCAAACAAATGGAGCGTCTAAAGCTAACCATAAAACAAAGCTTCCAGTATGTGACCCACAAGCAAAAATGCAACTGTCCAGTTTGTAAAGTTGCCCTTCAGCACATCTCATTGAAAATGCCACTAATGTAACCTTGAAATGTATTCGAGCTGCACGGAGATCATACTGGAAATGTATTCGAGCTGCACGGAGATCATACTGCTTCCCATGTCCTGTGGAACTCCGCCTTTCAGTTTGCTCCCCTTCTATTCAGGTGCTGCTAGCAAACTCAAAAATAAGTGAATATATAGAGGGAATGAAATAAAAAGCCCACGGCACCACTGCTTCAAAAGTCAGAAAGAAAGCAATCCTCAATAGAAGGATTTAGGAGGATAAGACGTTACATATAATAAAAGAGGAAAATGCAAGACTATTCACTGGCACCACATACCTAGTAGTTAGTTGTCATAGAAGCGGGATCGGCGCCTGTGATATCTAAAATGAAGAAATAAAAATCCATGATATGACAGCACGGAAATATATACAAATTCAGGCATATTAAATTTGTTAGAGCACACTTATAACCAATATGAGTCGCCAATCACATATAGTCATGGGAAAATGGTAATGGAAAATTGCTTAAATTTAGATGAAATCTCATCCTTAACGACTTAAGCAAGAAGCCTTTAAGCCCATCATCAAATATGAGAAATGAAAGAATCAGCCTGCAATTTTCTGAAATACTGTAGGAATGAATTCTCTATCAGAAAAGGAAAGTTAGTTCTAATTAGCACGGAATCTACAACTAAGACAACTTAAGTATGATGTAAACTTGAATGAAACCCAATAATTTAAGACTGATAAATTAATCAAGTTTGTCAACTTGAAATGATGAAATTGTAGAGTACCAAAACAAGCCCAAGCCTTTGAAAACTAACTCTCTCTCTCTCTCTCTCTCTCTCATCGTAATACATTAACACACGGGCAAAGGGCATTCATGTATTCTGATGCCATAAGGCAAACGCCACATCAACCTCTTAAGATAGTAGATTTGAAGACAAACATAAAAAAGAACTCCAAAAGATTCAAGGTCTCTACACTGAGATACATAATGGTCATCACAAAAATAGAGAAGGAAACTTTCAGTCACTTGTTCTGGCTTGCGTGAGGAAGCTTGGCACAAATTTAGTTGTAGCCCTAACCATTAAACATTCTTTACAAAGTCTTACACTGAAATTGCCAAATATTGACAAATCGGAAAGTCAACATAAGATGTAAAGGACATTATTATTAGAATGCTGCAAATGGCAAAAGAGTGTCAAGATAAAGAAGAGCTATTCACCTGCGATAACCACTGCTGCCCCTTGAGGGGCCAACTGTACTAACAAACTCATCATCAATGTCATCTAGCCTATAATCAGTATATTCGACTGATGCTACAGAACCTTCATCAGAATTTGAAGTATCATAGCTTAAACGGCGATTACCCCTTCTTGAATCACTAACTCTTGACCGCCTTCTGTTTCTGGAACTCCTGAAGTTGTCAAACACCTGATATAAGATACAAGACGTCCACCAGTTGCCTTCATCTCCAGGGAAGTCTTCAAACTCATCAGCAGTATCATCATCTCCATATTCAATCACATAATCTCCTAAAACAACCCCCCGAGGTATTTCTGAATGGATAGTGCTCAAAACATCTACAATCTCAGCAGACTGCTGAAAATTCTCCCAATCAAGCTGACGAGCAGGGTCAATTTTCGATGGCCGAGCATGGGGGTGTTCCTGTTGGGCATGCTCTTGCAGCTCCAAGAAACTTCCCATGAATGAGCATTGCACCTCATCGCAACAACGCTTCTTGTTATCCAGAATTATGCGGGCTTTATCAACAACAATCCACCCCGACACTTCACCTCTGCACAAGGGACAACTCAGCTTGCATCGGTCATCTGATACCACTGACTCTTTATTTTCCATGGAGGTTTCATCAGACATCAAAGAGGATGGCATGCCACATGAAATTTTAAAACGATCCAGACAATTTGAGTGCAACTGACTTGTGTCACATATAAAGGGACGGCACCCTTGATCATAAGATGAACATTGGAGTAGAACACTATTATGAGGAAAATCTAAGCATATGGGGCAGACTACGTCTTCCCAATGGGTATCTGGTATATCCTCCATGCGGTCTGACTGACTATTACAAGAGGTCTGAAAACCAAGAACAGGCCACTTATATGAAATTTGTGCTGGTGCTTAGCATTTTCTCACATCAGATCATGTTGCTGAGTAGGTGGTAACATATTTAGAATTCTGACTGTAACCTAACAGAATAAGATACGACTAGTTTAGAAGCTATTCCAATAAAGTATCTGAGCAATGAAATGACTAGAAAAATTTGAAGTGCTAGGAAGACATAAACCCGTTCAGAATGTTATAGAGACCAAGATCAGAGATATGAAAAAAGAATAATTATGCAAAGGTCAATATAATGCTTCAGCACAACAGATGTCCCGATCATCTCCCTCGAAAGTGATACATCATGCTGGACTATATGGCTTCCACTAACAAAATACTTGAAATCTATAATTAATATACCTCCCACATCCAAAACTTTAGCTAAACACAAAGCTGATACCTATATAAGCCTACAAATAAAATTCAATACCAAAATCAAGTAAATATTCTGCATAACAATACAGATTACTATTAGTTTAGTGAATACAGAAAACAGGTACACCAAACACGCAATCAATATTGGCCGAGAAAATCAATAAATAATAATATACTCAACCTAACAAGGCAGGAAGAACTCAATAAAATGTTAAATAACAGAAAATCGTGATTCTGTAACCCAATTTCTCTGCTGAGTAACATAGACCAAGTTGACCGATTCTAAGTAATGGGTATAAAGTCGCTGTAAAACCAGTAGATACGAAAGATAACAATTAAATTATAATCGCGGGGACAAAAACTGCGTTCGAACTCCAAGAGTAAAACCACAAGATTAAGTGTGAGGCACCCGAGCGATCGAGTACATTAAGAATAGGCTCAAGCTTGCCTTATATATGAGAATTGACGACTGAAAATGCAAAACTAATACGAAGAATAGTCGACTGAGAGAAAGGGGGTGAGAGAGAGAGAAAGAGAAAGCTTTGTGATCTTCACGAAAATGGAGATTCCGGTTTGAGGCGCAGTAGGTAGGGTCTCTTTCTTCCCGTCTTCCAAATGCTATTCCCTCACCGAAGAAAGATATAAAGGCAAAGGTCGTACATCCAGCCAAATGACGTTAGTGCCCTCCTGAATTTGCATAATTGCATTGACCCAAACCCGGCCCGAATTGGGTCCTGCCTCCTGAGAAATAAGTTGTTGATTCTTCACGGTCCACGGATAAGGGATAACTAAGGATGAATTTTTAAAGTTTGTGATGAATATTAAAAGTAAACAAAATGAAATTTTATATAAAAAAAAAACTGAAAAATCGATGTCCCCATCTGGGCATTCAAGGGTCCTGCCATTTTCGTCCCAGAAACATGTCGGTTCGTATTTGTGGGCACCAGCCTGCCAATTGATTTTCTGCTTACTGCAAATCACTTTTTTCTCTCTTCAAAGCCCGACATTTGGTTAAAAAAGGCATGGTGAACTTGCCTGGTAACCGTTGGTTCCAAAGCCAACTTTTCCACAACGTGTTGCTAACTGCTGAGCGTGGAAAAGGATCTCTACTTGGTCAATGTAGAAATTTAACGCATAAAGCATAAATATTTAATTTATTAATATTATTACTGAAATGGAAAAAAAAAAAAATTTGTCTGGTGGCAAATCTTCAACAACCTGATGCCACGTGTGTCCCATGAATAGATAAAACTTGTTTGCCTTGAAATTTTAACATGAAGAAGGGGTTACGTTGACTGTATAAAATGCAGATTTTGTAGCAGTTAGAGGTTTTGTTTGGCATGGCATTAAAAATAACTTATAAACACATTTCCTTAAGTAGATATAAAATCTTTTCCATATTTACCACATATTTTGTAAATAATAATTAAAAATTTATTTATAAATTATTTTAAATGTACCTATAGAAGAGCCCAACACGGTTGACTAACAAATAAGGCGGTGTTAGTATTTTGAGGGCTGCGGTTAAAGGGGTCAACGTCGTGACGCCACCCACACGTTTGTGAGAGCACGCAGAACAAAGACAGATGGAGTACTTATATTCTGACCTGCTTTGCTTGCCGTGCTTTAAAACCACACTCCTCGCTGCTGCCGTATCTCCACTCCGTAAGTCAAAATCCTCAATCAAAGCACCAAGCTGATTAAGGCTGTGTTTGGATGGCACTCTAAACTATAGTTTGGAGAATAAATCATCCAAACATCCACCCAAAAACCAAAACCATAGTTTTGGGCCAAAACCATGGTTTTGAAAAAAGCAAAAAATTTTTGCTTTTGAAGAAAAAAGGAAGAGTGCGAGAGTCTATAGGATATGTATCTTGTTATTTTTTTTATAAACATATTTTTTTATAAACATATTTAATCTTATATTTTATAAATACATATACATATTAATTATTTATTAATTATATTATCTTATGTATTATTAATTATGTTAATAAAAAATATATTATTAACAATTTTATTCCTTCAAATTAAAATATATCATAAAATCTATTTTTCTGTAATTATCATATTAACTTTTTTTTTAATAATTTGTAATATAAAAAGTGCTTCTGATAACAACTATCCAAACACTCTCACTTCTCAAAATCACTTTTTCATAAAATCTATTCTCCAGAATCACTTTTCTAAACCACGGTTTGGTTTCATCCAAACGCATCCTAAGAATCACCCACTACTTGTCTTATTATAACTCACTTTATTAGCTTTTTAACATGAATATACCATTTTACCTATATTTTTATTTTTGAATAAAATTTAAAAGTTGTTAACTTAAAAATTAATCTTTTTCAATTTTAATGAAATATGTTAAAAATGACTTATATATAAAAATAAAGAAGCTTCTTTTGAAGAGAGGTAGATTAAGCAAGTCCAACTCTTTTTATTCCCATCCGACCTCTCTCCAGCGACATGCACCGTAAATTATTAACCATATCAAACCTATTTTCGTACGACAAATTGTACAATTAGCAGCACCAAGTTCTTAGCATATCCCTAAGAAAATAGCAGCATTAAAAATCTAAAATGATAGTCAATCGACTCAGTCAGTATAAAATTAGCAACGGCCACATTGACAGTCCCGTCCATTTTCTCTAGCACAATAGATCAACTCATGGATTACATTAACATTTAACAAGTAACAATTTAAAATTAAAAACGCACACCTTATTCCCAGCAACGCGGAAATTAAGGATTACATGATCAAACATCAATCGGGATTGCGCAAAAAGATAATATGAAAGTTAAAAACTATGAATCTGTGGATTATGCACATGAAACTGTAAATCATTTTACTTTAGCAAAATGTTATTCCTATACATGTGGTAACTTGATAAAGTGAACCCTTTTTGCCATCGAGGAAAAAAGAAACATGACAGGCGTATACCAATAAGTAGATTCTGTACTCCTAATGCTGAAAGTCCGAGGACTTGGCTATCTATCGGACAAGACTGAGTCACTCCAGGAAAGTAGGAGATCTTTGACAATCGTTGGGAAGTCTACAAACAGAATAGAAGCAGATTTAGTTTGCCATACGCAGCAAGCCATGCCGGCAAACAATCTAAACTAGGGAAGTCCAGGGTAAGCCCGAGCATTTACCTCTTGCTACTTCTAAAGCCACTGAAGGTATGTCTATCTGGTCTTCTACTAGCCTATACACATCAACAAGCTGCACAGAACACAAATCAAAATCCATGAATCCAAGATTGTAGACCTCTAAGAGAGAGGAGACGGTATATTAGGACCAAACCTCTTCTACATGAAGCTTTGAATCCTCAGTCAAAGCAAGAAGAAGCTGTCTACGTATTCCTTCATCAATAAAGAAAAGGCGAGCTCCATCTTTAATGGTGTCTGTGAGGTCCAGTTTTCTTTCAAGTCGCAAGTTTCTTGTTCTTTGCCTGTATGGATTAGCCTTAGGTGAATATTACTTATTGGATGATTCAAAATTAAGAAACCAAACACATCCTGTGGCTTTGAAAATACATAGACCTGTCTTTAACTTGCAATGCCGGATTGCTACTCATCTTGGCCACATTTTCCTTTGCAAGAACAATGAGGTTTTCAAGCCGTTTCCACTGGAACAGACCATCTTTGAATAGAACCTGAAAAGCAAAAAGTTATTTAAGCCAACGAAAAAAACGTGTTTACATAGCAATTACAACAGTTTGGATTTAATGCCTTGAAGGGAAAACAAGAATCACCGAAGTTTTTTGGGAAGATCCATAACAGCCAAGCTATCTATTATCAAATTGCACAGCATTGAAATTCTCAAGCAGATACAACAACTTGGGTCCGGCACTTTGACAAAAAGTCAGAAGAGGAAGAGAAAGAAACGGTAGTAACGTTTTCCACTTCATGCAAGGATTCTTGCGCATTTGAATGCAGTGTTTCAATTATAGCTATTACATTTAACACATATCAGGAAAAAAACGAGGGAAGATATTTTAGTTCTTCCAATATAACAGAATCACTTTTTAAAATCATAGCAGCGTGGGTGAAGCATGATGCAACCATGACCTGGTGACACCAAGACATAATGCTACATTATACTAGACCAAGCCTGTAACTTTTGAGTAGCTTTGCCTCCAACGACCATAACAATGGACTATCAACAACATAAGAAACCATTCTATTTCTAAAACTAGCATTTGGAGCTCCAGCTTTAAACTAACCTGTATGAGACGTTCACGTAGAGCTGGATCTGGGTCTGTTAGGAGTCTCTTAGCCACATATGGATAAGCAACCTATTTAACATACAAAACTTGTGATTACATTGAAATAGGCGTGATTAAAAAAATTGAAAGACATGTTCAGACATATTGGATTACAGTAATGAAATGCCTTCTCAAATATACCAAGCTTTCAACTTATTTTTGTCCCTGCTTCCTGTGATGCAGATGTGGAAAATGCATTTTTTCCCATATATGATAAATTTTTACCCCCCAACTTTTAGCCCCCTTATCCCGAGTCATTCTGGATATATTTGCTTGTCTAAATTAAGTTATATCCTAAAGAACTCAGAAACATAGGATATTTTACCTCGAGAAATTTGAAGTCGGGCTTGAGAGTAAAACATATGCCTTCTTGAGTCAGTAAAGAACGGATTACCAGGGAGAACCTTTCAGGTATACGAATGGGATAATTGTAGACCAATTGGTTAAACTTCCCTGCAGCATATTTTACCACAGAATCAGTTTACATGAAATCATGCATGATTAGAAGCAACTGAAGCTTGTCTCCCTCCCTTCCTCCCTCTCTCTCACACCCACAAACTAATGCTAAAAAGGTGCATCATTACCCAAAAAGGGGGGGGGGAATGTTGAGAGGTCTGCATTAACTATGGTATCCTTTTGAGATTAGCAATTCATCATGAGTCCAACAGAAAATTTGATCGTTCAAGAAAATCTAATCATCCTAGAAATTCCAAGAGCTACATTATTCTTCCACGACAAAACATATATAAACAACACTACAAATTAGTTTCTTCCGTAACAATATTTGACACACTCCAGTCAATTCAATCAAACTCAACTATGCTAGTAAACTTGAATTCTTTTTAAGTAATTTACTGACGGAAAAAAAGGGAGCCATTGAGAAAGATGAAACGATAGAATTAGACAATTTAACCATTAAAAAAATTCCAGACCCAAAATCAAAGAACTAATCTCAAAGAGGTGCATCAAAGTTCAGATCAGATAGTCAGATGGCACCACTGGGTTAATATATATAATTATATATTGCCTACCAGTGACACTACGAAAATTAAAATCTGACAGTCCTTTCCCAGCAGAGTTCTGCCAAATCGCTTCTAAAGCTGGAATTATAGGAGTGACATCAGTCCCAGGTGATAGGAAGCCCAGTCTAGTGAAGTCATTGGCCATCTCAGCATAGTCCTCATTTACAGCATGGACAACAGCATCGATTAAAATTTGCTTATTTTGCTGTACAAATGGATGCATATTAACATGTCAGCCAAAAGCATATTGCAATATGTGTTCAAACACTGGAAAAAAATTAATTTGAAAGTTATATACTTGCTAGACATTTTGGGAGAGGGGAACGATCAGGAAAAAACCGTTAAACATTGTTAAGAAGCAGATCTAGCTATAATATTTTTTTCTCACATCAAAGCAAGATATGGATGAAATACAGTAAAACAACATGCACAGTGCAACACATGCTCTTCAAAGGCGTATCTGCAGATATCTAATGACACAGCAGGCACCCACATATGGGAAACGTGCTGAACCCTTAATTCTAGTGCACTTTACAATCATTTAAAGGACATACCAGCAAAGAGCCACAAGGTGTTGACTCTAAATGCTCAGAATATGAATTACCTGACTAAGAACAGCAACATTGCCAAAGTCTACATATGCAATTCGTCCATCGCGCATGGCAAAAATATTTCCAGGATGCGGATCGCCATGAAATAATCCGAATTCCAGCAGTTGTCGCAGAGCAGCACTCACACCAACTGTAAGAAATCCATCCATATCAATACCAGCTTCTCTGATGGCCTGATTCACAAGCAAGAAAACCGTCAAGTTACAACAGAAAGGCAAACAATGTTGATTGAGGCATACACATTTAGTAAAGGCATAACAACATCACTGATCCAATTAAACAAACCTGAGGGTTAGTGCATCTAATACCATCAATCCATTCCATTACTAAGACACGGTTACCAGAAAGTTGTTTGTAAACCCGAGGAATTTTGACAGTGGGATCATTTTTAAAATTCTCAATAAAGTCTTCAATGTTACGGGCTTCCTGAAATAAAGAAAAGGACATCAGCACATTTAAAATTAAAGTATACTGAGAAATCCTACTCAATATACTATTGGAATCACTATTTCTTCTTTGGTGATTCCATGCATTCAAAGCACACATCGTATTTCTATTCCAAGGACAAGACAGCTATGTACCAAGGTATAATCAAGTTCTTCCAAAAGTTTTTCACCAAATTCATCGACTATCAGCTCAGCATTACACCCCAACTTCTGCATACTAAGTCCATTTAAGAACGAAGCAAGAGTCCGGAACAAGAAAAGATCTCGGTATATGATGGGCTCTATCTCAGGTCTTTGAACCTGCAAATATACCAAAGGTAATATTCAGAAGTAGAAATAACCCTGTTCGAAACATTTTGCGTTTTCCCTCTCCCCTTTGTTTATCTTTTAAAAAAGAGAATATAGATATGCAGCACTTTACATGCAGGAAACCATGGAAATAGCTTGAAGAGTTAAATCTGTTGATGCCATCAATAATTATTTGGATTTTGGAAAACGGGAGAAAAGGTAAACAGTGGGCAAAAGTCAAAAAGCTTGCAAATTGATGACCTAAACAAGAGTTAAAGTGACTTCTCTTAAGCAGAGTGAGCATGCAAATATCAATGAACCATCACACAGCCTGGCAGGAAGTGGGTGTAATTAGATGCTATGCTTAGGTATGAGAACAGAAGTTAAACACAAGGAAAAGCTCCACAGCACCTTGACGGCTACGTCCTCGCCAGTGGCACGTAAAGTAGCTCTGTAAACTTGACCCAAACTTGCAGCAGCTATTGTTTCTGATGAGATTCTGCTGAAAACAGCTTCAATGGGCCGACCAAGTTCCTCCTCTATAATACCAAATGCAATCTAGGCCATTTTTAAGCCACACATCAAAAGCGTAATAACCCAGTAATCAGCAAAATGAACCGCAGTATACATAAAATCAAATGACAAAACTATTGGGACTCAGCAACAAGTTTTACTTGATTGGGAAATGAGGGCACATCATCTTGCAGAATGCATAGTTCATTCATATAATCTTCTCTGATGATGTCAGGCCTGTTTGCAAGGACCTGTCAGATTCCAAATAACTTGTAAGCAACAGCTAAATGCAAGCTAAGACCTGGTTGGTCTTATTATTTGACTGAACCATAGCATACCTGACCGGCTTTGATAAAAGAAGGTCCCAAAGCGCACAAGAGGTTCCTAAGCTGCCGAGCACGATATGGAACAACCTCTTCATCCCTTCCAACTAAGAAATCATACATCAAGGTAGACCAGTAAAAGCCCAGATTCCAAACTATCTCCACACCCCGCAACATTAGTGACAGAATTGCCCCTCTTGATTCAAGTACCTTGTTCCTGACCTAATTACCAGCGAGAAAAAATTAGACACAGCAAGTAGCATCAAGTTAGAATCAAACATGTAACTTATTGGACCAAATTAAATACACCCTTCAATTAAATTTGGCCATGATTTTAACCGTATCGATCATGCACACTTGTTCATTGATTGTAATGGTCACTGCTTGAAGGCAGAAACAATGTCTCACGATTTGAATTTCCAAAAAATCAAACGGCATTTCTCTTGACGGAAGAGCGGACTTAACGCGCAGAGTTAGCACAGCTAGCCGTATTTTAAGCCTAGGCGCATATACATAAATGAAATTGAAACTAAAGCAGAAATTCAAATTAAAATTGAAAGAACTAGTAAAGTCATACTGTCTCGGGAGAGTACTTGCGATATGGAATGCAGACGCCGCGCTCAATGTCAAGCTGCTCTAGCGCACTGCTCGACTTGCTGACCGACGAGGCCCTGCTAACGGTCTCAGCCACGGAAGCTAAAGTGCTTTTTGTGGCAGCAACGTTGCCGTTGGAACCAGCTGCCACGGCTAAACTCAAAATTCGCGTCCGCCATAACTTCTTACCTCTTCTTCCCCTCAACGATATGAACGAAGACGATGAAAGCAAAGTCCGTGATGATCGACTCTTAGAGTGAAAAGGGTCGTAAACTATGTTACAAGGTTGTGCATATAAGGAATTGGTACAAACTGAGTCCATGGGTGAATGAATTTGGACTGAGATCGAAAGCTGAAATCCTAAATTAAGGAAGGGAGGGTCATCTTCTATGCTTGAATTTGAGAGAATCTGCAGCTTGCAGGCAGTGTTGTCGTCTAAAACAAAAACTCCTTCAACCAATGCTAGAAGTTTTTGTCATTCACTCAAACGAAAAATTGTTGCAAGCTGTTTATTATGATTTTTGTTCTAAAATTTCGACTTTTGAGAGTTGGGAGAGAGGATAGCCACAGAAGTTCTCGATATGATGTGGCCCGCGAAAGCGCCAGACTTTCCCTTTTTATTTCCGAGATAAGTTTGTGATTACTGGACTCTTAAAGCAGTCAGGGCATGAAACTGTCCAGTTTGGAATAAGCTTTTCGATCTGATAAAAATTTTATCTCAATTTTATCTGATAAAGTTTACGAATCTTCCTATTATACCTATTATATCCTCATGTACCGGCTCTAATCTTTAATATAAAAGTCAATAAACTAATTTAAATAGATTGAAAAAATTTGTTAAGTTAGTTATTTATATAATAAGTATTATTTTTTTTAGAATATAGTACTTACTAATCATGTGTATTAATTAAAATTATCATTTGATAAAATATTTAATGTGTCCAGCTATTATAAAGATTAATTTAAAAAAATTAGATAAATATAAGAGACAAAATGGATTGTAATCTTGTATTAGAATCAACTTGTATGTTAAATTAACTCTTATATTAAAGATTGAAAATGGTAATTTATCAGCAAAGGCAGGCATGATTTTTTATATATATAATCAATATTTATAAATAAATATTAGCTCCAGTCTTTAATATAAGACTTTATTTTGGTCCTAAATATAACACTACAATCCAGTTTATCTCTTATGTTATGCATTTTTTTAAGATAATCTTTTTAATAATAATAGTTATAGCCAGTACACTTAATTAGTAAGGATATTTTTGGAAAGAAAAGATATATTTATTATAAATAACTAACTTAACTTATTTTTTTAATATACTCAAATTAGTTCATTAGCTTTTATATTTAGAACTGGAGTGGAGGTTGTAGAATGTAAATGAATAATTTTAATATGCAGGGGGTAAATAAATTTCAAAATAATTTATATGAAAATAAAACAAGCCGTTGTTTGTGAAATAAAATAAAGTATCATTTATATCTAAACAGATGATAACAGATCATAGAATCTAAAAAATGATTGCTAAAAATATGTAAATGAAATAAAAATAGTTATTTATATTCAGAAAATAAATATTCTAAAACTAAAATTTCCGTGTGAGGTGTGACTCAAGAATCAAAACTCAAGCCTCAGGCCTCCCCCCTCTTTTTATTAAAACTCTAACAATCCCTCTACCATACTCTCATTACAGCGTCTCTTTGTCCAAAAAAATTTAGATAAGTTAGATCTATAACTTATCATAGTGAAGAAATGCTTCCTGATTTAAAAAATACTTGTAAAAATACTTACAAATCGCTTATTAATAAAATCTTTATATCGAACTCATGATCTAGTATACTAAATTATGAGTGTGACCAACTCTTCTTGTTGGCATCTCCCTCTCGTCTTTCGTTCTCTCTTTCTCACACAGTCCCTCTGGCCCACACTATTCTTCTTGTTCTTCAAAATCTGAAGCTAATGGGCTCTCATTCCCAGCATGGAACCTTAATCCGAAGCCCACAGCTGAAACTCATAAAGCTTTTGAGTTTTGAAAGGGTCTCCCATGCATTGTCGTCTTCAAATTTGCAGTGGAGTAGGGGGGCATCACATGGATCTAACAGTCATTTTCATGACGTTGACTTGAACGTGACAGTTTTTTTCAGGCACAGCTATTCTACTAAAACACTATGAGATACTCCTCCAGTCCTAATTATAAGACCCAATTGATTTATTTGAGGAGATTAAAGAAGTAAGTTAAGTTGGTTATTTATAACAAATAAGTGTTGTCATTCCTAAAATATCTTTGCTAATTAAGTATATTGACTAAAACTATCATTATTAGAAGGATTATCTTGGAAAAAAATACATAAATATAAGAGACAAAATGGATTGGGGTCTTATAATTAGGACCAAATAAAAAGTCAAATTGGGTCTTATAATAAGAACCAAAGGAGTATTAAATATTAACACATTTTTCAGCAGATATTTGAACAGTAGCCTGAGAGCTTTTAGTTTTTACTGGTCTGAGAGCCACTATCTCCCATCTCAAACATAGAAACTTGATGATTAATTTATGAATATTAAAAATTAGTTGTTTATAATAGATACTACTTCCGTTTTTTAATATAAGATCTTGTTTGACTTTTATGTTAGTTCTAAATATAAGACCTCAATCCATTTTGTCTCTCATATTTACTCAATTTTTTCTAAGATAGTCCTTTTAATAATTATAGTTTTAGCCAACACACTTGATTAGTAAAGATATCTTAGGAAAGACAACAACTATTTACTACAAATAACTAATTTAATTTTTTTTTAATTTTCTCATACTAGTCAACTAGCTCTTATAATTAGGATCGGAGGTAGTATTAATTTTTGCCTCGTTAATGAAAATCCTTTGGTGTACATAATAAATAATGATGATTTTAAAAAAAAAAGTTAATATAAACTTTAGTCCCTCAAGTTTGCCCTCATTTTTGTTTTGGTCCATTGAGTTCCAAACCATAGGTTTTAGTCCCTCATGAGGCAAAATAATCCAAGTTTTTATTAGATTACAGGGAGCAATATTATAAATGAAAAGAAACTTAAGGGGCCAAAATAAAAATAAAGGTAAACTTGATGAACCAAAATTTATATTAATCCTTAAAAAAATTATATATTATAGAACAAAAATTAGAATATTATATTGAATACTAAAATAAATACTTTACTTTTCATATTTAAACCAAAGAAAGCATGTATGGGTAAGGATGATGATTTTTAAAACCTGTTTGGAATCACATTTAAAAGTATTTATCAGTATGTTTTACATAAATCAAAACAAAATTTCTTTCATATATTTATTTCGCATTTTACAAATTATTATTGTATAATTCCCTCCGCATGATTTGTTATCTGTTCTATAACTAATGTAACTAAAGTTGGTAGTGTTACATATACAGAGAGAGAGTATACATATATATTGTTTTATTGTTTAATTAGAGTGTTTATGAACCAATGATGAACCCTTGATGTCAATATTCGATCATTACTTCTTTTAAATTCTGTATCCTTTTAAAAATTCTAATATTCAATTTCTTTTATAAATTCGGTGCAAGAACAAAAATTAGAGTTAATGGGGGCCAGACCATGTACGAACTTAACGGAGAAGGAATGCGGTTAAAACGACGCAGCACGGGGGGGATGAGGTGGCAATTCCCTCTGGAGACAGCGACACGTGTCCGAGTGGGCTTTCACGTGAAGCCCCGGCCCCATGCGAAAAGGACTAGGAAACATGCTAAACAATTGTTCAAAGGGGGTTGCCAAAAGGTACGATGCCTTGTTCACAAATGATTGGTTCCAAGATTCTCACTCACTCGCCCAACTGGTTCTTTAAGTTGTTGGAAGATCATGTCTTCGTCAACTTCCAAATAATTCATTTTCTCAGCATTCCCTCACTACTCCATGTTTTTCGCACTGCAAAATATTAATTCATTCGATGATGAATTCATTAGATTAATACTTAAAATGTTACTCCTCCGGTCCTTATTATAAGACCCCATTTGACTTTTTATTTGGTCCTAATTATAAGACCCCAATCCATTTTGTCTCTTATATTTATGCATTCTTTCCAAGATAATCCTTCTAATGATGATAGTTTTAGCCAATATACTTAATTAGTAAGGATATTTTAGGAATGATAACACTTATTTATTATAAATAACCAACTTAACTTACTTCCTTAATCTCCTCAAATAAGTCAATTGGGTCTTATAATTAGGACCGGAGGAGTATCTTTTAATCAGCCAGATCATCAACTCTATTTCATTCAAACTTAATTTTCATCACTGTCTTAATTATATTAAAAAATCTGCAGAAGGTCATGTTTTAATTAAATTATAATCATCACAGTGCTTTACAAAGAGGAAAATTACTACTGCTCGAGTCCTTAATATACGATTTAATCATTGAATTAATTTTGATACCAAATATAAATACTCTATCAACCATAATCAAGTAAAAGAGAGAGAATATTAAAGAAGATGATTATAGTGTTTTAGAAAAAAGAAATCATATTTCTCATAATTAACTAACTTATTCAAATTAGTTAAACAGGTCTTATAAAGAGTTTATCAACATCTTCTTCACCTTAATACCCCAAAAGGGGCATACGAGTATTGCTTCGATTTCGAATTTGGCTCAGGAAAACACTAGCATGGAATGTTGGCATAATTACAGGGAAAAAGATTGCCGCGTCAATCAATGAAGAGGGGCATTTTATATATATATATATATATATATATATATATATTTGCCCTCATTGTTCCACCACCGACTAAATAAAATTTTATTCCATCAGGCTCCAAAAGCCAGCCTTATTAATCAATTGTATTTGTGGGCTTTGAGCTTTACGTTAATTAACCAATGGATCAAGGAAACGCGTGTGGGACCTTTATGGCTGAGCTGGACTTTCCATTCATTCACATTCTCTTATAGAATGCTGACATGGCAGAGGACAGAATCTAAAAGATCATCAATGATGAAAACTCCTTTTCTCTCTCTGTTGCATCGTCTGAAAAGGCTGACGAAGGTTGGTGGAGGCAACGATTTTATTATATGACGAGATAAACGAAACTTAATTTCCTCACATTTTTATTATATTATATCCCGAAATCATATAAAGTATCTTTTTCTTTCATTTCATCCATCCAACTAATTTTAATGAAAAAAATTATAAAAAATAAAAATGACTTCCATTTATTAACACATATACTCTTTAATTAGTGAGATTTTGCTTTCCGTCTTGTTCCCAACTCAGCCAACCCTTTCTCGTTCACGCTCACGAATTGAAAGCCAAGACAGGAAATTAAATCCATAAAGGGATATCGATTCATCCCAATATCAAAGACGTTACATGATCAGAAGCAAACCAAGCACACAGTAGTACACTTTCTGATCTTAAAACACCGTTCCATGTTTAATTTATTCCTGATCTACATATACATATCCACAGGCATATATATAGATAGATAGGTAAAGTAGGAAGCCAAACAAACAAACCCTTGCTACTAAAAGCTTCCATAATCAAACTGATGAACTACGAAGCACACTCACATCAGAAAACACACCAGAAACTGATGGGACTGACCTTAATTAAAAACGAACAGAAAGGAAAGAAAACCATGATGGATGGAAATCAATAGATGACGGATGAGAAAGAAGAGACGACGATGACGGGTTGGATGGAGTAGGAGGTAGACTCACATATCACGGACATGGAAGACATTGGGATTCTTGATGACGATATCGTACATATTGATGGAGCTGAACTTGGAGAAGTCTCTGGGCAGAGAAATAAGATCAATGGAGGAATGCTTGTGAAACTGGTACAAATGAGGATCCCCGCCATAATACCTCTCCCACCCTAAACCAGTCAGTATCTGCTCTAGAAAGCTGTACGAAGACACGACCTCACCTGTGGGCAGGTGCACCAGAACCTTCTTCCTCGACCCGCTTCCCTTCCCCTGCCGGCCGTCCGACCCCTCCGCCTGAGGATTCTCCACTAATCGGTAAACGCCGTTCTTGAACACCCAAACCCCTGACATTATTATGATCACTATGATATGATGTAACAAATGATGGAGTGGGTTCTTGGCTGGTTTGAGTTGGTGAGGCCAGGAGGGGGTATATATATGTGTGTGTGAGACAGATAAAACAAGAGGGAAATATAATGTCTGAAAGTTGGGTGGGGATATAATGGTAATAAAATAAAGAAAAGAGTAGTTTTGGGGGTTGGCATATATAGAATCTAGATATTGTGGGATCTGAGTGGTTTAAATATGAGACTACATGGATGCCTCCTCTAAAGGGGCTAATGAACGGAAGGGCATACAAGAACCGGCAATGAGGTTTAGTTTGGGTGAGAATCTTCAATATGGCTGCTTCTTTTTTGTTTTTTAACATTTAGACAGAGCGAATCTGCTATATATATATAATCATATTATACAAAAGTCAATCGCAGAGGAAAGGAGGGTGTTTGTGTGCGCCCACTTACATCACGGGTAGTCCACGTGAAGAGAAGTGGGCATGTTTGATATTACAGATATTTCGTCCGACGAACAACGATGATGATGCTCGTCATTGCGAATAATTGGTACACCACATGTTCAAATCAAATCTTTAGTCACTCTTCTCTTCTTATCCTACATATATAGGAGTTAAATGACTGATTTGATTTGCAGATATTAATAAAATTAATTAAGTTTGTTATTGTAAGATATCTCTTTAATTATTTGTATTGGAAACTTTTTTCAATAAAAATCCTCTCAATAAATACAATTAATGGGTATAACTTGAATAACAAATTATAGATTTCAAAAATAAAATGAACTGAATAATAAACTACTCTGCTAGTTCTTATATTTAGAATCAGATAGATAGAGGTTGTTATTTCATCAATTAAATCACCCCCAAATCAATTAAACCTCCAAATGCCTTTCGTAATTTGTACTACTCTTCAGACTTGTTAATCACATCATGCTCTTCAGTCTTCAGTGTGTGTGTGTGTGTGCCTGGATATAAAATCGAAATTAGTCAAGTGCAAAGCACGCTGGTAATTGTTTCTGACTTTTTGGTTGTTTGTTCTAATAAATACTTGGTCACGCTGAAATCATTAATGATACGATTACATATTAAATAATGTGAGCTAATTTATATATACAGGCGTGTGAAGATATATATAGCCAGCTACGCACGGATTAGCTCTCTTTATCTTATAATAAGCATGGCTTAACACAAGATTCGTACGTAATTATATATGTACTATGTATTAAGTACTTAATGGTATATAATTAAGAACAAATTGTTGCATGAGTTTGCTGCGTATGAAAGCGTTGTGGCCGACAAAGGCCAAATAATCGCTACTTAACTAACCCTGATGATAAACATAGGCTAATTAATTAGAGTTATTAAATAATTAGTTCTGGAAGCTGATCGAATCATTACTATTCATATGCATTTTCGTTTTTTTATGTAGTACTAGTACTCCTTAATATTTAATTTCACAGAATATGAGGTCACATATTGATTGTTATGTTCGTCTTTGTTTATATTACATTCGGTTCTTAATATAAAAGCTAGTTGACTGATTTGAGTAAATTAATTAAAAAACTTAGTTAAGTTAATTATTCGTAATAAATAGGTGTTTTGTTTTAGAAAAGAATCCACAAATGACAGCTGGCCAGTATACTTAACTTTATTTCGCTCTTTATTCCTTCAATGCCTTACAAAACTGAAGTTCTTCCTTCCCTGCACTGCCATTTTCTCCTTCAAGATTCTTCATTCCCAAGCATTTTCACAGAATAAAGAAATTTTCAATCACATGACGAAAAGGGGGCAAAAATAAATTGATCTTTAATGAAGAAAATGCACCCCCAAAAAAAAACTATGCTGATAAGTTTAATTTCATGCACTAATTAACCTTAATTTTCTGTTTACGTATCATAACTACTTTTTGTACATATGCTGTTTCTTGAATTTCTTGGTGTCAGTATGTGATGATTGGTGAACCAATCATATATTCCCATAATTAGGAGATGATTGAGATATGAACAAAATTTTTCTGGGACGTCATGATTTAACATAGTCCTCATGTGTAGTTTCATTTATATATATACACATCAAGGTCAAGAAATCAGAAATAATAATAATGGAGCCCTTCACAATCAAAAACTATATGTTCAAAGAAAGGACCACAAGCAGTTAATTCCAATATGGAAGATATATCATTATCATTGTCGGCTAAATTTAGGTCAGCTGATATAACACAGAATTCTTTGTTGCTTCAAATTGCTGGGTTCCCCACACGGCATCACATGGGCATGGTCCTCCACAACACCACACCACACTGGAACAAAAGATAACATTGACAGAAACTTCTATGCCCACTATGTGTTTGTGTTTTTCTTGATTAATAACGGCCAGACAGATTAGTTCTAATACATTTATTTATGTCTTGAATGGTATGTATAATCAATAAATGTTTATATATTCATTGAAAAGATAGTTAGAGAGAAAGAGCAGGTGTGGTGTCTATTAAAAAGAAAATGGTTAAAAATCGTTTTTAATAGTTTGGACAGGCATAGAAAAGGCCATTGAAGTGAGGCATTGGTGAGGAGGATAAATTAAATAGTAAGAATTCCTTTAAGAAAAGATAAAAGGAGATTGAAAAGAACGCTCAATGAAATCAATAAATAAGATTTAATTTTTTGGCAAACAACCTAAACAAAGATTTGAATGTTGATAAAGCACGATAACATCATGTGATATATATATATATATATATATATCAAGCCATAAGTAATTACTCTGGCATAGGCAATTAAAGGCAGTGGCATATTTAGGTTCCAAGATGATGGCTAGAATATAATTGACAGGCATGAACAAATTAAAGTTCCATTCAAATTAAATGGCGTACGTGGTCCAAAAACAAACAAGTCTCGTTCTCGTGCCTCCTTGAGAAGTCCAAGTGTTACTTCATGTTGGCATGTTTCTATGTGTTTGCCTTTAGGATAGCCGCAAAAAATCCCATGAACACAGACCTTACAGACAACTCCCTATGATCTTCCCAAAATCCTACGTGACGCTGTCCCAAAACTTCCTTTTCCTGCTCCCATTTTCCAGCTTTCGATTTCATTCTCTCCGCCAGTTTTAGATAAAAAAGAGACTTCACATATTTCCCAATTACGAGATCGTTCATTCTTCCAATTTTTGTTTGAATTTTACACGACACGATCGCCCATCCAAAAGATTCTAATCCCTTCTCACTTGTTGACAAGAAATGACAAACAGAAACAGAAAACAAGCAGGCACAACAACCCCAAAAAAAAAAAAAACTTTTCGTGGGGGCTGGCTATGTCACTAAATTCCGTAAGGCACCCACAAAAACTTTATGGAAAATATATGCCTTCTTCATTAATAAGCACTTGAAAATGACTTTCGTGGGGGGGAAGTTAGGTCCTCTATAGAATCTTCCAACCCACATTCTCTGCATATATATAAAAGCTTGTGCATCATAACAAAAGCCTACTTAGCTGCTAGCTAGCTACCTAGTTTTCTCAAACTTGTACAACTACTTTACAATATTTCACTTCTGGAAATATCCCTTACGACACATCTCAACATATATCAATATCAGTTCCAGTTGTAAAACATACCGTTCTCTGAAGCTGACATTAATTATTCTCATCTAAATCTTTTTTTGGGGCCTTATCAGCATTCTTCCTTTCATATATGTTAGCGATTTGATGAGTAACCAACAAGTTTGGGAGTTTGTAGAAATCAAGGTTCTGATTTATTATTATAAGCCATTCACGAGAAGCCAGGAAATACAGTACCCAGCTATATCATATTCGTTAAGGTATGTATTACGCATTATCATGAAGAGTTCTACTTCTAATTGAAGTGGGTTAGCTAGCTAGCGGATCGAGATTCTGATTCTAACAGGTTTTAATTTATATGGCCGGGATTCAATAAAGAGAAAGCTTTTTTATTTTATTTTTTTCAATTTCCATTCACTTAGGGTTTAATAACGATTTGTCCGTTCTTCGAGGGATAGGTACCCCATAATCAAGCCACGATTTAATTAAATATTAATACATATCCATCGGATTGTATTTGATTCCAGGGATATCGATGACATATATATAAAGCAGAAGATAAGAAAGTTAAACGAAAAATTAATTAGAATAGCATATTCTGGTTAGGTGAATAATTAGGTTTCTTTATCGTAATTAGGAATATTGGAATTGGAATTGTTTTTGTTGTGTGAGAGATCTCACACCATATTATATATTCCTTTGAGAAAGATATATATAAAATGTGGATTAAAGCGATGGACAAGAGAAGCATCTAATGCCTTGTATAATAACATAGGGAGGGAAAAAAGAAAAAGAAAAAAGAAAATGAGAGAGAGGTCAGAGAATGCCTGCAAAGGTAAGCCAGTAATAGTGGTGAAGAAGTGTGAAGGAGCATATATTCCACCATTTACTTGATAAGTAATTAACTAATTAATTATATATAATCATCATCATTTGATTATGATGGGACATTAATTGCGACTGCTCAAGTTATCTCATACACATGTTTAATCGGTTACGTTAATTATTAATCATAAGATGGATTAAACAAAGAAAATTCTGTGATGTGAATTTAACTATGCAGGCTAACTTAATTAGCTAGCTGGATCCATTATTTATGAACAAGTGAAAGCTTACCAAGACAACACCCTACAGGTATATGTGTTTCGTCTTTACAATCACATCATAGATGAATTTAATGTTTGTTAATTACAGGGAGCACACAAGAGTTGACATAAGGCATGTATAAATTTGATTTGGGGGGGCTGAATGTTGATTGTGTATACGATAAAGAAAAGGCCATTTTAAAAATGAGAATCTGAGCACCAAAATTATAATATAATATAATATCTCCGGTCGTTAATATAAGAATTTGTTTGACTTCAATACAAAACATTGAAACCAAAGTTATCCATTTTTTTAAAATTAGAATCTGAGCACCAAAATTAGAATATAATATAATATAATATTCCCGTTTCTTAATATAAGAGCTCGTTTGATTTCAATACAAAACATTGAAACCAGAATTATCCATTTTTTTTAAAATTAGAATATAATATATTATAATATATTATATTATATTTTGGTCATAAACATAAGATTTTAATATACTTTATCTCTAATATTTATCTATTTTTTTAAGTAGTTCTTATAATAATGGTAGTTCTAACTAATATATTTGATTAACAAAGATATTTTAGAAAAAAACAATATCTATTTATTACAAATAACTAATTTAATTAATTTTTTAATATACTCAAATTAGTTAACTGGGTCTTATATTAAAGACCTGAAATAGTAATATAATTTATAATATAATATTACACACACATATATAACACTATCCTCTTAAAGTGTGGAACCGTCATCAACAAGATGCCATTCACATACGTACAAGATAACGTACCAGGAGCTAGCTTTAGTTCTCGTCGATTCGTAGACACACATATATATCTACAAAATGTGCTAATTAATAATAAACATTTGTCCGTGACTATTTCTCTTCTATATTCTTTACTTCTTTTTTTCCTAATTCCCATCATCTTCTCAGGGAAGAACAGTTTTCTGAAAAACACACACACACACACACGCACACCGATAGTCACACACACGCATGCACGCATAGTATTTTTAAGATATTTATAGTCAACAAGCAAAGTCATTGGTAGAATTTATGAAGAATTCGATCCGATCCTCTATTTCCATTTTTCAAAGGACAATATGTGGTTTCAACCTTAAAAAAAAAGAAAAAGAAAAAAGCCCTACCTTCGGTCCTAAATATAAGAATTAGTAGTTGACTAATTTGAGTAGACTAAAAAAATAAGTTAAGTTAGTTATTTGTAATAAATAAATATTGTTTTTCCTAAAACATCCTTTCTAGTCAATTTTATTAGTTAGAATTACTATTATTAGAATGACTATTTGAAAAAAATAGATAAATATGAAAGACAAAATGAATTAGGATCTCATATTTAGAACTAAAATAAAAATTAAACGAGGTTTTATATTAAAAACAAGAGGAAGTAGTGTCCAAAATAATGAGACAATTGAAATGAAGCTCCTAGACATTAGGGGACCATGTCCCAATTAACCTTAAGGGTCATCAATGGCGTTCATCGATGTCCTGTGTCTTGTTTTTCCGTGATGTGCGTCTTGCATGGCGGTAGGGTAATAAGATCTTACACATGTTTCAGTTTATATTTCGACGTGTTTCTTTGTTTCATATGTTCTGTTTCAGATTTATTAGGTTTCAATGTTTTGTGTTGGTTCTATAATCTAACAGGAAGCTCATAATATTATGTACTAGTATATTTTTACTTAAATTTTGAATCGAAATGAAGCTGGTTTTTGTAAATTCCAGTTTCTACTGTGCACTCTCATGAGCTGAGAAAAATAAGGTATATGCAGCCTCGTATCATTCGTTCCATTACTGGCAACATATTTAGCACTAAACATGGCCTTTCAAGTTTAATTTCAACAGATGCCAAAATAAAATTTGCTATTTGCGATACTGTAACTACATAAAAAGAACACCAGAAAGAAAAATCCATGTAAATAATCTAGTATTGAATGCTTCACAATATTTTTACACATTGATTGTTCTCAACTAATTTTAACTGTGTTTTTTGATCAACGTAATTCGATTATTTGTCTCTTATAATAAAAAACGGAGGGAGTAATATATATAAAGCATACAGACAAAAAATATTGAAGAGCACGAAAGTACGAGTTCATATACCAATCTTTTATTGCACAGGGTGCATTGTAATAGTCATGATAAGCCACTCCTTGCACATAAAAATGAACGAGAAACCCAATAAAAACCCCCCAAAAATAAATATGTGTTAGACTTTTAACACTCTTTTAATTTATTTTGATGAATTTTTATTAATTAATCACCCACACTTGTTTTTCTCAAACGTTTTCCACCTTTTTTTCCCCGCACGTTATTCCAGTGACAACTATGTCCTTCCTCCTCTTCCTCTTCCTCTTCCTTGTCCTTTCTTTTCTTTCCCTTTCTCATTCATTCCTTCATTCGAGTCACAAGGCGACCAAAAGGGAAGCGACGGCCATGGCTGTTCCCACCAATCCCATCTTGACGCGTGTGGAGCTGCTCGGAGAAGACGAGTCGCTGTCATCGGCAGCCGAATCATCGGACGGTCCCGGAGCATCTGCCGGTGCAGGTACAGGTGCACTGCTCGGTGAAGGGGATGGAGCTTCGGCATCACCATCACCAGTGTCATCACTTGGTGCATCGGCCTCGCTATCATCATCGGACGGAGACTCCGCCGGTGCCTCCGAACCGTCGTCCTGCTTCGGTGGGAAAGTGGTGTGAGCTCCAGGTGCGGGCCATGGACTCTGAGCATCAATGCCTGGGGGGATGATAGGCTGAGAAACCTGGAGAACGGAGATGTTGTAAGGCTGAGTAGTGACGGTCTTCACGAACTGAGCGTTGAGAGGAGCGCCTTTCACCGCGGAACCGAAGTAGAAATGGCCGCCGCCGGCGTTGTACACGAGGAGGAAACCCTGGTTATTATTTGCGACGCCGCTGGACTGGTAGAGAGTGGTCAATGTGGTGCTGTCGTTCTGGATGTTCATGAGCTTCTTCTCGTCGTAGTAGTCGAGGATGATGTGGGCGCTGACGATGGCCTTGATGGAGTCTTTGGACCGGCCGGAGATGGAAGAGAGCGATGAGTTGTCGACGGCCAAAACCGTGACGGTACCGCGTCCGTTGATCTCACCGGCGAGGCTGGAATCACCGATGTATTGGTTGAACAACCCAAAATCTGGATATTGTGCCAACAACCTGGTGATATTGTAAGCCTGAGCGGCCGAAGAGAGAGCTAGCAAAACAGAAAAGCAAAGGAGGAGACTCGTGGGGCCCATGTTTAAAGGCTTTTTTAGGACTTTCTCTTTGTTTTTCTTGTCTCTTCTTCTTCTAATGAGTGCTTTGTGGAATGACAACAGAGCCAAAAAGCTTGAGGAATTTGCGAAAAGTGACAGTGGTATATATACAAGTAATGCCGGAGGAAGCTGAGCAACGAGTTGAAAACTGAAAGTGGGATTTGGTACGGCCCGGGAACGAACCTTTCTCAGCTTTCCTATTTAGAGCATGGTTTGGACGGTTAAGCTTTGTCTTTGCTTAAAAAGGAATTAGGAGATGGCCAATGCTGGCACGTCGTTGCTCTAAAATTAGGATTTTTGCTATTTCTTTATTCGTTTGCCGCTCTTTAAAAGGCTCCAGTCTGTTGTGCAAGTTAACTAAAGTACGTGAAATCTAAACAATCAGAAAGAGTAGTGAGTTGGCAGGCAACATACATGTGGGATATGATCGACAAAACCTGAATCAGGTTTGCAAAGAGTCGTTCCCGACAACCCAAATCATGTGTCATCCTTAACAAAGTTATCAAACCAAAAACCACTATCTAAAAAATACAATACAATTCGACAAGTGCGACTAAAATGATGCTTTCATTAGGACATTTGGGCATGACCACTTGGACCAGAAATTCCTCCCTCCATTGTCGGAGAGGTCGTCATTTGTTGTTAATCTGGTCAATGATATCTGCTATCACCTTGTCCATGTCTAATTGCTTCATCGGTGTAAACGGACGCTTCATGTCCTGCAAAATACAAGATAATCGTAATATTTATGACTATACAACTTAAAATTACTGACAGCTCGTGGCAAAATCTAAGATAGATGACTAAAACACTTGTGTTAAAAATATTATAGCACGAGCTCCCCCTGTTACTATTATTTTCATACAGAGTCTAAAGTAGTAATTATTTTAACACAAGAATTAAACTCTAAAGCAACAATTACTTTGCAAAAGAATATACATACAACTGAATGCATAAGGAATTAAAGTTGAAAGACATTCTTTCTTTGGTGTTATAGTTATGTGATATACTACCTCCGGTCTTATTTATAAGAACTAGTTGACTAATTTGAAGAAATTAAAGAAATAAGTTAAGTTAGTTATTTATAATAAATAAGTGTTGTCTTTTTTAAAATATCCTTATTAATCAAGTATATTGACTAAAACTACCATTATTAGAAGAATTACCTTGAAAAAAAAAAAGATAAATATGAGCGATAAAGTGGATTCTAGTCTTATATTTAAGACCAAAATAAAAATCAAACAAGATCTTATATTAAGGACCAGAGATAGTATTATAGTATTATTAGATCACATTCATCAGATCTAACTAGCAATATAGGTTGCCAAATTCAAGAGACTCTTGCAATACTTGATGGTTTAGAAGAAATGAAGAAATGACGTTGAGACACACTGAGCTTCTAAAACGAAGAAATGCCGAGTCAACTTTATTTGGGGCGATTTTCACTTGTCGTCCACCAATACATTCATGGCATTCAATAAATTGCCACAAAGTAAAATCAAGCCTTCCATCAACCGATGAAACCTCATATTACAAAAAATTCCAATTACGATTAAATAACTTTCTTCAAAAGCCATTGATGAAACACACGCAGGACAAATCTAAATCTAAAGTGATTTGACACCTCTAGAATGAACCTACATCCAAGATCACAAACCAGTTTCTAAAATTCAAATATCCACAAATCTGACTTTATTATCAAGCTTCTAAATATCCCTCTTAATGTGGACTTTAAAGCATATTCTTTACCAAATATTTAAGCCTGATAATCAATGGTATGCTACTCTATAAATCCCTTCAACATACTTGATTCACCAGAAAGAAATCTAGCCTCAATCTACTATGAGAAAACCAAAGGGAATTTCACCTCAGCATTGATTGGGAAAGAGACATTTATAAGCTAATTATTGATCTGATGCTACGACTACAAAGCAAATTTCTAATATAGCAGCTCCGTTCAATCAGATAAAAGAAGTAGCAACAATTATTCAAGTTATTTGGGTTTGATAACACTATAGAAGGACTTACCAAGAGGCTAATGAATATCTCACCTCCTTCTTCCCGTATTTCAAAGCAACCTCTTCTTGGCTGTTCAAAGCAAGAAATCAGAGGCATCATCAATAATCAATCACAACTCGACAATGAACGACTATTCAAATAACAAATCATATTATACTTAATAATCATTCCCATAGTTCAACAAAAAACATTATATATACCACAGAGAAAACAGAGTTACACAAGTAAGAACCAAAAAATACCAACGACTTTCCTCCCCAACATGCAGATCGCCTAGCATCCATATATAACTAATGTCCCACATTTTCATTTCCCATCCAATATGAATAAAAATATGATCAAGCATTCAGCTTCATCAAATGAAGTAAAAAGACAACAGCAAAACTAACAGTCACCACAGCGTACCTTTTCAGGGTTCAATATCACCGTGATCCCAGGAACACTTTTCTCAAGACCTTCTTTCACCAGATTAGCTCTCGTTTTGAATGAATTGCATTGTTTACTAGTGAAAGGAAAATTCTTAATTATCAGCAGTTTTCAAGAATCAAGTATATTAACTTCAAATGAAACTGGAAAAACTCAAATTTCACAAAAACCCGACAGCTACTAGATGCTTTGGAATTCGTCGATTCATCTTATTGAATGTATTGGAGGACTCAAGACGGTCAAGAACACAAGAAAAGAAAATCTGTTTTGAACATGTTAACAAAGCCCTTTGGGTGATTCACTGAAATTCCAGCGTATGATGGGGCTTCAAATATCGACTTATTTCGGATAGTCGAAGAAAAAAAGATTTCATCTTTATGAGCACCAACTGAGGAACAGAAACAAGTTATAAAAGTTCACAATAATGCGGCCCAAAAAGGAATACTTGAGTCAAGATTACTCAAGTAACTAAATATTGACACCTCTCCTCATCTTCCTAACAAGTTTTGGCATTGCCGGCATCAGTAGGAATGCCCAGAATCAAAATCTTCACATTTCATAAACAATAAACCCTCCTCACGCTCCTCTTTATCTTTATATTTTATAAAAGAACACTTTGGAAGCCATTCAGCAGAACCCAAAGAGTAAATAATAAATCAAAAAGCGATAACATGCTTAAAAGGAACGAGAAAGTAATAACCCAAAACAGGGCAAACAGCCAAAAACGAAACTTATTGCATACCAGTGCTCAATCACGATGGTCTGCTTCGACTCATCGCCAGCTTTGGTTTTCTCTTTTCGGCCTTCCTTCGGCTCCTCCTTCGGTTTTCCCTTGCCGGCTCGTTTCGCTTTCTTGGGCTTCTTCTCCGGCAACTCAGAGACAGAAAAAGAATTTTGGGCGGCTCGCTTAGAGGAGGCACGAGTCACCCTAACGGACGTCGTCGCACTAGGTACAGTAGACTGTTCTCGGTTACCCTTGGTCTTTCTGGGAGCCATAGCAGAGAACCCTAAATATAGTTAATGCTTCTTCGACGAGAAAATGAAAAATCACAAGAGCTCTAGTCCTGAAAGATGTGGGTTCGATTGATACAGGAACATGAAAATACGAGATGCTCTCGCTGAGGCAGACTAGGCAGTCAGAAATGAGAGAAGTTAAAAAAGCGCCTTTTACCGCGATTCTGAATTTGAACGGAGGGTTGAGATGTGGTGTGATATTTCATGAACGATCTAGACCGTCGATGATGGGTCACTGACAGGGTGGGGCCTTTGCTTGTCGCCGGAAACGGAAATCGAACGGACCACACGAGCTCGGATCGTACATGAATTTGGACCCTTCCGATTCGGTTCAGACCAGTGTGCCGCATTTATTTATTTGGGTCATTTATATTTATTTAATATTTTGTCCACGTAATTAAGACACGGCGTCCTCATCCCAAGGATCATCCCATTACGCTTTCCAAATCACTTTTTAGTCTTAAACCAACCGCCTCTCCCTCCACTAACCGTGCCCAACGTAAAAACATTTCTCAATTTGACATGTTTAAACATGTGGTCTGGTCAAGGTTAAGGTAGTTAAGTGAAAGCGCAAAATCACGGATTTGACTTTTTGTGAATGTCAGTAATGCGTTTGAATTGAATTCTTTCCAAATGGGTGAGATTTTTTTGCCATCCCCCATGGAAAAAAAAAAAGAAGACTTTTGCTTGTTGCCGTAATGCCGTGTAAAAACTAAAAAGTGTCGGTAGGATATGGGTTCCAAAAATTTACTCTATAGCTGTTTTTTTTGTTCGAAAAATGTTTAGTCATTCTTTTTTATTTCACCAAACTAAATGTTTATAAGTATAAATATTTAATAGCATTTAATATAGATTACATAAATCTCATCTCAATACATATAAAAATCCTAACACATCAATTCAAGCTCACTAGGGAAGTTACTGCAATGATCAGCCTCTATATATGCATAAAATTCCGTGTTTAACTGCTTTTATCTGATGAACCCCTTTAACAACAACATACTGAGCCATTCAGAAAGTAGCATTTGATGCGGGGTTGCTGATACTTGCCCATGCGTTACGGTCACCTAAGAGTAAGATCCAGCAAGATCAAAACTTCTCCTCCTTCCTTGTCAATGTACAAAATTTTCATCTCTGTTTCTTCAGTTTTCCGTATGCGAATAACCACCAGAAAGTGAAAAAATGGTTCAGACGGAATCAGCAGCTATATCTTCGTTCAGAGATTTAGGCAGAATCTTATCAATTCAGAAAGTTGTAAAATTGGAGAAAAGGTGCATCAGTCTGTCCAGAGTTCGAGGGTAAAAAATTCTGGCAAACAGATAGCAAGGTCGTTTCAACCCATTCCAGATGCATGGTGTGATCAGCACTGATCTCTGCAAGGCATGTTAAAGATTGAAAACCAGATAATATCATCATATTGCTTGTTCCCACAAATACCCATAACATTATCCCACTATCAAGAACTGAGACTTCTACCTTTGAATCACTTGTATAATGCACACTCTCATCAATTGACTGCGGTGAATGAGATAACGTCGTTAAGCAAGCATGGTAAATAGATGAAGAGAGGGAAGGGAGTAACATTTTAAACACCGGAATCTAAAATGTAAGTAAACTTTCTGAATCTCTCCCCCTTCTCTCTATATATATGCTTTTCTAGGCTCAAGTCACATACCGATATGGCATTCAGAAGTTTAGAGGTAACATCCTGAACCCTGAACAATCTGGGATGCCATTTTCCCTCAGACCAATCTACGTATGTTACTGACCAGTTTGCTATTCCATTTGGATCAAACTTCTGAGGACAAACCAAATGAGTTGGAAAGGAGACTAGATTTTTGTTGTTGCAAAACAATGAGAAGAGATTAGTGCACTGACATTAAAGAATGTTGGCAAATAATGCTCACTAGCATAGCAGTTTCGTCCATTCATTTTTGGCTGCCAAAAAAGGTTTAAACAATGAACAATATAGGATGTTTGTATGATAAGCTGCCAATTTTCATTCTTCCTAGAAGCCTCATCAAACAAGTTATTTGTACGTAGAAATAGTACCCTGCAATGAAACTTGAACTTTGTGAAGTAAAGACTGTCAGCCATAACCATTGTAGCGTGCTGCCGTTTCATTGAAAACCACTGCAACACAAACATGACAACAGAAACAACGGCATATCAGTTAAAAAAAGGGTTTCTTTTGAGTGCCCTTTTCTCTCTATCCAAATATGTTCTACGATCTTGGTACACATCATACCTGTGATCCCTTTCGGAAATCGTTCAGCTCTACTTCAGGCAACATATGCTCTATGTACCTGCCATTTCCATGAGGACCAGGGTCCACAAAACTGTTTTTCAGGGGGAAAATGGGGAAGAAAAATAGAGAAAGATTAGGGCCAGATTAAGAGTGTAAAGAAGTTGCTATAACTTCAGTTAATCTATAGAAGTTGCTTTCAATTGTCTTACCATTCAATAAAGCTGACATTTGCTAACAAGAAGTAATTGTACACAAATTCAAAGTTACGCACAGGTATACAACTGAAACAGAATTTCAAAATATAATTAACCAGATTGAGTCTTAAAACAAGCACGGGTTAGCGAAAAAAACAACCAGATAACTAAAAACCTGTCAGACAGCAAAACAAAATGTTGGTTATCAGGATCCAAGAGTGCATTTGCCAAAAGTCTCCTTTCTGCCTCAACCGTGGTAATTGTTCCCCAACCTACCTGTTAGGATTTTGAAGCAGGTTTCAAGACTTAGATTCTTTCCTTCTTTGTTATAAACCATTCACATCTTAAGTATAATGAAATTAAATACTAAACAAATATATCATTAGATTAGAGGACAATCTGCATGTTGTTTTCCCCAGCATTTGTAAGTTCTTGCTCTCCAAACAATACCCGAATTTATAAAGTGAAATGTGAGATATCCAGTGTTAACATCTGAAAACCAACGAAAAACAATCACATAAATCTCATTACCGGTTTGCTATGAATTTCTCTACCAACAAAATAGCGGCTCTTATGTACTGGCTTTTCTTTTGATGAGTGCACATAAACAGAGAATTTGCCTTCATGACCCTGCGGTTTGTTGTTACTAGAATTCAAATAAGTAGGACTTAAACATAACTATATAGCATTCAAATGAAAGGAGTTGCAAAATCAGATTCTATGCACCGGTCATAAGTGATCACAAATTTCTAGCAAAGCTCCAGGTTATACGATCAGGATTAAGCAGTGAGTGACTTAGTGCCACAAGAATCATAATGCTTCAAGACTCTAGTTAATTCTGGGATATCGGTCTTTCCCCTAGGTACATCCCCTTTTTTGAAGAGGACACCCAGCTTCACACACATATTATAGCACAAGACAGCTTTTACTTCTCCATCCATATGTAGCTCACTTACAGTCTATTCCAAAATCCAAGAAGAACGACATGATATAAGATGACTCAAATTCAATCCTCACAAAAAACTCTGCTGTAGCATTATATGCATAAGCTTAAGACTACTCTGAAAAACCCCATGGTATAGCTATTACCATAAAAATAGTACAAATAAAATGAGTCAAAAGTGAGAAAATGAAAGAGAGAATTGATACTCATGAAAGTAGAAGAGAAAGAAACGTTCATGGAATAAGAATGCCATACTTCAAAGAATGTGTGCCAGAGCTTCTCAAAAGGCAATGGACCTGGGGTCATAAACAAAAAGGCAACTTTGGGGTTCTTGGTTTCAATCGGCGAGATCTTGAGAATTTCCTCATTAACAACGCGAGATTCAATCTCATAATCAGTTATTTGCGGAAAGGCATTCGGAGGCTGATCGTTGGAGATATAAGTATGGATAACAACAAGGAATATGATCAATATACAAGTTGCTACTATTTCCTTAGAATGCCTCCTTAATAGTAACCGCTTTCTTGCTCCCACCATGATCAGAATTGAGAAGCTTTCTTACACCTTACAGCCATGCATTTACTTTCTTCATGCAAGTTGAAGATACCTCGGCAACTTGATCAAACATTTCTCGGCTATCATATTCAACACCGACCTGGTGCCATTGTTCCCAAGAGGAAAAAAGACAGGAAAAGGCCATTAATAATTTTTTCTAACAATTCCCAAAAAGATGAAAGGAAGAGTGGCTCACAAATTCATCAGTTCATAAGTAATAAACCGTGATTTCAAGATTTATCAATTACCGCGCTTGTCCGATATTCCAGACGCGACATTTTATCCAGGATATTGCTATTGCAATGAGGTACGTTAGTATTATTTGAAACTCAGAGCATGTTTTAGACGGGATATGACGTCTAAATTAACAGAGCGATGAAGATCTATGAACAAACAAAATGACACAGACGACCTACAACTCATCATCATTACTGAACACACGTACATGTGTGGCATTTGGCAAGCACAATTGATTCATGATCAAAAATAATGGACGACCAAAATCCAAATCTTAACAACGTTCAGAATTATCGATACCTCTGACGCAATGCAGAGATCCAGAAATCTGCGAAATGAAGGAAACCACAATGGATGAAGATCCAGAAAGTATGTTCGATAATAGTTTTTGAAAAGAATTGTGGTTGTGTCCCTGGTCGCTCATACACTGACTCAAGTTTGCCAAAAGAAGCGAAGACGGGGGAGCAAAATTTGGTGCTTTCGCCACGTCACACGACAACATTGCCCCGGTATATACTGTCCAGTCTTGTTTGACTTTTATTTTGATCATAAATATAAGATCTTAATTCACTTTGTCTTTATATTTATGCATTTTTTAAAGATAGTCTTCCTAACAATGGTAGTTATAACTAATACACTTAAGTAACAAGGATATTTTAAGAAAGACAATACATATTTATACGAATAACTAACTTAACTTTTTCTTTACTCTCCACAAATTAATCAACTAGTTTTATAATTAGAAGAGAAAGATAACATTATAATATCCAGCACAGAGGAGAGCATGGTCCCCTGTCCTCTTTTTTTTTTTAAAATTAATCTCACAGACAACATATTGTGTAACAGTGAGTCGGTGACTACAGAATAGTAGTAACTTTAAGCGGTTGGAAAAAAAATATAAAAAAGAAAAAATACATTTTAAATAAATGTCATGCCGAGGGTGAAATACTTTACGATGGATAAAATGGCATGAATGATGAAAAATGATATTTATACTTTTACCTGAATTTTTTTAAAAAAATTATTAATTAACCATAACAAAAGAATGATAAATTTGCTTTTCCATTTCAGTTGACAATCATGCGACACAGGGACCTCCATCCATGAAGTCTTATCCAGATCAAATAAGGCATCGTGCCGCGTGTTTCCCGCTGAGAGGCGGATAAAATGCAACAAGAATGGTTCTGGGGATCAGGTCTTTCTCTCTGATCTTCAGAAAGGAAAATAGATTCCCTTCGCTTTTGACACAAGCAATCGTACAGATTTACCGAGTTCAAATTAAACCTTGATGTGCTGTTAGCGTACCATCAATCAATAAAACAAAAGATATTTAGCCATTAAAACGTTGCTCATACTATTGCACAACGTCTTTTTCAGTCCAATTCAGCTCGGAGCTACATCCAACACACACTTCAAGTTCAATTAGACTTTAAATCCAGATTGCATCAGTTTAACTGAGTAATACAAATAAAATTGAATGAGATGGCAGACTATGAGCGGGCTAGCCAGGCCCCACTTGGGAATATCGTAGTGCTCACTTAAATTGGCCAGATACCGATTGAATTCCTGGATCCGATCACGATGAGACTTGCTTGCCATTTTACCAGCCTCTGTAGCTCTAATTTTCAGTCTGCTGGAGAAATCGTTTCTCAGCTGGCGTTAGAATATCACCATATGTAGCACCTTGATCGTTGCTTCCATCTTTATCAGCCTCGTTCATGCCAACTTCATTTAAACCCGTTGATAAAGTATTGCCACCTCCTAACAGCCTCCAAAGTGAAGAAAATAACATTAACAGAAGATATTGTTAAACCAGGGCAATCAAAAATTCATGTAGAAGGTGACTGACTTAGAACGTGATGAGCTGAGGTCAAATATTCTACAGAGCAATCCATCGTTGTCACATTTCGTTTTCTCGCAACAGAACTGTTTGGATCGTGGATTCAGTAATTGAAGCCGCAGTATAAGGCTCACAGAGATGCAGCTTCTGGAAGAGTTACGACTCTAAATTATTTGCTAAGATCATAATGACGAATTTAATATTGAATTATTTGTTATAAAAACTTTAAAAAATTATGGAGTCTGGAAGTGACAGCAGCTGCAACAATGGAAAGAAGATAGCATCAGACACCAGAAGAAATTATATCAAAACTAACCAAAGAATAGTAGTTGCAACATATCTATTTTGTTGTCCAATTTTACAAGATTAAATCAACAGATATCTCTAGTTATGATGACTCAACTCCAAAGTACACCCCTAAAACTAAATTGGAAAGCGTAGCTACAAAAGCCAATACCAAAAGAACAACCCATATCAAGTCCATAATCTATCGGTCCCCAATCATCAGCAGAGCAGCAGAAGTGACCTTAAATTCCCTACTTCATAGGTTTAAACAAACACCACACACAAAATAAATATCTCTCACACGCTAAAGATAAAATTGGTATATAATAAAAGCCCATCACGATGAATAAAAAATTGGAAACTATCTGCACCTTTCTTAGCCATTGAGATGAAATCTTTCATATTTATGTTTAGTTCACTGGTAAAATTTTCTCCCCTGGACCAAATGTCTGTTGATTTAAAATGCGAAAGAAAACAAATTTGTTCGACTCAAAAGTATTCCAGCCTTGTACGATAATGCTGCAAATCAATGGACAAATGCCCTACAACTTCAAATGCCTTAAGATATCTGGCAACGTTGATTTGCTAATAACCTCAACCCTCTTCTAAAGGGTAATGGAGACAATCATCGTATTGCTTCCTTCCCCAGACAATACCAAAAAATGTTATCCTATTGAAACGAAGCAACCCCACAAAATCCATGTCAAAAAACAGAAGCCTCAAGATAACATCAAAATACATTCATTTTTCGATAAATTGCAACATCAATAGTGTCACTGGGCTAAGAAAATTCCTAGATTCAACAACTTCCTGTGAAAAAGTGACACAACAGACCTAAAACAACCACACAAAACTTTAAGAGCAAAAACAATATAATCTTTTCTTAGTGAACTGGAAGTCTCGAACATCAGCATTAAGAATCTAACACTCACATCTACTCGTGAAAACAGAACATCTAACACCCTCACCAACCAACACAAACTAATGAAATATTAGAAAAACACAGAAACACAACTCTTCCACCATTTTTAACAATGCACAATGTGTTGAAAAAATGAACAAAAAATAAAAAAAAAAAAAGAAAGATCCAAACCAGGATTTATTTGAGCCCGCTCAAGCTTTATATTCAATTTCAATTCAATGGCATCTGAATTGAGAAATTCAGAAGGAGGTATTATGGTCACCTTGATTCATCACAGATAACTGACAGTGACTCTATCGCGCTTCTTCTTCTTCTTAATTCCACCGGCCTTGACATCCAATGCTTTACCCTTCAGCTTCAATTTCCCAACGACGACGTTATCGTAAGCCGGACATCTGTCCAGCCGGATCCTACCGCAACGTGGCTGTCGCAAAATCTAACCGCAGAGCTCTCAAAATCGTCGTTCAAAGAGGAATCACCCTCAGTTTTCCGGAAATCAAGACTAATCAGAAACAGTCATCATTATCACTTGGCAGAGACAAGAACGTCCAGAAGCTAACAAATCATCTTACCGAGGAAGGCGCCGATGGGGCATGCGGTGGTTTTCTTAGCTGGAGGAGAACGTTCTGGAAACAAGTCGAATCTCTTTCGAAAAATCCCTCCTTTCCGCGCCAAGGAAAGATTTTGTGGGCCTCGGAACTCACAAGACAAGGTCCCATAAACCTCGCTTTAATTTAATTTATTCACACTTCGTACTGATTCTTCAAATATCTAAAATCTAACCAATAATTCAGTGGTAAAAAAATATAAATATCATCATCAACATCAAATCAAAATGCAACATAAATATTAGGAAAAATGATACTCCTCCGGTCCTTAAATAAGACTCAATTTTTGAGTTGGTTTTAGTCTTAAATATAAGACCAATTTCTTATATTTATCAATTTTCCTAAATTACCCCTATATACTCCATTAACCATAATCAAATAGAAGAGGGAGATGGGGTATTAAAAAAGATGATTATGGTATTTAGGAAAATGTGTCACTTTTCTTATAATTAATAACTTATCTAACTTCCTTAATCTAATCAAATTAGTTAAAAGGGTCTTATATTAAGGACCGAAGGAGTATATAAAATCCACTAAGCGTATTAGTATATAAGTTTCATTAATAAGTTAATTACCTCCCAATTCCTTGGCCATGTATCATTATTCCTAGGCATCATTTTTAATTTTAGTTTATAAGATTAAATTTAATTTTCCAACAATTTGATTTTTTGTGGGACTATAATTTTAAAAGAGTTAATACTATATTTCGTGCATAAAATTTAATATCTAGTTTTGGTTTTTAAAATTTGAAACCAATAATTTTTAGGGACAAAAATTCTTCCGGTAAAAAAATGAAATCAATTTTAATAAGAAAAATAATATACTTCTAATTCTATTTTATAAATTACTTTCAACAATGTTTTATTAAGTCATTTAAAATTTAATAACTTTTTAACTTTATCTCTATTTAATATATATTATTTCTTATATAAATAAAATAATATAATAATAAATAATAAATAAAATTATATATTCATATAAAAAATTTATCTAACGCTAAAAAAAAATATCTTCCTTCTCATGTACCCAGAGCGGGGGAGCATTGACCATGAATGCGGCGCGGTGGGAGGGTTTTGGTAGTCTGACGACAAGTGCACTAATGGCAGGTCGATGAAGAGGCACGGAGCACTGAGCTGTCCGCTGAGTTGGGGGCGTTAATTTCAAACTTGGAATTGCGTGTTTTCGTGTCTGCAAAGTGGAAATCCCGAACGGGGGGGGCCCCATTTCTTAATTTCGAAGTTTCTTTCCCGTCTTTCCTTCCCACCCCACCATACACACACCCGCTAACACGCATTTCGCTCCATCATCAACTTCATTACCTTCTCAGTTCACTACAGGAGTAGTGAAATCGAAGCATTTCGCGCCCACCATCGCCCTTTTTCTTCCCTCAGGTTTGTCTCCTCGATCTGATACTTTCTTCTTATTCGGCACCATCTTTTTAAAGGTTCTTCCCTTTAGATTTTTTGCTTGATGCCTTGATGAATGGGAGAAATTTTTTGATAAACGCATCAAATTATTGTGTAATACTTGCGATGGGGAACCCAAATGCTTTTAATCTTGAGCTTTTACTGTGGTCTTTAACCGGCAGCTTTCGACTAAGGTAGTGGTCTTTGCAGCCGATCGTTTTAGTTTCTCTGAGCGATTGGCTGAGGGAGGAAGTGAGGAACTTGTAGATATACAGCTTAAGTAAGATTGACTAAATGGATATCGTAGTATCGATAATTGTTCTTAGTACATTTCCCCCCATTTAATTGAAATTTGCGGACTGGCTTGACACGTGCCCTGATTAAGTAGACCAAGAGCGGCGTCTTTTTCGCTTTTGTTTTCATGCTATAATAATGACTACTGATCTAGTGATCTGATCTGTGATGATTTACACGCGTTCTAGGAAGTCAAAAAGATGGCTGATGACACAGGAGTTGGAAAAGATGAAAAGAAAGAGACCATTTCTACTGCCACTGGGAATAGAAAGAAGCGCAAGGGACTTTTTTCCAGAATTTGGAATGCAATATTTAGAACACATGGGGATGATTTTGAAAAGAAACTAGAATACATTTCTAAAGAAGAAGCTGTTGTTCTGGCTAGGATGAGTAGGAGATCTCGATCTTGGAGGCGAACAACCCGGCACCTCATCTTATTTTCTGTTATATTTGAGGTGTGTTTTATTTAGTTGTTTGTAATGTGCTATAGATGATAAGTGAGAAGCAATAGTGCTTGCCTTTCTATGTCTTAACTTTCGCTGAAAAATTGTCATACAATTCGGGTTTTTTTTTTTTGCTTTATCCACCATTTGTGGAATTTTATTGCGTTCTGGAGAGAAGCTTTCACTGTTACTAAAGCTACTAAGAATATCATAGGATTTGAAGCTTACATTAGCCTTGGAATTTAATATTATTCTACTGTGAGTTCTATTTTCCCCCGCGGCCTTCTTGGGTCATATTCAAAGAAGGAATTTCTGGATTTTGCTTGATTTGAATTTTCAGGTCATTGCTGTAATATATGCTATGATGATGACGAGATCAAAAGATATCAATTGGAAGATGAGAGCAATCCGGATTTTGCCTATGTTTCTTTTGCCTGCCGTATCAACCGCTGCCTATTCAACATTTATCAGCTTTGCAAGGATGTGTGAGTACCGAAGTTTACAATTAAATTATAATATGTACGTCGGAGCTGGTGTATTTTGTTAGAAAACACAAGTTCCAGATGTATGTTCTTCGTTTTCTAGTATGATTGAATATATTTGTGTTCCTAAATCTGAATCTGGCAAACAAGTCAACAGAACAATTTTGAGTTGCTGAAATATTCTGGTTTCCATTCAACATTATGCTAGAAAAGCTTCAAAAGCTAGCAAAAGCCTATAATTGGAGATTGACATCTCAACTTGAGGAAATGCCTTCAATAACTTCTCAGTGATTTGTAAAGGAAAAAAAGTATATACTCCTCCGGTCCTTTTATAAGACCCATTTGATTTTATTTGGTCCTAATTATAAGACCCAATCCATTTTGTCTCTTATATTTATGCATTTTTTTCCAAGATAATCCTTCTAATAATGATAGTTTTAGCCAATATACTTAATTAGCAAGGATATTTTAGGAATGACAACACTTATTTATTATAAATAACCAACTTAATACTTCCTTAATCTCCTCAAATAAGGTAATTGGGTCTTATAATTAGGAGGACGGAGGAGTAGTTTTGTATCCAGTGCGAGGATTGCTTCTTAGTGAGAAATTTCTCCGTGCCATGGAATTGGAAGCTCTGCTGTAGTTGCAATACTAATATTTAGCCATGAATAAATTATTGATTGTAGCGTACTATTATATTCATTTATGTTTCACTGTTGGCAAATAAAAAAAAAGAGTTTCACAAGTTCTCAACAAATATTTAGAGAGGAGAAAAATGCTTGAAGAGAGTTTGATATTAACAGCTGGTTAAGGAACTCAGTACATTTGTTCATAAGTTCAGCAAAAGCTATGTTTCACAACTCTGATGATTATCACTTGATTCCAATATAATGATGAGATTCGACAAGATGTTGTTTAATATGTATATAGGCAAACAGAACTCTTTAGTTCAGATTTTTAAGTGTGATTTGTGTTTACAGTTGATAGAAGGGACCAGAAGATTCTTGAAAGACTTCGAGCTGAAAGGCAAGCAAAAATTGATGAGCTCAAAGAGAAGACACATTATTACATTACTCAACAGCTCATTCAGGTGATCGTCTGTTGCAACTCTTGTTATGTAGCTGTTATCTGTAATCCTTTTGTGCTTTATTATATTTTATTATCTTTGGTGCAGAAAACTATCTTTGGAATATATTCATCTGTCCATGGTGAGAAATTCAAAGCCATAAGCCAAAGGACACATTGTGTTGTTTAATTTTTCAAACTCACTTACTGGAGTTGGAGGACAGCTTCTAATTTTAATTAGGCTGAGATTTGTTCGCTCATGACTTCTTGGTCCATCGTTTTCTGTTTTCTCGTTGGAAGAATCAATCCTTGGGAAAGGGGTCTTATGTCTGATTAGCATGAAAATGGGAGAAACTATATGTTGCCAATTTCTGATTGAAGTAATGGTTTTTCTATGTCATTTTCTAGATCCACTAGTCCTGGGACAACTACACCTACGAATTCTAATCAACAATTTGTCGGTTCAGTAAGTACTGATCAATCACTTATTTCTATGCATAATCAGCTTGAAACAATTGTTGGACGTCACCAACCTCAAAGTTCAACCACACATGACGGGGGGTGGATTGCTCGAATTGTAGCATTGCTTGTGGGTGAGGATCCGAGGCAGTCCTATGCACTCATATGTGCTAACTGCCATATACATAATGGTGAGTGGATTGGATTGGATATTTTTAGCTTATCTAGTATCAATATTATTTTGGTGAATCAATGCTGTTATGCTGTTATTTGATGTAGATCAATGTGTATTGATGAATACGGTGGCAGGAAAAGTCGAATTCTAATCAACAATTTGTCGGTTCAGTAAGTACTGATCAATCACTTATTTCTATGCATAATCAGCTTGAAACAATTGTTGGACGTCACCAACCTCAAAGTTCAACCACACATGACGGGGGGTGGATTGCTCGAATTGTAGCATTGCTTGTGGGTGAGGATCCGAGGCAGTCCTATGCACTCATATGTGCTAACTGCCATATACATAATGGTGAGTGGATTGGATTGGATATTTTTAGCTTATCTAGTATCAATATTATTTTGGTGAATCAATGCTGTTATGCTTGTTATTTGATGTAGATCAATGTGTATTGATGAATACGGTGGCAGGAAAAGTGTGAATAAACTCCTTATTTCTCTACAGGTCTTGTTCAGAAGGCAGATTTCCCGTATATTACTTACTATTGCCGGCACTGCCATGCCCTGAACAAACCAAAGGAATTGGATGAGCGCATATCTGGTTTGAGTTCCCAAAATATGGGGCATCCAAAAGCAGACGAGGTGGCTCAAACTGCTAGTGCTTCTCCAGGTGACGGTATAATCACAAACAACAGTCCAGTAAATGCTAGCCTTGAGATTGAGGAAGTATCCAAAAAACCAAGTTTGGAAGAGAGAGTTGGTTGAAAGATACATCTTTCTTTATGAATAGAAAAGGACTGTTGGTTTTAGATGCCTAACGTCTTACCTCTTTTGTAGCCATAAAGGAGAACAACTTTGCTGTTGCTTTCCTTGAGTTGGTTTTGTGACCTCAACAGAACTGAGATATGTCGCCTTGAAACTCTCAGTTGTGATGCATAGGTTGCATTGCACGCATCACTTGCAAGTGAAGGCAATTTTGGAATTTTGGTGATTAACCTCTAGTGTTCTGAATTCCTGACTGTATACTGTTGAACTTGGATTGCCCATGAAATATCTTATAAAGCAAAATTATTTCTTCCTACATAGTCGAGTCCTTTAAAATTTAATAGTTTACACGTCATTCCTACTTGACCCCAAGGAGGACAAGCCCCCCACCTCTCCCATGGCCCCTACTTACGTTTTTTTTTTTTTTTAAGTTACACCCTCTGTCGGTATTTTACAACAAATACATTCTAACAGCTCAAGTTAGCCAACTGACAGGAGCGGAATGGCAGAGTTGAATTATATAGCATGATTGCAAAATCAGTCAGACAAGGTGTTGGATGGATTTGAGCGCGAGACGTGTTGAACATTGAAGTACAGTAATTCGGCAAGGTTCATCATAGACCTTTCAACCTCGCCCTCTAAGGACGCTCTTCTTGACATACATGACCCCCAGTTTCAAGCAAAAACTTGCTCGAGCTTGCTAATACAAATACCATAATTGAAGTACGAGTTCCACTTATCCAGAAAAAACATAGAAACAAACGTTGGCCAGAGGTCGTTGAAAGCGATGGGGATTTTTTTTGGGGGGGGGGTGTTTACATCTACTCGTTTGCCTCTACCCAGCGCTTTCAAGATTAAAGCAGCACAACGAACTATTTTAATCCCTCAACCGTATTTCATCATGTTCGTCACTTTCATGCCTCTTACTATATCGTTGATGCATGAATCTTAGTACCTGGCTCTCCTGGAGTGATCTCTATAACTCTCCCTCTCATAGCCTCGTTTTCCCCGTTCTCTATCTTCCCTATCATGTGTTTCATCCCTTCGGTACTTCCTTTCCTCACGGTCAACATCATCCCTGTGGCGCTTCCTTTCCTCACGATCATCCTCATCCCTTCTGCGCTTCCTTTCCTCACGATCATCCTCATCTCTTCGGTGTTTTCTTTCTCCTCGATCACCTTCATCATCCCTTGTGCGCTCTTTCCTCACGTTCGTCCTCATCCCTATCCCTTGTGCGCTTCCTTTCTCACGTTCGTCCTCATCCCTATCCCTTCTGCGCTTCCTTTCCCTTTCTTCACGATCATCCTCATCCCTTTGGTGTTTTCTTTCTCCTCGATCACCATCATCATCCCTTGTGCGCTTCCTTTCTTCATGACCATCTCTACCCCTTTCTGCCATTCCTCTCTCCACGATCATCATCATCCCTCCAACGCTTTCTTTCTCCACCATCATCCTCATCCTTTCTGTGCCTCCTTTCTCTAACATCATCCTCATCCCTCTGGTGCTTTCTTTCTTCATGATCATACTCATCCCTTCTGTATTTCCTTTCCCCACGATCATTATCATCCATTCTGAATTTCCTTTCTCCATGATCATCACCATCCCCCCTCCCATATGTTCTCTCTCTCCGATCATCTTCAAGCTTGCTCTTGCTTCTCAACATTTCTTGACTTGCACTATTGGATCCCTCCACAAAACTTCTCTCCTCTTTCTTACCGTACAATTTCCTCAATGAGTTCAAGCCATCAGCATTTGGGCCATTTTTTCCTTTTCCTTCAAGATCTTCAGCATCAAATCTGAATTTTTTCTCTTCCACACCATATCCTTTAACATTTGGATTAGAACTTCTTTCATATGCCTCCTCACTGTCTCTACTTTTTCTTGAAACAGTTTCTCTCTTTCTCGAACTCTTGTATCTCTTATCAGAAGAACCGCTATCAGAATCACTGTCACTTTCATCAGTAGAAGAGTACGATTCCTTTGCAGAGTCTGTATCCAAGTCATCATCAGAATCATACCTTTTCCTCTGCTTCTGTTTACCATGTACACTTTCTCTTCTCCTCCAACACATCATCATCATCATCATCTGAATCATGCCTCGTATGAGCTTTTTATTTTTGTCCTCTCTTTTCCCGTCTGTATCAGAGTCATCATCAGAATCATACCTTTTCCTCTGCTTCTGTTTTCCACGTACACTTTCTCTCTCTCCTCCAACACATCATCATCATCTGAGTCATGCCTCCTATGAGCTTTTTTTATTTGCCCTTTCTTTTTCTTGCATCATCACTACTGTCAGAATCTGAACCAGATTCAGAAACAGAATCAGAATCATCACTTTCCCTGCCCTTGCCTCTCTTGTGCTGATTAGATATCTTCTTCTTTGAAGCCTTCGCCATTCTCTTAGAATCACTATCAGAGTCATATTCATCATCACTCCCCCTCTTTCCTTTGTGATGCCTCCTACTACTCTTCATTTCCCTGCTGCTATCTGAATCAGACGAATCATCCTCCTGCTTTCTCATTCGACTGTCACCCATTTTGATTCGCCTTGAGTCTTTGATGTCCTTCTTACCATCATTTTCAAATTTTTGACCTTCAATCATTTGCTTCTTCCGAGCGAAATCTCTATCCAAAAAAGCATGCTCATGTTTCAGAGGATGCTTGTCATTCCCATCAGTACCATTTTTCCGACCAGGTCGTGGTGCATCATCAATTTCTTCTATATCCATTTCATTAACTTCAGCTGAAGTTATGCCAAGAGCAGCTTTCAAAGTTTCCATTTGCTTTTCCTTTCTAGCAGCAATTTGGTGGGTCTGTGTGTCAGAAAACCTGGCGGCCGAAAAAAAAAAAAAAGTCATGGCTGAGAGCACCGAACATGATATATTAGGCAATATAACAATATTAAGTTATTCATACCTATTTATCATGAACCCCTACTTTAAAATGTGAATGCAATCATGCAAACTGTGTCTTTTTTCTTTTTTTTGTTGGAGGGTGGGTTGTAACGAATAAAAAAAGCATAAAATCTTAACAACGAATAAAGAGGCCAATAAGCATCCGAACAATGCTTCATAATCACATAGCAACAAAAGGATAATGGTTTCCAAAACATAATATCAAGTAGATCTTAATAATCAGACAGAAATTACTTTTTCTCAGCAACTGACAGCGGTATAGGTCCATCGCTTTCCTGACTTGCCGCCTCCGCTTCCAATTTCTTCCGAGCCTCATCCAGTTTCTCAGCAATTTCAGCATCAGTGTAACCCTGATCAATAAGTTTATCTTCGAGGACCACCAGCTTGAGCTGAATCTGACGTTTGCGGTCATGCTCAAGGATCTCTTTGTTAGGCTTCCTAGTAACACCTGCGATACCCTGATCAGCTTCATATCCACGGGCGTTTTCAGCAACCTTGCTAATCTTGGGCTTGACAAAGAACTTGTTGCTCTGGATGTACCCATTCGTACCAGATCCCCTAGGGGTCTGTAACCCTATTCCGTTGTACATATCGGTTGCTCGAGTAAAAACCCTGCAATTAAACAGAATTTAAATCCAATCTAATTATTACTGGAGACATTGATGTAATCACATTTAATTTAATAATTAATTTCAATTCAACTGGTTATTTTTTTCAAACATCATTTAATTTAATCCAAATGGAAATCAATAATTTCAGTTTAATCAATTTAATCAATTTTCAATCAATAAGTAATTAGATAGTTTTTTATATTCACTTGCCTGTGATAGTTTTATATTTTTTAATCATAGTAAAATCAAGTTAATTATCTTCCGTCAAGAAGATCATTTCAAATTATAATAAATGCCAAATTTTAGTGAACCATCACGTAATAATTGAAAATTTTACATTTTAAACTGTATTAAATTAATGTTAGTTGGCTATAAATTTTTCTTGCCAACGATTGATTGTAAATTAACATCCATCCTAGTTTTAGTTCAAAATACTTTGTTTTAGTCTGACCCAAAGATAAATTTTAAAAATAATGATTAAATGCATTTTATAAAACTAAATTTTTAATTATTAACTTCCATGCGGGCCCAAAAAAAAAAAAAGTATTTAAGAGGTGTTTAAGTAAAAACAAAACCATAATTTTAAAAGTATTTTTATGGTATATAAAGTAAACATATAGAGAAGTTTGTCTTGTTTGCGGGCTTCCAAACACCCTTTTAGTCGAGAAAAACGAACCTGAACAAAGAAACCCCAGAGAGAGAGACGTTCATCTAATAGAAATTATGAAACCATATACTACAATTCAAGAACACACAAACCTACATAACCTATCATAAACATCTTATTGTACAATGTGGTTTGCAAGAACGAACAGAAAGTGAAGGACATCGGGCGAACTTGAAAAAAATCAGAATTCAACTATGGGGAGGATAGGACATTGTGGGGTGAAATATCAAAAGCCCCGGGATGTCCGAAACTCAACCTCACTTTCGAGTATTCTAAAGGCCAACCCAGTAAGAGCGTCCATTGCTATTGTGAACTGGAGACGGAGAGGGAGACGTAACACACCACTCATACCAAACCTGATTAAGAAAGTACGAAATCAATGCTACGAAGGGGAAGAAGCAGTTTTCAAGGATCAAGGCCAAAAGAGGATTAAACACGGTACAATATATGGTTAACACCAACCTTTGTTGGACCACAACAACGCCAGAAATGTACTTCTAAAGTAGCGCCCCGATCCACACAAATGGGTACCCTTAACGGGAAAAATATTGCAAACCTGCAAATAATTAGAAAGCCGAAAAAAGTTTAGCGGCCGGCCGAAAAACTGTACTCTCTATCATTTATCTGTTATATCACTAATATTTAACCTTTCAACATGCGTCTTATAGACAAATAAAATAAATAAAGCCCAATCATTTATCGTCCCATGATGAAATTATGAAAAACAGAAAAATAGAAGGGAAACTAAGTTCAATACCAGCTGAACATATTCGGCGTTGCTGTTGAGGGTTCAATTCCAAGATGCACATCTTTGTAAAGTGTAGCATCAAAGTAGCCAGCAAACCCTGCGGTCAAGGTGTAAAAATTTGTAAAGTATCCACGAGACCACGAACATGAAATGCATTGTATCATATATTTAACACAGGTACCTTTTTTTTTTTTGGAAGTGTCAATAATTTATAGCCTACAGTAAGAGAAAAAGAATGCACGACGTACCATGAACCATAGCTGATCCAGTGTCATTTGGTATCACAAATTGTAACTTCTTGTATCGATTGTTGCTTTCCATATCTGAGGGTTTTGGATGAGTAAATGTAAAAACCTGTCCATGGTAAACAATCACACAAACAAGGACAAACCACTTAACATAAATGTTTTTGGCCACAAAAGAGAACTCTAATCGAATGCTTACTAAAGAAGAGTATTTAGCAAAATCATAAATGGACCTCAAACAGTGTAAAGATCAGAATTGTGAATAAACTGAATCAGAGGAAAGATAAGTAGGATGCATGAAGAGCCACTCACAGGTTGAGATGGTGCCAGCCTGGCCACATTGTGTAATTTCACAACATAAGCAGTTTCAAAGTGTGCTATATCTTTATGTGCCTTAACCTGACAAGTAATCACAACCTTGTTAAATAAAAATTTAATTTAATGCACATAAATGAAACAGTGAAAGACAAGTGGCATACATCATTATATAACTTTGAAGCTGTCACTGGTTGGAGGAAACTTGTGTACCTGAAAGGATTAGTGGGCAATGATTAATAAGATAATTAAAAAAAAAAACAGAAATTATCAATGAAAAAGTCCTTAACATTTAGCAGGTTGGCTAATGACATCCATATGAAATTAAAGTTGCCTTTTGACACTGATCTAAAATCATATGCTACCAAAATCAATAAAAACAAAAGTGCTTAACACTAGTAACAAAACAAAAGGCTTCACAAATATTCGGGTAATGACAACATAATAAGATTGAAGTTTACATGGCTATTGTCAGCTTCACGTGTTCTTTGATCCTCACATTATCCCGCAGGAGTTTACAGTACCATTTAACTAGGGAACAAAAAAATACAGGCAGAAGGATTTACTCACGAAGATGGTATTGAAATTCCATCTTGCTTCAAAAACCTCTGGGCTCCATCAAGGCACTCAGGAGACAGCTCATTGTCACCAAAAGAACCTAGCAATTCACTTACCTAGATCAAGACAAGGCGCATTAAGGCACTAAATTACAAATAATATAATTTAAATAAATGACAAAAAAAAGGAGAGAGAGATGCTAAGATACCAATATGTCGGCCTTTTCAGGCGCATTCCAGTGGCGCATGTCACTTGAGACTATGGTAACTGTACCTTCCCAGCCCTCTAACCTAATCAAACTCTGTTGTAACAAAAAACGCAATGCCATCGTTGAGATAAAAATGATTAAAACATTTAGCAGCTTGAAAACACTTTTGACAAGCTATACATAACAATTCCATCAACAATTTGCCAAAAAAAAATAAAGGGGAGAGAAGAAAACCAATTTATAGAAACATTCTATACAACAAGATGCAAGGCTCCATCAATGTCCATCATAAGAAACTTAAATACACAAAAAAAAAAAAAAAGGCTGATCCACAATAAAGAAAAACAACAACATTTTTAGCTAACAGTGCTGGAATAGCAAGTTGTAATGCATTTAACTATTCACAATGCCAAGCTATGTAAACTTTCATGCATGAATTAAAAAAGATGATGATATTCTTGTATGCACACATCAAACACATGTTGAAACATAAGAAATGATAAAAACTAAGCTAAAGTTGAGAGAAACCAGTCACTGCTATTGTAAGGGAAAAGAAGATAAAAAAATGTGTTTGAATTGCAATATGCAAGGAATATTAGTATATGGAAAAATAAATGGTTGAAATCACCATAGAAGAAAGAAAAAACCCCCTACATTAAGCGTAACGACTGCATTAGGATTCTTTTCCACCGCATATACTTTTATCCTCCTCCCAGTCTCTTCGGCTGCCTACGGATGAAGATAAAAATCACCCAGTAAATAGGATATACACAATCTAAATTCAACAGAAAGTCTGAAGTTAACACCACATCCAAAAGTTCATAGCATAGAAAGTACAAAAACACACCTCTAATGATGCCCGAACAAGAGGTCCGCGCCCAGCACCAACAACCATCAATATCTAACCATAGGAATTCCAAAAATCATTATATCTGCCAAAATAATATCCCACACCATCCAAATCCACGCATGTTTAACTTGGTGTTAAAACATAACAATCAACAAATCAACATGCACAAAGGATCACCAGAAATCTTACAGTGATAATTTCAGACGCCTTTTCATCAGGAACCCTATCCAGCAACGCTTTACATATTGCTCTTTGATACTAACCGGGAAAAAAAGTTAATGGTTAGACTTTATAGTACAGTTACATCACATAATAAGCAGAACCACCAGTTGCAATAGTTACTGCAGTCTGGACTATGTTGTTTAAAATGGAGTCTAAGAAAAGAAACTCATTGCTCTAGAGTCATCCAATGAACTTGTGGGTCCACATTAAACAATTACTATAACTTAATGAATCAGATTTATGGCATTGCAAGATTTATATTTAAAAAAAAAAAAAATACAGACCGACAAGTTAATACAAAATTGAGAATAGATTGAATGCATGACCGTACCTGACTGTATTTCACTGTGTCTTTCTCAAACGTTTCATAGGTTTGAGCCTCTAGATTATCCATGAGAGGCTGCACAATTATTAAAAAAAAACACCTCATCATTCATTAGAAAACGGTGAAAAATCACTTAGTAACAAAGGCCAAAAACAATTGAAGGGCCAGATCAGGAATACTTACTTGCAAGGGTGCCTGTAAGAAGTCCCTGTAACCAAGCTGGAATAAGAGACTGAAGGTCAAGAGGAAGATAATAGCAGATAATATTATACCTTACTTCAACACAAAGAAAAAATAGGCACCTCAAAGCGTTCTTGCTCAGGAATAGGATCCATTCTTTGGTATAGATAAGCAACATAGTCCAGATAAGGCCTCAAAGGATGTCTTTCTGGGGAAAATACACTCAAAGCTGAATACTCGTGGCCAAAGGACTAATGGTCAAATGTAGATAAATACAACACAACAGCAAATCATAACCTTAATATAATGCATGTGGAGACACAAGACCATGTACATCCACAAAAAAAAAGAAGGGAGGGGAAAACTTGCAAATACAACATGTGCAAGTGCCATAGAATAACCATGGTGCTCATAACCAATTTCGGACTACATAAAATCAGCTCAACACGAAAAGAACAAGTCAGACTAGTTCACTGCTCAAAGTATGATCTACAGCATTAAGATGACATGTGTGGGTAGAAATAGACAGATACCAGCAACTTACCCACAACAGCATGAGAAGCATCTGGATCCACACTCGCTCTTGGATGAACTGATTTTCCAGAAATAATTATCTGGACAGACGTTTAAAGAAAATTCAGTACTTTTTGAAGGGAAAACAGGACTCTTGAATTTGACTTGATCAGTAAGTATCTGCTAATGGGGACTATAGTATCCCAAAAAAGATGAACAAGATACCAGGATTGTAAGAATAAACTCAGACTACAAGGCTATCCACAGAGGAAATAAATGCTCAACTTGCTATATGCCATCCAATAGTTACTACAAACCTAGATATTGGCTAACACAAGATTCAGAGAATTTAGATGGATTACCTGTATAGAATGGTTAAGAAAACGAGTAACTAGCATCTGGTGGCGCTTTGAGAGGCATGGATAACCGCGAGCATTAGTCAAAAAGCACTGCCGAAAATCGAGTATAAATTCTTAAAATTTAAAATCAGATTCAGCAGCACCATAACATGCATAGGTTGTATAATATACCACAAGGCGTCCTTACATCAGTATTTATTATAGCTGATCTAACAGGTTCCCCAAACCAGCGCCCAAGTGAGTTTGCTGATGGTAATGTACTCCTTAAAAAAAAAAACAAAGAAAGAACTCTGAACATATCATGGCTAAAATAAACTATGACATTGGTGCAACCGCACAACAAGCTCAACAAAATTTAGCCAAGATGCACGATACAAGATCAAAGTATAAACCACTATGAATCAAAGGCCTGATTCTGAACCACTCACACAATATCAAGTGCGATAGACAATTGACTATGATGCTCACAGAGGAGACGAAATGAATTCCAAGTTTCCCAAGAATCAATCTGTAACCCATGAAATAAAAAGCTTGAGTATAAATAAGCTGGCATCATAATTTTAACAGCTAAGAAGAACTCAAATATTCAAAGATCAGATAATACACCCCTCAATAGTCTGATCCTCAACAAAATTACTTTTACAATTTTTCAATAGATACATATCACAAGGAATATTTCTTCACAATATAAGGCTCAAAATATGGTTGTGATACATGTCTAACACACTCCTTGATGGATAAAACACAGGCCTATCATATCCTGGGCTTAAATGTAATTTAATTAGACACACAGGAATGGCAGTAATGTTGTATCTATAACAATTTAGGAACACCACATGATTTGCAACCATAATGTACCGCATCAAGGATCCATTCATTCAAAAGGCTAAAAAGTCTCGTGAAAAACCAAGAACAACAAGATCCCCCCAGTATAAGATTTAAGATTGATTTTAAAATTAGAAGAAGAAAGAAACCGCAATACAATATGGCTCAAATAAAGAAAACGAGGCAATCATGCAAACAGGATTTTAGAATATTTACTCACCGAAGTTTCAGAATTGGCACCCATGGAATCATCATCAGACATGATCAATGGAATCCTAAGAAACAGCTTTATAACAAAGTTACAGAAAATAAGAATTTTAGCAGAGGGAAAACGACATCTAGGAAGGAGAGACAGAGAAATCAGCACAAAAGTTGAAGAAAGACTCGCACCTGCATATGATTTAGGTTCTGCAAGATTTGATTCACACATCTAGCATAATTAGCACAAGATGTTCTCTTCGGAGCTGGAAGAAGGCAAGCCTGCAGAATATCAAAACAACTTGGGAAAAACCACATGCAACTGACAGCTATAAGATAACAAAAGGCATTGATAAAGGTAGCCACGACATCAAAATACTAAATAACATGTCACAGAGTGGGGCATATACTAGTCACATGCACATTAATGTCCAGGTAAGATTTCATATTGAAAAAAATGGCATCTGAATCACATCCTAATTTCGAAGGAAGAAGTTAACATCTTTCATGCTTTATATGTTACATACACACATAAGCTTACTGATTCCAGTACATCAGAAATTAAAATGTCTGCTTACCAAGATCCAGTCAGTGATTCTCAAGGGAAACAATATAATTCACGTATCTTTTCATAGGTCAACAATTGTCACCACATAATTTCATAGATCATACAGAAAATGGTTCGATTGCATCAAGTTCTTAAACAAACACTTTCCCATGTCATCGTTTCCCTTCAGTTCTTCACTTTATACTTTTAATCAGAATGATACAGTATTCCATTATCGGAAGGAGCTACAGTAGCTAATAAAGGGAATAAAACAAGAAAAAGATAACCAAGTCATTTCTGCAGAGAAAATGGTGGCTAATTGAGTATAGCAGAAGTTCAAGTGGCAAGAGTAAGCATGACTAAATCCAAAGGGTATAATAAGAATCAAAACCAAAAGTGCAAGCATCAATTCAAAACTTGCCGTAAATTGATCATGCCAAAACTTACCTGTAAAGAGAGATGAGATGCCCAAGCTATTTCTTGTCTGAGAGTGGTTTCAGAGTCCATCCTGAAGGTTTCATCCTCTGAATCCAAATCGATCCATGAGCTAATTTTTCCTGAAGAAATGCAACATTTTAAGCATCTTATAAATTTTGCACAATCATGAATTTAACAAGATTTACCAGACAAAAAGGATAAACAAGTATAGTTCCAGCACAACAAATAGTTCTTGTCACAAACACATGAATGGCCTATTACAAGAGCTGCACAGTTTAAAAGAGTGAAAAGAGCTACGAATAAATTAAATTCCCCGCAATCAAAGCTGATAAGAAAAATTGGTAACTCAAGTCCATACCCACTACACGACTACTCCACTGTGAAGGGCTCAAGACCAAGTCTGATCCGGCAAATGGAAGAACAGAAGAACCAAAACTATCCTTCTGCACTAAACTTGGTCGATATGCAGGATCCATCTGAATAACACCATTAAAATATACAAGTGAAAGCAGACGATGAGTATCCAGATATCCATCCATGAATATTTATATATCTAAGCAAATTGCGGTTATTTTACAACAACTATGATTTGTTCGAATTATGATAACCATGAATATTTGTGTTCTCTTTCACCAGCTGATGACTTAAGGTAGCTTAGGACCAAACGCACAGATGAGTCTGACGCTAGACTTAGTAACATATGATTGGCTTGCAAGCTATCAACAAATTTTATTTATTTATTTATTTTTAAAAGTAAGAGGTAAAGAATTGTATTGGAACTCTGTCAGCCACCGAGCGGAGGACAGATTTTAATAGGAAGGTTGTGCTTTGACTAGTTTATACCAAAATGGCCTAATCTATTTGGTTAGGACTTACTACAAGCTCAAATACATACTTCTCATCACTTGCAGATCGTGACTTCTTATTATACTCTAATGTAAGAAAATGTAGTTTAACAAATCCACTCAGTGAAACCCAGTCAGCTAATTGTCGAGAAACTTCATTGCAATAGTCTATAAAGCATTTCCATTCTAGGTGAGGTTGCTGACCATTCACACACATAGCAGCAAAAGCGGCTAATTGGCCACCACATAAACTCCACGTCACTTCTTTTACTTCATTATAAACTCCTCGTAACATACACACATCATCGACAATGCACCCGCATGAGGAAACATAGATACAGCAGAATGCCAGTATGTTTCTTCTAAAGTAAATGCCGAAATAGTTAGAAATGCATATTCTACAGAATTTTCCGCCGGAAGAAAATATCGATTCCCATTATTTCATGTCAATAACGTTGAAATCTAAAAGTAAAAAGAAGATTGAGAAAGGAAGCATTCGACACGAACCAGAGGAGCAACAACGAAATCGAATCCCCCGGAAACGAGATGGAGAGTTAGCACATGTGGCATGTCATCACTGAACTCCGTCTCTATACCGCAATACCGTGATTCGGTGTTATCCCCAGCCCTTTCTCCGAGCGGCATTGTCACCAACTTTCAGCAAGGAAGCAGAAAAGCAACAGAGAGAAAATAGAGAAAGACCCGAAAAAGAAGAAGAAGAACGAAGAACGAAGAATTCTTGGGGGGGGGGATGGGCAAGAAAATGTAATCAAATCTCCATATATAACCCTCTTGATACCCGAATCAGCTATGCCAGCCTCACTAGCCAGTCGGCTAGCTCAATAACTAACTAGCTAGCAGGTATGTGATAAAAAAAAGGAAGAGGGCTAACAGTCACAGACGATGGAACGTGTTTGAGAAGCTCGCGTGCTGAGCTCAAGGCGCGAGTGAGAAGGAGGGCTTAGGGAGGGCTTTACGGCAGAAAAGAACGCAACGCCCGCCTTCCTTCCATTGCCCTCGTGGCGGAGAATTATAAACTCAGGACTAGGGTTTTGGGTTAACGGGTCCGGTTCAGACCAACAATTTTCCCATGTTGGGCTTGGGGGTTCTACCTAAGCAGCCCAAACTGTCCAATAAGCAGGTATTAAGCATTGTTTGGTAAATTCGTACAGGTAAATATGCCAAAAAAAACAAAGTTATTTCGTGCGTAAAAATATTTTTAAAAATATTTCTCAGATATTTCAAACATCCAGAATATTAAACTCAATTTTATATGGCATTTATAAAATTTATGAAAAGTTTCACCTTAGAAAATAAACAGTACTGCCTCCCATCCTAAATATATTAACTTGAGGGGTGTTTGGCTGTCGCCAAAAATACTTTTAGAAAGTACTTTTCCGCAAATTGAGATAATTATTTCATATATTTATTTTATATATTGTAAAATCACTTTTAAAACTAATATTTAATTTCCATTCAAATACCTTCTAACAAGAGAGGGGAGTTATTTGAGGCCACAAAATGGGTTCCAGAATCTGATGACTCATTCCTTCGCAAAAAAAGAAACCTTTAACAATATTCAAAGTGAACGTGGGGGGTTTTGGCGAGCTAAGACTGGACAATACATAAAAACGGTGTAAATGATCACTGGCCCTCTCCGATCAATTATATTCACAGCCCACCCAGCGAGCCAGAGTTAGAGCAACAAGTGCCACGAACCCGCCCTCCTACCGTTTTATACCTTTTCAGCCTCTTAATCATTCTGACGGCAATTTAAAATTAAAATTAATTTTTATTTTACACCCGTAACAAACATAGTTATTAATTCTGTTAAATTCAAATTTTCTATCTCCCAACACACAACCTCCTTCATTCATACCAGGTTCTGGTGAACAAAAAAAGACCACCAAGCTATTGGCAATACATTTCTGCTGACTTGTGATTTCAGTAGTCTTGTTGAGCCTTCTATCATAGTAACTTGTGATTTATACTTGCATCCAAATAACAAATGGGAGTTATTTAATATTAAATAAAAAATTCTCCCGTCTCTATTAAACGAGGTTCACGAAAGAGCAGGAAATCCGAAATCCGACCATGTGGGTTGTTTGGATTAGTACAACTAGGCACCTCAGGAGGGATAAGTGGAGAGGGGACAAACAAATAACTTAAAGCAAACTTAAACGTTAATGTTTTCGTCTGTTTTTGAATATACTTTTAAAATCACGTAGCTTCCGGACTCTTCTCTTAGCCTCTCTCTCTTCCTCTACAGTTCTAAACTTTCCTTTTTTAACGTCTCCTTAGAAATCATGCCATTCTTTATTTCAAACAAAATTAGGACCCAAAAAAGGAAAAAGGTCCATATGAGTGGTTTGAGGCTGTCTCAGTCTGCAAGGAGCATCTCAAGGCCATGGTGCGAAGGAAGGTACTTTGTCTGAGGAAGGCAACCGTCAGAGAAATTGAAGGCTTTCTACTCCAGCAGTGTCAGTTCTGGATCATAGGAATTCGCTAATAATATAATCAATTCGTGGATGAGATATACATCCATGATTTTCCATATATATGTTTTTTTTTTAAATTAAAAAAGTGACTACTTTGTTGCGTATGGTTGCCTGCTCATTGCACACACAAAAAAAGAGATTCTCCACCATAACTTCTTTTGCATACTTCATTGATCATTCCCCTTTCTCTCTCCATCTTTCCTAAACTCCTCCATATGCTTAAGCTTAACCACACCAAATCAGAAGTTTACTACAGCTTTTCTTATTCTTCTTCGCTGCTCTTACGTGGTGCTTTCCATCTGAATTTGATATCATATCAGTGTATTTTCTTCCTCTCTATATGAAGAAGTCATCAACGATTCCCTATCAATTCTGAGAAGTTTCATATCTGAAGTAAACAAATATTTCAGCTCTGCCTTCTAGTGTTGATTTCCAAACCATCGTACTTGTTCATACCCACAAACTGACCCAAGTAGCCAAAAAGCAGATTTGATCCTCAGCTTTTTTGTATTTATCTGGTCTCTGTCTCAGGTTCTCTAAGGCTGAAAAGATTGATTAAGATGATGATGGAAAGAGTGAAATACAGTGGGGTTATTGTTCCTTTGTTGTGTAGTGTGGTGTTGGTGGGGATGGTGAGTGGGATTGGTGTGAATTGGGGGACACAAGCAACACACCCTTTGCCAGCATCTACAGTGGTAAAAATGCTTAAAGACAATGGAATTCAGAAGATGAAACTGTTTGATGCAGATTCAAATATTCTGGATGCTCTAAAGAAGTCAGGGATTCAAGTGATGGTGGGTATTCCAAATGACATGCTTGCTCCAATCGCCAACAGTATGCAAGCTGCTGAAAAGTGGGTCTCCAAGAACGTTTCGTCTCACGTGTCTTCTGGTGGAGTAGATATTAGGTAAACTTATATCCCTTTTACTAATCAGTAATTCAACCATCGCTTCTTTGTGCTGAAACTTATGGTAGTTAACGATATTCGACTCTTTGGCCAAAAAGAAAAAAAGAAAAAGAAAAACAATATTCGACTCATAATAAGAGGTCATGCGATCGAGTTTATTGGAATATATGTGGGCTTCGGTGAATAATTCAAACATGTTAATCTGTTGCTTATCAGTTATTGCCTGGTGAGATGGATTTGCACGAACTAGCAATGACAAATCGTTGTGGTTTTGAACGGTTAGATGTAGATTTCAAGGGAAATCTAAAGTTGTCACTGTTAGCTTCGAAAACCATTCCTTATCTGAAGAGATGTAGACTTGAAATCCCAGATTAGCTTCTTTTATGTAGTCTTCTGATTTGAACTCTGATTCCTACATACTCCGTTAAAAGTTAATCATTTCTACAATAATGGTTCACTTTCTTGCACGTTTTGATGGAACTAGTTTGATCATATGCTGCCTCCCCATATAATCCGTACTAAGACGATGGGTTATCTCGACTTGAAGTTACCATTTGGGGTTTGGAAGTGACAAGGAACACATGTTTCGAGTATTTACTACGTTGCAGTGTCCAATCAGATGGTTGAGAAGTCTTCCTAAGCCTTATGTGACTGCTTTTGTCAGCTTTCTTACCTATTATTTCTTCTAATAATTTTTGCAAGGTATGTTGCAGTGGGGAATGAACCTTTCTTGTCGACATATAACGGCACCTTTGTATCTACAACTCTTCCAGCCCTTCAAAACATTCAATCAGCTCTCATCAAATCTGGTTTGGCCAATCAGGTCAAAGTCACCGTCCCTCTAAATGCTGACGTGTATCAGAGTTCATCTGACAAGCCTTCCGATGGGGACTTCCGACCAGACATCCACGACCTTATGCTGCAAATTGTCAAGTTCTTAAGTGACAATGGAGCCCCATTTACTGTCAACATCTACCCATTCATCAGTCTCTACAAAGACTCAAACTTTCCAGTTGACTATGCCTTCTTCAACGGCTACCAGACCCCCATAAACGACAATGGAAAGATGTACGACAATGTTTTTGATGCCAACCATGACACGCTTGTTTGGGCATTGCAGAAAAATGGGTTTGGGAACTTACCCATAATTGTGGGAGAGATTGGTTGGCCAACGGATGGAGACAGAAACGCAAATCTTCAGTATGCTCAGCGTTTCAACCAAGGTTTCATGTCTCGCTATATTGCAGGAAAAGGGACTCCAATGAGACCTGGTCCTGTAGATGCTTACTTGTTCAGCCTTATAGATGAAGATCACAAGAGCATTGAACCTGGAAATTTTGAACGTCATTGGGGTCTGTTTTACTTCGATGGCCAACCTAAATATCAGCTTAATATTGGATCGTCTAAAGGATTAGTGGCCGCTAGTGGCGTGCATTATCTGGAGAAGAAGTGGTGTGTGTTGAAGCCTTCAGCGAACCTTAATGATCAACAAGTGCCACCAAGTGTGGCTTATGCTTGTGAGAGAGCGGATTGCACTAGTCTTGGATATGGGACTTCTTGTGGGAATTTAGATGCAAAGGGTAATATCTCTTATGCATTTAACAGTTACTACCAGGTAAGTGACCAGCTTGATAGTGCTTGCAAGTTCCCAGGCCTTTCCATCGTCACTAATCAAGATCCTTCGGTTGGAGATTGCAAGTTCAGAATCATGATCCAGACAGATAGTGCTAACCCAGATAGGAGGGTTGGGTCTTTCACAATAGTGCTGTTTCTATTTTTGCTTTTGACTTTCCTGTAAACTAAAGTAGCTTCAAGTTTTCTTTTTTTTTTTTTTTTTTTTTTTTTTTGGTGAATCTAAGTTTTCTTTTGTTTACTATATATTTTCAAACTACCAAAACTGTGTGAAAGGCGAATTTGGATTTCCAATGACATTTTATAGCATAAACTTCAGATTACCCCTGATGACAGCATAAACAGAAGAGTACTTGCTTCGAATGTGGATTTAACAGGGCAAAAATCGCTGCACATAACAGCCCGTGATCAAGTGAGGTGGTGTCTGAGGTGAAAAAAAAAGAAGACAAATGCTGGAGCATCATCTCTCACAGAATGCTGTTATTCTAAATGCAAATTATAGTTTCCAAGCCAACCGCAACTACTGACACTACAGCTTTCTTGGCCATCAGATCCATTCTTGAAGAATATTCTCAACCAATACTTCCATGCCAATACAGGAAGGACAAAAGATATGACACTTATCCATATGAGATAAATTATTTATGAAGGTCAATCCCAGAACTGCAGGCCCAGTCGCTTTCTCAGTTACAGCATGGCCTTCCAAACAAGATATATCTATTAACTGTTTACAAACCTTTTCAAGACCAAAGACGCTCTAGCATTACTTTTTAGGATACAGTAGACCACACATTCCTTTCCTTTTGCAAGCAGTTTATGTAAAGACTGAATGGATGGGATGCTGCCTTCTCCTAAATTGACAATTATGCTGTCCCTTGTCAGAGATGGTTCAAGTATTTACTGACCAGTCGATTGACCACTCATGACCAAGCTAAGATGTTCCAGCGTCCTTTTATTTGACCTTTTAGTTTCATGTGCTGGCCCTATCCGGATATAACAAGTCATCCATGGCTAATATAGTGCAGGTTGACCATCAAAGTTCATTCATGTCCCTTGCGTCCAGTTATCCTGTCTAACCCAGTTATTTTATCTCACACGAGCCTCGTGGCATAATCAAACCTGCCAGAATAAAGGAGTACGGGAACCAACTAATTATAAAATAGCCCAACCATATCATAATTTGTCCTCACAATGAGATAAATTATCTGAAAGGCAAAACCTTGGGGTTTTTCAGTTATACACGTGCATGTGAAAAAAATTATGATTTAACCACTTAAAACATCATGCTAGTGCACAATTCAAATTATTTTAGCTCAATCAGGCGTTTAAAAGTGAATACTGAATAGCAGCATACCATTACATGGTTTTGGCATTCGTTTGAAGCTTCCGGATGTAGTCCCTAGATCTTATATCAGCCTGCAGTTCAGTTGGAGATGTAAGGGCCGAATACTTTTGCTTTTATCCTCTAATCTATAAATGCATTAACCAACCGAATGTGGAAACACTAAATCAGTCAAACTGCGAATAATTGCAACATGGACACTAGTAAACCTGATCCAGCAAAATTCTAAGAATCAATAAAGGCAGCAGTCTGCAAGAGAAGACTTTGAGGTGAACTCCCCATACAATACATAATTGTGTTTGAGAGAACAAATTAAAAGTGAAAAAGGAAAGTGTCTCCCCACCACAAGTAACTTTTCCAGTAAATCCCAATAACAGCCAAATAACTGGCCACAGCTTTTGGACAAGAGGAGTGAAAAACGACTCTAATGAGAAAAGAATTTGATAAGGCATAAAAAATTTCCTTGTACTTTATCTGCTTAGTGCAACATTATTCTTTCCTTAAACTAGGATATGAGTTATATCCCTTCAATGAATTCAGTCCATTTCTTATGATTCCAATTTCCAAGTGGCAAAAAAGTTTCACCTGCCTAATAGGCTCAGGCACACGATACTTGCAAGTCATCTGGGCAATTGTAATGGCAGTGCGAAGTGATATCCGATGACCAATTGAAATGAATATTGGCTTTATTGATCCCTGTGTAGATCTCATGGCCTGTATGAATGGAGCGCGCAGGATAAAGACACCAAGCAAAAGTTCATAAACATATTATGTTGTATTTTAGCAGTTTAGAATAATTAAAGATTGTTTGTATTTAAAAAGCAGACCAAATCAAGATATCAAGTTGAACTGCATAAATACATGAAACTGAAACACTAAATTATGGCAGTTTATTTAATTTTGTTTTACTTGAGTTTGTCACGTAATATTTTGAAATGGCATATCGATGCTGGCACATAATCATTGATATATTATTATATCAAATGACACCAAGCACCAGTAGCCTAATGTCTTACCGCTCCCCATATCTGTCCCGATCCTCCTACCAGAGTGATAAAATCTTTAGCATGGTTTTCTTCAGCTTCTAGAAGCTGTCTCACTCTAGATTGATTAAGACCATCCACATGATGCAGCTGGAACAGGTAAAGCTCAATAAGTATTTAGGTAACAAATCAGAACTTCTAAACAAGAAAAACAGATATAATTTTTATTCCATGAGTAAGGGCAGAGAGACCACCATTATAATAGTCTATCAAATATCAGTTTTGTGGTATATGAGGGACTGAGAAAATAAATAATTAGGCTTTTATTGTAGAATGAATTGATTGCTATTACTATCATTACTGACATTCTTTCCGATCCCAATTGTTGGGAGATCAGCCACAACTCCAAGATGACATGCCAGGCCAAAACCTGCAGGAGTTAAGGATTTAGAGACTTCTCTGAATACCCGGGGAAAATGAAACGGAGAACATTTTAAACAGTTTATAAAAGGAACAATACAAGTGTTCCAATTTCTAAGACCACTTTAGAAAAACAACGTACCTCGAGGATGGAGTATTCCGTTCCCATCAACTAATAAGAGCTTTAAAAGGAACAATACAAGTGTTCCAATTTCTAAGACCACTTTAGAAAAACAACTTACCTCGAGGATGGAGTATTCCGTTCCCATCAACCAATAACAGCTGCCAACAGTATCAGCAGAACCTTTTATTAAAATGATGAAGAAACTAACTGCAAACAATGAGACCTAATAGAAAGTCCTAAATAGCCAGCGATCCGTTACATATGAGGTTTTTGCTGCAGCTACCAGGATTGGTGCCACCAGCAATGTGATTATGTCAATAATAAAAAGGAAAAAACTTAGGTACATTTTCCTAGGTGATATCAACTCCTTCAGTGACAACTTAATACGTGGACATTTCTTACAACCAGTTGCCACTCTTTTAAGAAAGCTCCCCACCATGTCATAATTTTATTGTATGCTGTATAGCTAACTAATAAAAACGGTTCTGGTTTCAAAAGCACCCGAACCACATTCAGATGAAATTTTCTTATGGGACATTCATATGACTTTGTGATATGCGCCAATTACCTGTGGGTAGAAAGGATTGTTACACCTTTTCATTTTCTCCAGAAGCTCTAAAAGAACTGGAGCCTATAACAAGAGAACAATCAGATAAAAGCTGAAATAAATGTTTAATGAGAGGTTTTGGAAGCTGAAAGAAACAGATAGAACCTCTCTAAATGCAAGGAAACCGGGGACGTAAGGGACATGAACAGCGACTAAAGAGAAGTCTTCGTAGACAACTTGTAAATTTGGGAAGTCTAATACCACAAGGGTGCCACATGCCATTGATGGCTCATCCTTAGAGAAGCTTATATCAACCCCACCTACATATCTTAACACTTCCAACGCTCCTTGTTCGCTTGGGCCAGCAGGTGTGTTTAGTTTCCATGTGAAACAATCGTCTGTGATCAGTTTAGTCCTGAGAAAATCTTGTGCACTGAAAAGGAAAATCGAAGGGGTTCAAAAACAAGGGTATGGTTGCTTACGATTGACTGAAAAATTCTCAAATTTAGATATGGAAAGAAAATCACACACGCAATCCAGTTCTGGTGATCTTGCGACGAAGTGAGTGAATCTAACGACCCTTCTTCGGATTGTTTTTCCATTGATTGAAATCAGCAATGAACGCCTGCTTAGCCCCACTTCGGTGACGGGAGCAGTGCGTATGGAGCAGATTCTCACTGCAGAAGTCAGCTGCGTCTCGGGAGTCTATAGTTTTGCGCCAAATTTTAATTATTGCCAAAGAACATTATTGGTGTGAATATAATTTTATTTTTCCAACAAAACTCGATTTTATTTATTTTTCTGGGATAACAGGACTCTATTTTATTTAAAGTGATTAACGCATGGGAATAACTAATTTTTTTAATTACCAAAGATGTCTTGAATTATTTTTTAAAAGAGAAAAATTTACATAAACAAAATATGAATATACTGGATGAAAAATTTAGGAAAACCGTCATTTAAGAAGAATTTTCTTCATTTCTCCGCGCTAAAACGAGGTCCTTAAGAATCTAGCAGTAGATTGTACTATGATGCTTTGTTCCTTCTTAGTACTCAAATCACCTGATATGTCAGTAACCTTTTACATGGGAAACACGATAAGTTGAACTTTTACAAAGGAGAATTACATTCAAGTCCCACATAAGAGAAACAATCACTACAAAGTCCCAAGTAACAACCTGAGTAGCTCATAATAACAAGTCTACAGTAAAAATGACAAACTCTGGGACTTGTTTTTTAATTACTTGGGACCTTATTGTAATTCTCCCCTTTTACAAGGCTCAAACACAAAAAGAGACAAACAGGATGCATTAACTAACGATCTATCTACATATTCCCGTCACGGGCATTACAAAAGAGGTTATCCGATCCCACTTCACAACAAATGCATCAGTTCATAAGGATACAGAATCCAGATGTACAAAAAGTTGTATTGCATTTTCGTAGACCCCCTAACCCGGTAGCAGCAACCAGCACCACTTGAAAACCAAACCCACAAAAAAAAAAAAAAAGCCTATATGCACTTGTTTTCTTCAAAAGTTGTCAATGGACAGAAGGCCACTAATCAGTCTTCATGTCATACGGTTCATCGTCTGAATCAAGCATAACAGTTGGAAGTGCAGAATTGCGGATGGGTCTCTGTCTCAGTATATGATTTGTTATGAGGCCCCTGCTTTCTATTACAGTATGGCTGCGAACTCCAGCAAGCCTCTTACTCCGGCGAACTCCCACTTGTTCAAAAACTGCACGGTTTGTGTCTGCTTCAAAATAGCAAAAATCAGAATTATCATCACCTCAATAATACATCGCCAAATTTGTTAATTCCATAACCAGTGTCGTTAACAGTAAATAAAGCGAAATGTTGTAACAGAAAAAATAGTGAGCATGATGGAAAGCACTTTTAGAGAGCATTCCAAGAAAAGTCCTATGCCATTGGTATGTACATGGTTGGAACTGGGGGTTGGCAGACCAGTGTAAAGAAACATAATCCTCACTCGACCTCTCACCCACAAACATGTGTACCCACTTAAAGGGAAAGACCCACCCGCTAGGGCGCTAACAGTGCGATCAATATGGAAACCAGAGTGTGAAGCAAAACCGACAAGAATTAAATCCACCAAACCAAAACAGAAATTCTTTAGAGGAAATGCTATGTAATGTTAAGAATATTGTGCATGTGTTACCGATAGTTCTACTTTTGAGCGCCTCTTTGCTTTGTTTCCTTTTCAATGCTCTTACTTTATTCTGCAGAATCGATCAATAGTTATACTTGATATTAATATGCCAAACAGAGATGAGTGCTCACTACTGATAAGTGAAAAATAGCCCACCCATCATGAAATGGATTCCCACTTACCATATGGAGCCTTTCAAGAGAAGGTATAGCGTCTCTTTGAATTTTCTTGCCCATAACTACTTCGGCTGCAATATTGCTAGAAGAGAATTCTTCCTGCCATTACAATCAACAAAGTAAATAGAAAGTGTCTAATCCAGGAAAAGCAGTAAACACGATCTTACCGCTACTCTGGAAAATTCTTTAAGATTGGAAGCTAGCGTTTCCCATTGAGAACTGATGGCGAGAAGTGAAGAGGATTCGTTGCCGTTAACCTCTGTAGCTGAATTCAATGTGATTATTTCCTTGTACAGTCTGTGGCCTTTTGCACTTGCATCATACCTCCAATGGTAATAGACAGATCAATCAACAACCGGCACTAAGATTTGAAAAGGGCGTATAAATCTTAATATCCTGAGAATTACCAGTAGAAAGTCCCCTTTCCATCTCCTCCAAATGCTTCTTTCCGGAAAGTAGATATTTGAGTGCCTTCTTTCAAGGCATCTTTTATGTATGACACTGCATCGTGTTGCTGAACAAAAACAAGCACAAGGAAAATACACATGGTAAGTTCAAATTGGGAGGACTGTCTTGACAAGCTTTATTTAAAAGGAAACAATCTTAGGAGACCAGGAAAACTAATACGTCAGCTCTAACTTCACATAGTGCTTTCAGGAGTAACAATCGATCCAATGGATCAAGTTCCTTGTACTTGGATATCTCCTCTCTGCACAAGCAAAAAGGACGTCACTTATTTTTATTCCATCAAAGCAAAAAGTCTACCTACAATTTTTGATGCATTACTAGTACCCTTTGGACGGCACAATTGGGATCTTCCCCTCAGCAACCTGCAAGAAAAAGGCATATAGGCAACTCCTGTCAGCAATAGAAAGGAATAAGTCAAACTCGGGCAAATAAGCTTCTTATGACTCACCCACGGCCACCACGCAGTCAGTTTCTTGCACAGCTCTGTCACCCATGCATCAGATTCATCCAGTTTTTTACTTACAGGTGGCATTCCCTATAAAAAGTACAGATGAAATTAGAACTCAGAAAAGGAAATAAGGCAGATCGGAATAAGATAGAAAGCTATCAAAAGAATGATGTTAACCACGTGAAAGAGGAGACTGATTGTTTTCTTTTCAAGTGGTTAAGCCAATTTACAACACTGATATACATGACCGCTTCACTGAATGCACTAGCATGCAGCCGGTGTCCTGTTAGCTTTCCTTGTTATTTTTGAAACTATAGAAACAAAAAATGCTTCCATTCACAAAACACATTTGAAAGGTCCACAGAAAATGTTGCAATTCCTTAGAAATTTAGGTTCGGGCAACTAAATCATCTTGACACATGCGCTAGTCTCGCTTAATTGGCTTTGGAAGAACAACAACAATAATTTCAGCAAAGTAACTATGGGAACTGCAGAAAGCACAGGAATAGCACGCGCGACATTATCAGTGGGTATAAGCTACCTTCAGAAGTACAACATGAAGCTGAGCTAGTGAAGCATCAGGCTTTATGAGCCCCATCTCTATGTCTTCAGCCGACAGTCTCAGTTCCTTGCCAATTAATGGCCCAAAAACCTGAATCAGATCAGTACGATTTAAGTCAGCCTACATGGCCTGTACTGAAGCACTTGTCATTGAAGATGCAATGCAGTGGCCCTGCGCTATGTTGTTCACCGAAACATCTCGATTTCACATAGCCATACGCTAATGCATAGCCCCAGTAACGAAAAACAACGTCAAACATTTACATCCATTGGCCAAAAAAGGATCTTTCACGGCACAAGTCAACAAATACTTCGAATACGTCCAAGAAAAGTCATACTCTTCTTCAGAACCCCAACAAAAAAAAAAAAACAACGTCACCCATTTACAAGGGCCCATAACTGGGGGAAAAAAAGGGATTTTTGAACAAAATCCAATAAATGCCGTGAAATCTTACGTCTAGGAAATTCAGAACAGAAGCTAGTTCCCATCGTCGGCGTAGCTTCAAAACCTCCGATTGCAGAGGATTTTCTTGCGCAACGGTGGTCAGCCTCTCGTTGCTTCCGCCTCCTACAGTTCCCATTACCTAACCGGCGGCCTCGCTTCGCTCACAGCAACTGCAGTTTCGCAGGGCAAAGGCAAACGTAAGGTATAGCGAGAGAACTCGAACGCAGGGCGTGGAACTGAAAAACTCGAAACGTTCGAATGGCGGAAAAATTTTAGAGAACGGGGCGCCTTCCCGCCTAAATTTTTGTCTTGTTTCCAATAAATTTAATCATAAAAATTAACTCCCAGCCAAAAAAAAGAAGAAGAATGAATTAGTTATTAACCACATTATATTGACTAGTTAATTAGATAAATAGATTTTCTGGGCAGCTGGATCCACAAAGACGAGTTGATATATCAATCAGTATGTTATATAGAATATATTTTACTTTTGATTAGTGTAGCTGTAAATTTATTCTAGTTTACAAATTTATTCTACTTTTTATTACTTTCTACTCTTTTTTGAGCAACAAGCATTGCAGAATTCGGGAACCACAACTGATCTTTTATGTCATTGCACTAAATACATGCGTTGTTTGAAGCATTTTCTAAATTATAATAAATCAGATGAAAACATCAGAACATTTTATGAAAATTTTCCTCATTTCTTCTTTGGTTGAAAGACTTTTAATTGTAAATATGCGCTGCTTGAAGCATTCTCTTCTCTCTTTTTTTTTTTTTGTATAAATGAAGCATTTTCACTATACTACATTTTTCACAACAAAAATTCTGGTGTGCTTTTTTCGCCATTTTTAGGAGTTTGTTAAGTGAATCTTTAGGACTTGTTTTTAAAGTGCAAATAAGTTTTAACTCTGCTGGCAAAAACTAATAATAATAAGTTATAACTCTACTTTGACCGAAACTCTTCTTTGCATATTGACGACAAACACCATTTATTTTTAGTCCTCGAATCTAAGACACGAAACCGTTTTGTGAAGATGGCAAAAAGGGTCGGCGCTATCAATATAATCGGGACCCAAGAGGCCTCTGCAAAAAGTGATGCCTTTTTTTTAACCAGCTGCACAAAGGCATACAATAGAGAAGGGAATAATTGATGTTTGGAGTAACATAGATTTTACAAAAAATACTCTTGCACTTGTTTGTTTAAAAAAGAAAGAATTGACAAATAAGACATTTTCATGGATAAAAGAAATTACATCCAAACGTAGGTGGAAAATGTAACTCATCTTCATCGCCTATGGCAGCAAGATACCAAACAGGATGTAATGAATCATTTGATGCATAAAAAAAAATTACATTCATATTTTAAAAAGTCGAAAGAAAATATAAGTTAGATATAGTTTTGTTTTCAATCCTTGTTTTCAAAATCACTCGAGGCCAATTTCTTGTTTAGAGATTATTGTACCATGTTTTTCTACATGGCTGACTAAATCAATGATGATTTACTGTCGAGTCTCATCTTTCATAGAAAGACTTCGAAGTATAAAATTAGGCGCATTTAGAGAGAAAGATGAGCTCTCTATATATACTCTAAAGATCAAATAGAGCACTCAGTACTGACCGAAGGTCGGTCTGTGAGATTTGTTACTTTTCAGGTGACAGTTCCAAACCTTCTTTTATCGACAAGCAGCTGAATACTGACAACCTGCGGCCCTGCATATATACCACAGTGGAGAACTATACGCAGAAGTTAGAGAAAGAGATTTCTTCTTTGAAATTTGAGGCACTGAATGTCTTATAGCCTCTTAATCATTTTTTGTGAGCATGTCCAGGACAGCAGAAGCAACTTTCTGAAATTGCTCCTTCTCTTCATCCAAGGTTTTCTTCCTCTGTAGAGCAGAATCCTTGCATTTCTCTATTTCCTCCTCTATTAAGGCAGAATGTTCTTTGACTCCACTGTATATGATTATTGAAGCAAAAATGCTCAGGAATCAGGATATATGGTTGTTGGAGAGTACCAATTAAAATTTAAAAATGATAGTAAGCGATGGCTTGAAATGTACAGGCCAGTCCAAAAGGACAGCTCCGACCTGATGTGTTGGAAAAATATCATCGATGTTGTCATATTAATAAATAGTAATACCAATGAATAATGCTAAAGCAGGCTTCTAAGCTGATATATGCAGATAAATAATGCCAATGTAGCGTTTCGAAGTTGAAGCATGAACGAGGGATGACAAAAGAACTAAATGACTGACAAATTTCAAATATCTCGTGGTTGTTAGAGCGGTTAGATAAAGGTACGTCACCGCCATCACCGTCATAGTTTTGATTTTAAATTAACAAACGAATATCCTGAAGTTAACGATGACCAGTATTCTGCACAACTTACTCGACCATCTTAAGCATGTTCTCCACCATCACTTGAACTTCATTCGGTATGCCTGCACAGATTAGCAGAGTAAATCAAGAACTCAGAAGATTATGCGACGCTCCCATTCAATAGCTCGAAGATTAGTCCTAGAACTCAGTAGATGAAATAATACGTCTGATTCCTAGATTCAAAACTCGGAATCAATTAAAAGCAGGCGATTAAGCATGTGGTGTTATTGCTGACAGCTTGATCTTGTGAAGTCATGTGGCGCCCGCGACAAAACAGACGAAATGCTTTTCAAAACAAAAAGTTATGCTGGAAAATCGAGAAATTATTGAGGCATTTCAAAATAGGCTACTTGAATTCTTGAATTCAGAAGCAAGATTCGGTTGGAAAAAAGAAAACTGAAAACGATAACAGCAGCAGCAGTTACAATAATAATCAGATTAGAAGCAACACGGAAAGACTCACTGGTAACGAGAGCGGAAAGCTGATTTTCGGGCTCAGGGATCGACGTTGAGTGCTCCATGTCCATGGCTATACGATACAAGCTCAGCCAGAGTGCCTATCTGCCACTTTGGAGGGAAATCACTCTCCATGATATAAATAGGATGGCGGGAGGCGGGGTGCGTGCTTCGTGTGAGCTATCTTTTGGGCTCTGGAGGCCCAATGGCTGCGTCACGGGGCAAAAAATGGAATTTAATGACGAAAAAATTACATGCCAACAAATTTTTTTTTGGTGCGAGTGTCTGCGGGCGTTTAGAAGGGGAAGGTGATTTTTTTTTTTTTTTTCCGGGACAAAGAAGGTTTGAGCTTTGCTCTATGTCGATTGTCATCAACTTATTATTATATAGGTGTCTCCGATGATGCCTCGAAAATAATCACTTTTAAAATACCCGTCCGTAATAAATAATAAAAAAAAACTTATTATTGTGCTTGGCGGTGTAACTATTGATCTTGTTAAGAATTATTTTTAGTATATTTTCAAGATTCTTACGGCATTTATTGAAGATATTAGATTTGATTTTGGATGAGCCACATTAACTTGACTATGGAAAAAAGGTTATTTGGTTTGGTGAGAGTTATCATGTCACCTCATCCCATGCATCACCGGGCTAAATAGTACTACTTTTGGTTCTAGTTATAAAATCTGGTTAATTAATTGGAGGAGATTAAAAAAATAAGTTTAGTTAGTTATTTGTAATAAATAGGTATTGTCTTTCCTCAAATATCTCTACTAATCAATTATATTGGTTATGACTACTATTATTAAAAGGACTACATTGAGAAAAAAATACATAAATATAAGAGATAAAATAAACTGGAGTCTTATATTTAAAACTAAAATAAAAATCAAACAAAATCTTATATTAAGAACTGGAAATACTATCAGGTTTTGTTCTCTCGTGATTGTGTGGTCACCCTTAATTTTTGGGTGTATATTGTTCACCATTTTGACTTTTGAGTCAGTTTCGTCGTTTCATATAAAAAATGGACAATCTTCAACATCGACATTGAATTTTCAATAAAATATAGCGCCTAATGTTACTTAAAGTGAATTTTTTCACGTAACATTTCTAATTAAATAGAAAACTTCTGAACTAATTTGCTCAATTCCTCGAATTAATGATTTCTATTGAGGATAATTTTGACGTGTTAAATAAATAAATAATTCCAATTAATCTCATTAATCTGTGTAAATTTGTTATTATAGACTTATAATTGAGATTGAAAGAGGTACTATGAGACAGAAAGGCCGAGACGTGCCTTCGTCTTCAGGTTTCCAGATGGGAGAGGCTTGAGGATACATGGGGGGTCAGAGCGGGGTGTCCGTGAATTTGGGTCCTACTCTCCAACTTTGCTGACTATGTACTAGTATATTCTCATAATTTTAAATTAAAAAAATATTTAGATAGAAGTAAAATCATAATTTTAAAAATACTTTTATAATATAATAAATAAATATATGAAGAGGTTTGTCTCGATTTATTAAAAAAATACTTTTAAAAAATATTTTTTGTTTTTTAAAAAAATATTTTTTTTGGATTGCCCATCTAGTTCACCGGAACTTTGTTCTGACTACATTTAGATCTGATCTGCGTCATGCACCTGACTGTGGTGGATGAGTCTTCTAACCGGAATTTCTGCATATGTTAAGGGAAAAAAACACTTTTTTTTTGTGGAAAAAAAAAAAGAAGGTTAGGTTGGAAACGAATGCTTCATTCATTAGTCATTACCAATGTTTTTAAGAACCGGACTGGACCGGACGGTCGAACCGGTTGAACCATGACCCGGACTCGTTAACGGCTCGGTTTGGACCAAAAAACCGTTCATATAGTTGAGCCGGATTGGACCGGAGTTGAGCCGTTATTAAGCCGGAAATCGGAGTTGGACCGGGAACCGGAACGGTTTTCAGAAAACCGGACGGTTTTTTAGCTTGACTGAAAAAATACTAAAATTTTTTTAAAAAAATAGAAGAAAAATAAAAAAATTGATCCCCTTAAATATCCTAATATATTTTTAGACTATTTATAACCATAGAGTATTATTTCATTGAAAATTTCATATATTGTGGTGTTAAAATCGTAAGTCGCTAGTCTTTTTGTTTTGATATTTGGTCTATCGTTTAAAAAAATATTTTGATTTGAATGAATTGATAATTTGTAATATCATTAAATATTTTAAACATACATAAATTTTAATATATAAGGTTTTAGTCCATTTTCAATGATTTCATTATAATTTTAGATTATTTAAATGCATTTCTAAATTATTTAATAATTTGATATTTTTCATATATACTAATTATATGTATATAATATTGTTTTAAATTAATTATTGCATCACCGGTCTGACCAAACGGTCCGACCGATCCGACCAATTAAACCATGACCCGTTGATCTTTCCGGTTCGACTTCCGGTCCGGCTTTTAAAACATTGGTCATTACTCAAAAAAGGTGACGTCAGCTTGGAACGAGTCAGAGGGTTGAATTTATTTACCTCTCCCCCATCGATTCTTCCGCCTCTCATTTAACGCCACTGCTTCCCTGTTTATTTGTTTTCGGAAAGTAAAATCTATGCGCCATTTTGAAATTATTTTTTTAGTTTAATCCTTATTATTTTAAATCTTAGCTACGTATATTTAATATCCTCCTCCTAGAAAGTGTATTATTAAAAATAAAAAATAATTATGTCTTAAAAGTTCAAAACACGAAATGTATTTAAAAATAAAACAAAAATGTAAACTAAGACGAATAAATAAAAATGAGAGAAAAACCCGGCTTTTCATGAAAACATGAATAAAAGTTGAAATATTTGACTCGCATGCATGACAATGGTACTTTGCACGTGTACCATTGAATTGATGGCATACCTCAAAATAAAATAATGGCGGGGCTGACATGAAATGCCCTGCAAGCATTTTTTGGGACTTGGTAATCGTCTTGTATTTTCTTTGGCTGACATTGACAAAGTTGTCGCCAATACATTTCATTCACTATTTCATGTCGTCTTCTTTGCGTCTGGTTGGTGCATCGCACCATTGCGCCTGATTTTTATTTTACACGAAAGCAATCCCATTTGAGGTTTGTTAGAGCCATTTCTTATTCTTTTTGGTTATGCATATTTAATTCAAGCACATTATTATACTGGCCGTTGAAGACAACATCGGAACTTCGCTCCAGGGTAATAATAAAACATATGTGAGTAAGTATTTTATTTCATTTGTTACGATATTATATTTTCTTGCCTCATATTTTATGCTTTTGACATGGGTTTTTTTTTTTGACCAGCTTTGACATGGGGTTATTGCGACTTATAAAATGTTTGAAGCTTTATTAAAATAAAAACAGTGATTAATATAATTTTTAGTCCATAAAATTTGAACTTATTTTGATTTTGGCCCCTCAAATTTTAAATCTTTTATTTCACTTCGTGAAATTTAGTTTGCCTTGAAATGTTAGTTCATGAAAGTGCGACGGTATTGAAATATGTTGCGATATCATCAATAATATTTAAAGTAGTGATGTTGACTCACTAGATAACACCTAATTAGATCTTGTGTGAACAATAAAATATACCATAGCAAACAGCTCCAAAAAAAGAATAGTGCTGAAGAGAAAATAGGAGGGTAAATGGCTGCATTTTAAAGACTTGTTCTTTTTTTCTTTCATTCTGATGTCAACACAATCATGATTCTGCTAAGTGCCATCTGGTAAGTCTACATCATCACTTTAACTTTGTTTATGAGATTTTAATATAGATTTTAACATTGTCAGATTTTTAGAGACTTATATTTGAAGATGGACTAAATTTTATAAACTAAAACAAGAAATTTAAAATTTGAGAGATTAATATTAAAATAATTTAAAATTCTGAACTCATAAAAAAACTAAATAAATGTTAAAGAATCTTCTCTTCTCACAGCTGCCGGATTTTAAAAAAGGGCTGCACGTTTGAGACGCACACGTGTCGACTCTCAGCGCACCGAGCTCCTGAAAAGCTGAATCTGAGTCACATAAAACGACAAGAGCCAGAACTGAAGCACCGACCGAACGAAGAAAAAAATGGAAGGAAGCGAAAAAAAATAGGGTGCAAATTTGGAAACTTTCAGTTGGGTTGTACTACTACGAAATAATTAACATCGCGATCGTTTATTTGATTGCCTTATTAAAGAGTGAATTAGCATTTTACAAGACATGGGAAGATATATAATATAACAAATTTATTATTATTTTATTATAATCAGTAATTCTTTTTTTCCCATTTAATGCATACTCACGTCTAAACTCTTAAAAAAAAAAAAAACGCGGGGGAAATCTGGGAGTGGGAGGCCATGATGAGCCCTTGCCACAGCTAAAACCTACACCTATCCTCCACCCTTTATCATGATACACACTATCAGACCTTCTGGCATCCCCGTCAAGTTACCTCTATTAGTACTTTCCCTACAGAAAAATATTTAGGAATACAAACGATCCGTTTCCCAGAACCAGAATGCAACAGCATAAAATCATGTACCAGAAGATTTTCTTTTGTTTTTTCTTCTTTTTCTAGTTAGATAATCAAATACTACTAACGTAGAGTTTTGAACGACATTAAACCCGCCACCTCTCATGTTTTTAGAAGGAATGATTATTGATAGGTTTTTAGCCCCCAGCCTCAGTAATTCAAAGCCTCCTCTCTACTGAGACAAGAGAGAGAGAACAGGAGGAGAGTGGCTTGTCTTCTACTCAAAGCAAGCGGGGATTTAATGGCGCATGGACAGTTTTATTGTATTTGATTTTTAATGTTGTTGGGTAGAATGGTGCGTGTGTTGTTTTATGTATGGGGAAAGGACAGGGGCGAGAAATGGGCCTGCTTTCCTCAGTCAATTGACCAGACACTTTTGTCAGTTATAATTCACCCTTTCTTCCCTCCCTATTTTGTCGTCTCCACTCTCCAGAATTCACTGTTCCCCCATACCCCTCCCCTCTCCCATCGGTTTTGCTGCTGTACTTGCCCCTTTAAATCTGTTTTCACCTTCCCTTTCATTTGACCCATCCATCAAAGCTCTGTTCTTAATAAAAAGCCCTGTTCTTTGGAATAAGTTGAACGTAACACGTTTTATGATGTGGTAGTAATTAATGAATGAATACTGTAAAACCCCTTAATCAAACGGAATTCGTGTGCAGAGACGAGTCATAATGACCTGAACTTGACGTGTGAGAGGCTGAATATTGAACAAGATGCTTTAATTAAAAGAGATTTTTGAGCCAATAAGTAACATACAATTGGACGTCTACCCCCTTGATTTGAGTCTGCAAGTCGTTGTCCAGTTAACAACGAAAAGGTTAATGCTACTGCAGCCTAACCCTTCGATTCATCCACGATTTATTACCGGATGAGTCCTATTTTTCCCATCACTGATTTGCTATGAACCCATCGAGCCAAAACGGGAAAAAGCATACAATACTGTGGGCTATTGTACTGTCGTATACTCCTTTCATTTTTTTTATAAAACACTTCTAACACATTACATATTTCATATAAATTAAAAAAAATCTTAAATTGTATTATTTTTTATTAAAATATAACAATTTATGATATATTTATGATAAAAATTTAATAAAATAACTTGTAAATAAAATAAAAAAACTGTCTCTCTATTCTATATAAATAGAATCAGAACAGTAATTATTTTTTATTTATGAGAGAGAGAGAGAGCGCGTCTCTGTCTAGTGAGAGAGAGGGGAGTATTTCAGAAGCTCATTGCTTCGCTGATTTTGAGGCATGCAAGAGGAGAGAGATAGCAGAGTACGGCACAAGTTTCACCCCGCCCTTATTTTTACTGCATTTGGAACTTCTTTCTTCAGCATCCATCCCTGGGAAGTTCTCAGAGCACAAGGAGAGAAGACCCCGGTCGGTTTTTCCCTCTCTGTTATTTCACACTTCGTCATGACTGTCCGTCCCTTTTTTTCGATTGAATGATTCTGATTTCTAGTCCATTTCTGTTTTGATTCTGCTCAACTTTACTCTGGAAGGCTTCTGAGGTGTCCTTTGGTATGCATGATAAATCTGTTTCATTTGAGCTTCTGATAGTTATAAAATGCTCTTTCTTTTCTATCTGGGATTCTTCTGCTTGTGCGATTTCTGGATGTTTCACTTTTCATTTTCTTTAAAGACTTCATTATCACGCTGCTCTGTTTAGCGAAGGGATGTGGATTGACTCGAGCATTATTATGATAGTCTTCAAAATTTCGTTTTACCTTTGTATTTTGTATTTTTGACGTCAATAATGTCGTTTATTTCTCTGCTTTGTGAGATGACATTTCGTCGTCTAATCGGAGCTCTATAATTGCTTCTTCATTCATTTATCTTCTTTTCTGGCTCTTTTTTTTTTCCAATAGAAAAGTGGTATCACAAATTTCTTTAAATTTTCAAACATAAATGCTTGCTTTGTTCCATGCGCACTCAAGAAGGTTTAATCTTTTCACAGATATGGCGTCATGGCATCATATGTTATTCTGCGTTGTCACTGGATATTGATATTGTTCACTGAAAACTCATTCTATGTTCTTCTGCTTACATGATCAAACTTGGTTTGTTTTCTGCAGGTGATTTAAGACAATGCTGCGGAAGAGGAACAGGTCTCTCCAGAAGGATCAACATCGCGCGGGTCATAATTGGGACTATCATTCTCAGTCTCACGGTTTGGGGACAAATTTCAGAAACAACTTAATTTTCAACATCCCTCGTTTGTTTGTGGGTCTTGTACCAAACAGCTTGTTAGATTCTGATTCAATGAGGAGCCCAACATCTCCTCTTGATGTTAAAGTGGTTCCAACTTCAGGTGACACTGCCCGAACTCCAAAGTCATGCCTGAGGAGCTGGGATTGCAGCAAAGTAGGCTTAAGCATACTTGATTCTTTTAATGATTCTTCTGAATTTTCTGGGAAGATCATATCTTCATCAGAGAGTAAGATTCCAGTTATCAGTCCCGGAATGAAAATTAAGTTCTCAAATTGTCTAAACAATGCTAATTCTTTTGAGGCATCCAAGTCTTTGCCCAGAGATTTTTGTAAACTTCCTTATACCCAGAATAGATCTGCTATTCACAAGGGTGATTCCAATACTCTTTTCGAAATAGGAGAAACCTGCCTAGGGTATGAACCATTTAGGAAAAGCTGGTCTTCTTCAATGGATTCTTGCAATCCATTTAGAAGCTTCTCTGGTTTGAATCTTTCCAACTATGATTCGGACTCTGGTTTTTCATCAGTGAAAGATATGTCCACCCAAGGAATCTTTCCTCATTTTATCGAAAGAAACCATAACTCAAACACCTCCCTGCCTACAGAATTGAACTCCAAACATGTATCATCTCTTGAGCTTGTTGAGTCGCTATCTGCTGGTGAGATTGAGAACTCTGAAGACTACACATGTGTGATTTCCCATGGTCCCAATCCCAAAACAACTCATATTTTTGGTGATTGCATCTTGGAAACTCATTCTAATTATATTAGGGGTCATGGTAAGAATGAAGAGAAGGAAAATGGAGTTTCCCCGTTGACTAACTGCTCGCAGACTCCAAACCAGTATCCCTCTAACAATTTCCTGAGTTTTTGTTACCACTGCAACAAGAAACTGGATGAAGGAAAAGATATCTACATTTATAGGTTGGTGGCCTTATCAAAATTGCATCTCTTGTTTTGATTTGCATTTCCTTTGCTGGTTAGAAATTTATCTGAGGCTGGCTTCCTTTGTGATCCTGCAGAGGTGATGAAGCATTTTGCAGTTTGACTTGCCGTGATCTGGAGATCATGATTGATGAGAAACTGCAGAAATCCAGTCCTTCTGAAAAATCTCAAGAGCAAGAGATTAGCAAGGAGGAACTTTTTGAAACCAGGATCTTCACTACTACGTAGCTAGAAGCTTTTCAGTCACAGCCACCATGGTCATGAGAATAGAGACGCAGTTGATCATCTGTTCACATAAGTGCTGTCTTTTATGTGCATCTATCTGCAGCCATGGATGATCGTTCTGTACATCACTGTGTGCGCCTTCGGGCTCTCAGACTTCGTCTTTTTGGTGGATGATGGCTCTCATTAAGCTTTTCCAGTATCAATATAACTTCATATATATATATATATACACATACACGTGTCATCAAATTATAGAAGCCGATTTTTCTGGCTTCTCCTCAGGACTTTCCTGCATTGTCATTTATAATCTCAAGGATCAACGTATACAGCCCGAACAAGTTTTTAACTGAATTATATATTACTATTGTATGTACAACCTGTGCTTCATTTCCCCTGATCATGTTACGCCAAAGGAAAATTTGATGCTTATTTGCTGGTACACTGATTCGCTAATTCCCGGCTAAGGGCAGGAGCGAGTTGAGGAGAACAGACATCCTCCAACATGCGTCCATGTTTGCAGAATCCATCCATATGGATAAAAATGTTATGACGATGATGTCTGCTTCATCCTAACGATGTTCAACCCGCAAACTCCTGTGGCCGAACTCACAGGAATAAGATAATAAACTCGTCGCTTCTGTTAAGGTCAAATGGCTTCCGTTCTGCATTAATGCACTCAAGCCTTAATTTTCCCTAGATCAATAGTATTAAATCAACATTCTGGATCTTACGTTAATTGTCTGAAATGCAATCTGAACCAGCTGGACTTGTTCCACAGCGCCCATGAAACATGGAACATGCTGTTGCTTCTAAATAACCAATTGGTAAAGGAACAAAGCAATCGAGCATGCTTAGGCTCTCGTTATCATTATCAGAACCTGATGTGATACCATATTACCTGGTTTTGAGAATCCCACTCCAAAAGAGCAAAAAGAAAAGAAAATCTTGGAGAGGAGAAAGGGAAAGCGAAGTAATCGTGCCGGGCAACAGTAGAACTCAAAAGACTCGATTAAGTCCAATCAAAGCAAAATTAAAACGACTTTTTTGATCAGATATGATATAATGGGATCAATCTAACCGAAATCGCGTTCATCCCTTTCTTAAGCAATCTCTGAAATTTATTATCTTTTTGGTAAAAAGCGAATGCACATCAGACTTTTGTAATGTGTACGAAAAGGTTTGAGAATTGAGATGATGAGATCGTGGCCTTCCATCTAGCTTTTGACATAAAGTGACACACCAGGCTCCTTTATTTTTTTACTACTTTCTCTCTTAATTATAAAACCTGTTTTATAGACTATAAACAAGTTTTTATAGTTAGGATAGTTTTCACCTACCGCTTTCTTTTTAGCTTTTAATATTTTTTTTGTTTGCTAAAATTATCGCACCCGTCATCAAGCTCCTCTTGTTTGCTCACGGTCAAGCCTCAGGCCCAGCTCGCACCAAGACTTCTCCCTGCACCCTTCGGCTTTATTTTTCTGTTAGGGCCTGTTTGGTAGATCATCTAAATGCTTACTATTGGGCCTAGTCAGAAAATTACAATGATCTTCCTTACCATCTCCGGTTATGCTTTTGAAACCAAAAAGTTGGGTCTAACAGAATGGTTAGTCTCTCATAACATAATAAACTAAGATTTGAATCCCTATTAAGAAAGGTGTTCATATTTAATGCCTGACGGTATCTCAAATAGGATTATCTTCAATAAGAGGATACCCGTGTTTTAGAAAAAAAAAAAAAAAGGTTATGCTTTTGAAATATCCAAGTATTAGGAAACAGAGAGCAGGACAATTACCTATTTGTCTGTGGGTTCAACGGTAAGAAGCGCATTCCCTTGCTAAAAATGGAGGGGTTCCCCGTCGTAGTCTTCAGGAGAGACATCCTAGATTTGGGAGGGCCTAGATAGATGTTTAAGGATTTGTTATGCATGATATCCCACTTACCACATAGAATGACGAACTTGATTGCCCATGTGCTGACAGGTGTAAAACAATGGAATCTAACGTAAAACGGTGATCAGGGAGAGCCCTAAAGATAAATAACGTGTAAACACAGGATCTGTCTTTGATTCATTGTCATCAAATCTTATTTTTGTTTGAAGTCTGAATTTTTTAAAATTCTCAAAGCATATGATATGTCCCTCATAAAGCAGCATTAAGAAGATGAGAATGCGCGAAATTTTTAGCACTGGAAATAGTTGTAGGGGCTATAAGAAAACAAATGCAGTTGGGAAGTGTTGGTCTCATTGTCTTTGTAAAACTTGAAAAGGCCAAGTTGTGATTTGATTAAGATAAAGGGTGCAAGCCCATTGGATGGACTTCAAGTTGAAGATCCAATAACACATTTCGAGAGAAAGGTCTCTTCTTATGGTGTGTTTGGCAAGCACCCCAAACCATGGTTTGGGAAAAATGTTAGCCAAACACCCTTAAAAAAATCAAAACTATGGTTTGGGTTCAAAACCATGGTTTTGACTCCAAAACCATGATTTTGAGAAAAGCAGAAATTTTTTACTTTTGGAGGAAAAAGGGGAGAGTGTGAGAACCTATAGGATATGTATCTTGTTGTTTTTTTATAAACATATTTTTTATAAATATATTTAATCTTATATCTTATAAATATATATACATATTAATTATTTATTAATTATATTATATTATATATTATTAATATATGTTAATAAAAAATATATTATTAACAATTTTATTCCTTCAAATTAAAATATATCATAAAATATATTTTTTCTATAATTATCATATTAATTTATGCCAATTTGTATATATAAAAAGTACTTCTAATAACAACTATCCAAACACTCACACTTCTTAAAATCACTTTTTCACAAAATCTATTCTTCCCAAAATCTATTTTTTCAGAATCTATTCTTCAGAAGCTATTTTCCAAACCATGGTTTGGTTTCATCCAAACACACCCTTAAACTAACTTCTATACTTGATGTGGAGTGATCATCTCATAAATAAGAGCATGGTAAAAAATAACTTGAAAAAGACATGTAAAATGAAATAAAAAATATAAAAAATATTTATATTTTAAAACATAAATAATAAATTATTTTCTTATTAAAATAATTTATTCTATTAGAGTCAAAGTAGGGTGCGCCAGTCGTGCATTGGCAGCATTGCATGCGCAGACGTATTAAAGTAATTTTCCTCTCTGCATGGTGTATAGTAACACCTCAAGGAGACACATTAATTAATCAATATAAAATATGTTTTATTTTCTCAAAACTCCGTATAAAATATCAATACATCTAATTATTATTCTTCCGGTCTTTAATATAGAACCTAATTAAAAAGTGGATCTTAGTTCTAAATATAGGACCTATTTCTTATATTTACCAGTTCTTTCCTAAGTTACCCGTATTAAATAATTGAATACCATAATAATACTTATTACTCATTAATAATACACCTATATATTTTACAAAGTAAGTGAGTACTTATTACTCATTAATTCCACACATACATCAATTCTACCGTTTTATATTTTTAATAAAATAATTTAAAGTATTTTTTGAAATGTCAGTTTTTTAAAGAAGTTAACTAAGGGTACTTTGGAAAACATATGTCATATTTATGATTATTACCTAACTTAATTAATTTTTTTAATTTAATCAAAGTAATTAAATATATCTTATATTAAAAATAAGAGGAGTACTCTGGATCAGAACGAGCACCTAAGTTGTGGGGGTATAACTAGGACATTTTAGACACGGCGAAATTGATTTGGAATAAATTATTATTATTTTTATCACAGTACATATGCCAATTGCTCATTATTCCCTTTCACATGATCAGCTCATCCCCAAAAAATCTCATTATAAGTAAACCGCACTCCCATTCATACTCACACTTGTCCGAGCGAATATCATCCATGGCGTCCCAGAACACACCATTTTCAGACCTTGAGGCACTCCGAAACACTCAAGCCTCTGGTTTCTCCACCAACCCGATTCTCAAACTGAAAGCCAACTTGGCTTTCCGTTCTCAATGGGCGGAACTGAATGGAGCCATGGGAGACCTTGGCACGTACATACCTATAGTACTGGCTCTCACTCTAGCCAGAGACCTCAACCTGGGCACCACATTGATTTTCACTGGCATCTACAACTTCATCACCGGTGCCATTTATGGGGTTCCTATGCCTGTCCAGCCCATGAAGTCCATCGCCGCCGAATCCATCTCCGACCCCAGTTTCGCAGTGCCGGAGATCATGGCCTCCGGAATCTTGACCGGCGGGGTCTTGCTTCTGCTGGGTATAACGGGGTTGATGCAGCTCGTGTACAGGTTCATTCCTTTATGCGTTGTCAGGGGGGTTCAGCTTGCACAAGGCCTATCCTTCGCTTTGACCGCTGTTAAATACGTCAGAAAGATACAAGACTTGCCAAAGTCCAAGTCTTTAGGGAACCGAGGATGGTTTGGTTTGGACGGGTTGGTCCTGGCTCTTGTATGTGTTTGCTTTATTGTCATAGTAAACGGAGCTGGCGAAGATCATCATGGCGGAGAAAGCACCAATTTGAATGATCAACAACGCAAGATGGAAGAAGATGCAACAATAAAGAGAAGAAGCAGAGTCAGAAACAAAATGTTCTCTATTCCTTCAGCTTTCATAGTGTTTGTACTAGGTGTCATTCTGGCCTTCATAAGAAATCCCAAAGTGGTGCATGACATCAAATTCGGACCATCCTCTTTTCAACTGGTGAAAATTTCCAAACACTCATGGAAACAAGGCTTCATAAAGGGCACAGTCCCTCAACTCCCATTATCAATACTGAACTCAGTCATAGCAGTGTGCAAGCTATCATCAGATCTATTTCCAGGAAAGGAAGTTTCAGTGACTTCAGTGTCTGTAACAGTGGGATTAATGAACTTGGTAGGTGGGTGGTTTGGGGCCATGCCAAGCTGTCATGGGGCAGGTGGGCTAGCAGGTCAATACAAGTTTGGAGGCAGAAGTGGAGGGTGTGTGGCTCTTCTGGGAACAGCCAAATTAATCTTAGGTTTGGTTCTTGGAAGCTCAATAGCTCAGATATTGAATCAATTTCCAGTGGGTATCTTAGGGGTGTTGCTTCTGTTTGCTGGGATAGAGCTGGCTATGGCTGCAAGGGACATGAACACCAAAGAGGATTCCTTTGTCATGCTCATTTGCACAGCAGTTTCACTGGTGGGTTCGAGTGCAGCACTTGGGTTCTTGTGTGGAGTTATTGTCTTTGTTCTTCTCAATCTAAGGAACTGGACAAAAGGTGACCCACTTTCAACCATTTGGATGCGTGGAACCTCTTGATTAGCTCCCCAGATGTATGAGTTTGTGCGCGTATGTATGAAGATTTGGTATATAATAGTGCAATTTCTTCGTTTATCCCATCTAGTGAAATAAAGTTTGTTGTTAATGTTGTTTGGTATATATAATATGTGGTATATGAGACTGGGATAACTACTTGGTCTTGAATTCAATCTTCTAAATCCCTGAGTAACCAAAAAAACAATGTTTTTTTCAAGATTATGGAGTGTTTCCTTCCATTTTTGGTTATGTGATGCTCAATTGGGGGCCTCATGAAAGAAAAACTTCTCTCATAATTTGATATAAAAAAGAAGGAAAATTAAAAAAAAAAAAGAGGCCACGTTGCTCTTATTATAGAAGATTAGAAGTATGATAAATACTAAAAGAGGGGGAAAATCTCCCCTGCTTCGTGGCAAAGGGGGCTATAAGTTTTTTTGATTGTGTTGAGTCCATTGCATCAGTATCCATTTGTGTGTGCATGACAGAGTGGGAGCGAGTGGGTGTGGATTCTTGCTGGACAAGAATAAAAGAAGCGAAGATTCTTGCTTTCAAGTCATTACACAACTAACCACTAGACCAAAAGAGACAAGCTTGTGTGTCCATCATCACCTCAAGAGAAGTCATCAATCAGCCTGGAATGGAATATATATATATATATACATATACACACACATATATATATGTATATTATATATCTCTTGAAGTTGAAGATCAGATGCAAAACTGATTAGTAGTGGCCAAATGCTGTGGCATGACGCCATTGCATTAATTCTTGGAATCCCCCAAAAAACCAATAATTTGAACATATTGGCTTTATCAGCATTTGACCATTTCCTCCGAATAAGACTTCTGCTTTCACCAACTCTCTCACCTTATGAATGCAATCTCCATTATCACGGTAAAGAATGAGAATATAGATTGATGATTTGCCGAATCCATGATTCATCAGCCACTTGTTCCTTTAAGCTAATATCCCACTCAACAAGCTTGAAATTAAAAGATCCTGCCTATTTCATCAGATCTGCATTCATTAAATTTAATTTTTGATTCTTCCTTATTCAACGAGTAGAATTCATTCTATTGTAGATTTAGGTTGACACGAGTAACTAAGTTCTCGTTTTTAGAGTAAGTGATTACCTTTATGTAAGGAATAGAATAAATTGGGAAGTGTTATTTGCATGTCCTCCATATCTTGGAAAGTTCTCTCAATAAAATATAACCAAAATAATTTCAATAGTATTATTTTCATCAACAAAAATTCTTAAGTTTCTATTTCAACGTTATGCATTTGAAAAATAAAAATTTTTAAAATGAAAGACGCAAGCTACGTGCTTCAAACATATGTTAACCGAATCTGACCAAGAAAAAAAATGATGCTCCGCGTAAAAGCGTCAGTCTACATTCAAAATATTTTAGTCAGAAATATATGGGCCTTAAGAATTGGTCTTTTACTTGGAACCAGAATTACCTCAAGCTTACGCACTCTATAACATAGGCGTTTAAAGTAAAATTATTCGCACTTTTGTTGACGCCAAGGGACAGAATGTTAGAAGGAAAAAGGATAAAAACCTTGAAGCACTCGGCGAAGCTTACAATAAAGTGGACGGCCATCTTCTAACAAGACACTAATTAGATATGGCGAGCGTAAAATATTTACATCTTTGCCTTCACTTTTTTGAGGGGCACACTACCGTAAGGCTCCAATCCGACGTTGCCTGTCTGCTTCTCATGTTCCAGCTTGGAGCTTGACTCATACTTCTCAAACGATTGGTCATTATCGCACCAATATAACCAACAGTGGCTACTCTAAAGATTCTTCAATGCCATCCGTTAATTTTTTCCCCCTTTGAGTAATTTAATGTGTAGTAGTTTATTACTTTACTATACAACAAAAGGCAACGACAACACTTTCGCAGTGAAATCAGGCAAACGGATATTCTTTCCCAAAGTGATACTTCGACATCAAAATCAGCATTACGTTTCCCAGAGATATTGAAACACAACAGTAGAATAAGCTAATCCATCATCAGTTCATGGGCCTAGGATCTTTGTTGTTCTCTAACATCGTGATGCGCACAATAATTTCACATCATATTCCCCACTTCCTCAAGTTTAGCGCTCAAAATCAAGATGTTAATGAGGGAGTTAGAGCTGAAGATGTACCTGGCCACTATTCTAAAGCAATGGTTAAATACTGATCAGAAAGGCTATATCATGTTATCATGTTTACATATAATACAAGAGGATCGGGTATTTACCATATGCTATGACATAGCCAATTCACTGCAGAACCAACACATTCTCAAGGCTTAATTTCTCTTTTCTTGGTCCATGTCTAACTATCCAATCTTTTAAGTAAGCAACCGCATTCACTGGGCCATGTGCCACAGAAAGCAGCGGACTACCTTGCAAATCAGACGCCAGACTACTACGTCTTAATCTCTGAAAGAAAGGGTGTAATTCCATTCAAAGTGTTTTTTTCTTATTGAGCCCAACCTCTTCTCATTTTGCACATTTGAACCCGAGGTTAAGGAGGAAAAGTAGGAAGACGGGCAAAAACCCAAATAAAGAAAAAATCTGTACAAATATTAACAGCCAAAATTCCATAGACCCGATAGCAGCGGTGAAACAGTCCTGCACTGCAGATCTCAACCTGAAGAGAGGTCTGGCGGTCAGAGCTTGCTGAGTACGCTTTGAAGCAACAAAATCTCCATCTCATTGCTCTCAGACCTCACGACTGAAGTTCACTACGGATTATCTGGACAATTGACAAAGTAAAAACCAGACCCGTGTCTAGCCACACAAAAAGAAGAGGAGGAGGAGGAGGAGGAGGAATCTACTTACTTGCCTCTATGCAGCTCTGTCATAAATTAAAGGAATCCATGACGTGCCACAATGTCAGATGTTTGTCGGTTCATCTACCTATTACCATTTGAGTCCTCAGAAGCTTTCATTGCTTCAGCAGTCATAAGAGCAGCCACAGCCTTGTGGATTGCTAGATCTGCTCTGTAGAGCAATCTTTGCGCCCTCTCTCTCTTCAACTTCGCCATCTTAAGTGCATGCTGAGCAGCACCTGAGGCATCACGCAACTTATATTCATCAAGGTCTGAACCATCAAATTGTTCAATCCCATGCCTGTAAGGGCCATCTAATTTGTACTGCCTGTGGCCTGGCCAGTGATAACTCAAATTCCAATTACCAGCCCCACTTCTCTTTCCGGACATTCTATGACCGTGATGAGCCATCATCTGGGAATCATCATGATATAACGACCCATATTTTTTTGACTTGCTGTAAAGTTTGGGTACTCGATTTCTATCATACCCATCATTGCTCAGTGAAAAATATCCCATGCTGCCAGCCTCCCATGGTGAGAATACCCTTGGTGAGGTCAGTGGCAACGGGGAATCATCCAAAGGGTCATAATTAGGGCCTAGGTATGTGAGCTTTTCATCACTAAACACAAAGCCATTCATTCTTCTTCCTGAGTGAACAACATTCGCATGTAAGGAAAAGGTTCGTTATGTGTTAATGAGGTAAGAGTACTGGGGTCAGCAAGAAAATAAAAACTCACCAAGATTGTATAAACCATCCTGTTCACCTAGCATGCTGTTTGTATGCCCAGAAACTGAAAATTTCTTCTGTGATCTATGTTTCGATCCTTTATTTGGTACTTCCAAACCCCTTGGTTTCAAACAGAAAGCAAACATGGGTGGCTTATCCAAAGCTGCAACCTTGTCCAGGCCTCCGTAAGAAGTGAGAGTATTATTCTTGTTCATAGCTGCCTCCCACTCTCTTACTTCTTGTTGATATCTTTCCCACAGAGGAGGCTGAGCAAAGCAAACATTTAGAGATTATATTTCAGAAAATTAATAATCAATGATAAAGATCATGCAAACAAGAAATATAACATTATCAGTGTGGGAAATAGTAGGAGTCGTGCAGCAATTTGAGCAATAGAGAAATTAAACAAAGTTCATCACACTCAAATGTTTTAACTAATCAATAAAACATAAAACTTAACTCACCAAAGCAATTCAGATATACAAATATTTATTTTCTAAAATAACAAAGGAGCACAACACTCTGAGGATTCAAAACAGTGAATTGTAGATGCACGCCCCGAACATCAAATCCTCTGAAAACAAATTGCAGCAGTTCATGCAAGCATTTAATCACTGGAATTAACAATATCTTTCAAATGCTCAACAACCCACAAAAACAAACAGAATTAAGGATGTTACCACCCAAAACCACATAATTTCATACAATCACAGGAGTCTTATTTCCATAATTTTTTTCTTGTCAATTCATTCTAGGATTCTCTAAAAGTGTGATCTTCTGGAGATTTAGGTGTTCACAAATGGAACATCATACCAGGATTTTTTTTTTTAACAACATCATAACAGGATTTTTAATCAGGAGTTTTTTCATCCACTCTTATCTTTGGTAAGACAGTTGTTTTCTTGACTTCCTGCGGGTCAACAGACGGTTTTGGGGGATTTTACTAAATTGAGCGCTGCTACAGAGTCAAAACTTCTCATCTTCAACTTGAAGTGAACAAGTTGATTCTTAATTTTGAACCTCCTTTCCCATTCCCATCCCCACATGAGACCACTCTTTATCTCTCCTGGGTAATCTATTACTTTATATTCAGTCACTAAATGGGACCAACATAGACAAAGTCCCAGAAGGTGATAAACAAATACTTAAATAAGATCTATAATTGGGAAAGTACCTGAAAATGCCGAACTAAAGCCATTCCCTTTCGCTGCCTTTTTTGCTGCCAATGCCCATAGATGGTTTTGACTAAACACAAGGGCTCAATATTACCCATGATTTCCTCTATTTCATCAGATGTAAACTGATTACATTGTCGAGAGTATGCAGCCTTCTCAAACATGTCCATTATCTTCTCAAACACCTTCGAAATTCCCTCCAAACTACTGTTTCCCTTTTCAGAATTCTGAATGTTTGAAACCCACTCCTCATCCTCGCTATCCATGTCATACAAGACATGAGAAGGATTTAAAGCCATCTCAACATCTGTTTCAACTTGCTGAAAATACTTTGGGCCACGAACAAATGCAACTTCAGTCCCATTGTCATCGTTTTCCTCAATCAAACGAACACCAGGGAGAGGTATATTTTTAACAGAAGCAGCACGGAGATTCCGATTGTAGCATTCTTCGTGCATCTCCTTGAAAAGGGCCCACTGGCTCCTATCAGCAAATTCCAAGGTCCAATCCTTCCCTCCTTTCCACATCATAGCATGTGTGTAACGATTTGTTGATCCTGGCTGCAGAAATTGATGTGCTTTATATGAATACCTAGTAATCCCTGAAAATTTTACAGAAAGCTTCCACTCATTATGATCAAACAGCTCTAGTACAACTTGGGCTCCAGATTCTCTCCACCCTTTATCACCAATGGTGATCAAAACATTTGCATCACAAGATAAGGAGTCCAAATCCTTTTCAGGGCCTCTGGCAACATCCGATGACTTCTTTTCATTAGCCTTTCTAATTCTCTTGTGAGGAAAGCTCTTCTGATTAGGGTTTCTGTGCTTTGAACTGAAATCATACCCAGCAAATGGCAGTGAATATGAAACTTGTGTTCGTGGCTTCTTGGGTCCATTACTGAAACCATTGTGAAAAGAGTCAACATTTCCACCAGACCACCCTTGTGACAGGAAGCCAAATGTTGAGGAACTATTTCGGTTTCGCTGCCAAGAACTTCTGGGACCAGGTGATTTGGGGCTTGGAGTGACACATTCATTTACATTCCAAGACAAATCACAAGAATCATGGGCACTCTGCAAATCATCATTCACAGGCTTCCCGATTTGGTCAGCTAAAGGAATTTGAACATTGAGGTCTCCCAGAAAAGAATGGGGAACATCATCGGCCTTATCTTTGTCAACTAAGGAGCTTGAAGGTAAAGAGCATAGTTCTAACCCAGAATTATGGGATTGCCACTCGTGCAACTGAATAGAACTGAGCCTCTCAGAACCAGGGGAACCAGAAATGCCACCAGCACTAAGACCAATGATCTGGCAATTACCAGGGGCAATTTGATCACTGCAAACAGAGGGACTAATTATGAGGTTTGGTTCAGCACAAGCAACACCATTTGACAAAGTCATCATATCTTTCTTTAAATTAATTTCTGCATTGCTATGAGAGCAATCATCAATGCTAGAGTAACCATCTTCCTGATCATCTACTGATGAATGATCACGGAAGCTTAAATGATTTACTGACCGCTCCATCAGCAACTTGAGATGCAAACTAAGAAAAAAGGTAGGTGCAGCAGCAAAAGAAAGAGCAAATAACGGATGCTTCCTCTTGGCAGCAACAGAAGGCTGACTAGCATCAACTGGAGCGAAGTCTGAGGAAATTCCCATAAAATTAATCCCCATTCCCGTCCTCTTAGGCATGACCTGTTCATGCAGATGTTACACAATTTCATTTAAGATACTCCTGACATAAATAAACTTGACGTGAATTTTAAAACCTTGGGAGTTTTGACAGGAAAAAATGTTCAACTATAACAATTCAAACTTAACATTGAGGGAAAAGAATAATTTAATAAATTAGATATCGAATATCAAATATTTAGAGAGAAGAGAGATATGGAATTAGTTACAGGAAATACTGAGGAAGTACCTTAAATGAGAACGGCTTGCCATTGATGGCAGCAATTGGGCACTCGCTTAATCCATTTTGAAGTGCGTGGATGTTATCATATGTGCATTCAGAGATATGGAGGCGTTTACTGAGGAGGCAATACCTCTTAAGTTTAGAATCTAAATACATCCACTTTGAACTCTGTAATCTAGAGAAGTTGTAGAATGCAAACACAACCTGCCTCTTGACATCATCCGCACCTGAAAACCTAAATCTAATAGATGTAACTGGTAGTTGCATGTCAACATACTTCCCTGCTCAGCAGATTCAAGAAATACCCTAAGGATCATAAAGACGAAGGCTGCAGCCATCATCAAGCAGCCTTCAAACAATAGAAACCGCAACCCAACTACATTATCAACAAAAAGCATCTCCAAATGAACTCTTGGCCACTTCGTCATAACTGCACCATACTGAAGAAGCAATACAGCATTAAGCAACCACAAGCTCTCCAATTCATAATTACGTGCCGATCTTATTGGAAGGTTTATGTCAATTTTAAGTGCTGCTGACTCCAAGTCCAGAAGTCTTATTTCTGATATACCTCCCACATTGTAAGTGAAGAACAAAGGCCCATCAGTGTCAAAGCTTTTATTATCAGGTTCATTTATATCATTTAGCCTGTCAACCAAAGGATCAAAGAAAACAGAACCAGGGGCACTTATGATAACAGGTTCTCCTTCGGACACATGATGGGATGCCAGAGTTAACCTGCGAAACCGCCTTCTAAAGTAAACAATAGGCATTTTACCTTCTCTAGAACAAGTAGCATTTTCTGATGACGGCTGCTCTCTAAAATTATCACCTAATTTATCTAGCAATACAGAATCACAGGACGGATTGCTTTTACCTCCTCTCAAGGAGCTCGTAGGTACTCCCTGACCTCCAGCGGGTTCTTCATACAATAATGATGAGGCCGGTTTCAAAGATGTAGCAGAGGTTTTCTGTTTTTTCACACCATTAAAAGAAGAAGATTTAACCCGATTAGAAGACCGGGCAAGCCAAGAGATTATAGGCTCTGAATCCATAAAGCTTCCACTGCAGCTATCATCCTCTGTAATCAATTTTCCTTGTCTTTCTTTTCGGGACTTGCTTCCTTTTTGCTGAACAGAACTATTTTTCATTGCAGATCTTTTATGGCCTGCATTTCCTGGAACTTCACTGGGAAGTAACAAGAGTTTGAACCTCTCAGTTTGAAGATTAACCCATTCTTCATCTCGATCATCATATTTAATATGGTGAAGTTTCTTTGATTTGTCATAGTCATTGACCATTCCAAAGTACCAACGCTGGTCTAACGGCCAAAAAACCTTTATTCTCTGGTTCAAAACCCAATATGCATCCAGATCATCTAAGAAAATCTCATAAAAATGACGCCTCTTCCGGGCACTACCCTTTTCTTTGTGTTGTTTCCTTGGCCTCAAGACTCTACCTGCTGCATCAACTGATGCTGATTCTGAACCTGACAGAGACTTTGACCCATGGCTTACCAGATTTCGAACAGCAGATAGTGAAACGGATACACTATTTTCTGATGGCAACATAGAAGAATTACCAGTAGAAGAAAAGCCAGTACATCTGGGATCAAACCTTGAGGATAGCATCCTTGCTGCATTCTCCTCAAGATTCTCTTCATCATCTTCCTTCAAATTACCAGAAAGTTTACTATTTCTAATTGCAGTTCCAGCCTCCATGGGAACACTATCTGGAGCCAAAATCTTTTGCTTCCTGTCTCTTTTCCTTGACGTCTTTATAGAATCACCGCTATTTACAACAGCATAACAGGAAGAGTCTTCATATCCCTCGAAATGCTGAACTGAATTTGAATCACTACTCATGTTTTCTTTAAATTCATCAATATCCTTCTGTTTAAACATTGAAGACTCAGCACCCTGGCCCGAATCATCCCTAATTAGTTCAGGCATTTGATCACCATGGCCACTTTTACTACTAGTCTGCCCGGACAAATTTTGTCCTTGACCTGTTTCAAATTTCTTACGCCTCACAAGACCCCTCTTTCGCTTCGGGATATGAACAGCATTATCACCAAGACCAAGCGAAACCCTATAAAACCCATTATTGCTACTCAGTCTCTGACTCAGACCTGACTGCAATTCATATGAACTTGGCCCAATGCAACATTCTCCATCAACAACCTTTTTAATATTACAATCAGCATTTTCTAAGCTACTCAGAGACATTTCCTTTCTGATCTTCTTTTTCTGGTTCGTTTTCTGATCACCATCCTCATGGCTACCACCTCGTCTCTTCAAGTTCTTCTTAGGAGTCTTTTTTGGAACTTTCAGATTATATAAACTTTTAAGATCCAATGATCTCGATTTTTTGGGAATTGCAATGCCATGGGAGTTCTCTGTTCTATCTTCCATTAACAACAAGCAGTACAGACACCCGGAACGAAGTTTTTTGAATTTCACATTCCATTATACATTCCTGTACACGTCTTACAGATCTGTAACACCAAACTGATGAAAAATAAAAAATAATTCCTCAACCAACACAAAGACTAAGGCCACAGACAATGTCCAATGCACTAGGAGGATTTCAATGAACAGCACCAGACATATAAATCGCAAAATTATAATACGTTACCTACCTCAACGGACACACCACGAACACGAAGTAATCGTTACTTCCAACGAATCATGAAGATCACTATCATGAATCATGGGTTGGGGCTTGAATCTCACAACTGGGAATTGGAACCCTAAAAGAGCCCATGAGTATGATATTAAATTTACGATAATTCCGAGTTCTCTGTTTCTTTTTTTTTTTGGGTCCAATTTTACCGCGAGAGACGGGCAAGAACTAGGGCTTGGGGAGCCAGGGTTTAGATCGAAAATAACAAAAGATGAACTGATCGAAATGGGAAATAGCTCGAAACTACGGAGAATTTTTTAGATTCTACACGTGGGAGAGAGGACTCCGTTGGATTGAAAATCTTTGGCCAGGTTCGGGGTCTTCTACGTCGATGTGTACATTCAACGACCCAGATGTAAGCTTTCGAGGAGGAGGTTGAGATATTAACGGCTAGGATTCGACCCTTTCAGCCGAGGGTCTGGAAGTTGGGTCTGGCTCGGGTGAAAAGATTTAGGAAGTGCTTGGTACCGGGAAAATGAAAAAGTGCGGAGGGGAGGAAGAAATTTTTTTTAATAAATTGGATTTTAAAAATTAAAAAAGTGAAATTTTAAAATTTTAATAAAAAAATAATAAAAAATAATTGTTTTAACCCCGTTTTGAAAAAATTTTAAATTAAGCTTACTGAAATTTTTTTCTTTTTCTCCTTTTTGTTTCCTGTGTACCAAACAGCTAGGCAGCTTACTGAAATTTTTTTCTTTTTCTCCTTTCTATTATTGGTTCTCGCCAGAGCGAAAATCGGATTTCTTGTACTGAGGTTATGGATTGGCATTTTTTTTACGGGTAATTGATATTCAAAACTTTTTAGTCTGATTTCTGAAGTTGAACGGCGGGCATCAAATATGTCTGTGAAATCAACACAATCTTCATTTAGGGATCGTACTCAAGAATTTGAGAGCATTGGGGAAAGGCTAAAGAAATCACTAACTTCAGGATCAGGGCTAAATGGGCCAACCAGCAGTTCGAGATAGGAAGAATTGCAATCTGATGTAGCAATCCAGTCAGAGTTCAATAGGAGGGCTTCCAAGATTGGATATCGAATACACCAGATGTCTTAACAAGCTCGCTAAGCTGGTGAAGTGTAAGTATAATTGAATTCGGAGAATATTTATACCATAATCTGATTAGACCTTCCCGTGCACCCTCCTCCCGTCGTCATACACAAGCTCATTGGACTGAGGCCTCATAATAAAAAATTAACAAGTTAAACAAGATGAATCCCCCCAAACAATAAAAATGTATTTCGAGATCTGTGGTGTGTTTGATTGCTAACTTCTGCTAAAATCACCACTACATGGTGAATGCTGGTGCCGAATGCTGCTCATGGAGCAGTTACAATCAAACCTCGCAAATGTTGACAAGTCACGTTGTGCTCATTTTGATTCACAGTGGCAAAAAGGACTTCGGTTTTTGATGACCCAGCGATGGAAATTCAAGAGCTTACCGCAATTATTAAGCAAGATATTACTGCATTGAACTCAGTCGTGGTGGATCTTTAGCTATTGAGTCTCTAGACATGAGAGTGGAATTATCTCTAGCGACACAACTAGTCATTCAACCACAGTTGTGGACGACCTTAAAAATCGATTGATGAGTGCCACGAAAGAGTTTAGAGAAGTCCTAACCATGCGAACTGAGGTATGTTGCTAGTGCAATTGCGTGGTTGCTCGGTAAAATTATTATTTCATGATGCCATTCTGCTTTTTTCCTTTTTGGCACATTCAATTGACTGAGTTGTTTTTTCCCCTTTGATCTTGTTCACATTTTACATTATCTTGCGTGTCTGGTGTGTGATATTATTTATATTTCTATGAAGAACTTGAGAGTACATGAGAACAGAAGACAGTTGTTTTCTTCCACTTCTTCAAAGGATTCTGCTAACCCATTTGTCCGCTAACACCCGTTAGCTTCGAGAATGGCTGCTAGTGCTTCTAATGCCATTGCACCCCTATGGGCTAGTGGGCCATCGTCTTCAGCACATATGGCTTCTAAGTAAGTTATGGTTCTGTTTTACATTACCCTGGTTTTAGTTAAGGTTGAGGATTGACGGCCAGCACCAATGTTCGTATCCTATGAACTAGTATCAGTATAACTACTATATCCTGAATCATCTCTTTCTCTATGATGGGATGATTCTAAGTTCTTATTACTACAGAAGCAAAAATTCGCAGCCTTTGATTTCGGTGAGATCTTCATTGGCTTAACTTAATTTCTTGCCTTCAATTACTTATATGGTTGCTCGCCTTGATCTGAGGCTTTTTCTTCTATATGTTTGGGAATTTTATTTTCGGTGGAATGAAATGGAGTGGCATGGGCAAAAAAACTTTGACATTATTGGGAAGAAATTTTCACCAAACGATGGCTGGCAATGGATTGCCTAAGTCCATAGAAAGGATTGGGGGATGGGGTTAAGGATGAAATGGCCAAGATCAAATATTTTAATTGCAAAATACTCCTATCCGATGAATACCCCTGCCCCCATAAGATGAATAGCCTATTATGCCGTTGAACTGGTTCCTAAACTGATTAATCCATTGCCACCAACAATTTTTTTCGGATCAAAGTCGCAGGAAGATCGTCAACCTTTGCTGCAGTAGCAACACCAGTTAGTTCCGTTGCAAGATAGCTACATGCAAAGCAGAGCTGAAGCTCTTCAGAATGTCGAGTCCACTATTCATGAGTTAGGCAACATCTTCAATCAATTGGCAACACTTGTTTCCCAACAAGGAGAGATTGCTGTCAGGTTCTTCCTCTTCTTCTAATCCTTCACTTGTGCTCAACGTAACTACTTGCTAAAACATATTTGTCAATGTTTTGGGTCTTCATGACGTTATGCACCCCTAGTCCTTGGATTTGAAAAAAAAAAAGGTTCAAAACCTTTCATTCCTTCGCTGATGGTCATTGTGTTCACTGTCTACACTCTATCTCTAAAATGTATCTTACACTTTAAAGGAGTCTGATCACATGCTTTCATTCCTCTTATTGCTTTAGTTTACTTCCCTGATCCTACTTATTTTAAGTTGTTATAGTCTTGGCATAGACCTATTTCCTCTTCAGTATGCGGGGCGAATTAGTCTACTCTCTCATCTTTCTTTGGGAGGATAGAATTCGATAATACAAATGAAGAAAATCTAGGTGTTCATTTTCTAGCTCATCTCCCCTTCTTTCCTTGTTTATGAATATTTTTTGCGTTTTTTAAACTATTCATATTCTGGTAGTAAATGAGGAGTGACATATGAGCTTGATTTTTAATATCTTGGAAATATCAATGGGATGGGATGTTGCTGAATAGTCTGCACTATACCCTGAGGTCCTAAATGAATCTCTGAGGAGGACTGGTTTGTAGTTCATATTTGGCAGCAGCACTAGAGGCAGTGATAGTTTTGTTTATGGATGGTTGTTCCTCCCATCTAATGCTTGATTTATAGTTATTACGTTCGTTTGATTGTGAAAGAAGGCACAACTACAACTGTCTTATCATCACCACAATGTGTTCCAAGTGAAGGCAATTTGACGAGTATAAAAGTGAATATGGAGGAAAATCCCGTAATTATTAAAAAAATTTATAGTTTAACACCTCAAAATTGCTTAGATATGCTTCGATTGCAGACCAGGTGAACTGGCTTTCATTTTCCTGGTATTTGATAATTGTTTCCTTGTTTTCTATCTGGCGCTGGCTATTGAATTTAAGACATTCAGATTGAGTAAGTTTTCTACTTACAGGATTGATGAGAACATGGATGACACGTTGGCAAATGTAGAGGGAGCACAGGGGGCTCTATTAAAGTATCTGAATAGCATATCTTCTAATAGCGGTTGATGATCAAGATATTTTTCGTACTAATATTTTTCCTTATGGTTTTCCTATTTTTTGTGGCTTAATCATTATTAAAAGACAATCTAACGAATATGAAAACAGAAGTGACGGTCTTCTTACTGGTGATAACTGATTAGCCGTTTATAGAGTTCTTCAGTCTTAAGTTCCTTTCCGGTTTCCCAAGTTTTTGTAATGATTATACTTTATATAGCACCCTGTATGACAACTATGAGACTTGTGTTTTATGATTTATGTAACAAGGTTACGAACCATGAGTTTTATAATTTTGAACGGCTGGGCATGACGGCTGTTTATCTACTACTGTAGTAATGCTGTAAATACGCCATCTGATAAGTTTTCTGGTTCATAATTTAACTGAAGGTGTTCCATTTAGAATGAGCATCTCGTCTTTACTAGGCCTAGGGATCTCCTGGAAGGATGATGAACTTGGATGAGTTTTCAACCTCAAATCTGTACTTTTGATGCCATCTTGGAATCGAGGTTGTTGTTCTAAGGGGTTCTGTTGTTTTCGTTTACAGTTTAATATGATCATTTAATTCCGGCTTATGGAAGAATAAAGGTGCGTTGCATTTGTTTTTTGACCAAGATACGGGAGCACCACATTACATTGCACATGGTAGTATACAACCAATAAATCATAGTTGATTTTAATTTAGATATTTTTGTATATTAAATCTTATTTTAACTGCTTAGAAATATGTACTTTTTATTTCATTAATTAACTCTGCTTTTACTTTCAGAAATTATTTAATTTTTAATCCGATTTGTTAATTTTATTTTTACTGAGTTTTATTTTACCAAGCAAAATTTCATCAGAAATAAGGAAAAAATATATTGGCGCAGAATCATCAATCGTTAATATACAAGTAAACAAAAATCATAATTATTACACACTCACTGTTCTATTACGTATGCCATGATTTTCCTAAAATAAAACTTGTACATATTGATAAACTTATTTAAGAAATAAAATGTACTATTTATCACTCATTTTCTTATTGTCGTGACATGATCACTCCTTTTTTTTGTTTTTGTTGCCAACGTGACATTATCACTCATTACAGCATTGCCATTTCCTAGTTTATTAATTATTACTAGTATGTCCCTCTTTTACATTGAAAGAGTGTAAGTTTTTGAAACGACACCTTGTGTTTATTCCTTCCACATTTGGAAATATCCGAAAATCAACTCGCAAGCGAGTAAAATACTTAAAACCAATATTCTGTAAATTCCACACTACCTATAAAAAGCTCTATCCTGTGCCTGTTTCCTTACGTTATCCTCTCTTCTCCGTTGAAACCCTAGGTATCATTAACCGGAGAAGTTGGCACCTCACTTTCGATTTTCTTGTTTTACCGCGTTCCCTTTCGCTCCTCCTCTTTCCCCGTACGGGCTCTCGAACCCTAATTTTCTTTCTCTATCTCATTTTTTGTAATCAATTGAAAATTATCCTTGCTGGTATTGATATTTTTATCGAGAAGTCAACTGTCTTGCCCGAATATCTGATCTCCTAGAGTCCTTTGGCAGTTGGTATTATAGTTTAATTATACCCAACAGGAGTGATCCTCATTTGGCAAATGCTTTATTCTGAGTAGCTGTATTTAAATTACCGAGATAAGTTTACATTTCGGACGTCGGATTGATATAAACTATTCGCATCACTCGACATCTGGTGGTTTTGGTTGATCTGGGCATACGACGAAATGGTAGGGGGTGGAAGCAGGAGAGACGAAGGTTCGTTGATGCTTAACAACACGAACGTTTTTGCTGCGCTTGATGCTCTCAAGAAGAAGAAGAAGTCCGATAAGGAGCGCAAGAGCAAGGGGTCGTCGAAATCACAGGCTCAGTCAAAGGAACCTGAACCCCAGGTGTTTTGGGCTCCCACTCCCTTGAATGCCAAATCTTGGGCTGACGTTGATGACGATGACGATGACGACTATTTTGCGACCACTGCACCGCCTCAGTCTGTCTGGGGTGCATCCGAGCCGGAGCAGAGTAAGGAGAAGCCGAGCTATGTAGAGGTGGGGATTATTGTTCTTATATTCTGTTCATTGATCTGATTGGTACCGATTTTTGAAATCAAATCGATATAATACAAGCACTGTGATGATCGTGTTGTCATGCTTGTTATCAGTGATGTCAAATTCGTCTCCTAAGGTGCTGAGATGAGTTGTTATTCATGGCTAGCTCCTCTCGCACCATGGGCGATGGTGAGTGCCTTTGGGGATTTTTCTGGCCGCTTTAGTGCCTGTAGTTGAAAAGAAAAGGGTCATCTTATAAACACAAACTAGGAAAAAAGTTACAGGGTAAGATAAATAGTTACAAAAATCTTATCTAGCCTCAGAGATTTAGGAGAATTGAATAGCTGTTTCTTATTTTGAAACATTGGGTAAGGAATTATATTTTTTGGGTATTGTAGAAAAACACAAAAAGGGGAAGCCTGCAGGGACCATAGCCACACTACGAAGCACATGATCTACAAAACGGAAAAGAAATTGATGATTATCGGTGGATGACGACCACATTTTGAGTTTCCGTTATTTTAGTACATTGGGAATGCTGCTTCTTAGTGCCTCTCTGGAAGGTGTTTTAGGCATCTTGAGCTCTAAGGGCGTTTGTTTTTACCACCTTGCTTGTGATTGAATGCTATAAGGGTCATACGACTCATGTCTGTATTGCCAGACATCCCTTTCCATGGACAATAGGTCTGATTCTTGATGAATGACGGTGAATAATGAAAATAGTGGTAAATAAAGGTGGTTTGGGGGTGTTTGGATAGAAATCAAACCATGGTTTCAGAAGGGTTTTTACGTTTACGAAGTAAATATGTGGAGGAATTTGTCTCGTTTTGTGGAAAAGTATTTATGAAACCATGGTTTGGAGGTTGCCAAACACCCCATAACATTCACATCCTTAAGAAAGAAAGAATATAACATCTCCTTCATTTCTTGCATGTTATGTGATGTATTGGGGTTTTATTTTTGGAAACAGTGGATGATTTCATTCTAGATGACATTTGGTTTGTTCTCCATGCCTTTTTTTTTCCTTGTTATCATGATCTCTTGTATTGTGTATCAGGAGGGTGACGTCCTGGATTTGACCTACGATAATTGATAGTTTCTCTGATTTCAGGAAAGTGAGAGTGAGGAAGATATTTTAGAAGAAGGGGATGATGATGCTGAGGAAGAGCATGATCATGAACCTGAGCAGTCTGTAAACCCTGAGCATGAGGTTAAGAAGCCTGCTGAAGTTTCCCTGGCACCAAAGGAGGCAGAACGGCAACTCTCCAAAAAAGAAAGGAAGAAGAAAGAACTTGCAGAGCTTGAGGCTCTTTTGGCAGATTTTGGTGTTGCACAGAAAGAGAGTAATGGTCAAGATGAGTCACGAGGTAATTATGCATTATTATATGCTTCGTGACCTAGACATTGTTTATTATTTGTTTTGTAAAATACATTGAGTGCCATGGCATGTTTTTTCCCCATCATACTTTATCCCTTGAAAAAAGTTCAGTTTTTGCTTCTTGTTTGTTCCCCTTTATTTTTTCTGTTGGAACTATTAAGTTCGTTTGAGCTATAACTCTTGCCTTTGTTAAACTTCATGTTTGGTTGGAATAGCAAACTTCCATTGCGGATCGTGAGGTTGCAATTATTCTGGGTTACTTGTGTTCGTGAATTTTGCTTTAACAACTCCCCCCCCCCCCCCCCAAAAAAAAAATGATGCGTTCCAGGTGCACCTCAAGATAAGAGGGATGCTGAGGCTGATGGAGAAAAGAGAGAAAACATTACTGCGGAGTCCAAAAGTGCAAAGAAGAAGAAAAAGAAGGACAAATCCTCCAAGGAGGTGAAAGAATCGCAGGATCAGCCCAATGTTGCAGATGCAAACAATGTTGGTGATGAGGTTGCTGCTTCAGAAAACATGGAGGAGGATACGTCCACTGTTGATGTTAAAGAGCGTCTTAAGAAAGTTGCTTCGATTAAAAAGAAGAAATCAAGTAAAGAAATGGACGCTGCTGCAAGGGCTGCTGCTCAAGAGGCTGCTGCGAGAAGTGCTAGGCTTGCGGCTGCAAAAAAGAAAGAGAAGAATCATTATAACCAGCAACCTATGCGGTAAAAGCACCTGCCCCTTGTTTTTTCGGGCCATCAGTAAGAGTATCTGTCTGCTCAACTAACGTCCATTTAGAAATATGTATGTCTTGTTCATATCATGGTGCAGAATAAACAGTTGGCTCTGAGGACCCTGGTTGTATTATCATAGACGTGAGAAATTTTCTGTTCGTTTTCTTTTCTTTCCCCCCTCCTTTTTGAGTTTAGCTGTTGCTCAATTGTTATGGTCATGTCTTTTTTGCTTCAGGAAATTTTAGTAGTGTAATGCTAGACAAACAACATATCTCTGCGTTGTTTTTTTTTTCCCCCTTGTATTGGATCATATAGTTGAATGAGAGATTGATATTTCATTCACAACCAGTTTTGCTTACCATAAATCTGCGGAATAAGTCCATGATTTGTGGTTAAATGTGAAGAGAGGCGGTATCTGAGGCCTGAGGGTGACCAATTGTGTGAGCTTCACGGTTCTTTGCGAAAAAATACTCCTTCGGTCCTAATTATAAGACCCATTGACTTATTTGAGGAGATTAAGGAAGTAAGTTAAGTTGGTTATTTTAATAATAAGTGTTGTCATTCTTAAAATATCCTTGCTAATTAAGTATATTGGCTAACTATCATTATTAGAAGGATCTTATGCATAAATATAAGAGACAAAATGGATTGGGGTCTTATAATTAGGACCAAATAAATGGGGTCTTATAATAAGGTCCGGAGGAGTACTATTGTTCTGGATTCTCAAGTTGCAAATTATTGCACTGTAAAGATTTATTCATCATTTAGCATCAAATGAAACTCGTGTCATTACCTCACGGGATCACATGCGATCGATTAGGCTTGTGTGTTTATCTTATTTCATGTTTGAGGTGATTGGATTAGTTTTTTTAAAACAAGTCGAAACAAATTATACTGTGTAGATCAAATGTTATTGATGATTGATCCAAATTGGCTTGTATTTTGAAAATTATTAAACCTTTTTTGTTCACTTTGCAAAATTTATTTGATGAGCTGATATTATTACTAAGCGGATAGAAGTCATTTATGTGAGGAAAGGGGTTACAAGACAAATGAGATGAGGGAGTGTCTGGTAACCTTGAAAAGTGTTTTTCAGAAGTATTTTTCTGTAAAATAAGACAAACTCTTCTATATATTTGTTTCGTAAACCGTAAAAGTACTTTTAAAATTATAGTGTGGTTTTTATCTAAATATTTTCAAGGACGTGCCCGACAATATTGGGAAATGTGCTAATTGAATTTTCATTCAAATTTGAAAGAATTAAGGACAAAGTATATCGGCACAAAATTATCATTAATACACATAAACTGAAGTTCACAAAAAAATAAATATAAACTAAAATCATAATTATTATGTTTTAAATATAAAACTTATTTTATAGTATAATTTATATTATGAAATGAATCTTATATTTAAGATAAAAGAGTATAATTTAATAAATAAATTCTATTATTAACCACTCATTTGTTTTTGGGACGACATTATAATCGACACACGTTACTGCATTGCCACTTGCTAGTTTATTATGTGGCTTGCTTCATTTTTATTAAAAAGATAAAGGTTTATCTAAAGAGAGTTTTCTATGAAATTCCATACTACCTATAAAAGCTCTCTGCACTTTCTGTACATTATCTTCTCTGCTGAAACCCTAGTTATCATTACCGGATAAATTGGGCCCTCTTTGGATTTTTATCTTATACCGGGTTTCCTTTCCGCCCCCTCTTCCTTTATACGAGGCTATCAAACCGTAACCTTCTTTCTGTATCGTGTTCTTTATAATCCTTTGAAAATTATATAGAAACCCTGCTTGTATTGATTTTTCTATCGAGAATTTAGTAGTCTTGGCCGAATATCAGATCCCCTGGAGTCCTTCGAGAATTTGTATTTTAAGTTGAATTATACGCAATAGGAGTTATCATCAATTGGCAATCCCTTTATTCTGAGTAACTGTATTTAAATTACCAAGATAAAATTTACGTTTCGGACATCCGATTGATAAAATTATACGCATCACTCGACATCTGGTGCTTTTGATTGATCTCGGCATACAAAGCAATGGTAGGGGGTGGAAGCAGAAGAGACGAAGGGTCGTTGATGATTAACAACACGAATGTTTTTGCTGCACTTGATGCCCTCAAGAAGAAGAAGAAATCCGATAAGGAGCGCAAGAGCAAGGGTTCTAAATCAGAGGCTCAGTCGAAGGAGCCTGAATCCCAGGTGTTTTGGGCTCCCACTCCCTTAAATGCTAAATCTTGGGCGGACGTTGACGACGATGACGATGAGGACTATTTTGCGACCACTGCCCCGCCTCAGGCTGTCTGGGGCGGTTCCGAGCCGGAGCAGAGTAAGGAGAAGCCGAGTTATGTAGAGGTGGGAATAATTGCTTTTATATTCTGTTCATTGATATGAACGAAGCCTATTTTTGAAATTGAATCGATGTAACACGACTGCAATGATAATCGTGTTGTCATACTTGTTATCAGTGATGTCAGTGTCGTTTGCCTCAGCCCATTAGACTTTGACATGAGTTGTTATTCATGGCTAGGACCTCTCACACCATGTGAGGCGATGGTGCGTGCCTTTGGCGATTTCCCCGGCCACCTTTGGTGCCTGTCTTTGAAAAGAGAAGGGCCATTTTATAAACACAAACCCAATAAATAAATAAATAAAAGTTATAGGATAGAATAAGTAGTTACTAAAAATCTAGCCTAGCCCTAGAGAATTAAGAGAATGGGGTGAAATAGTTATTCTTATTTTGTAACGTTATTCGGGCAATTATATTTTTAAGTTTTGCAGACATAAACACAAAAAAGCAAAGTCAGCATGGACCATAGGCACGCTATAAAGCACATGAACGACAAAATGAAGAAGAAATTCTTGATTATAGGGGGAGTACAGCCACATTTTAATTTCTCAGCTATTTTAGTGCGTTGGGCTCATTGCGTTTTAGTGCCCCTCTGTGTCTTGAGCTTTAAGGGCCTCTTGTATTTACCACCTTGCTTGTGAATGAATTCTGTAAGATTTGCAACCTCTTTGTCCATGTTTATGGTGGCTTTATTCGTATTCTTGCTTACTGGGAACTCATTAGAAATTGTAGCGCTGTATCCGTTTTGTGGAAATGAGTTGAGATGCTTTTAGCCAGTGTTTTGTGAGGGTTGAAGGCATTGGTATGTGGGTGTTTGTTTTCTTTGAACTTTTACTACTTGGTTCTTCATTGCTCAAATATTATTTGACCCGAGTGATAAATGTAAACCGATTATGTAGAACATAATTTACTTACGATATGGGATTGACATTCTTCAAATCTGAAGTTAAGAATTTCGGCAGCTTGAATCTTATAAGGGGGATAGTTACCCATAAATGTTGTGAAAATGGCGAAAGGTTCATTATTTGGCATGGAATCTTGTAAGGTCCTTTTGGGCGTGTCTTCCTAGTTTTAGTGAATCTGGAGGTTTGCATGCCTGTGCTTATTGCATGTTATGTGATGTTTTGGGTTTTTATTTTTGGGAAAAGTGGATAATTTCATTCTAGGTGACATTGGGTTTGTTCTAGTTGCATATGAAGGCAAAATTACAGAGATTCTTCAACTTATATTAGTAAGCTTAAATTTTTTTTTTCTGCTCATGATAAATATTCTGCCACTGGTTCCAAGTCATTTTTTTTTTGGCCATCCTGATGTCTTGTGTATAAGGAATGTGATGCTGGTCTGGATTTGACATATAGTAATTGATAATTTCTGACTACAGGATAGTGAGAGTGAGGAAGATATTTTAGATGAAGGAGATGATGATGTTGAGGAAGAGCATGATCATGAACCTGAGCTCTCCATAAAACCTGAGCATGAGGTTAAGAGGCCTGCTGAAGTCTCTGCGGCACCAAAAGAGGCAGAACGACAGCTCTCTAAAAAAGAAAGGAAGAAGAAAGAACTTGCAGAACTTGAGGCTCTTTTGGCTGATTTTGGTGTTACACAGAAGGAGAGTAATGGTCAAGATGAGTCTCGAGGTAATTATGCATTATTATGTGCTTCATGATCTATATATTATTTCCTCTCTGTTTTTTAAGTTACATTGAGTGCCATGGCATGCATTTTCCTTCATCATAATGCATTTTAGGTGCATTTCTTTGTTAAACTATAAGCTGGCGATACTGAACTAAAACTCTTGCCTTTGTTAAACCTTATCTTTATGTGGAAAAGTAAACTTCTATGCGTAGCATGAGCTGGCAATTATACTAGGTTGTTGAATTTCTCTTAAATTATTTCATAATGCATTTCAGGTGCACCTCAGGATAAGAAAGATGCTGAGGCTGATGGAGAGAAGAAAGAAAATATTACCGTGGAGTCCAAAAGTGCCAAGAAGAAGAAAAAGAAGGTGAGAGAATCGCAGGATCAGCCCAACGCTACAGATACAATGAATGTTGGTGATGAGGTTGCTGCTTCAGAAAATGTGGACGAGGATACGTCCTCTGTTGATGTTAAAGAGCGCCTTAAGAAAGTTGCTTCGATTAAGAAGAAGAAATCAAGTAAAGAAATGGACGCTGCAGCAAGGGCTGCTGCTCAAGAGGCTGCTGCGAGAAGTGCTAGGCTTGCGGCAGCAAAGAAAAAAGAGAAGAACCATTATAACCAGCAACCTGTGCGGTAAAAGTATCTGTTCCCCCCCCCCCCCCGGGGCGGGGCCATCAGTAAAAGTGTCTGCTCTGTTTAGGAATATGTATTACTTGTTTATAACTTTGATGGTGCAGAATAAACAGTTGTCTTATGACGTTGTATCGTCACGGACTTGAGATTTTTTTTTCCCTTTTTGTTCTTTAGCTTAAATTTTCATTCTCTCTCCCGAAGAGCTTAGCTGTTGCTCAATTGTTGCGGACGTGTCTTCTTGCAACAGATAACTTTAGATTTTAGTAGTGTAATGGTAAACGAACATTACATCTTTGCATTGTTCTTCTGTCCTTGGGCGGATCATATAGTTGAACTGGAGAAATAATTTTTAATTTACAATCTGTTTTGGTTGCCATAAACTCCGGAGTAAGTTTATTTACTCCCCCCCAATCGTCTCTATTTGTAGTTATGTGTGGAGATGGGTGATATCTGAGGATAACTGATTGTTAAACTGAGACTTTGTTGCGCTTCCGACGCTCTCAAGTAGAGTTGAACGGCGGGGGAGGGACGCAAAAATGAGAGATTTAAACAGCGTGTTTGGATGGACTTCGCAGAATTAATCGTTACTAATGGAATGAACCAAGGGGAAAGAAAAAGGGAAAATTAGTTAAAAGTCCTCTTTTGATAAATTAATTGGAGAATGAGACCTGTAATAAATGTAAAAGTATTGGCCCTTCAAATATCAGTAAATATGATAAGAGAAAGACCATATTATTCAGACAGATGCTAATTACATATGATGAATTCTTACTTGCATGCTATGAATGAATTTTTATTGCATCTTGTGGATACTAGTTGCATATGGGATTTTATTCCATATTATAGATCTTAATTATATATTATTGATCTAAATTTGTATATTACTAATTCTAATTACATATTATTGATACCTAGTTGTATATAGTATCTTATTGCATATTAGGGATTTTAATTGTATATAATTGATTTAAAGTTGCATATTAGTGACTCTAATTGCATATGTGGATACGTCGTTGCATATAAGCCTTTATTGTATATCTATCATGGATCTTAATTTATATTATTGATCCAAATTTACATATTATTGATTCTAATTGCATATATATTACTATTTTTATAAACAAATTTTTTTATACAGTATTTACAAACAAATTCTTATATACAAATTAATATGGTAGAAAAGGGATCTGTCATATGCAATTAGTGTTTGTAGATAAGAATTTGTTTGTAAATCACAAAGAAATTTGCTTATGTAAATAATAATACATATGCAATTAGAATCAACAATATGTAAACTTAATCAGTGATGTATAATTAAGATTCGTGATATGCAATAAGGTCTCATATGTAACTAGACATCTGTAGTATGCAATTAGAATTAGGCATATGCAACCTTAGATCAATAATATGCAATTAGAATCCATGATATGTGAGAAGGTCTCATATACAATTAGATATTTACATTTATAATTAGAATAACTGATATACAACTTTGGATAAATTATGTGCAATTACGATCTGTACTATGTAATAAGATACCATGTACAACTAGGCATGTACAATATGCTATTAGAATTATTAATATGAAAGTTTAGATTAACAATATGCAATAATATACCATATGTAACTAATATCTCCACCATATGCAAATGAAGATCTATCATATATAATTAGGATCCATAATATGTAATAAAATTCCATATGCAACTAGGTATCCATTATATGTAATTAGGATTTGTGATGTGTAAGTGAGAATTTGTTATATACAGTTGGCATCCATGAGCGCAATACGGTTTTTTCCTATCACTCTTATTGACATTTGAGGAGCTCATAACTTTAAATCTATTAAAGGTGCCATTTCTCAATTAATTTGTTATAGAGGGATTTTTACTAATTCTTTTTTTTAAAAAAGAGTCCAAGTAGGCAGATTCAAGGAATACTTTTTCATTTTTGTTTGAACAGATGCCTTTTTCTCTGTATCCACTATTCATTTGCACGCGCGAAAAAATATCGGTTCGTGGAGATGCAAATTTATAATAACTAATGGTAGCCCTAAAAAATTAAGTTTTATATGCGAGCCTTTTTAGGGCACCTTAAATTTCTCCTCAAAATTTAATAATTTTTATGCACTTTCATTTTTTTCTTTTGATCCATTTAACCTTTTTAGTAGGTTGTTTGAAAATAATTTTAGAATTTGAATAAATAGATTTTGCTCCTTTTAAGGGTCTCTTGGTTCGCCACTAAGCAAACTGTGCTTACAAATAGATACAGGGTTTGATAACAAATCTGGGAAAAAAGGGTGTAACTTGAATGACGTGAATGACGGGGATACATATACAAATCTCGGTTCAGGACTTCAGGCCGTCAGGGCCGGTGTTTTTGTCATTTTGAAGCGCCACGATGGGTTTTCCGTCAAGCCATGCATCTAAATATTCGTCTTACATGTAGTACTATTTCATTTCTCCCACCTCCGAACAAAGCCCAACAAATCCAAGCTCACAAAATTCGAAAGCAGAGTCCCGTGAGTAAAAGAAAGAAAGCTTACTCAACCAGCGAAATTTTAGGCTTCTTCGATTAGGGTAGCCTGGAAAGGTCGTCCTTTACTCCAATGTTCGTAGGAGAAGCCAATAAAGCCAGATAGCTGGCTACTCCCACATTTTCTAAATGGCTCGATACTTCGGGTTCTCCTGAATTAGTGAGGGACTGAGAAGGACAGCTTCTTGGTCCCTGTTGTATGAGCCACGAACAATTTGGTGGAGGTTTTTGAGGGAAGATGTCGAGCGTGAAAAGTTACTGCGCATTTCTTGGGACTGAGCTGCATGGTTCTTTGGAAGGTAGCAGCAACTGTAGGAACCTCTTTCATCTGGAGACGAGGGGGTTGCCAAAAAGGGATCGTCGTAGATGTGCTATATCTGCTAAACAAAGTAATCTAATCATCCAAGAATCCAGGTTTTCGTATTTTTCTGGAGAAAATGTAGAGTTTTTGAGGAGATCCCTTATTTTAAGGAATGGTTCGAGATTAAAATGCATCAAGGAACCCTTTTCTCGAAGCAAGGACCTGCTTGGTTATTTGAACCCTTTATGGAAAGAGGGGCTTCTTTTGGTAAGAGCCTCTGTTTATACAGCCGTTATATCCGGAATATGTCTAATGGCGTGGTACGGGCAGAATAAGGCCAAGGGTTTCATTGAAGCCAAGCTGTTGCCTTCTGTTTGTTCAGCAATTAGTGAATACATTCAGCGGGACCTCGAGTTTGGTAAGGTTCGAAGAATATCACCGTTAAGCATTACATTGGAATCATGTTCATTTGGGCCACATAAGGAAGAATTTTCATGTGGTGAGGCTCCCACGGTCAAACTTCGAATTCGCCCCTTTGCAAGTCTGAAGAGGGGAAAATGGGTGATCGATGCTGTTTTGTCCCAACCTAGTGTCGTGGTAGCACAAAAGAAGGACTTTACTTGGTTGGGAATACCACTATCAGAAGGTGGTGTACAGAGACACTTATCAACCGAAGAAGGGATAGATCATAGGACGAAAATCAGAAGGCTTGCACGTGAGGAAGCAGGTGCTCGCTGGACGAGAGAAAGGGATGCTGCAGCTAGGGAAGCTGCTGAGGCGGGCTACTTCATTTCTGAGTGTTTTGGTCTGTCTGAGGATGATGATTTAAAGGAGATTGCAACTCCTGCGGTACAAGGGAATCCCAAATCCTTTTTCTCCATAAACGAGGAGAAGCATGATCATCATTGCATGGACACTGGCGTTGATTATGATATAAAACATGCAAAGTTGGAAAAATCATTTGGGGTGAAATTTCCTGGTTCTGGGCTTAGATTTTGGTCCAGAGTAATAAAAAGGGGTAAGGCACACAAGTTTAAAAGGAAGGCTAATGGGATTGACATTTGTGCGTCTGGCATTGCCATCAAAAGAAGAATTTTTGAACGCAGTGCAACGGCTGCTCGTGCATATTTTTCTGGTCCACATGGGAAGTTTGGGGATGCTTCATCACCTTCTGAGTGTTTTTGTTTTATGAACCATAATGAGCTCCCGGTTATCAGTGAGGTTGACAAAAGTGCAGAATCTGTTGCCAACATTGATGAAAATAGAAGTGATAGTAGCAAACTAGGGACACATGTCAGAGATTTGGGAATTTGGTCTCCTGCAATTCGCGAAGATGTTAATGGTCATTCAGATTATGTCAGTTGTGACCAAAATTCATCTTTAGAGACGAAAGAGAGTAAATTTGACAATTTGAAGTCTGGTGGTGATGTTGCAGAACGTGGTAATGTTGATAGTTGTAAAGAGGAAAATGAGGAGATGGGACTTGATATTGCTGACAAACAAATTGATGATAACATGCCAGGGATTCAAAGAGGTTTAACATCTGAAAGTCCAAGTTTCTCCCAGCCTAAGCCTAGATTGGCAACATATTTTCAAGTGTCCATTAAACCATTGATTCTGAAATCTAGCTCAGTCTCATTTTTTAGAAATGTTGGGAAGTTCTTATGTTGCTTCCTTTCCAGTCCCATTCAAAATTTGAAGCCCGACTTGGGTCTGAAAGTTGAAGATTTTGTTACTGAACATGTTGATGGTGTAGGTGTTCAGCATTCTGAAGGCATTACTAATATGCTTCCTGTTACAGTGGATTCTGTTCATTTCAGAGATGCAACGGTGATGTTGCTTGCATATGGTGACAGAGAAGTTAGGTGAGCCATTCCTATCTTATGATCCACTGGTTACTTCGAGGCTGATGTGATGAAATGCCTTTCAACTGGCTTAGGATTTTAAATATTGCTCTGAAAAACTAAAAGATGTTCTGTTAAATCCGTTTTCCTTATGGTATAGCAATAAATTATATTGAAATGTTTGATGAACTATCCTTACTGGCATGTATAGGAATTCAATCAATATATGTAGGTCTCATACAAAAGATCAAATTTTATTAGAAAGAGGGACCCATATAAAGAAAAGTAAAGGGCGAGATATCTATTTTGCAGAACCACCCCCCCCAAAAAAAGCAGAAGAAAAGAAAAGAAAAAACCTAAAATTCAGAAGTAAATATATTTCATATTATGCTGTATTTGATAGAGAATTCTCCAGTACCCCGGCGTGGGATGTTCAAAATTCCATGACTCATTCAATCTACTGTTTGAGGCGTGGTTTTGGTTGTTCCTATGTGATTCTTTTGGAAACTTATAATTTGTGTATTTTATAGTCTTGTGAGTTCAGGCTGTTGTATTTTGTAATCTCAAGGTTTGAATTGGAGAAAAATATTTTGGATTTCTTGTATTTTGATTCTACAGGTAGTATTAATGTGGAGTCATGGAATTTTTAAGTGAAATAATTATATTATACACTAGAAATGCTGGGCTGCGTCAAGTCGGCTTTTTAATATTTTTTTTAACTGTCAGGGAGATGGAGAATGTCAATGGCCTTGTGAAGTTCCAGAACCACTATAGCCGCATACATGTGGAATTGAGTGGAAATTGCAAGACTTGGAGATCAAATATGATGTCTAAAGATGGTGGCTGGTTGTCTGCCAATGTTTTTGTTGACATTATTGAGCAGAAATGGCATGCTAACTTAAAAATTGACAATCTGTTTGTACCGGTAAGGTATAATCTAATTTGAAATTCCAATTTGTTGTTACATTGCCATTAAAGTTTGATAGGCTGCTTACATTTCTTTTATTGGATTTGTGTTTTCTCCAGCTATTTGAAAGGATCCTAGAAATTCCAATAACATGGTCTAAAGGGAGAGCCAGTGGTGAGGTGCTTTTCTAACCTTTATATACTGCCCTCCTTTGGCCAAATTTACTTTAACTTTTAACTCTAGGATTTTATGAGATTTTTGACGTTGGACTTATAAATGATTCATAGTGGAATCCAGCTAGAAAGCATATTTCTGCCATGTTTACATGTGCATGTATGCTTATAAATACAAACATGAACAGACGCACTGGCATACACATGCATATATACATTCAATGTGCATATACTTGTGGCTGGTCATTCTGGGTGGTCTTATAGCCAAATTTTTCTCTCACTCGTCACTCCTAGATGATATTAGAATTGTAATTTGATTTACATGTGACAATGTACGCATCAAAATATTTGGTAGACTACTTGATGTTGAACTTTATGATGCTTTTAGGAGCTTAATTACTGCTGGCCTCTTCATGTATTTTCACCTACTAGTTATCTTGTGTTTACACGCTTAGGTTCACTTGTGCATGTCAAGGGGAGAAACTTTTCCCAATCTTCACGGACAGCTAGATGTGGCGGGCTTGGAGTTCCAGTTATTGGATGCTCCATCATCATTTTCTGTATGTATTACTTTCATCTGTACTAGAATGCCTTATACTGTCCTTTCATTTGCCATGTATCGGGTTTTCTAGATTTTGTGAATTATTACGAGAAAAAGTGCGACTGTGTTTGAGAAGAAATATGGTTACTACTTATATATAATGCTCACCAAGTAATAAAAGTCTCAAGTCTAAAATATAGAAGTAATGAGATAGGTGAAAAGCATATAAGCTTGTGACAATTTTAAGCAAATAGCTTAAGCTATTTTGTTGACATGGACAAGTCTAAGAATAAGCTCACCCAAAACTTAACATGATATCAAAGTCTAACGGCTGTAAGATTTCAGAACCTAAAACAAGTGATGGATTTGAGGCCTCTGAGGTTGAAGAGTACAAGTTTAGGCCAAAAAAAAAAAAAAAAGAAAAAAAAGAAGGTTGTGACCTGAGGCTTTTTAGGCTCAAAGAATACAAGCCCATGCATATAGAAAACTAAATTCAGGGAAAACAGAGTATCTGGGGGAAAGTTGGAGAATAAAAGTCTCATCTGAAAATAAGAAGAAAGATTAACCAAGTGACTTGATGATATGGACGTGCCCAGGTATAAGCTATAACAAAACAAAATTTGCTCTATGTGAAGGTGATATGAATGATGATCATGGAGACAATTGAATGATTATATGGTTAGTAGCATGAATAGAGAAAATCACACTGTTGAGGTGATGCTATATGTAGACGAAGTGATGTTTTTTAGGTATTAAGCAATATTGGGAATTGAGGAAAATTTTGTAGGTTAGTAGAAGAGTTAGCCTGATTAAAGGTATAAGAATCAGGCACTTTCCTTATTGAATTGATGAGGCTCAATTACTATGGGTTCAGTTTTTAGTTCTTCAACCTTAATTCTAGATTTATTTAATTTCCATGGACTTATATTTTGATTTTCTTCCCATCCTCTAAAATGTTTTAACTTTTATACTCTGTATATGTATTTGAGTTAAATTTCCTGACTTTGATTAAATTGGTTCCTCTCCAATTTGTTCTTTTTTTTTTTTAATCTCCTTGCAGAACATGTTGGTTAGTTTACGTTTTCGCGGCCAAAGAATATTCTTACACAATGCAAATGGCTGGTTTGGCAGCATTCCTCTAGAAGCATCAGGAGATTTTGGCATTCATCCTGAAGAAGGAGAATTCCATCTCATGTGTCAGGTGTAGTTGACGCCTGAAATGGTCATAAATTTTACATTATTGAAGAGTTGATTCAGTATATAAATATTTCTAATTAAGCAATTACTTGTTCAAGAAATTATGATTTATTTGTGGCAGGTATTTAGCTTACTTCGCTTATTCCATATCTCATTCAAGTCTTGGCAGATAGTTCAAATTGTTTCCTTTATGTTATAATATTTTATATGTTCAAATGTCCAGGTTCCTAGCGTTGAAGTGAATTCCCTGATGAGAACTTTTAAGATGAGACCTCTCTTATTCCCTGTATGTTTCTCTTCAGTTCAGTGCGTCTATTTCTATAAAGTTATTTGCATTTTTATGTTCTGTATTTTTGTGTTTTGCAATTCTGAAATTCGAAAATAGAAATTGTTAATTCCTGAAACATTCTCCCAAGATTCATTTGCTTTGCCTTTTGCTTTAGGGCATTACAAGTGCACTTTTATTTCTTGCTAATTGTGAGTATTAGCTAATCTTTTACTTTAAAAAAAAAAAAGTTTGAATGCTTCAAAAATACTAGTAAGTTGTAGACGACATACTGTAAGGGTTAAGTGTACATTTTTTAATTAATGAATGAAAGCCACCTCTATGATCAATTTCAGATTCATTCCTCTTGCTGATAAAGTTGTATTTGCTTAGCCAATATCAATTTTGGTATTCTTCAATTAAGATTTATTGATTGCAGATTGCTGGTTCAGCAACTGCTCTATTTAATTGTCAAGGCCCATTGGATGCTCCTGTATTTGTGGGTAGTGCAATGGTTTCTAGGACATTCTCTCAACTGCATGGTGACCACTCTACATCCGCAGCATTTGAAGTACTCGCTAAAAGTAAAGAGGCTGGTGCACTAGCAGCATTTGATCGCGTTCCTTTCTCATATGTGTCTGCCAATTTCACTTTCAATACTGATGACTGTGTAAGCTGTTACGATAACTAGCACAAGGCAGTTTGGCATGGTGACACGTTGTAAATGTGTTATCTTATATTCTGTTAATCTTCTTATTCGTGCAACAGGTTGCTGATTTATATGGAATTAGGGCAAGCCTTATAGATGGTGGTGAAATTAGAGGGGCTGGAAATGCATGGATATGCCCAGAGGTATATAGATGCTTGTTAGAAGACCTGTATTTTTTCAGCTTAGCAACGGGATACTATACCTTGGTTAAACTAAGAGCTCATGTTTTTCTCTCTTATATTCGTTTTTGGTTTTCTTAAACAACTTGGAGGCATGAGCGTGCTCATGTAAGGTTGCAATGCCATCAAGTAGGCTCCCTTGATGTTTTATAGGAAAAAATGTCTCTTTAAGTTTACTAGGAGTATTAATTTATCCTCCTCACGAGCTTTGGTTGCATACAGTATTGTACAAGGAAGTGATATTCATAAACCTTAATGTAGTGAATTTTGCATTCACAGATTATCACAAATCAGGAAAGTTAGGGTTTTCAGCTATTTGGCTGGAAGGAATCTCAAATGTGAACATCATTTCCCATTTGTCTGCCCTCCCAGGTTAAGGGAGGCCATGTCTCCTACAGGTGCCGCTTCCCTCCTAATGTATACTATTTTCTTTTTTCCCTTCAGGGTGAGGAGGATGAGACAGCTTTAGATGTGAACTTCTCTGGAAGTCTGGCCATTGATAAAATCATGCTTCGTTACATGCCCAGTTATTTTCAATCTTTCAAATTAGGGGACTTAAATGGAGAGACAAAAGTTTCAGGACCTCTTTTGAAACCGTAAGAATAGCCATGTTTTATTTCCAAATTTCACTGTTATTGCTTGATATCATCTGCTATCTGCTTTTTCTCCCTCCTGTTTATTATGCTCTTATACTTGAAGTTGCCTAGTTCCATTTTTTTCTTGATACTTATTTCCTCATTGAATGTCTTCATCTATCACTAAATATCCTAATTTAATTTATTTTTAATGCAGGAGATTTGATATAAGATGGACTGCAGCTAAAGCAGAAGGGTCTTTTAGCGATGCTAGGGGAGACATCATTATCTCTCATGAATACATTACCATCAATTCTTCCTCAGCTGGATTTGATTTGTATACGAGAGTTCAAACATCTTACATTGATGACTTTCCTCTTAAAAGAGAAGAGTTTTATGCAACAAGAACCATTCCATTTACTATTGATGGAGTTGAGTTGGATTTGCGTATGCATGGCTTCGAATTCTTCAATTTGGTTTCTCCATATACTTTTGATTCTTTAAGGCCTTTGCATCTCAAGGCAACTGGAAGGGTTAAGTTTCAGGGGAAGGTCTTGAAACCTAGTACTGTTGATAAGGAACAAAAGTTTGAGGACAGGCATCAGAAGCAAATGTTGGAGAAAGGAAGTTCAGATGGGCTTGTTGGTGAGGTTTCAATCTCTGGTCTCAAACTGAATCAACTGATGCTGGCACCTCAGCTTTTTGGGTTGCTGAGAGTCTCTCCTGAGTGTATCAAGGTCATTAAACTTTCTCTTCTTACAAATCTTTCTATCTAGAGATTTTCTTAGTTTGTGATATTATACTCGACTGCTTGCCAATATCATCAAGGACAAGTTAAAATTAAATCAGTTGGAGTTTAATATTAATTTCTGTATTGTTCCGATCAAACTTTTTTGTGGTTTTTTTTTTTTAAATATAAAGTTTCTTGACCCATTTTTTGAATACAGTTGGATGCCTCTGGCCGGGCTGATGAAAGTCTTGCATTGGAATTTGTTGGGCCACTACAGCCGAGTGGTGAAGATGGTCCACAAAGCGGAAAACTGTTGTCCATATTCCTTCAGAAGGGTCATTTAAGAGCTAACATTTGTTTTCAACCCCTTCATTCAGCTAACTTGGAGGTATCCCTGTTTTAATTTTGGGTCCATTGTTTGGAGTCTGCTGACTTTTCTGCTTGCAAAATTTTGATTTTCTTCATATTTCTCCAAAAGACTTCATAGAAATTCATCCTTTTCTTCATCTCTCTGTGGCATTCACTCATAGGTACGACATTTTCCACTTGATGAGCTGGAGCTTGCATCCCTCAGGGGTACTATACAAAGGGTATGACTTAAATGCTTTCCTACTTCATTGTCTTCTATCTCTTCTCTGCACTGCTATAATCTTCCATGCGTAGCTCAACTATATTTAAGTTAGTCCAATTATGTCAGGCAGAACGGAGTTTACTGGCAAGTTTCAAATACATGTTGTTTTTCAGCTGGTTGGTTGCTTGTATGTTTTCAGGCAGAAATCCAGCTGAATCTTCAGAAAAGAAGAGGACACGGAGTTCTATCTGTTCTTCGGCCTAAGTTCAGTGGTCTACTTGGTGAAGCCCTTGATGTGGCAGCTAGATGGAGTGGAGATGTTGTGAGTTCCTTGACCCAATCTTTTATTTGTTGGAACTTGAATTTAAGCTGCATGTTAGTTGACTTTTGGTTATCCTGGGAATTTAAGGAATAAGTTTGTTTTGCATGTCCTAGAGTTGATTGTATGAACTATGTTGTTATTTTATCTTTAGTTTCATTTTGCACATATGGAAAGTTGTGATGTTTCTGTTTGATACTGATTATTAGTCGATGCACTGTTGTTCAGATCACTATTGAGAAAACTGTTTTGGAACAACACTACAGTCGTTATGAACTTCAAGGTGAATATGTGTTGCCTGGCACCCGAGATCGAAGCCCTGTAGGCAGAAAGGGGGATGGCTTTTTGAAAAAGCTTATGTCTGGGCATCTTGGTAATGTTATATCCTCAATGGGCAGGTGGAGAATGAAGCTTGAAGTAAGCAGAGCTGAGGTTGCTGAGATGCTTCCTCTTGCTAGGCTTCTTTCTCGAAGTGCAGATCCTGCTGATCATTCAAGATCAAAGGTCATCAATGCTTTCTGTTAAACCAATTATGACATTGTCTTCAACCATGCTTTCTTGTTTCGATTTTCATAAGATCATTAGTGTAATATTATTGTCTAAAGCATCGCAACTCCAGCTATCTTCGTTATTATTATCATTTCTCCCACTAAGTTTTTGGAAAGACAAAAATATATGACGCCCATAGTTAAAAATTAAAATCAACCCAATTTAACTTCATGGAAGTGATCCTGTAAGTAAGAATGAATATATACTTTATTTAATTTTCAGAAATATGAATATACTGTAGGATTAAACAGATGTTATAAGGAGACCTTTGTACAATGGATAATCTGAATATGTAGGATTTGTTTATGCCTGTGCTTCTCCGATAGTTCCCTACTGAACTGTGTTTTTCATTATTCTTTGTACTAGTAAAATTTTTCATTACTAGTGGTCCCGCCCCCTGCGGCCACAACACATAACATATAATACTGCAATTGTCAGTCATTTCTGTAAGCTGATTGTTATCCGTTATTTTATGCTTAATTGTTACAGCATGGACACTGACTTTAAAGTGTTTCTGTCGTGGTTTTGTTGCTTCCTTCAACAATTAGTAGTTTAGTGAGTCTGTCTGTTTATACATATATATATTTGATGAAAAGTTTTGCATGTTGCAGGATATTTTTATTCAGAGTTTGCTGTCAGTTGGATTATATAGTGAAAGCCTTCAACAACTGCTTGAGGTATTTTCAAGAGATCATAAAATCCTTTTCTATTTCAGTAGTGGCAATACCTGGTGCATCTGAGTTTGTACTCATAATTTAGCGTAAAGTGCATTTGATATGTCTTTCTTTCATTTCCTTTTTTCCTCATAATCATATTAATTAAGAGTCTCTAGCTGGAACTGAAAGAATTGAAGTCTCCAGTGACTGTTGTTAGTGAATATTTGGACAACTTGCAGATAACAAGGGGACATCATGCTCCATTAAATGACGTAGTTCTAGAAGATTTAGACCTTCCTGGTTTATCTGAACTTAAAGGTCGTTGGCATGGCTCTCTTGATGCTAGTGGCGGAGGAAATGGAGACACTGTGGTAAACTTTGCTCCGTTTGCACTCTTTATTATTTGTGTTTGAAGATTTGCTTTCTCATTCTTTGTCATATCAGGCCGAATTTGACTTCCATGGTGAGGACTGGGAGTGGGGAGATTACAAAACCCAGCGGGTCTTGGCAGTTGGTGCTTACAGTAATGATGATGGACTCCACCTGGAGAAAATTTTTATCCAGAAGGATAACGCCACCATTCATGCAGATGGAACTTTGTTAGGGTCTAAAACAAACTTACATTTCGCTGTCTTAAATTTTCCTGTTAGTTTGGTCCCAACTCTGGTTCAGGTCATTGAATCTACAGCAACAGATGTTGTCCACTCTCTGCGGCAATTGTTAGCACCCATAAGGGGTATACTGCATATGGAAGGAGATCTCAGAGGAAGTTTAGCAAAACCAGAATGTGACGTGCAAGTAAGGCTCCTGGATGGTGCCATTGGTGGTATTGATCTTGGGCGAGCAGAAGTTGTTGCTTCTCTTACATCATCCAGTCGTTTTCTATTTAATGCTAAATGCGAACCCATAATCCAGAATGGTCATGTACTCATTCAAGGAAGTATTCCTGTCACTTTTGTACAAAATAGCACGTTACAGGAAGAGGTAGAATTGGACAAAAATGGGGCTACTTGGGTTCCTGATTGGGTAAAGGAAAAGAATAAGGGGAATATTGATGATGGCAGTGACAAAAAACTTTCTAGAGATAGAAATGAAGAAGGTTGGAATACTCAGATAGCAGAAAGCCTTAAAGGATTAAATTGGCAGATTTTGGATGTTGGAGAAGTCAGGATTGATGCTGACATAAAAGATGGGGGAATGATGCTGCTGACAGCTTTATCTCCTTATGCCAATTGGCTCCAGGGTAATGCTGATGTCATGCTTGAGGTGGGTGAAGTCAATATTATTTCCTCCCAGTTCTATTTATTCAAGTTATGCTTGCTTTTCTAATGTGTGTCCTATACTCCTATTTCCATTTTTAATAGGTCAGAGGCACAGTTGATCAACCGGTTCTTGATGGATATGCATCATTCCACAGGGCATCTATAACTTCACCGGTGCTACGAAAGCCACTTACCAACTTTGGTGGAACTGTTCATGTGAAATCAAACAGGTTATGCATCACCTCATTGGAGAGCAGGGTAAGCAGAAAAGGAAAACTGCTTGTAAAAGGGAACCTTCCTCTTAGAACTAGTGAAGCAGCCCTTGACGACAAGATTGAGTTGAAGTGTGAAGTTCTGGAAGTACGAGCAAAAAATATTTTGAGGTTGTTATCTTAACTTCTGCAGAAGGGTGCTTAAGTTATTCTTGACTTGTTTGTGGGTATATGTAACTGATTTGACCTTCAAATCATTAATATTATATGTATATATATTTTTTGAAAATCATTTGTGTTATTGACTAATGTAACTGACTTTTTTCTCTGGAATACATGAATTTCCTTAACGTATGTTCCCTTTTTTTTTCTTCCAGTGGTCAAGTTGACTCTCAGGTGCAAATAACTGGTTCCATATTGCAACCAAATATATCTGGGAATATTAAACTTAGCCATGGAGAGGCATATTTACCTCATGATAGGGGTGGTGCTACTACTAATAGATTCCCATCAAATCAGTCTATGCTTCCTCCTGCTGGTGTCAGTCAAGCAGTTGCTTCCAGATATGTCTCCCGTTTTTTCAGCTCAAAATCTGCTGCTTCAAGGACCAAAGTTTCTCAATCTTCCGGTAACCCTACTGTACCTTTTGATTACTTTCTGTATTTGTTTCTGAATCAGAAAAATTATAAACAAAGAAATAAATAAAATTACAAATAATAATCGTGAGATATCCTCGTGAAAATGAAGAAACCTTCGAAAGCAAGGCCATTCTATGAACTTGGAAAAACAGATGTTTCTTTCCCGACCAGATTTCTCAGTCTGCACACACCAGTGTGTTTCTCTATCTTGCCAAAATATGGAATAAACTGGTTTATTTTGAAACGGTTCAACGTTTCTGCACAGAGCACAATGAACGGGTACAGCTTCAATACGAAAAACTTAATCGGAGGTCATGTTATTCTTTCTTAAAACATTCTAAGCTACTTTTACATGCAGCGCATGGTTGTTCACAAACAGTAGGTGCTGCCTAATCCAATTTAATGGTTTAATCTTTGACACTTCTTATGTAGTTAATTAATTATTAGGGTTTATTGTTATGCTTTTATATATTAGAATATCCTTTTTCTGCATATCATGACAATTCTTTAGAAATGTCACAATGCAGTTAAGTCAACTCAAGCTGAAAAGGACATGGAGCAAGTGCGGATTAAACCAAATGTAGAAGCCCGTCTTAGTGATCTGAAACTTGTGTTTGGACCTGAGTTGAAGATAGTTTATCCTTTGATTCTTAATTTTGGTGTTAGTGGAGAGCTTGAGTTGAATGGTCTTGCTGACCCCAAATGGATAAAACCTAGAGGCATACTGACATTTGAGAATGGTGAAGTGGACCTAGTTGCAACACAGGTTTGTCCAATCCCTTATTTCTTAGCTCTTGTAGCATTAACAGTTACCATTGGGAGTCTTGTTGGCTTTTTTCATTTGACTTGGATTTCAAGTCCTTAACTCATTGTTAATGTCACCATCCGTTTCGAATGCAGGTGAGGTTAAAACGAGAGCATCTAAATGTTGCCAAATTTGAGCCTGAATATGGACTAGACCCCATGCTGGATATAGCCTTGGTTGGATCTGAGTGGCAGTTTAGGATTCAAGGTCGAGCAAGCAATTGGCAGGACAAACTTGTGGTGACCTCAACACGTTCTGTGGAACAGGATGCGTTATCACCGACTGAGGTAAAATAAAACCGCCATCCTTATGAAGGCTTCATAGCCTGATAAAAAAACCCTCCATTGTTGAAAGACAAACCCATTGACTGCTTTAAAATAAGAGATGCTCCAGCAAAGAGAACTAGAGGAAGAGAAGGAAAAAAGGGGGAATAATTGAAGCCAAACTAAAAGAACGTGATGAAAACAATGAACATGGATCATCTTAATTGATTTTATTAGATTCACTCTGCTCTGGTTACCTGAATTCTATATTTGCTGCTGGCTTTAAAATTTGCACCGTCTAGTCTTAGCCTGTCGAGTCCATAAATAAGTTCATCTGGGAAGCTAGGACGTTCATGATCAGAACTCCAAGCATCATGGTCCTATAATTGTTTCTATATTCGCAGGCTGCCAGAAGGTTTGAGAGTCAGTTGGCTGAATCCATCTTGGAAGGGAATGGTCAGCTGGCATTTGAAAAACTTGCAACTGCAACTCTTGAAAAGTTAATGCCGAGAATTGAAGGGAAGGGAGAGTTTGGGCAGGCAAGGTGGAGACTAGTATATGCACCACAGATACCTAATTTGGTTACTGTTGATCCTACAGTAGATCCTCTCAAGTCACTTGCCAGTAATATATCGTTTGGTACAGAGGTCGAAGTTCAGCTAGGGAAACGTCTTCAGGTAAGCATTATAGATCTCATAAATCCGTCTTGTTCCGAAGACGTGGTTATTTTACCTACCTTTCTCAATAAGTAGACATCAAATAGATCGGCGGTAGTGGGGAAAAGATTAGGTATTATGGCTAAATGTCTTCTGGGATACAGGCTGTCATTCATTCCTGAGAACTCTAGTTTCCATTAAGCTATCCACTTAAAGTAGATTGCTTGATGTGGTAGTTATCCAATGGTTCCAATTGATTTCTTTGGCTTCTGCAACTGCAGTTTGTACTGATATTCTCTTGTATTCGTTTATTATGATTGTTATTGTTATCTAAAACAAATGATTTTGTTGTATCAGGCAACAATCGTGAGGCAGATGAAGGAATCAGAGATGGCAATGCGGTGGACATTGAGCTACCAGCTTACAAGTCGCTTGCGAGTGCTCTTACAATCAGCTCCATCCAAACGCCTTCTTTTTGAGTATTCTGCTACATCCCAGGATTAGTTGGACTTGTTCCACAAGCATTTTGTACAAGGGAAGTGGATATGGAATCATTTCCAGATGTGCAGTAGTGTACACGCGCATTGTTTTTTTGCTCGGATTGAGCTCTATTTGTACAGAATATTCAATTTATAATAAATGGAAATACATCAATTTAGGCCCAATCATAATATGATTTATTCCCATCGACTTTAAAAATCAATCATAGGTCGTTGACTTGTAATTGTGAATTATAATCTCTTTTTTTCCCCCACCAAAAAGCTTGGGCACGTCACAAGTCCATTTCAACGTGTTTGACTAGTTCAGAGTTATGACAGCTTCTACGCGGGGAAGCATGTTGGTTCAGCAAGTGTAGCCGAGAGCGAGGATACCGAATGAGAACAACAGAACTGAAGAGTTTTTACAAAGACAACCCAACGAATATAATACAATGTCATTTTTGCATTAATCAGAGGAATAATAAATGACTGTCACCCAAAAATAGAAGAAGAAGAATCATAAATGACTATGATAGCCTAACAAAATAAACAAAATTTGGGTGTTTACCAAAATCTCCATGGATCTTTGTATGGAGGGACATAATCTTCTGTTGGACTGACTAGACGGAAAGAATTCACTGCTTTTTCAAGGAAAGGTCCCATCTGCATCAATGACATCGACATTCCACAGCTAAAATTAATTAGATATGAAATGAAGCGATATATATAAACTACTCTGACATCATATCAGATCTTCATAGTAAAAATCAGGAAGGTAAAAATTCATAACGGTCATGGCTTAAATAAGATGATGGAGATCGTTGTTTCAGGTGACTATATATACACGGATTAGTAGGACCTCAATTTATTCAGGAAATTCAGCGCCCACGGAAGTATGTACTTCCAATAACTCGACAAGACATATCAAACTAGTTTTGCAGCAAAACTCTTCTTCCTCACAAGCATTACAAAAGCATTTAATGACACAATACTTCATATTGCCAATATGCATGGAGGCTGAAGATACTAGGATACACCATATACCTAAACGCCAAGGTCAGGAAGTCTAATTAAGCATGGACATCAGCAAGTTTACATCTATCATCATAAGATCGTACCAGTTTTTACGCCAAAAAAAAAAAAAGAAAAGAAAAAGATCGTGCCAGTTTTCAGTCATAGTCCCTTTTGGTTGTTACACATCTTTTATTTGATCTTTCAATAAATAAATCAGGGAACAGCCATGACTGTCTCCGGTCAGCCTAACTGTGTCATGTCAACTAAGAGTTACGCCTGTTTCTCCCGTCCATCAATTAGAAAGGTTAGGCTTTAATGCTAGCAGAGTAGTGGCTAGGTTTATATCCAACAAATTACATGAATGTAAAAATGTCCATCCTCTGTGTGTGTGTGTGTGTGTGTGTGTGAGAGAGAGAGAGAGAGAGAGAGAGAGAGATACTTTTTTCCACTGTGTGCTGAGAGTTGAAGCACTCAGAGAATACAGATAACCTGTACCAGCAGCATAAGAGAAGTTTTAAACTGAAATCCCAGGCAAGAAGATATAAGCTGGAGAGCTCAGGAGTTACATGAGAAGAAACCGATGTATGTCAACATCATTGATGTGTCCCACAAATATAAAGGGATGGATTAAAGCTGAAATATTTTCTTTAATTTTCAATCACCATCCTCATTGAATAGGAGAACAGGAAAGAGAAAAGAAAATCATTGCCGCCAACTTCTTTCATGTGCTTTGTATGAATACGCAAAGGACAATGTACAAAGGTAGGAACAATCCAAACGTCCAAAATTAAAAAAACTGGTGCAAATAAGAGGATTTACCATCTCTTTCGGCTGTTGAAGAAAGATAATGCCGATATATACTTGATTCTTGGTCCTACATGATCACAAATAACTAATCAAATAACCTCAGAACAAGAACAAAATTGGCTTAGTTGCACTTTCAATTTTAATAGTTTGTTCACAAAAAGCAACCTAGTCCTTCCGGTTTTAGAATCAATATTGACCTCTAATTACTGACTGAACAATAATTGACGCATAGACAATTGATAACCTCCGTTACATCAGAAAAATAACTTGAACTATTTTCAAATCCTTTTTAACCCACTTATTAAAGGACAAGATAGCACAATTTATTTAAAACTAAAGGGACTAAGATGTTCAAATAAGAAAAATAAAGAGATAAGATTGCCTAAATTGAAAATCGTAAAGGCTAAATTGCTCTACCAAACTAACTAGTGAGAGCACATTAATGTATAATCAAGATAGGAAATTACTCACCAGCCTTGTTGGTGATTTCCGAACAAGGTATTCATAATACCAATAACGCTCGCCATCAATCTGTGAGGTGACAAAAGGTAAGATCAACATGCAAATTAACTTTCATTTAAGCATGGATGCATAGTTCTTTCTTTCTTTTTTTAAGCTCTAGAGTCTAGAGTACTCATAAATCTGTACAAATTTGCTAATTGTCCATTTGGAAATATCCACTCGTAATAAATACCCTCAATCAACAGAAATATATTTATTGCAACATGCTAATAAATATTTCCCCCCTAATAACATTGGAGAAGGGAGGAAGAGATAAGTCATAGAGCTTACTTCACTAGAATGTGTATCAAGAACTGAACTCTCAGCTAAGCGCTGGCTTGAGGTGACTCGCTGCAAAATGTTATAGCTATCACTTAAAAGTTTTCAAAGATTTCCACCACAGACTGTAGGAAAAGCACTTTTGTGATGCAAACAGTTCAGCGCAAATAGCTGCTATTTGAAATAACTATTATCTTTAATAATTAACTTGAACTTATACTTAAAAAGCTCTAAACTGCATAGGTAAGCATAGCAAGAGCAAAACAGATATAAGTAATAATCAAGCGACATGTTGTTACCAGAGCAGACTTGTCAGACAAAACTGAATCAGCAACATCTTTTGCGGTCCACATACTCTTGTCCTTTGATTTTATAAACTTTGAATTTGGTGGACCTATCTGAATAAGACAGGAATAATTGATGTGGCTAAAAGAAAAAAACATAATTGGAAAGTGTTGTTTTTATGACCAAAAGTACGTGATCGAGATCATACCGTAACAGAAATTATGAGATTATCAATAATATCAACACGCTCAGACACAATGCGCAGGTGAGCATCAGCTGCATACAATTTACAAAGCAATCAAAATTTCAAGGTTTCTATTGAAAACGACTTGTCATTCATTCAGATACGTTGAAGCAAAAAATAGTTCAGTAATTAAAATAAAACTTAATTGCTGCTGGTAAGGAAGTTCAAAGTGGAACCAACCTCAATCTTTATATGAACTTTTAGTTGGATTAACTTTTGCCCTTATATAAAGAAAGACAACACAACTTACGAGAAAGTGGTGCAGCTGATGAGTATCGTTCTGGCTTTCTGGATTCTACCCTTTAAATATATTAGGGGGAAAAAATTAGACTTCCAGAATTTAAGGATCAAATGATCAAGGAAAACTGCCAGAGAAAAAGGGGAGCGATTTAGCCAATTATAGCAGAAAGTTTCATGACATGCACCAGCACCTATGTTAGTCCCCTGCTGGCTACAGTGAATATCAATGTAGGTAACATAAAAAATGCGAACAGTGCAAGTCTTACTTAGAGTTCAATGCGCAATCAAGCCCATACTAAATGAAGAACTATCAAAAACAAAAAAGAATGCTTATATAAGCCAAATAATGTGCATAATAAATAAATGAAAATAAGTGTCAATGGCGCACCATTTGAAGAGAAACTTCTTAGATGGCAACTCCACAGGGTACAAATAAGAATAAGCATTTATTTCATCCATAAACGAAGCCATTTTCAGCTCTTCACCAGCAAGAGCCGCTGAAAAAAAGGTGGAGATTAAGAGTAGATAAATTCATGGTAAAGAATAATGACAAAACTAAAGTATCTCTAGTCATCTACATGTATAGAACTATGCATCGCACTGTTTGGTTTTAGAAGCATAGTTAATTTTCCTCAAGAAGAATGTAAATTCGAATTCAACAGTAAGAGGTCCTGGCGCAGGATAAGCATACCAGAAAATGGAAAAGTTACGGACACCGAAGAGAGCCCCAACAACACCAAAGCCAAATCCCTCCTAAAAATCCTCCTTTGTGGACAGGGTTCAAGAGAACAAGGAGAAATCTCTCGTTTATGCTGGGATACTCCAACTCTGCATTTCTTCTGGGTTAGAATTATCCTGCTACGATTTCTGAGGACCAAGAGCACAAGGATTTCAGAGAGGAAAGAAGACAGGCAGGGGAAGAAAACATAAAGATAAAACAGAGAAGGATTGAATAAACAATATGAGTACCTGAAAAAGAAGAGATTGGTATTACTACTGCCAGTAGGGGCGAAGAGACAAGGGCTGGCTGAGTGTATAGCTAAAGCCATTGCGGTGCTGTCGCTGCTGCTAGCCAGCTTCGCTTCTTTTCTAGTCTCGCCTCATTCTACGCATCGAACACACACTTTGAGTTACTCTACCATATCCTCTATTTTATTATAAAGTTTGTCTTGAAAAATGAGATGTTGTTAAAGTTTTTATATTATGTACATTTTTTTATCGAATAGTTTTTTCATATTATATTTTTGTGAATGAACTGTCTGTGTTTTATATCTACATATATTATTTTTATAATCTATATATTATATATGAAGTATTAAAATAATATGTAGTTGATTATAAAAAAATTATTTATGAATTATGGATTTATAAATGAATATAGTAGTATTATTAATGACATAGTTTATGTTTTTCTCGTAATGAAAATAATATACTACCTCCTATCCTAAATATAAGACTTTGTTTGATTTTTATTTTAGTCCTAAATATAAAACTCAAATCCACTTTGTCTCTCATATTTATACTTTTTTTTCAAAGTAGTCTTTTTAACAATGGTAGTTCTAGCCAATACATTTAATTAGCAAGGATATTTTAGAAAAGACAACACCTATTTAGGACAAATAACTAACTTAATTTACTTCCGTCATCTCCTCAAATTAGTTAACTAGCTCTTATAATTAGGACTAGAGGTAGTATATATTAAGTTTTTATTACATGTTTGATAAACAAAGTACTACCTCATGTCTTTAATATAGAACCTCGTTTGATTTTTATTTTGGTCTTAAATATAAGACCTCAATCCATTTTGTCTCTAATATTTATCTGTTTTTTTTTTCAAAATAATTCTTCTAATAATAATAGTTCTAACTAATACACTTGAGATATTTTAGAAAAGACAACACTTATTTATGACAAATAACTAATTTAACTTCTTTCCTTAATCTCTTTAAATTAGTCAACTAGCTCTTAAAATTAGAACCACACTTTTTATCATTAAAAAACAATTAACTTGTGAAAATAAATAGTACTTCCATGCAGGCATGCGTTATCCAGTTGATTTGGATTGGATTGAAAATTACTAATTAATTAAGTTTTTTATTAGGCCTCATCTCCGTTAACCGAAACATGTCATACCATAATCGAGGTTCCAAACAGGCACTAGCCAACATTTCTGAGTCGGCGCAGTCAATCATCCACTCACCGAGCGTCGTCACTGCTTTCTTTTTATATTTTCGTTTTTTTATTATTATAAATAAATTGTGATCTCCCACCAAATTGCGGTTACGCTAAAGAGGGAAAAGTCTTTTTTATTTCCCAACAAGTTTGCGTTTCAATCATTCTTCTGCACTTCGAGCGATCTGAAAGATCAGGCTTTTGTTTCCCATCGGTGTTCCGATCCAGTTGGTTTGTTCCGATTCTTCATCGTCACTTTTGGTAATTCTTTATTTTCTTTGCGTTGTGCTTTTACTCTTCTGATCATAGCGATTCTATTTTCGAATCACTGTTATTTTTCAGTAATCGTAGCCATCGAAAAAGTAATCGAATTGGAATCCATTTTGTTCCTGATCGGTGTCTCAGTGCCTATCCTTTTCTTTCCCCCCTTACTTGCATATATTTTTTTAGAGAAAAGAAATGCTGGGATTTTTACTAAGTGGCGGATATATGAACGAATTATGAAGCATAATCTTGAGGCTTGTTTTGGTTCTTTCTCCTTCGATCTACTTCTAAAATCTATGCTTATGTCGCTGAGGATAGTTTGTTCCGCGATCGCCGCGCCAATCGTGCTCCAAGTGGAGATTCCTAGGATACCATATCAATGTGCGCCAAAATTATTTTCTTCGTAAAAAATTCTAGACAGATGTGTCACCAAGAATAACTTTTGTTTTGATCACTAATGCAGACTGGTTTATCACACACTATTTTTTTTTTTTGGTCTTAAGACACTTCGAATGTTTTGTGTGGCATGTTGTCTAGTTGGTTCTTTGGATTTTGGGGGCTCCGCAATCGAAAAGAAGGAAGAAAATTACATTGTCTATCTGAGCAAAGTCCATGAAGCCAGGAGCATCTTCTTTGAATCCATACGCGGCCGCCTATATTCCTCTTTCTAAAAGGGAGGCGGATGGTGGAACCTGTGTAGCAGGCGGTGATTATAAGAGTTATGAGGGGCCTGTTGGGTTTCAGACTCCTCAGCATACAACACAAGATCAGCACCGCCTCCACCCTAGCACTCGTGCTTCTCAAAAGCTCTTTACTTCTCAGGCATATCATGTGAAGGGCCAACCTGAATCTAGTTCTTCCGGTTCAGTAGCTCAGGGTGCAGTTCAGATGGCAGATAAACAGATGCTGGATGAAGAATCTGATATGGATCTGGAATATCTTAGGATGACGTTTCCTGGTATATCTGATCAATCCCTTATCGATGTCTACATGGTCAACGGGGGTGATCTGGAATCTGCTATTGACATGCTGAGCCAGCTTGAGGTAATATTATAATATATGTTTATGGATGATTAACTTTTTTCTTCCTCCGTGTCTTTGATGTATAAGCATAACAGTTGCTTCCTCTGCCACCTGCTTGCTGAGTGACTGGAAATATTTTTCTATGCATACTAGATTTTGCTCGGCTCTCTGCTAAATTTCTTAAGATAATATTAAATCTATCACTCCATACTGTTGTTTGTAACCCATAGGTCGGACTTTTGATTATAATCAACTGTCAACTAAATTGTCCTGTGTTATATTCGAAGATAATAGGTGAAAACAAACTTCTTTACCTTTTCACTTTTGGCTTATTTGTTTCTAGAGATGTATGATTTTCTAGAATCAACTCAATATTCTGATCAGTTTTATCAGCAGTAGCTCAAGTCTAATGGATCAGTTTTATCAGCAGTAGCTCAAGTCTAATGGACATTTAATTTTCTCTGGGTTGGTATCACTTGTCTGCTTACAGTTTGATGGTGTCCATTCATCTGAAAGTCTTCCAGAGACACTGGATATCGGTGATATTTCAGAATCTGGGAATTTTGCTGATTCTGCTTCATTGAAGCTAAAGAATGCGGCAGCCGAAGCCGGCACTTCTTCTACTCCCTCAGCACCAGCTACTGTCTCGTAAATTGTTCAGAAAGTCATACTCCTATGGTGTTTTAAGAAGTGTAAAATTAGGGCAGGGCTACTGAGGTGGGGGGGCATCTCTCATACATGGTTCAGTTTCATGCTTTTGTATAGTGCTCAGCTTCTTATATTGTTGTGGCGATCAAATCTGAATTGTCTCTATTTTGCTGGGTTTGCTTGTGCAATGTGCCATGTGGAATTGTGCAGCTTTCCATTTTGAAATGGACGGTCAAAAAGGGGATTCAAATTCATCTGAGATGATAATCTTCGGTGGGGATGGATTTGACTGCCTGTACATTGTACCGTGGTCAGTAACTTTTGTTCTTTATGCAATAGATTTCATGCAGCATCTTTAATTCACCTCTGTTTCCTTTCTTTTGTCCAAAGACTACTAATGATAAGCGAAATAGCTAGAAAGAGACCTTCTCGTCTGAGGATGCTGTGCTTGAGTAGCTTCTTAGAGGAGAGGAATGCTACAACACCCGCCTATGCGACGCATCAAATTTGGATTACTAACCAGTTTGGTTTAGGACTTTCGATTGGTATTCCTCGTTAATGGGAATATCATATCACATATTCTTCCAGAAGTGAACTCTGTTTTTTTGGGCCACCCTTCCAGAAGTAAACTTGACCTGTATGATAACTTGCTAGAACAAAAAACCCGGATTTTTTTTTTATGTCGGAAATATAATAGGAATCAAACGAGTTGAATACTAACTTTTTTGAGCAAAGAGTTGAATACTAACTACACACGCTTTTTAAGTCAGTGATAATGAGTTTCCTTTCTGGTCTCCTTCGGCGTGCAATGTAGACCACCATGTCATATCATGGTATCAATTTTCTTTGAAGTTTTATAATGATAATGTCTTAATTGCTCCTAAATTGAAATGTTGTTAGTAGGTTCGGTGATCATGCTTGCTTAACTAATACTCTTCTGATCTTATTTATAGAGCAGAGAGAGAAGACATTTTTTGTCCTATTTATAGAGTATTGAGAGAAATTTTTTTTGTAATGATATATAATTTTATCCCTTATTTATTACTGTGTTGACTTGATTTACATAAAGTATAATGTATATTAAATATAGACAAAGTTGAAAAGTTATTAAATTTTAAATGAGAGTTAATGAGGTTTAAGGTTTTTTTTTGTTTGTGTGAAACATGCTGGAAGTGTTTTATAAACAAGACCAGGTTGAGTATAAATTAATAAGAACTGAAGGAGTATTGTTCTTTTATTTGGCCCTTTGGGCGCTAAACGGGTAAACCCTGAAGAAATAAAAAAAATAAATATAAATTTGAATGAAAGTGAATAAAAATGGTAATGGATGGGATTTGCAATTTCATATTCTCGTATATGTAATCTCGTTTCACTACTTTTAAAAGACGCTCGCTCATGGGCAACAGATAATAAAAGTTTCCGTAACTCCCGCTTATCTGTTTCATCATCGTTCATCTTCACCAGAATCATTCGGTCAATTAATATTTAATCCTTTCTTTCTTGCTCTGTTGGAAAATCAGAATGCACGTCAAAGCCTGATTCCGCATGTTCAAATATATTTCTTCTCCCTTGTCTGAATATTCATCAAAACGCTACAAACCATTCTTTCGTTAATTTCAAAAGATTATATGCACTGCGTTCCTTCTCCAGCTAATAAATTTGTAATTTGATCAGATCTTTTTCGTTCTGGTTGTGTTGATCGCGTTGTCTCCTTCATCTTTTACAATCGTCGTGGAACGTCAACTCCAAAGATAAAGAACGATTGCATGAGGTTCTTAGCGGGAAGAAGCAGTGATTTTGTAAGCTAGGGACAAAGAAGAAGGATCGGATCCCAACAACAATTGGTGTTTTAGGATCAGATAGTAACGTATAGAGTTTCTCTGAGAAAAATAAAATGGGTGTAGATTACTACAATATATTGAAGGTTGATAAAAATGCTACAGACGACGATCTGAAGAAGTCATATAGAAAGCTGGCCATGAAATGGCATCCTGACAAAAATCCCAACAACAAAAAAGAAGCTGAAGCCAAATTCAAGCAGATCTCAGAAGCCTATGAGGCAAGCATTTCTTCTTATCAATTTCTTTCTCCCTTATCTTCCATGAATGTGCGCTGGAATTAAAACAAAAGGGAAATAATTAACAGATTTGTGTTCATTTGATCATTTTTCTGAGTGCGTCAGGTATCATAAAATCTGATAATTAAATCGAATGATCAGAACGAACTTCCTGCGGGTAAATCACGAAAGGGCCCTGGTATATGAGAAAGTTTATGTAAGAATGGGAATCCACAACAGCAACACCCTGTTTGTTCATTAACATTATTTGAGAATGATTTCCTTCCTTGTTGAAATCACTAATGTGGAATACTATTGAACTGCAACAGCTCAACTTTTTATTGGATGAGTTGTCCTCTGAATATGGATGTCTACAAATTTATGAATATATTAGAAAGATGACAAGTTTGAGGTTTTAAGGAAGTTGAATGCGGGGACAATTTTTGAAAATGTACAAAGTTTTTTTTGTCCATTCAGGTACTAAGCGACCCTCAGAAGAGGATGATTTATGATCAGCACGGAGAGGAAGGGTTGAAAGATATGCCACCGCCAGGGAATGGACCATCAAGTGGGTTTAATCCCAGAAACGCTGAGGACATATTTGCGGAATTCTTTGGGAGTAGCCCTTTTGGATTTGGATCTGGATCATCTGGACCAGGAAAGTCCATGAGGTATCAGTCGGAAGGACCCGGAATATACGGTGGTTTTGGTGGAGGCGACAACATTTTCCGTACATACAATGAAGGCAAGCAAATGCCAAAAAAGCCACCAGCTGTGGAGAGCAAATTGCCTTGCAGCCTGGATGAGTTATACTCTGGATCTACGAGGAAAATGAAGATCTCAAGGACTATTGATGCCAATGGGTATGCGTACCAATCTCATTCCCTATTTTCATGTTCAAGTTTTGTGTCCCTTTAATCCTAGTTCCCTAGGTATATGCTGGATGGTTTGCGGTGTTTATAGCAATTTTAATCCTTTGCACTGTCGAGTTACATTATGTGAAGTTCTTCGCTGGTCAAGTAATAGACTGCTCATCGTCAGTTTAGGCTTGAGGTGTTGAGGTATTTTTGGGTAAATAAACTCCTTTAACCTTTACTTTCGGTGTGTATACTCCTTTGAAGTTAGAAGAATTGTGCGTAAAGGCCTCCTTTCTTTCACAATAAAATTTCAATAGCCCCAAAGCATTTGTTTGTTAACCAAGCTCAAGGTCGTCGACCTTGATCACCTAATATTCCTTATGTCAATAATTTGTTGATTTCACGTCAAGCTTTTAAAATGATTAGAGGGTTGAAGCAACAATCAAATGGAGGAATTGACCTCAAATCCCTCCATGTTGGCACGCATGCCTAGGCTATAAAATAAACTTTATATAATATATATTACTAGAATATGGTATGCCCTTCATGTCTCTGCACTCAAAGCTGCATAAGTGGTGAGAGAGCTAGCTTTAATCTTACTCTGGATCGACTGAAGAATTGACTGCATGCTTGGGGAGAGACATTATTTTGATTTCATTAATAAACTCATTGCGCAAGTAACGTGTTGCAAGAAGTCGATAAAAATATTCGCCAAGAAGAAAGGAGCTGGAGAAATTTATGTTGATGCACAGTCAGTCAGTAAATAACATGCAGTCAATAATTTTATTCAGCAATAATTGCTTAAGCCATGGCCCTCTCTGTGTGGACATGCCCCTTTTACACAAACGTTGTCAGAAAATTATTGCAATACACAGTGCAGGTCCGCTAACCTCTTTTCTTTTCTGTGGCTTTGGGTGGGGGGGGGGGGACACTGAAGACGGCCGGTGACAGAAACAGAGATATTAAGCATTGATGTAAAACCCGGGTGGAAGAAAGGTACCAGGATCACTTTCCCAGATAAAGGGAATCAAAAACCAAATCAACTGCCAGCTGACCTTGTGTTTGTGATTGATGAAAAGCCTCATGATTTGTACACGAGAGATGGGAATGACCTGATTGTGAGCCAAAGGGTCTCACTAGCAGAGGCAATAGGAGGAACAACGGTGAACCTAACCACACTTGATGGACGGAGCCTATCAATACCAGTGACTGACATTGTGAGCCCTGGCTATGAGCTTCTTGTTCCAAAGGAAGGAATGCCTATAGCAAAGGAGCCTGGGAATAGGGGTGATTTGAAGATCAGATTTGAGGTTAAGTTCCCAACAAGGTTGACGTCAGAGCAACAAGCAGGGCTCAAACGAGCATTGGGAGGTTGAGAATCCTTTCTTCATATTTGCAGCATTTTTACTGCCTTGGATTCACTGACACAGTTGAATGCTGGGGAGACAAAATTGCCAGTCCCCATTTCTGTTGTGTGATATTTAACGTTCTTTCGCGTTTTTTGTGTAATATGGCCCATTCTACTGTAATGTCGTGCTAAGGTATCCGTACTTGTATTGACCATGTTAAGTATCCAGACTAGATTCTAGAACATAATATTTGAAAAACAAAAATTACTGAATTGAAACCTTGCAAAAGGTACAGCTTACGAACAGTATTCTGAGTGACTGATTGCCTATTTTATTTAAAACTATTTGCCATCTTCAATGTTGGGACGCAAGATTTTGCAAGGGAGGCATTGTATTCCCACGCCACAGCCAGGACCTGGCTCGGCCCGGCCCTGAACCACCACCAGCACCAAAAGAGGACTATAGAAGACAATTGTCAACACCCAGATAGGAAAATATCATAAAAAATGGAATGGAATGGATATACTGAGAATTGACCATCTATCTAAGCCCAAACAAAAAAAAACAAAAAAACAAAAGACTTTACAGAACCTATGCTGCCTACGTATACAAGGTAATTATACTATGCTATTGATTGGGCTAACTCCAACTCGGTTCTCACCCCTTTGTTGGTTGGAACCTTCGCCGGAGACTGGTCCTATTGGGTTCCCACCAACCTCACTTTTGCAGAGAGGGCATAATGCATTAATCTTCAGCCACTTGTCTACACAGTCTTTGTGAAAAAGATGGGAACATGGCAACTCTCTCAGCTCATCGTTATTTTCATACTTTGCCAGGCAGATGCAGCAAACCTGTGGAAAACCACAGAATGGTACAGAAACCAGAGTCAAGGCGAGCAGGACAAAACCCTTGAACAAAAAGAATAACAATCAAAGTCCAGGGTTGTGAGAGAGGCGAACTGGGTTGCAGGATCTTTCTAACACTATTAGTGAGGGATTTGTGATAATAAGTTGACCATCGGCCAAGAAGTAAAAAATATAATCACTTTCAGTTTAGCAAGCAATGATAAAATGGAACAAGCACAAACTGAGGTATTCGCCAACCAACCCATCAGATTGGCCTACTTACTGCATCTTCTCCAGAGATCACACGCTCCTTTTCAGTTCCAGCAGCCACAATCCCACCTTCTAAAGCATTTGAGTTGCTTTCATCACCTTTTTTACGTTTCTTCACCTTGAACTTGTATACTGGCAAGGAATTAATAGATTCAGATGTTGCCCCCCTTGTCTGTGTCAGATCCTCTCTAACCCCAAGGATGGAAATTATACAAGGCAGACAACAGCAGATTGTTGCACATAAAATGAAGGGCATAGCATAGCCAATGCAGCTGAATGTCAGAAACACAATACATAACCTGCAAAGGAGAAGCAAGCAAACAGATTTAGATTCTATGAGAAAGCACAAGGTTTAAGATCTGATCCAAGGCAATACCTATACATATTAGGAGCATCAGTAGCAGAGGAGTTCCCCCCAAAGATCCACACATTGCCAACAACGAACCATACAGCAAAAAAGCAATCTAAGGCCATTTTGAAATATTCCACTAGTGACTTCAGTCTGCTGAGCAAGAAAGACCAACTAGTTAGGAACTTGGCAGCTTCTTAAATTATTCAAATACCACAGCTTATATAATCATGGGGAGAAAATCAAGATCTCAAAATTGAATGATGATAATTTAATGGCAAAAAAACAAAAAACAAAGAAAAATGATGATAATTTACTAAATGGGCCATGGCCTGCCAAGCTTGATATGTTGAAATCAGATTGCATGTTCAATTTATGGTTACAAGAGGGATCATCATATAAACCACCTCCATAAAGCTAGTAAATTAGACGTATATTCCCAATTTGTTGTTTAGGATCTGCAAAGTAATAACTCAATATTACACCAGAAGTATCATGAGATAAAGACATTTTATCGGACAAGCACATATGCAAATGCAACATTACCCAGCCCTAATCCGAAAACAAGCTGCCAAGAGGAGGGAAAAGAAATATATATTCTATAAAGACATGTCTACGTACAGGTTGGACACAAGTAGGCAGTGAATCATGACTTTGGCAGGGTCAGACAAGTCAGACCAGCAACAAGCAGCGTGTCTGTGCATTATAAGTGGGAAGCTCTCTCTCTGGTTGTTGCTTGTGTGTTGCCCATTTGGGATAATACCGTAAAATTTTTCTAAACCTTGAATGTCATCTGGATTCTAAAGATATATCTCTCAGGAGACTTCAAGCTGATGTAGCCATCACCTAATGTCAATATTCTGACTCAAAAAAAAGTTTGGCTGGAATTTCCTTCATATGCTTTTATTTGTTATATGCCACAAGCATGTGTCAGTTAGGCTCGTTATGAAATTTCCAGATATTTGATTTCTGTCTATTAAGGGGCCAACACCAGTCCCTGGGAAGAGGAATATCTACTCCTAGTGTTACACTGACCAGTGATTACCATATCTGACAACCATGGCTACTTACAACTCAAGGGGATATGATAAAGTACAGAGCAATCACAAACTTCAAAACTCGTGAGAAAAGAGGATTATCAAAAGGTTGTGATGAAACACAAAAAATACTGCAAATGCCCTTGGCATCATTCGTTCAGCTCATAACTTCCAAATTAAGAGCAAGAAATCTATCATTCTTTCAACCAAAGCTGCCATTCTAACCAAAATATAGTATCAAGTGATAATTAAAAAACAGCAACTAATTATGTCCTCATGATGGCCTCAGATATCCTGCACATAATTTTAAAGAGACCCAGGGGACGTAGTTCCATCATAATGAAAAAAATTAATAATAATTAAAACACACTTAGTTAACCACAATATAATAAACCAACACCTTGGATTCATCATGACTGGATGTTGACTGCTTCTAGAGGATGAAACAACGGCCTGATCGTCTTCTTCCCCATTAGTTCTTGAAACAGAAAGAAGTGTCCTTGAAGAAACATTAACTCGAGGGGAAGCTTGACGTGGTTGAGATGAATTTAGCTCTCTACCCTGGTTATGATGATAATACCTCCAACCAAGCAAGGGGATAGTAGCAACACATCCACACGCATAACCAATAATCCATGCAAACAGGGGAGTGCGTGGATGCTCATGCCTCGACAAAGACAAAACAATAATAGATGCAACAATCTGGCTTACTGTGAGGACTAGCTCAATAGATATCCATAACCCTGAATTCAATGGACTCCTGTTCCGACGGGTCTCCCCTCGTCTTACAACTGAAGAATTCCTAGGATTTGTACCATTAGATGCAATAGAAACTGAAGGCAGAGAAGCCGGTAATCTTGCACTACTAGGTCTGTCTTCATGTTGTGATGTACCTCCGCTGTTAAAATGTCTATCATGCGGAGAGGTAGATGTGGAAGCTTCACTACTCCCAGCTACGTCGATAGTGACCTGACTGCAGTTCAAGGGCCCAGAATGCTCCATCAACAATGGGCAAGTGTCGTATAAACCTTCAGGATATAGTTTTGGTGAGGGAACGTTCATCTAAGTCCACCAACACAAGTCACCAATGAAGCATGGAATCACATAAAAAGTATACCATCTATAAATACACCTTGACTTCTGAACTTAGTCAAAGCAAATGCTGCTTCTTCCGCTCCGGTATATAAGCTTCGCAAATAAAAAATCTATTTAGCAGTTCGTGTATGACTTAATTCACGAGATGCCACTGATAAAGTTCGTAAGCATTCCCGCCTGCAAAGAGGAAACAAAATAAACAATTGTTTGTCTGGAAAATTATGATGAAGATATCACTCTTGACTCTTGAGCATGTTAAACGAAAAACACGACTAACGGAGATGAAAGTAATTCTTGCGGCTCTCATGGACTGGACAATCATATTACCCTAGGATCAATAATCTCCTTCTCTTTTGACTCTATCTCAGTTTCTCTTCACAAAGAAATCAATTCAAGGTAACAGCCGGTTTATCAGTGGATAAAATGACGGCAATTCCGTTCGTCCACCAATTAAAACACAGGAAAGAAATCAAACCAAAGAATCCATGCGTTGACTTACATTCAGAAAAGATCCCGCACAGAAAGAATCCAAACCCAACGGCAAGATTAACAAGATCATAAGCCAATAAAAACGCAAAACGCGCAAAAATCTCGATTAAAATGAGAAATGGGAAGCAACTAAACCAGAACAGAAGCAGAGAGAAACCGGATTGGAGCTGCGGCTGGGCTCGGCGACGGAGACGATGGAACAGCGCCGTGGAGAGGGCGGTGATCTTGTGGCTTGGCTCGGATATGAGTACCGTAAGTTGCTTAACTTTGTGGATGGGGCCCACTTCGTGACGGAGGGAAAAGGGATGGCGTCGAACCGCTTAAAATCTCAGTCCCACCTTCTTTGCTTCATAGAGTCGCCTGAGAATATCTTTTGCTTTTTAGTGTAATTACCCGCTGACCCTTTTACCCCTGTTCTCCTTTCCCTCTCGGCTCATACCAGCCACTGAAAAGAGCACGGGTTGGGATAGGTTTTATCGCCATAAGGGTTGTTTTCTAAGGCCAAAATAGGAAAGAAATAAACATTATCTTTGGTAATACCGACGACTGAGCGCACCGATCACGTTTTAGTCAATATGAACACTGTAAAAAAGCCTCGTGTTTACGGGCTATGGGTTATGACCAGCTGAAAACATATGAATAGTTTTTTTTTTAATAATAATATTGAATATGTGATTAAATATATATAAAGGACGACCCTTTTCAAATTTAAGCATTTTTATATATTTGTACAGTGACATTTTTACAATAATACCGAGGACTCAGAAGCCACTGATCAGATTATATTATCAACAAGATAAATAAATAAAATAAATGACTCGGCCCTCCCAACTTGTGACGCGACGCTAGCAACTTGTTTAGTTGGGGTGGGGGAAAAATCTTCATAGTCTAGTAGTAGTAAAGTAGAGAATTATTTATAATAAGTAGAGAATGTTCCTACAACAACTCATAAATAAATTAATCAATTAAAAATGAGTGAAATTCATATATTTGTATGAATAATGACATGTTAAGATACATATAATATTCTTCTTGTATCCAATGGTCATTTCATCAAATTTACAGTAACTTCGAACTTGATGCTTACGAATTAAAACAGCTATTTGAAATATATTTACATGAAATGCCTTCGTTTGTTTTCTAAAAAACAAAGAGCACAAAAAATGTCACAAAAAAAAAGCACAAAAATAGGAGAGGAGTTACTATTTACGCGCAAATGTAAATGACACGAGGACAAGGTAGGTAATCAAGTGGGTTAGTAATGAATGTGCAGGCGGAGTATTAAATAGTGGTTGAACATGAAATCATGAATAATGAATTATATATATGAGTAAAGTTTAAAGTTTGAAAATGGGAGTTGGCCAAAAAAAAACAGAGAGAGAAAAGAAAAGAAAGAAAGAAAGAAAATTCATGGCTGAATCATGGTATAGTTAGGAACGTATAATACCAAACCTGTGAAGCTTAACAAGTCATTAAGAATCCAAATCTTCTGGTGGGTCCTGCGGAAACTTTTGGAACAGGCCTGAAGAGGGAAAGGTAAGTTTTGAATTTGCTTCCACTTGCTTTCTAGGTTATCCTAATTATATAGTATAATTAGGGTGAGATAAAGGGCAATACTTTTTTTAACAGCAAAGGCAAAAACGTACCTTGACAGCTAAACCACTGGGATGAACAGCTTGAAACAAAATCAAAGGAAAACAAAGCAAACGAAGTTTAAAATCACTTGTCCCTTTCAAAATGCAGGAAGGTTTAATCTCTACTCACATCATCAACGCTTGTAAAAGGCGAAACCTCGGGATGCTAACTAAAAGATACAAGCAATCTCACCTTGGTAATGTCAGACAAAGTCCAATATCTATTTCGAGAGTTAACTCATTAAACAGTAAAGAATATGTTGACAGATTTATAGCACTTCTGTAAGTAAAAGTTACATGTTGGGTTCTGCCTGTAACCATATAACTTGAAGCTGTTAATGTATGTCCTTTGGAGCTGTGTCATTAAAAACAGCAGGTTAAGCTTTGTGTGGAATCTGAGGGGAAAATCCAGCTTTAGAACTTATGAAGCGTGCTCATGATTCCGCTTTTTGCAGAACATCAGTATGATAATAAATGAAATCAATTCGCAGGGGACGTGCCGAGGGAATAGTGGGGTAAGCTTTAAAGGAAGGGCCATGATTAATGGCTTTTAATTTTCACGAGCAGAGAGGAAGTAATGAGTTGTGTGAAATCCTGCAAGTGATAGTGATAGTGATTATGCCACGCCTGAAACTGAAATGATGGCAGATTTTCACACAGAGAAGCAGCTACCATTTGATTTGGGTATTGTATGGAGGCCAGCCCAGACACACGAGCATGAATCATCGACCTTCGTCCTTTGTTTTACAGTTTTACTCCCTTCAATGATCAATGACGCGTGTGTGTGTCAAGTTATTTTGAAAATGCCAATAATTAAGCACTAAAACTTTTCATAAGATAAATACTGATTCGACATTGGATCAATAAATAATAATTCAATATTATTTTTTAATTTAAATAAATAATAAATTGTATGATTGCGATAAGTTCTAAATATATAGGCACGCTGTGGATGTGGATGTAGTATTATGGAATTTAGTACTGGTTTATATTGTTCGGTTTCCAGTTTCGTTCAGATCGGTCATTATCAACTGAAAGAAACAGTTCTGATGCTGCATTGCCAAAAATCTTTAACAGTAGTTCCGTGATCTTCATCACCCTCTGAGCTTCCATTTTCTGATTTTGTGCCGTAAAGCCTCATCCTCTTAACTCCACCTCCCGTTTCCTTTTGAACTTTCCCTTTTATTCGGGAGGGGGAAGTTCGAATTTCGAAATGGTTGCTAGGGGTAGGAGATTTAACTGTTAATCTTCGTTCTTACTTTCAGTATTCCTCATCTTTTTTTAAAAAAATTTATGCCGAGGTATATCGTGCAGCATCACCAATGTTTCTTGAATCCCATCCATACGCTGGTATGTTGATCCCAGTTTCATGCAATACTTAACTTTTGCCTGCTTCCATGAGCGAGATCTAGGGTTTAACAACCTGCCTCATGCATTCGTTTTCCTGGCTTGTCTAGAATTTTCTCATTTCTGGCCGGATTGGTTTTTCATGGGTTCCATCTGAAGCTTTAGTAGTCCATCAATATTTGCTTCATATAGCTATGTTGAAGCAATTCTTCAGTAAGATTCCTCGTAAATCATCCAAATCCCATGGGGGGGAGTCATGCCGGGACCCAGTGGCCGCTACACCGCGCGTCACCGGCAGGGCTAACCGGCCGAACGGTGGGAGTTCTGCCATTCGGTCTAATTCTGCGAAACGCACTTCTTCGTCGGCGGTTTTTCCTGCGAGCATCGTGTCTGGAATCGAACCCCTGGTGCCATTCAAAGACGTGCCTCATGCGGAGAAGATGAACCTGTTTGTGAGCAAGTTGAGCCTTTGTTGCGTGACTTTCGATTTCACTGACGCCGGTAAGAATGTTGTGGAAAAAGATGTCAAAAGGCAAACATTGCTTGAACTCGTCGATTTTGTCGCTTCTGGGTCGACTAAATTCAGTGAACCTGCTATTCTTGCTATGAGTAGAATGTGTGCTATTAATCTCTTTAGGGCTTTCCCGCCACCGTATCGATCTAATAGGGGTGGTGCTGGTGGCGAGATTGATGATGATGAACCAGTATTTGACCCTGCTTGGTCACATTTACAGTTTGTGTATGAATTGTTGCTTAATTTTATTAATTCTCCGTGTCTTGATGCGAAGGTGGCGAAAAAGTATATCGATCATTCATTTATCTCGAGATTACTTGAATTGTTTGATTCAGAGGATCCAAGAGAAAGAGACTGCTTGAAGACTATTCTGCACAAGGTTTATGGAAAGTTCATGGTGCATAGGCCCTATATTCGGAAATCTATTAATAACATATTTTACCGATTTGTGTATGAGACTGAGAAACACAATGGCATCGCTGAGTTATTGGAGATTTTTGGGAGCATCATTTGTGGGTTTGCCTTGCCTTTGAAAGAGGAGCACAAGATCTTTTTATGGAGAGTTTTGATCCCCTTGCACAAACCTAAATCCATGGGTGTTTATTTCCAGCAATTGTCTTATTGTATTACTCAGTTTGTAGAGAAGGAGCCGAAGCTAGCCAGCACTGTTATAAGGGGTTTGTTAAAATATTGGCCGATAACAAATAGTCAGAAGGAGGTCATGTTCTTGGGCGAAGTGGAAGAGATTTTGGAAGTAATCAACATGCTAGAGTTCCAGAGGGTCATGGTCCCGTTATTTTGGCGTATTAGTTGCTGCATTAATAGCTTACACTTTCAGGTAAATTGTTATGTACTTCATTTATTTGCTGAATTCTCGTCTTTAATAGCATATTCCTGTTTATTTGTCCACCTTTAAACGCAATGCATCGGTACTTCCAAGATTGTTAATCTATTTTGCTTTTATATTTATTTGTGGCATTACCATTTTGCTTTAATTTACATCAGAGGTTCAAGTCATCAAAATACTTCTCTTTCGGTTGTTTTTCTAGTTTCTCTTAGCTCTTCTGTTGTTTGGTTACTATTTTCTGCTATAGCATGTTTTGGGTTGATCTGCTCTCTGCTATGGCAGGTAAATTGTTATTTCTGTTGTTACCGTGATAGTTATTGTAAGAGCTTAAGAGTGCTATGGAGGAGAAGATAGTCAAATTATATGCTCTATCGTGTCTTTACTTTCGTGAATTGCTTTAATCATCCATAACATTTTTGGGCCTCCCATTTCTGTCAAATAATTTTGCTTACCTGCAATGGCTATGGTGTCAGTTGCATCAGTTGTGATGCCTTTACTTTTTGTGAATTGCGGTTAACTGCATTGAACCTTGTGTTGGGAAATTCTTCTGTGGAGGTGCTTTGTTAGATTTTTGGTTACCTAGTAGGTTCTGAAATCGTTTCCACGACATTAAAGCAAACCACTTCCCTATATTGATTCTCTTGAAATTGGTTATTTCCAATTCCAATCCATAGACATCCCTGCAACGTTTCTCCCTTTTGCTGGTTTCCTGAATGATTACAGCTCTATTCAACTTGGATTGTTTCAGGTGGCTGAGAGGGCCCTTTTCTTATGGAACAATGACCATATTGTGAACTTGATCGCACATAACTGTCAGGTGATCCTGCCCATAGTATTTCCAGCACTAGAGAGAAACTGTCAGGGCCACTGGAGCCAAACTGTGCTCAACTTAACTCTTAATATTAGAAAGATGTTCATAGAGATGGATGACAAGCTCTTTCTGTCCTGCCATTCTCACTTCAAGGAGGAAGAAGCCTTCTCGATTTCAGCAGCTGAGAAGCGAAAAGAAGCATGGGAACAACTAGAGCATGCCGCTAGCCTCCGGCCTGTGATAGGAAATACAGCTGTTTTAGTGTGTCCCTTGACAACCTGAGTTACATGTTAGCTGTTTTTGGTTGTGGAAATGGCCGTTAATAGGGGCGTTAAGGTATATGTTTTTGGCGATATCTATATGCTTCTGCCAGCCTGATGTTGTATATCATGGTTTTGGATTGATTGCGACTGTGTGGAATGCTAGTTAACTCATGTATGTAAGTTATGAGAAGGACCATGCAGTAGATCTATCGATTTTCTGCATGAGCTTATTAACAGACAAAATATATATTTTTCTTAGGTAGACTATCTAATGACCATATGTGCTTTGCAAAGGACAACGACAAATAGTTATGTGGATATTTTAAGTAGATTATGCTTTAAGAATCTCCTCTTCCGGGTAAGCGTTTTTTTCCGCCATGAAAGAGGGGGCGTGGGGCGGGACGAGTCACATCATTTTACTTTGATTACTTATTTGACCCTGTGGCGGTTGGGACCATTTCAATGCCACTATGCAGTCATTTATGATATTAGTAACAAAAAAATATCAGTTTATTATGGCAGAAAATGACTCATCATAATTCGAGTGAGCTCTAACTAATACATCCTGTAGATTGATGTTCATGCTTCGACGAACATGTGTAATGAAATTCGTCAAATCCAAGACAGGACACAAACATGAGTACAGCTACTGTATTCATTTTTTGGGTTTAACATGAATTTTTTTTATGTGGTAGGATGTTAATTTAAATTTGATTCAGATACTTTATTTGTGTAAATTTTCGCTTTTTAGTTTTAGGGAAGTAACCATTTTGTAACATTTTGATCACTCAATGGTTCTGACATCGCCACAACTCGAAAAGTGAAAGACAGAACGTAAATATATTTTTGGGCATTTTTCATTACACAAGTTTGGGTACAATAGGAACCTTGACAGAGAGAGCAACGAGGCTTGTTGCAAGAAAGCAACCTGAAGGGAGTAGTTGATGTTGATGTTAGCAATATCACTATTTGGTAGGAGGCTAGCAAGTTACCAAAGAATATTTAGCTCTAAAAGGCATTACATTACATACAGACCTACTGGTTGAAAACTATCTTGCTGTACCAATTTCACAGAATCGCGTCACAATCAGGCCCACAAGTCCCATTAATTGATCAAGTGATTCTTCTTCAGAGCTCTGTATCATCATCTACAATTGAGTCCCGAAAAGAGGTAGCACTGATTTTGCAGACAATGCTGCCACGCGCTTGAACTGTCAGAAGAGAAGAGAAGCAAAATTCACCGTCATGTCACTATCTTAAGGTCACCGCATTAATTCCAACCTCCTGCTATTAATTAATGAATGGACCGCATATGAAAGAGACTAGGGACCACGAAACTAACACAAGAATAGATTTCAAACAAGGTAACCTTAATGTGGGGGGAAGGGAACTTCACAGTATAATATATGCCATGAAAAGAAATAGAACGGGCCGGTCTTCTGTATTTTTGCGTGATTCTTACCTTCTGAAGTCTATATTTTTCACGTATCGCATTCAAGGAACATGACTTGGTATTGAGCTGCAAATCTTCCAGGGCAAGAACACTAGCTTTAAGTTGTGGGGTTTTGTAACTTGTGTAATGCTCTAGAGTTGGGCTCTGCAAACAGTACACGCAGTGGAAATCCTCTTAGAATAATTGACGCGCAAAAAAATAAAAAAAAAGTGCAGTCAGAAAAAGTTCAGACCCATGGGTGTTCTGACTGGTTGAGCGTCCATCTGGCAAGGAAAATAGCAGATGCAGCAACAAGGGAAGGTAGGAACTTGAGGAAGCTGTATTCAACAAGTGTAAGCTCTGCTAAATAATTTGCCAGGAATTCCAGTTCAACACAGGGAAGCTGTGCAAGACGAACAGATAAGCATTAGCTTATTGGTTTTCTTTATTTTGCGGTCAGTGTAATAGAACGGGCTAAAAACTTAGTACCTTGTAGGAACATTGTGCTACTTGGATGTATCTCCTGAAAGATTACAGCAGCTCAGTTTAACTGAACGGAATTTCCCAGAAATAAAACCTAGATTTATAATGTATACCTGAGAAATGTTTTGGTGGTGGGAACAGATAATTGAAAATGCAGAAGATTTAAAACCTCACTCTCCATTTTCAGTACCTGTCAAGTGTCAGTGATTCAGGTGTCTTATATACGACTTTTGATGATCAATGTTTAAAGTTTGATCAGACTGCTAAGTAATTCTCTCAAACGTATAGAAATGCCATAAAATTTATATTTCTCAGAAGTAAGTACCTCATCTCTCGTGTATGTATTATCCGTGATGAAGCAAAAGTCTTCCACCCGAGGAGCACAAATCTCTTCATACTTTCTTCAAGCCAAGAAAGAAAACAAAACGTTAGAAGCCCCTGAAAGGTTAAGAAATAACAGATGATATATTCCATCACCACTTATATGCAGCATCACATATGCTCTAAAGTTTCAGGAACAGATTATATCCATAATGTCACCTTCTTCTAACTTTTTACAGCCATGTGACCATAGCTTAACAATAGATATGTTGCCGCTTCAAAGTTGCGTCTTACGCACAACTAGCGAGTTGCAAAATTTGTTAGTTCTCAAGATAATCACGCTAAAAGCTCAACACAATGCCACAGAATATATCACATCTGTGAAACGACTAACAGTCATCATTGTATTTATCTCCATATCCGACGAGGATGAAAAGAATGGTTGCCATCTATAAAGTGAATAAATTTAAGCATGAGAGAAATTGTACATTAAAGAATCAGGACCATCGCAAGGAAGGGAACTCACGATGCAATCAGCATGCAAGCGACACCGACAAGCTGAAGCTTTTGTTTCGTTGTTAAACTTATAGAGAGAAACCGGTCAATGAGATTCACAGTGAGGTAAAGAGTATCTGGAACAAGCCTATATTCCTCAGAAACCTGAAAGAAATATAGAGAAAATTAAACAATGAAGTTCGATGGCTAAACTCAGTTGGGATAGTAATCAGAATGTTGTTAAACTCTAACGAGAAAATATTAGGTCAATTAGGCTCTAGAGGAGAAAGTGAAAACATTGATAAGATTTTGATTCATAACATGGGAAGAATACTGAGGAACTAACCTCCACAAGCCAATCAATCAGAATTCCGCGCATGTTTGGATTGATATCCTGCTGCAACTTCTCCATGTAATCAGTTGATGGTCTTCTTTCAAGCTGGATTCCCAACAACTAACATCAAACTACTTTTACTGAAGCTTATTACTTTTCTCATACCACTGAAAAATCTTTGTTATATAAAGATTCTTTAGGCAACAATATCAGAATATTTCTAGAAGAAAACTTTGAGGTTCTAATTCTTATGTCCTGAAAGAACATTATTATAAAGCTATAATACTGTCAGATTGGGACGACACAAGATAAGGAACATTTATTACTTGTCACAGATACAGAAGAGCATAGAAGCAATAATCAGAAGAAAATGTCAAAATGACAACACCACAACACAAACCTCTGTGACACGTATGTTATTGTATATATCTGGGGCATATAAACTCCAAACTTGAGAATCCTTTAACTCTGAATCAATGTCTACAATGCCCAAGTCATCCGAAGCTCTTAGTTTCCCTATTTCTGCATTAACCAATCAAGATACTTTCAGACTTCGTTGATTAGGGGTGACAACGAATAAAATTTGGATGCAGGCAATTAGTGGGTTGCTCTTGTAACGTCTTAAGCTTTAGAAAAAGGGGAGCCACGCAAAATGTTCTTAAATAAAGGAAAAAACATGCAGAAGAAAAGCTGCAAGCTTGCACTATAAATCAAATAATAACCTTCACGCATTGAGCCTTCGAGGAAAATGTCATTTATATAATTATCAAGTCATAGCATAGACCTGTATTATAATGCAGGCGAAATAGAGATGACTGGTGACCCATAAAATTATTAGAAAACCTTTATCTGGAGCGGTCAGGATCTCATCAGACATCACAGAATCCTGCGTTGAAAGCATGGGGCCTGCCGAGAGACAATCTTCTGTACCATTGGACATGCATCGTTGTGGTGGCATTTTGTCTTCTAACTTAAATGCATTAGTGGTGTTACGTGATTCTACCATCCTTATTTTGGATAATTCTTCAGCTAACTTTGTTTTAACGTCTTCTTGTGTCGATGAAGCTTCTGTGGATACAACTGAAGCTGACTTTGTGTTTTTACCTCCTTTTGCCTACGTAATGGACATCCAAGTGGTATCATCAACTGACACCACCATATCTCATGATAATATATGAACGTTGCAACTCAGTAAAACAATGACAAATACTCAGCGAGAATAGTTCATAATACAAAACAAAACAGTAGATGTACAAACTATTAATAATTTGGCATTTGCCTTTGCAACCTATGAGTTGCTTCAAGCATACCTGAAAACTTGAAGCGTCAGTACTTTTATCATTTGAATTTTCACAGATGTTGGTTACATCTCTGAGCACTGCCCTCCTCTTATTCTGGAGACCGTCCATAGTAACGACCGAAGCTTTGTTCTCATCAGATGCTGCTCTTTTGGACTTCGTTGGATGGGCGCGCTTCTGTTCTTGCATAAAGGATGGCCTTGAGGAAGGAGGTATGCCTCCCAATGATCCCAAGGCTCTGGCCCTTGCTCTAGTGATTCGGACTGGAAACTTTGCATCTTCAGCATAAACAGTACTTTCCTTGTTCATTTTTGTGTGCCTTGAAGAAAAGCAACCTGATTGCTTCAGACGATAATTTTGTTCATGCCTGCTCTTCAAAGATCAAAACACCATGAGATAACAGCAATAAACACAGCTAGATATAACAATTTCACAAACATTTGTGCATTCACTTAGATGTATGTAAGGCGAATGTTATTAGTGAAAATTCTTGTTTTTCCCAATTTATCTTACTTATCATATATGATATTTTTGTTTGTACCACCTTGTTGGTTGATAACAGATCGTAAAATGCAATTAATGTTGTATACAAGTGCACTCTAGCAAACACATTGTATCAATGACACAGATACATTCTGCAAAAATTATTTTTCCTAAATCCCTTAAACGTTCCCGGATGTACTGTAATCGTTTGAATAATACCTTTAAGAACAAAAGAGAACGGGTTAAGAAGAGAATATTATAAGCCAGCGTAATAGTTAGAATCTGAATCAGGGTACATATCTCCTGCCTGGTAGCTGGAACCGAAGAAACTTGCGATCATAAATAAAAATTATAGAATGCGATTCATGAACAGAAATAAGGCAATGCAACAATGCTCAAAGTCTAGTTTTTTTGTGCTCAATGCGCACTTTTCTCAGTACTAAACCTAAGAGAATTTTGCAGATTACAATAATTTTATCTGCTGACACGCATGCCCGCGGGGTTTTCTGAGCATATTCTCGAGAACCCAATCAAGAGCCCTGATTTAATGACAAATGTTATTTCAACTCCAGGCATGTTCAACCTTTTAAGTTTTATAATCAAACACAAACGAAAATGAGAAAAACTCTCCAGCATTAGCTCCAATCAAGTGCAGCTGCAAGTTAGAAGGCAGGTAGAAAATTCTCCAAAAATTAACCACAAGAAACGGATTCTCTGTTCCCCCTCAAAGGAGACAAAAAGAAGATAGGATTCCTGAAAATACGAAGCAATGCAGCTCAAGCCCAGATCCACAAACTAGAACCAAAAAGTACAAACATTTTCGTAACAAAAGCTCTCAATCAAGCTCCAGTGCTCCACTTCACCAGAAATGATAAGCTACATCCAAAAGAATAAAATCCCAGAAAGAAATTTTCTTTTTTGTTTCAAAAACAAAGAAACATTTTTGGGGGGGGGGGGTCATTCATCCACAAAGAAGAGTGCGAGCTGAACTTACTAAGTTACTGGGAGTTCTCGACCTTCAACGATGGGCTGTGAGAGCTCTAATGGAAAGGGGAGGAAGGAGGAGAAAGAAGCGGTGGGTGAGAGCGTATGAAATGGAAGTGAAGGGCGGTGAGAAAGATAGAGGCAGAGACAGAGTGATTAGTGTGAGAGGACATTGATGTTGATATAAGCGGAGCGGAAGCGGGACGTAAGAGAAACAGTTCAAACTTCAAAATTGCGAATTGCCCAAAAAAAAAAAAGAAATAATAATTTGTTTTCTCTTATTACACTCTCGAATCTGGTGTTTCCGCTATGCCCCTTTTGACTTTTCTGCCCACGACCTTCGTTCGCTGGACGCTTCTAAATTTCTGATGTTAAAAAACTAATAATTATAATAAAAAGAGAGAGAAAACGATAAAATTAAATTTGAATTTTTCCTTCCTCAGACATTCGAATTTCTTCGCACGTAAAAAGTTATAAAAAGAGAGAGGGCACTGAAGTCTTGCTTTTCAGGTTTTCCTTGGTGAAAAAAATTCTCCAGTCAAAACTTTTATGATTGAAATATAATTGTATAAAGAAATGGAAAGGATTAGTTCCAGGAATTACACGCATAATTAGCATGGAATAACATTTTCGACTTCGGTTAAATTTAGAAATGATTAAAATATTTTTACTTTATTCTTTTAAGAGGGTTTGAACTTTAAGCACGCATTTTCTTTCTTAATTTATATAGAATACAGATGAGGATCACTTCAAAAAGGAATGACTCATTTGAAAAATCTTGTAGATAAATGTGTCCGAATTACTAGATTTGAGAATTTTTCTGAGGCGTTAAGAATTGAACTTGATATCTATTAGCATACCAGCGTGGAAAATCAATTTTTCAGATTAGAAGTAAAAACGAAATTACTCTAATGATGGTCATCCTTTAATAAATTCAGACCATTTATAATTTATAAATAAAATAAACTCAGACCAACCCCCGGAAAACATGGAAATTGTAATCTCGTTGACCGAAATGTATTTTTCTCTATAGATTTCAATTAAATGCTAAAACGAAATTCATGACCAGCGTTAATGAGAATCCATATAAGTGGAAAGTGGGAAATTGCTTGACTCGCGGAGTGACCCTGCCAGAGATGGTTATGTGCATGACAATATAATTGTCATTTATTTTCCAAAAACAGATACTCTTCCAGTCTTAAATATAAGACCCTTATACTAGTGTGTATAAAGGCTTTACATTTAGGATCAGAGGAGTATAAACTATTGTAATAACTACGTAAATAGAATTGTATAAGAGGTCAACGAGGCTCCATTCTTCCCAGCGCAATTTCAAGTTTGTTTTTTTTTTTCAAGTGACATTTTATTATATGAGACTACTCATGAATAACATTAATTTCTATATTATTTTTATTCTAAAATTGAATATTTAATATCATTAAAATCTATCAAAACCTGGTAACCAACGTTTTGACAACCATGCATGTGTTTTGTTTTTTTCTCAGCGCAATTTCGTAGCTATATCGAGGAACAATGATAATTCAATAAACTTTTCCAGTATGCCAACACAATAAACCCCAAAGAGGGAATTATATTCAATCAGAATTCTCACTGTAATAATAATAATGATCCCGACACCTCACAAGAAAAGGTCAAATCACCAAGAACTTTTACCTCTTAGTAAACCGGGCAGCAGATCTAGGGAAAAGATTCAAATTTAACAACAAAAGTTCAAATTTTATTTTATAAAAATAACAATATGATTGACTAATGAGTGGAAAAAAGTACAAAAGAAAGATATATGAATTTTGAATTGATTAACATGACCCGCTACAAGCAATATATTAATAACCAATAAGATCATCTAGAAGAGATCCTTGGATTTGTAATTTTAGTTTCACTCACCGACTATTAGAACAAAATAAACTATAATTTTAAGGTTTTAATTGATGTTCATAATTCAAATGCTCACGATGACGATGTAGCATCTTGCTACTGGAGAAACGTAGTGAAAGAGGGTTGGTACACTAAACTACACTTGGGGTCCAACCCTAGGAGATTGGCCCACTAAAGCTATTGATAAATGTAACCACCACAGGCAATGGTATTGAATGAATGAGGCTGACGACTTGAAAACCGAAGAAATGGAATCCACCTATAATTCTGTGCCCACAACTTGCAAGGGTCCCAACAAAATCCACGAGGTTCAGCACCTTCGGCCGCGACAAATAGTTTAATTAAGAATCACTAACAGGTGCTCATAAACTAAAAAATATGTTTCAAAGAACCATAATGGAGACATGGACTAGGGCCAGAGCCACCATAATGGAAACTTCACTAGAACCCAACACAGTGGTCTGGTATTGTCTCACTTCCCCGCTCCCCCATGTATATAATAATAAGAATAATGAAATGGATAACAAAGGGACGAGACGCTATTTGTGCAATCTTAAAAGCTGAAGGGATTAAGTGGGGGCATTCATTGATTGACAAGATATCTCATTCCCACCTTTTCAAAATTTTAAAATCAAAGTTGGCCCAGAGATCCCACCATAATAAAACCATTTCTGACTTGGCAATCTAGCTCTCCAGGAATCTCAGACGAAGCGCGGGTGCAAAACCCTACAAAAGCCCAGGATAGGTGGCTTCTTTGCTTCAAGAGAAAAGGCCAAAGAAAAGCTCCAAAACGCTCTCTATATCAAAGAAAAAAAGTGGGCGAGATTTGAAAGCAACCCTTCTGCTCCTTCTTTTTGGAGTAAAAGCAACTTCTCAGACTTATCTTTCCAGCCCCATACAGAGAAAGTAACATCTCAGTGAATTTGAAATTTCTGAAACAGCAAGTAATGACTAATAGGGGTATAGATTATTCATTGAGCTTTTTTTCAACAATTGCTGCTTGCTTGGCCAAGAATTGAGATGCAGAATACCTACCATAGGCGCCAGAGGCTCCAATTTACTGTCGCACCGCTTCATTACTTTTCTAGATATAAAAGATAAAAGCAAACATTGACTATACCGGACACAACTCTTTCAGGCATTCAGCGCTCCAGCGGGCCATCAGCATTGCTCGTGAAAAAGGATATCAGCGTGCGGTGGATGCACATGGGACCTTCAAATCTGTACAGAAGCAGCAAAGAAAATCTCAGAATGCTAAATTGCTGTAACTCTAAACAAACTAGAGGATTGGGAGGAAAACAGAACTTACTATTATTAACCATGACTACAGGTCAGTGGTTGGAAAGACGAATTTGCAAAGGGGCTCAGTGAAAGTTTCTGCAGCTCAGCTATACGCATCAAAATCAAGATCCGAGCCAATGCTCCAGTCCAGTTGAACCAAACGTCTGGTCTGAACATATAATCTCTAATTCTCCTCACTGCTCATCAATACTGTCCTATTCGACAAATTAGAAAACTACGAATATTTAAGAGTAGGGCACTGTCACTTGGATGCAGGAAAAGAACCACTTGAAGCTAACTAATGCCTCTGGATTTCGCATTATTTTGATTGTCTTCCCTGTCTTGACAACAGAAATTAATAATAAAAAACATTAATTGTAACATTACTCCAAACCTCCGCATCATCACTATTGGGATCAAATAGTTTACACATGGAATTATAGCATTTGGAGTTTTGTATATGATAGATAAACCAAGGAGTAAGCATTATAAAGCCGTTCATAACATGGAAAGGGAAAAAAAAATTACATTACACATAAATGCGCATTTAGTCATTTACATTCTAAATCATCGTACAATTTAGTACGACAAATGACCTGGGGTGATGCTTCAGGCGAGCGCTCACAAAAATATTTCCATGTCGCCTCCAACTCAAATAACCTACTCAATTAAACATATGGTGCTTCGAGGCTAAGCATCACAAGGTGCAGCTTGGTTTTTTCTGGCTTGCCCTGGCTTGTTACTTCTTCCACTGTGGAATCCTTTGAACAACAACCTGACAACTCATTGCAACGACATAAATCAGCAAGCATCTGTTTTTGAAGCCAGTTACGACATAACCAGGCCTTCAATATCGTTATACCTCATTTTTTTAGGACAGCCACAAAAATCAGTAGGGGTGTCCCCAGTCAATAATTAGATTTGTTTGCTTTAAGATGACAAAGAGTACGAAAATTGACTTCAGGCATATTATATGTGTCCACCTACAGACTTAACCTATTGATAAAGATGTTACTGTTGATTTTAGTCGATTATGATATAGTATTAGTCTACTGAAATTAAAAATAAGATAGCGTTATGTGACTTTTTAAAAATGATATCCAATCAGTGTAGACTTACTAAATAATCAAAAAGGAGGGGGAAAAAAATACTTTTATCGCGGATACAATCCTGAAATGTTCTGCACTACTAATACTTCAAGCAAAACACATCCTCCACGGAACACTCATAACGACACAAACATGAAAGATAACTATACACAAAGAACCATCATTTTTTAAGAACTACCTTGCCGGAATTCTCTTTGTTTCCAACAATTGTTTGACAAGCCAGCCTCCAGGATTCGGGTTTCTGTAGCCACAAGTAAAATACATAGCTAATTTTAACAAATAAATCATACTATTAGAACCATAGAGATGTCTGTCTCTGCGTGTGCAAGGGACAGGGGTAGAGACAGAACATGCCTTTTTAAAATACCGAAGTTCAGTATTTGTTCTTTCATTTAAAAGATCCGTTCCATCAATAATCTGCAATAGAAGAAAAAATAATAAAAATAATGTTTCTTAAAAGTAGATACTCGTGTGATGGAGACATCGTATGGATAGATAGTTCAGTAAAATTTGAACACTACTCAGAATTGAAAAGCCCATTGTAAATATAAATACAAAACCTATCGAAAAAAATGATATTTAGAAATCATCTTAACATCTAGGATATTTCGTGTATGAATTTCGTTTACTGATGTCATTTCAAACAAGCAACATATTAGAATTCATAAAATAAAAAATCAATCTCAGAGATTCCAAATATTTTTTATTGCACTATCACTATCAATCAATCAAACAGAAGAAAGCAAGTATGTATAATAAGACGCAAGAGGCGCACAATGACATGCCTTCTAGCTTTTTCCATGAGATGTCGATAAAATACTATTAATTTAGAGAGCTTCAGATCCACAAAATCCAATTTTCAAGCGGAATTTAATTCGAAAAATCAATAACCTTCACCCTTTTAAATTATAAGCTATGGGAGGCATTGGCCAGTACTACCAGAATTTCACAATGTGGCTCCAATTAAAAGCGCTAGTTATGTACCTCTACTATGCATGTTCCGCAGCTACCACCTCCCCCACAGTTCATCACCTTCCCCTGTTGAGACAGTGAAAAACCGGTTCGCAATCATGAAAAACACCAAAATACATAAACCCGTAAAAGAGCACTCATTATTAAGCAAGCATGATTAGTTGTGATTCAGGGAAAAAGGAAAAAGAATCATTGAAGCATGTAATCGATTTGACAAGGCCGTGCACACATAAAAGCTTATCCCAGCTGTAAATTTTACGAGTCTGTTGCATAAATTGATTTGTGAACTAAACCACGTTTATTCAAGAATTTTTCGAAATGCAAAATTGCATTGCCATGTGCGGGATGTGGAAATGATTAAAAGACGCTAAAACGACGTCGAACCGACATAATGACATATTGATACTTACATACGTGGCATAAAGCTCGATCTTGTTATCCAGCATGATGTTCCTCAGCAGCTTCTCTCCACTAATTGCCTTAGCTTTGTCTACAGGATACGATCCATCACTTCCCGGCTTCGGCTGCCAAATTTAATCTTCACTTGCTTATTCTTAAGGATCTAAATACAACTAAAAACACAAGCCCTCTCACGTTCTACAATTCAGCATTATTTTAGAATAAAGATGCATCAATTTCTAGATGATAATATAAATTGGTACCCCAATGAATTCGAGCTCGATCTCAGGCTTCTCGATCGGAGTTCCCGAGGGACTGCCGGCGCACAGGACTGAGCGGGGCCGCCGGCGGGGGTAATAGCTTATTAGATTCTGAGAGGTTCGGACACCTGCAGGCAATTCAGGTGAACGATGCGAAATGGCTGAGAGTATGTTAATGGAAGCCATTGTTGTTAAGTTTCCGTTGCTTCGAGCCCACGCTTTCCCCTTACGGGTTTCGACTCTCGCTACCTGTCCCGCGTCGACTTGTTTGGGTTCCCGCACTCTTATCTCATTCTCCGGTTTTGCTGGAAGCTTCGCTCCATAGATCCCCTCTTCTAGCAAATACCAAAACGACGCGTCGTTGAGAGATCATGAACCCTTTTTTAATCTTTGTGCACGTAAAAACAAGAAGTGGACTGAAAATATACTAATCTCTTTTGCAGTATTTTCTCTTTCAGGAGATAAAATTAGCCTATGATTGTTTTTATTTGGAGGTGTCAAGGACCTTTTTTAACATAAAAAGTTGTTTTTAGTCTATTTTTTTAAAATTTCATTTCGGTCTGCTTTGCCCAAAAAATTATCATAAATTCCAGACAAGTTAAGATTTCAGATCAGTGCTTCATTTTTAAAACTCATTCAGGATCTAAAATGACTTCAAAATTTGTTGGAAGAATTTGAGAATCTTGAATTTATCAAATGAATTTTTGGAAGATTTTTTTCCCTTTGTATTTGAAAATAATTATATTCAAGACACTATCCAAATTAATTGTACATATCTCTTTCAACGAGTATTTGAATATTGATGCTTCATATTGTGAGGGATTAATTTCTTTTGTTAGACCAAATCTTATTGATACTTTTTTATAAGCATAATTATCTTCCTATTAAAGATTCGAGACATCATCAGATACTAAATGTAAGTACCTCTCTGAATGTGAATTGAAATATTGATTTTCACATTATCAAAGACTAACTCTTTTTATTATACCTACTTTCTCTTCATTATTAATATTTTTGGAAGGATTGATAGAATTTAAATGCATGCTCATTTGCTCGGGGGAAAAAAAACAAACTTCCTTGCCGACTTGTAGGCCCTATACATAACGAGTCGCCTTTGCATCGATGTCCTGTGTGAGAAAATAGGTATGGGCGAAGCCCGTACAAGCTGGCCTGCCGATTTCTCACTCACCTATATCTTATGAGGAACCTGCACAGATTACCATATCATTCCGTACTGTTTTCGTTATGGTTTTTACATTCCAAATTACTTTCTAAATTTTGCTGACTAAGATAAAAATAAAAAAAAAGGTTAGTGAATGCAAAATTTACCACATAAAAAGTTTGAATTTACAACTTCACTTTTAAGAAAATCTTAAGAAACATGTCTGATAAGCAAAATCCAGTCACTTATAAATAGAAAAATTTACCTAACATTTAACGTCAAATCCAATTTTTATTTCAATTAGTTAACAGTATCTAAGATAAACATATTGTTAGACGAGGAAATCCGCTACATAAAGATAACATTTAAAAAAAAAAAAAAAGCATGCAGATCAGCATAATTAGCGGACGGTGGATTGGGATCATTTAAAATGTACAAAGCTAGTAAACAGTGTGGTTTGTTCTTAGCATACTATTACTTCTGTCCTTAATACAAGACATAATTATTGAGTTGATTTTGGTTCTAAATATAAGACTTATTTATTATATTTATCAATTTTTTTAAATTACCCTTATAGATACTCCCTCAACCATAATCAAGTAAAAAAAAGAGAGGAGGTATTAAGAAAGATGATTACGGTGTTTTAGGAAAAAGGTATCATATTTCTTATAATTCACTAACTTATCTAACTTTTTTAATCTAATCATACTAGTTAAAGAGGTCTTATATTAAGGACCGGAGGAGTATATTTATAATATTATTTTTGGTCTTAGTTAACTAATTTGAGGAGATTAAGAAAAAAATTAAGTTAGTTATTTGTAATAAACAAGTATCGTCTTTCTTAATCTATTCTTACTAATCAAGTATATTAATTAAAACTATCATTAATAAAAGAACTATATTAAAAATATATATAAATATAAGAGATAAAATAATTTGATACTACTATATTTATGATCAAAATAAAAATTAAATATTAGATTAATGTCAATTATATTTTTTACCGCAATGTTAATGATTGATCTCCTGCTTCCAGCCTAATAAACAATTGAGGAAAAAGACAACAGGGGGGAAGGGGGGAGAGAGAGAGAGAGACAGACATGCGCCTATTTAGTTGAGCAGAGGAGTACAGTAGCCTAGAGAACCTTTTGCTTTTTATTGCTTTCTCATTCTCTCTCTCACATAAAAGGATTCTGATTCCTCTGTTTATCTTTTCTGGAGATCGTGCTCTTCTCTGCTTACATCTCTCTCTCTCTCTCTCTCTCTGCGTGTTGAGCGGAAGCAGCAATGGAGGGCGAGAAGGCCGCGCTACAGTCGTGCTGGTAATGGCTCAGCATAACAATGGCAACAACAGTGCGAGCCAACAGTTAGTGAAGCCTGTCTTCCATGATTTTCTGGGCTCGAAGCCCCATGATTCCCTTGTCGTTTTGGCCCCCAAAACCGCCAACGTGAGGCTGTCCGAGGCCTCGCCGTCCTCCACATCGGTGTCTGTTGCCGCCTCTTCTGCCGGTGGCCGTGGTCCCTTCTCAACCACATCCGACATCGGCTCTGGTGAGTGAGTCTCCCATGTGTTTTTAAATCTTCAGTTATTGCAGTTTAAATGGAAAAAGTAAACTTTTTTTGGTACCATATACTGCTATCCTTCCAGCATTTGGGTGGGCAGGGTTCAGAATTTTTTGTGGGAAGACCTGATTTTTTGTGTTTGTCTGTTGATTCTCATTCACTGTGTGTTCTTGCCATCCGTTTCTTCTCTCTTTCTCGCTTCTTCATAGCGTGGAATCTTTCTGATGGACTGATCTTAGTGAGGTCAGAAATGGAGTGGATTGGTTAGGTAATTTGTCAGGTCATCCTTTCCTGTACAGTATATTTGCATGCTATAATTTGTTTTAACATTTTTTCCCAAGTTGTTTTTATTATTCCCTCGAGCATTTGTCTAGTGTCAGCAAGAGCATTTTGTGGAAGGTTTTGTAAATTCAAGGTTTCTTTGTTCATAATTTAACTTTGCAATATATTGTTTGTTTTGGTTTTCTGCTTTCAAATACATGTGGAGAAAAGAACTGAATGCGTGCTTAGACAATACCAAGTTTTGAAACTCGAACTACAAAAATTATTCGGCATACTACCGTGTTTACCAACACCTGTGAATTGGGTGATGATGATATTTATTATTCGTCCTCGCATAATTATTGTATTGTTGTTATTATTTATTTTGATATTTCATAAATCAAAATGGGAGATTCTCAGTCCTTATCTTTTTTTTTTTTTTTTTTAACATCGAAATATATATGGCAAGCTTCTGTGGTCCTTTTTGGGTATTTTAGTTCTGAAAGAGTATGATGTTTTCTCCTCATCGATTTACTAGAAAGACAGGTAGGAAATCATCTCGAGGGAGTTCCATTTTATGCAAGGAACAAAAAACCGGACCGGGAACTCAACCGGTCCAGGTAGTGGGTTAAGGGTCACTGGTTAGACCGTGGTCGAACCGGGGTCGGACCGGTCATAATAAAATAATATAATTTAATTCACAAAATCAGTTAGGCACCTAAAGTTTGGATTAAATCTATTCCAGAATATATAATTTACAATCAAAATATCCATCACCAATCCACAACTAAACAAAAGGAATTAAATTATATATGTGAAGATCAACATCAGCACAACAGCAAAAACTAAGCTCACAGTATAATCAAAATTATAATGCAGAAGTACAGAACGATAGCTTCTCTTCTGTACAAAATTAATATCAAGTCAATCAACGACTATGGATCTTAAATCTCGCTCTCCTCCCTTCTCAAATCTCACAGCTATGGATCAAGTCAAACAACACTCTCCTCCCTTATCAAATCTGAAATCTCACGACAGCAGTCACAGGGTCATAGCACAGAGAGAAGCAGCTCTTCGATCTTAAAAAAAACAACCCAACTAAAAAGGAAAGGTATTGAGCTTACCCACAAGGCTAGAGCTCAATGCCTGAATCGAAGGTTGAAGCAGGACGTCCGTGAATGATGAAGGTGAAGCAGGATGGACTATGGAGACTCATGACTTGCGATGGGAGCTGTGAGGGCGAACGGTGAAGGCGAAGTCGAGCTACAAATCTGAAGCAATGTGAGCGGCGAAGGTGAACGGCGAAGGCGAAGGTGAAGGCGACCGGCGAAGGCGAAGTAGAGCTGCGAATGCGAAGCAATGTGAGCGGCGAACGGAGCCAAAGAGGAAGGAGTGCCATTGTCAGTGATGAGGCGACGCCATAGATCCGATTTTGTTGGGGTTCACGGCACGAATCTGGGACTTGGAGGAGGGGGAAGAGATCTCAGCGATTTGGTCACAAATGGCCAAATGGGGAGGACTGGAGGAGGACCGGCAGCTTGAGTCGAGATTGGCACCCTAGGGAGGGACAAAGAGTTTTCATTCTGGTTTTTTTTGGACAAAACGACGTCGTTTTCTGTGGCTAGGCAACCAAAAAAAAAAACATGTGAACCGCCCAACCGGTTTTTCCCGGTTCAACACCGGTTTTTACCGGTTGGACCGGTTCCCCACCGGTTCAAACCACCTCCGGTTTTTTCTTCAAACCAGACCGGACTAGCGACCGGTTCACCGGTTTTCCGGTTGAACCGGCCGGTCCGGTCCGGTTTTTTTTACCTTGATTTTATGGACCCAGGAGTGATTTTTCTGACACTGGGTTGAGCAACAGGCTAATAGGAAACAAGAGAAGTAGTTCCGAGTCCGCTTTCATGGGATCCTCCAGAGATGCCTTCCAAGTGGTCCCTGACTCCATTCAAAACTCACATTTGATGAAAGTATGATATATGACAATTTTTCTTCTCCTACATTCACAATAGCCGCCAATAACTTTCCCGTTTTTTATTCTTTGATACCGAGCCGTGTTTATGTTTAGATGTTCCGGAGTACAGCGGGAGGAGAGCTTCACAGAAGGTCTAATGATGATGAAGTTTTTCTTGGCATGCAGTCACTGAAGCCAACGTCAGCTTCTCAGATATTTCAGCCTCTTGCTGGAACTAAGTTTGATTCCAATAGATGGGAACGGTCTGTTGTTATGAATGCTGGCCCGTCTATGCAGCATCCACCACGTGGGGCTCAATTAACACCTTTTGCACACCAAATAGCTTCAAACAAGGTCAGGGAGACCAATATTGGTCCTTCATTTATCTCTCAGTCAGCTGCTGATGAAGGATCTAGAACTGGAATGAAAGGCCCTGGAATTTTGAGCTCTATAAACATCACAACTGCTGCGCCTGAGAAAACTCCTTCTGCTGTGGTGCTTGGTGGAGGCAGGCCAAAGCCTGTGATGAATATAATAGATTTAGAATCATCCACTCCTCCGAGGTAAATATGGTGAATACACTTGTCCCGTTTATGTTTCATGATGCTATTTATTTTCAACTTCTTGACTGTGTGAAAAGAAGACTGATTATTTGTAACTTTTATTGACTACAGCCAACATGAGTCAAGATCTGCCAGCTGCCAGATGACCATATTCTATGGAGGTCAAGCTCATGTGTTTGATAATGTCCACCCGAATAAGGTCCGATCCTTGATTATTAGTGGCGGTATTATTCTACTGTGTTTAATGTTCTTAGGCCTAAAATTGGTCTGTATATATGTGAACTGTTGCAGGAAAGTATTTCTGGTTTTAATGGTTTACTCTTGAATTTATTTCCATGATTGTCGTTCCTCATGATGAAACTGTTGAGGCAACAACTTTTGCAGATCCCCATTGCGTGAAACGTTTAAACTCAGTTCAGTGATTCTGATTTAATTGGAAAAGATGTCTGGCCTTGATATTATAAGTTCTTTCTGTAGATGTGATGTTATTGGTGCAATAATCTACTACGGCCTGCAGAATCTGGTGTGTATGTTGAATTTGTAACCGTTGCTGAAAAAAGGGTAACTATTTGCATAAAATGCTCATTGACCTGGTGAAAGTCACTGTTGAAGATTACCTATTGGCAGTTACTAGTACAATTATTATACTTTTTAATTTTATCCATGTTTATATCTAGCGTAGGTAACAAGAATATATACTTTAATTTTTATGCAGAAAGTAATATATGCTTGGTGCATTTTGTTGTTTAATTCATGGCGTGTGGTAAGCAAGTGGTTTGTAGTGTTAAATCCTACTAATCTGCACCTAGTGGCGTTTTTGTGCATGAAAGTGATTGCCAAAACTCTCTGTCACCTGATTCAACTTCAGATAAGGAATTTGGATCTTACTTCAAAATGAGTGGAATATAGGTACTGGCAGTAAAATATTATGTTGGACTGCCACTCACATTCCAAGGACGAATTGAAGCCTTTTTTTCGTTTTTTAGTGGAAAGGAATTGAAGCTTCTGTTGTGGTAATACTCAGTACAAAAGATTGATGAGCATGCTATATACTCCTTATCCTAATTGTTTGCGTTTCTATATTTCAATTTGGTTGGTACCTGACAAGTTTGGTTTGGAATCAGGTTTCTTTTCCATGTTGGTTTGCAGGATTTCTCTTCTACCAGCTTTTCTGTGGAGAGACTTGATAGTATCAAGGATGTTTTTTGTGCTTTTGTCTTTTTGTGTGTCTTGATTCACATTTTTGTCGTTAACTTCAATCTATTTACTGATTTGATAGTAGCTAATTTCCTGGAATGCCATGTCTCGGTGTTTATTTTTCACCCGCGGGCATTTACATTTTTGAACCATGCTTTTGGCATTCATCAAAAGGCTAGAGCGAAAAATGACATAGGCTGTACAGCATATGTGGCTTAGAATTATACAAGACAAACTAGAAGTTAACAGTAACTGCTATGTTCTCTGTCAAGAATCAAGACGTGTTGATGCTGAGCATAGTTTTGTTCCTCATCGTCTTGAACTTTTCTGCAACATCAGTATCAGACAATCTGGTCATTTATATTGCGTTCAAAGATGATAGTGATGTTTTGCGTAATTTTGTGCTGCTTCTTTCTAGAGATTGTATTCTACAAGTCTCTATATGAATATTGCAAACAGGCAATTACAATTTACTAGGTACTTGTGGCAAACATTTTACACTCAATCCCGTCTAATTTTGCTCCATACTCTGTTTCCGTTCATGATTATTCATTTGACTTTGACTTTGCATGCACACATGTATGATTGCGTTAATGTGGGTTTATGCGTGTGCATGTGTGTGCGCGTCTGGCTGGGCGCGCGATATAGCTATGGCCACTGATGCAGACGGATGTTGTTTGCAGGCAGATGTTATAATGAGCTTAGCAGGGTCAAATGGAGGAAGTTGGTCCACAAGCACATGCTCGTCCAAGCCTCCTGTGAAACAGCTGGTTCATGATACTGCAGAAACTCAAACTGGGAAGCTTCATGCCATTCCCTCTGCTGATCGCTTCACTACTGCACCACCAGCACCAGCACCAGGTATTCATTCCTCAACTACAATTAAATCTGATATGACCCTTGATTTATTTTCTTCAATTGATTACGGAATAATGTGAACCTGGTTGATTTTAGGGCGACCTCAAGCAAGTGTTGCTGCTAAAGAAGATACGAGAAAAAACCCAGTTGAAGTACCGGAGCTAGATCCCATTTCGCAAGAGAAGAGAGCCGAATGATGGATTTGGTTGATTGGTTTTGGATCTGTCTGATTAAAAACAAGTCTCTTCTCTCACTGTTATGATTATTCCTATCATCATGAGCTTCATTCTCATCCTCATCATATCAAATGTTTAAACAAGTCCACCAGGAATATTCAATGAATGTGTGCAAGTGCCTTAGAATTGTTGGATTATGACTTTTAGTATTAAAACTGGTGATGCCCAAAGGAAAGAATTCACATATCTAACCAAAGAAAGCGTAGTGTCGTTCATAATTCATAGCTCTGGCCTGACAATATGTGTAAATGCAGATAATTTCTTTTGGAGGATTATCATAAATTAGGCTTGGTGATGTTCAAATTTGATTCAGTGATGCTGAATCTCGTATAACTAAACAAAAAATAGTAATAATGAAGAAGATATTTATTTCTGCAGTTAAAGAACCATGAAAATACTTCTCTCTATCTTACAAGAGCTTGATCCAGCGCCTTAGTTAATTAGATTTCCCTATAGAAAATAAGCTTAATAACCACATCCTGATGGTGCCAACGGGTGGGGATCACAATTATTGGATCTTCCTGGGACGAAGCTAAATGAAAAACTATATAAGCCACCACATGTTAAACACACAACACATAATTTTTCATGTTATTAAACGCCATTAACAAAATCTTTCGGAAATATGGGTTACATGACTGGGCCAGAAAAGGCTCATTTTTATGAGTCGATTTTTAATTTTCAACCCAATTATTTGGGAAAATATGAGTTATCTAAGCTAACTCATAACTTATCCATATCCCTGGCTCTAATCACTATTGCAGATGTAAGGGCGTATTGCCGTAAACGCCTTGCTGGGCACACAACAAGACCGTGCTTATTTATATATAGTGTGGCAAAAATAATAAATATGAATTTTCTTGATTTGCATGTGATTAATATTTTAAAAATTACCATGTATCCGATGAATTTGCACCGGCTTTCCTCGAATTCTTTGAACAGTGATATGCGTGTATAGATAGTTCAGAAAATTGCTCATGAATAATGCTGAACGAAGAAATGTATAATGATCAAAGTCCTTCTTTTTTTTTTTTTTCAATTTACACAATGATTATATATATTAATTGAGTGAATTATGTACCTTTGAAAGAAAATCTCATAGATAATGTACCAAGTTTAGTGTAGTTTTTTTATACACTGTACCAGGGAATAAATGACGCAATTCAATTAAATCCTAGAATGATATGATGCATGAACTGTAATTGGTACATGCAACATTAATTCAACTGTACATGTTATCGTATGAATAATAACATGTACATCTTGAAAAATCTCAGATAAATGTACCTAAAATAATGAAATTCATTGCTATTATAACTGGAACTTCTATTTTTCTTTTTTTCTTTTTTTGGAATTACTAAAGCACGGGAATATTCCTGAAAAAGGTTCTTGAAAATGGCCGGAGCTCTCTCTGGTGAAGCAGCCAAAATGATGCCCATAGACTTCTCTTCAGTAGAGAGCTTACCAGATTCTCACACATGGTGGCCAAACGGATGCTCCGACATCATTCACGGGTCGATATCCATACCGGTGGTGGACCTGACGGATCCGAATGCCATGGAATCAATAAGGCTTGCATGCGAGGAATGGGGTATTTTCCAACTGAAAAACCATGGAATACCCTTATCTCTACTGAAGCAGGTGGACGACGAGATCAAGCACCTCTTCTCTCTCCCATCTGAGCAAAAGCTGAAAGCCTTACGACGTCGTCCCGGCACGACCGGGTACGGCCCGGCTGCCATATCACCGTTCTTCCCCAAGTCCATGTGGCACGAAGGGTTCGTCATTGTCGGTTCGTCCTACGACGAAGCCAAAAAAGTTCTGCCCGGTCATCATGAGCTTGCACGTTTTTGGTATATATCCGTTTGTTCTCTGTGTGTGACATACCCATCACAGATACATATAACTAGTGATTATTTTTGTGGACACTTGCAGTGAAACAATGGAAGAAATTCAGAAGCAATTGAAGATAGTAGCGGAGAAGGTGACGGGTGTAATACTGGAGATATTGGGGGTACGTGATGAAGAGAAGAAATGGATTAAGGGCGATAACGTTGCATTTCGGATGAACTCGTATCCGAGTTGTCCAGAGCCGGATCGAGCCCTAGGTTTGGCTGAGCACAAAGACACTTCCATAATCACGTTCCTGCACCAAACACAAGTGAAAAATCGGACCCGGAGCGAGATCCAAACCCAGGACCAAACCAGAGGGCTCCAGATTTTCAAGGATGGAATTGGGTGGGTCCCGGTTCACCCGGACCCAGATGTGTTTGTGGTGCAGGTGGGTGACATCCTTGAGATACTGTCCAATGGGAGGTTCGGTTCGGTGCTGCATCGGGTCACAGTGAGCGGGTCGGCTCATCGATATTCGTATGCATATTTCCACAGGCCCTCATCTGAAGCTCTTCTTTCTCCTTTCGTATCTCCGCCTCGTTTTCGAGCTCTCACTTTGAAGGAACTTGATGCTCTCAAGGTCAAGGGTCGAGCCAATGCAATGCCTTCCATCTCCATTTAATTACTGTTCCGTTTCTGTTGTGAAAAGTGATAAATTCTCATTTGTGTTGTGCAAGTGATGAATTCTCACTTTTTATTTTTTTAACTTCCTGGAATAAAAGTGCTTTTAGTGAATCAAGTGAAAGAATTCCATTTTTTTCCATAATTTTTAATTTTCACTCTTTACTTGTCCCTACCAAGTGACTAACCCTTTAGATTTGAATAGATATTTTTTTTTAACAAAAATAGATCGAATAACTCCCACCCTTCATGGTCAAGGGATGTTTAATTTTTTGAATATCAAAATTCAAAATACAGAAAAAAAAGAGAGAGAGAATGAAATAAGATTTGATCAACTAATCATATAGATAGCCGTCCATATTAAATTTAAATAGTTAAAATTTGATGAGTATTGATGAATTCCAAATCTTCATGACTTCTTTTGATAGTCAAACATTAAGCAAAGGGCGGATGGAATATTATCGGTTCTGTTTATGATGATGCTAAGAAAGTATTTCCGAGTGAACATGCACGATTTGGCAGTATCATATTATTCATATGTAGTCCATGAGAAATTGAAGATGTCAGAATTGTTCACCTCGGCCAACGTAGAGGAAAAACAAAAGAAAAGAAAAACTGAAGATGATAGCAGCGGGCAGCAATTCCGATGAGGTAATGCGTTGTTGACCAAAAAATGATCAGCTAATACGTTTACCTCTAATTATCTTCTACAACTGTACATGTACTCTCACTTTAACAACTAAAATATGGGTTATTTGGGCATCCCCATATAACTTTTTCAGTTTTGACATACTTTAACTGTTAATTGTAAACGTGACTACGTCCACGACAACTCGTATTTAAATAATTATGAATTTCCTTGATTTGCAAACAACTTATATTTTAAAACTTATCATGAATCCAATGCATTTGCACCGGCTTTCTTCTGATTCTTTGAACAGAGAGATGTGAGTTTCTAGATAGTTCAGAAAATGACTCATGCATAATGGTGAATAAAGAAATATATAATGACCAAATTAAAGTTTCTTTTCAATGTGTATGCATATATACTAGTTGAGTGAGTTATATACTGTACGTTGAAAAAAAAAACCTCATTAATAATATACCTAAAATGAATGCAACTCATCCTATTCGTACTGTACGAAAAAGAGTACGTCAATTCAGTAATATCTAAAATGGCACGATGCAAACTAACAGGAGTTGGGTCTAGCAGAAGGGGCTAGTCTATCACAACGTCGTGAATTAAGGTTCGAATCTCTGTTAGAAGAAGTGCCCACATTTAGTGCTTGACAGTACATCAAATAGAATTGTCTCCAATAAAATGATACCAGGCCAATACTTTAACAAAAGTAAAATAAAATGGCACGATGCATGTGCATTGGAATTGGTACATGCAGTATATGAATTTGATCTCCTATATATTAATCGCGTGAATAACATACATTTTGAAAAATTACATATATAAATTAAACGTGCCTAAAATTACGTAAGTCATGGTTTCCATAAAACTTATATTTAGAAGAATTATAGAGTACATATGTGTGCATGGTATAGGATAGGACGTTCTAATAGGTAAGTTCTATCTGGCAACCCATTTGCCCCGGTCGCCTTTTTGGGAATAGGCCAATTAGGACTTAGACACGTGTAGCGTTCATACACATGCCACCTGTCCATTTCTCAATTGTTGGTCCAGCAGAGTAACTGATTGTTTGTGTATATACACCAGTCAAATGTATCTGATATGATGCATGTATGTAATTAATTATACTAAATCTGTGTAGTAATGAATATATATTAGGTGGAATTTACTAGAGAGATGAATCCAATGTCCACCTTGTAAGTCTATAAATACTCTTTAACTATTCTGAGCATTCCAACAGTTGAGTTGAATCCAGAATTCCTGAAACCTTAAAACCCAAGGTTGTTGAAGATGGCAGGAGCTCTCTCTGGTGAAGCAGCCAAGGACATTCCCATCGACTTTTCTTCAACACAGAGCTTACCTGATTCTCACACATGGTGGTCAAATGGATGCTCCGACATCATCGACGGGTCGGTATCCGTGCCGGTGGTGAACCTCAACGATCCAAATGCCAAGGAGACGATAAAGCTTGCATGTCAGGAATGGGGTATTTTCCAACTGAAGAACCATGGAATACCCTTATCTCTACTGAAGGAGGTGGACGATGAGATTCAACGGTTCTTCTCTCTCCCAACCGAGCAAAAGGCCAAAGCCCTAAGGCCTCCGGGAGGCTCCGCCGGGTACGGCTCTGCTTACATCTCGCCGTTCTTCCCCAAAGTCATGTGGCACGAAGGCTTTACCATTAACCGTTCTTGCTACGACGAAGCGAAGAAAGTTTTGCCTGATCATGATCTTGCTCGTTTCTGGTATATATATGCCTGTTCTCTGTGTGGAATATATTATACTGTTTTTCTGCCTATAAGTATTGATACTTTTGTGGACTTGCAGTGAAACAATGGAAGAAATTCAGAAGCAACTGAAGAGAGTAACAGAGAAGGTGACAGGTGTAATATTGGAGTTACTGGAGGTGCGTGATGAAGAGAAGAAATGGGTTAAGAGCGATAACGTTACATTACAAATGAACTTGTATCCGAGATGTCCAGAGCCAGATCGGGCCATAGGTTTTGCTCAGCACAAAGACACCTCCATAGTCACATTTCTGCACCAAACCCAAGTGGAAACCCAGACCAGGAGCGAGATCCCGACCAAGGACCAAACCAGTGGGCTCCAGATTTTCAAAGAAGGAATCGGGTGGGTTCCAGTTCGCCCTGATCCAGACATGTTTGTGGTGCAGATTGGTGACATCCTGGAGATTCTGTCCAATGGAAGGTGCCCTTCGGTGCTCCATCGGGTCACAGTGAGCGGGTCAGCTAATCGATATTCGTATGCGTTTTTCCATAGGCCCTCAGCTGAAGCTCTTCTCTCTCCTTTCAAATCTCCTCCTCGTTTTCGAGCTCTCACTTTGAAGGAATATGACGCCCTCAAGGCCAAGGATCGACACAATGCATTGGCTTCCATCTCCATTTGATTGATAATGTTCGGTTTCTGCAACGGAGAGAGGGATGAACTCTCACCATGTTATGATGCAAGAAATAATGCATGTTTCTCTTTGTTATGATGATAATAATAAATTTTTTACTCATCATAATTATATATTCCTCCGGTCCTTAATATAAGACTCATTTAACTAATTTGATTAGATTAAAGAAGTTAGGTGAGTTAGTTAATTATAAGAAATGTGACACGTTTTTCCTAAAATACCATAATCATCTTTCTTAATACTCCTCCGGTCCTTATTATAAGACCTAATTTGACTTTTTATTTGGTCCTAATTATAAGACCCAATCCATTTTGTCTCTTATATTTATGCATTTTTTTTCAAGATAATCCTTCTAATAATGATAGTTTTAGCCAATATACTTAATTAGTAAGGATATTTTAGGAATGACAACACTTATTTATTATAAATAACCAACTTAACTTACTTCCTTAATCTCCTCAAATAAATCAATTGGGTCTTATAATTAGGACCGGAGGAGTACCATTTTTCCTCTTCTACTTGATTATGGTTGAGGGAGTATCCATAGGGATAATTTAGAGAAAATTGATAAATATGAGAGATGAGTCTTATATTTAGAACTAAAACCAACTTAATAATTAGGTCCTATAATAAGGATCGGAGGAGTAGTTTATAATTAAATAATAGAGGGATGATGAATTAATCCAACCCCTCGTCTATAAATACGCCAAAAGTATTATGACTATTCCAACTTGTTTCAATATTTTCTTGAAAATGGCCGGAGCTTTGCCTGCAGAAAGCAGCAGCCAAAAATATGCCCGCAGACTTCTCTTCGGTGGGGAGCTTGCCAGATTCTCACACATGGTGGCCAAATGGATGCTCGGACGAAATTGACGGGTCGGTATCCATAGCGGTGGTGGATCTGAAGGATCCGAACGCGATGGAAGCAGTAAGGGTTGCATGTGAGGAGTGGGGTATTGTCCTGTACTGAAAAACCATGGAATACCCTGATCCCTGTTCAACCATGTGGACGATGAGGTCAAGCACCTTTTCTCTTTCCCATCTGAGCAAAAGCTGAAAGCCTTAAGACGACCGGCGCGTAACATCACCACCGGGTACGGCACGGCTTACATATCGTCGTACTACCCCAAGTCCATGTGGCACGAAGGCTTCACCATTCTCGGATCTTCCAACGACGATGTTAAGAAAGTTTTGCCTGAACATGATGGTTATGTTTCCTGTTTTGTCACTTGTGTATGTTTGATGGATCAAGTGATTAGTAATCATATGCATTTGTATGCAGCGAAAAAAGTGGAACAAGTTGAGACGAAAATGAAGGCACTACTAGCAAATGATCTGGCGGAGAGAATAGTGAATTTGATGGGGATATATATATACATACAGACACACACACATATTTCTAATGATGATGAGAAGGAATTGGATAGTATGTGAGGAAGGCGCCTCATCACGTACTTCAAATAAACTCATACCCGTATTGTCCAAATCCGGGCCGGGGCATGGGTTTGGCTCCGCACAACACAACGGCCCCAGCTCAAACGGAAACCCTAATTAAACAATGGACTGCTGGAAGTGTTCAAACAAGGGACAGGGGGTGGGTGGGTCCCACTGAATGCTGACTTAGATAGCTAGATGCGCTCCTCGTACTCTCATTTCCAAAGTGTGCCGCCTGAGTTCCTGCTTGCTCCTCGCGGCTCTGTTCCTCGTCTTCGCAGAGTCCTCATGTACGAAGGAGCATATTGATATGAAGGTCATCAGAAAAATGAAGGAAAATTATAATGACCATTCATTTATTTCTCCTATATATATATATCTTCAGCTGCTAATTTTAATTTAAATTGCCCCCGCACCTACCCCCTTCCCATCCTCCCTTCTCTTGCCCCCTGGAAAAAAGTCGTTACGTAATAGTACAGTCAAAGACGCTTTGCCCCCGCAGCTTTTTTTTTTTTTTTTTTTCATGTTCACTCCGCTTCTTTTTATAAAGCGTCAGATTTGAGAAGAGACGTAAATTATTTTATAAACTTTAATTTGTGTTTATCTTAATATTTAATTTTTTTTTATGCTGCCCTTCATCATTTTCTCATTGCATCTCCCAACATATTCTTTTTATTCTTTTTCTTATTTATTATAAAGACAAATTTAAAAATAAAAATATATTTCTAATAACTTATTTATTATTTTTAAATAATGGCTTGTTACAATATATTCGTTATTTTAAAGTTTACAACAAAGGACAAGATAAAGTAAATTTTAAGGGGATCCATTTTCCTGTTAGAACAAAATTCAGACACTTAAGTATGTTGGTCTCATAGATGCCTTGGAAATCTAAATATATAGCTCGCCCCACTCTCACGATATTTAAAGATGATTAGCAAACTCCATCATCAATACCAGTTAAGAGCTGAAAATATAACAATGATGCAAAACACAGATGTAGAAATCTCCAAAGTATATATTGATAACTAATAATTGGAACAGGCATTCGACCACGACAAATGCAACATTAGAAGGAAAAAAAAAAACCTTAGCATCTAAAATTACATAGAAGATAGGATACACTAAAAAGCCAAAAAGAAAAAAAGAAAAAAAAGACGGGTAATGGGTGATTGAGACACGTGTGATCAACAGTGGTAAGACCTATTCCCGAATTGCAAGCATTACAACGCACAATACACAAGATAAGGTTATTTCCAAAGCTTGACGAACTTGTCATGGCTAGCGGAAGCAACCAAACCGGTCACTGGAGACACTGCCAGGGCAGCAATGAGACCTTCATGCGCAGATAGAGTCATCGTCTTGTTCTCCGCCATATTCCAAAGGTCTAAGGACTGCTCATGGACAGCATTTAGCAAGAATACAATGTCAGAATTACACTCTTATCGTTGACCAGAGTCATTTACAGAATATAGAAGAGGAAAAACAAAACCACTAGGACAGAGCTTCATAGCAGCCACATCATTCTAACAAGTATGACCAAATATGAAAATTTTATCTAGTGAAATATTTGAAAAATCCTTCCAAAACTCCGCATTTATGAACCGCCTTGAATCTTAGACTTGCCTCTTATATGCTACTCAAAAATTCATGGACGCCAAGAAAGCATAACACCAAAATGAAATGACCGGGAACAAAATGTAACTTGCCTGGTAACAGCCAATGACCAGCAAGGACGTATAAGTCGGATGGAAAACACAGGAGTGGAACTTGTTTCCGTTACAGCTTAGCTCATGAACACATTCTCCTTCACTACCAGTCCCAAGAGTCCAAACCCTGACTGAGTCCTCACTCACAGATGCCAGTAATTCCCCTGTGGGATCCCAGCAGACAGAATGTATTGCCTTCGTATGTCCCTACAATCATAGTATCATCATATTCCAAAAGAGAAAGTTAGTGATCCAGGGCTGGGACAGGGCACTAGACAACAATTCATTTCCCAGATGCCGAAAATATAAGGTCGACATTGACAATAAATCATAACAGAGACAATAGACAAACTGCAAAGAAGTAGAGTTTCCGACAAAAACTATAATAATGTCCCCTTCCTAGATCTCCCCCCAGCAAAGACAGCTTCTGGCGGGTAGTTTACTTAGAACAGTGCTAGTTCAATTACTATCCAAACCACCATTTTAAATCATTTAACAAATCAATATGTCTTCAGCTGGCCTAAAATGTTTTAACTCATTTTAAATCTTTTACCAACTGACATGCTTTCAGAGACATCAAAATGCATTATATGGAAGATTTTATTTAAGTGCAAAGCCTTGTCCACCCCCTTCCAAACAAAAAACTATTCAACCTTGCAATATTATAACTTGCAAGGAAGACAGAATTTGCCAGTCAACAAATTTTTCCTACGTATAGGAACTGTTGCTCTATATCCTGCAATGACAACTAGACAGGACAGAAAACATCAACTCTGTAGCTCTTAGCACGACTCATGCAGAAATGCATGCCTCTAATTGATAAAACATTTTCTCTATAAATGATGAAGAAATGCGTCTTATATCATGAAAATGAAACCTGTAATGAATATCTGCATGTTTGTGTCTCCACATCAAGTACAGAGACAACATTCTCTGCAGCTGCGGCAAGGTACCTCCCCATACGAGGTTGAATCTCATCTGAGCAGTGCCACCCTATCAGAAATCCATCAGTGACCATAATACATAATAAACAGTGCAGAAAACCTGGTACACAATAACAGTGATACAAAAACGGCGTGCACATAATACAATAATAACTCAGATTCTACCTTTGAGACTCTAGCACAGCTACCATTGGTTATACTCCAATATCGTATCTCACCATCACCATCGCATGAGCAGATCAGATCATCCTTATTTGGGTGAAAATCTAATGACATAACAGATGCAGAATGTCCTGTAAAGGTGCGAATTGTATATCCAGGCTGCATAATGGGCAAATTGATATATTCAGCTCAAGCAGGATAGCGATGTGAAAAAAGGAAGAATACCACTAAAACTAGAGAGAAAAGGACTGCAAATGAACAATAGGCCAATCATATAATTTTTTAATCATATCTAATCTTCTATGTTTAATAAATGCTAAGATGTATACAGCTGTTATCCTAGAAATCTTATCATAACCTCTATAAACTAGGCCTAGGTTCCGGTCAACGAATTAGTGGATGCCTTGCTTCATGATTCATTAGTGTCTGGATAATTAAACGTTCGTTTTTTATATAATTTTAACATTAAAGTCGTAAAATTAAATAATCAATTGACAATAAATCATCGAATCTTTTTAAGGTGGGCTAGAAAACCACTGTTCCATATCCTCCACATTCTGCAGTGATTCATGCTTCAAAATAACTTTGTTTTGAAGGTTGTTCGCTGAAACTAGCTTTCTTCAACAAGAGACCCACTCTTTGACATAAATAACACCAATGCCATCAGATGTCAATACGAGTTGCTTCTGCATGTCTCCATGGCTTTACAGGTATCATGTGTATACCAAATCCCTCACAA